AAATGCCAAGTTATAAAACGAAATCATGACGCGTGAAAATCCTACAAGTGCACATTGACACCTTCTTTATTTCCTGGTGTATTTCAACACCCAAATGCCATCTGATGACCTGAGGTCACATTTGGGTCTTTGCCACCCAAACTCCCCCACCCTCCTCCTTCCAGTTGATTGACACATTCCCCAGAGAGCAGAGGACACGCTGTCGCCTGAGCCGGAAACCTCCCGCCTTCTCTGAAATCACCGTTGACCACTAAGACCCTCCACGAGGTCAGAAGGAGCTGGCGGTGGGTCCGCTGACCGACTGGACAGCGGCTTACTTATTTGCAGATCAAGAGAACTTACAAGTCAACCTCCAGGTGTCCTTCTCTGACCCCAGAGTGGAACACGGAGTGTCCAGGTGAGCTCTGTCCACTTCAAGTTCCCCACCTCCAGGTCTGGGTTCTGGGGCTTGTTTTTGTAATAGCCACAGCCAGTGTCTGCTTCATGGGACCAAAGGGACCAAAGGAGGGAAGATTAGAGACAGAGACACATATACAAATGCACATGGATGGATGGACAGATGGATGGGTGGGTGGATGGGTAGATGACTGGGTGGATGGGTGGGTGGGTAGATGGATGGATGGGTGGATGGATGGATGGGTGGGTGGATGGATGGGTGGATGGATGGATGGGTGGGTGGATGGGTGGGTGGATGGATGGGTGGGTGGATGGGTGGGTAGATGGATGGGTGGATGGATGGATGGGTGGGTGGATGGGTGGGTAGATGGATGGATGGATGGATGGATGGGTGGGTGGATGGATGGGTGGATGGATGGATGGGTGGGTGGATGGGTGGGTGGATGGGTGGGTGGATGGATGGGTGGGTGGATGGGTGGGTAGATGGATGGGTGGATGGATGGATGGGTGGGTGGATGGGTGGGTAGATGGATGGATGGATGGATGGATGGGTGGGTGGATGGATGGGTGGATGGATGGATGGGTGGGTGGGTGGATGGGTGGGTGGGTGCGTGGATGGATGGATGGATGGATGGATGGGTGGGTGGATGGGTGGGTAGATGGATGGATGGATGGATGGATGGGTGGGTGGATGGGTGGGTGGATGGATGGGTGGATGGATGGATGGATGGTGGGTGGATGGATAGGTGGATGGATGGATGGATGGATGGGTGGGTAGATGGATGGGTGGATGGATGGGTGGATGGATGGATGGATGGATGGGTGGATGGGTGGGTGGATGGATGGGTGGGTGGATGGATGGATGGATGGTGGGTGGATGGATGGATGGATGGGTGGATGGATGGATGGTGGGTGGGTGGATGGATGGGTTAGTGGATGGATGGATGGGTGGATGGATGAGGAGGTGGATGGATGGGTGGATGGGTGGGTGGGTGGATGGATGGTGGGTGGATGGAGGGGTGGATGGATATATAAATGAATGGATGGATAAATAGTTAAGATAGATAAATGGAAAGACATTTAATAAGGCATCGTCTCATGTGATTATGGAGGACATGGAGGTCCACAGCCCATCATCTGCATTCCCGAGACCCAGGAGGGCTGAGGGCAGAGGGTATTTGCTGTCCCTCGGTAGATGCTCTGGGCTGCTTCATAAGACCCAGCAATGGCGTCCTCCTCAGTGCAAGCTCAGCACTGGGGTGGGGTCTGCGACTCTATTTACTACCTAAGTTTCTGCTGGGAACATGAGCCTAACGGGCAGCATGAGGTACCGCACTGAGGACCGAGCCTTCCGCACAGGAGCTACGCCCGCTCTGCAGACACCATGCAATGGGTCGTCCATTAAGAGGAGGGGAACAATGAAACCCCGTGTCCCTGAAGGCCCCTTTGTTCCTGAGGTGCCAGCCAAAGTGAGGGAACACCAAGAACAGGCCAGAAAGTCCAGGTACAAATTATCCCAAGGGACACGGACTGGCTGTCTCTCATGGCCACAGGGAACCAGGCAAGTCAAGGTCATGTCTAGGAAGCGACTTTCTTGCTTGTCCCCCGGGAACAGTGTCTCCTCACCCTTGCAGGTGGCTGTGGCTGGAGGAGGGGGTCCCTGGGCTGTGCCTTTGGGGTCTCTGTCCTGTCCCTGGTGACAGAGCTCTCTCTGCTCCCTGGTGCCCTGTCCTGAGCTGCTCTCCTCCTCCAGGCCCTGCCGCCATCTTGTTCTGCTCCCCTTGGGCCACAGCCATGGAGTCGGCCACCATGAACCTCTGAAAACCTGAGCCCCCCCATTTTTCCATCTCTAAATTATTGACGTCAAGTGTTTTGTCACACCAATGAAAACCTGACTCGCCTCTTGGGGTCCAACCAGCATCCTGTGAGGGTGACCTAGTCCTGGGACCACGTGTGCATGTGCTGGTGACAGTCTCCTCAGGTGTCTGCCCCAGGGCTGATCTCATGGGCTCCCACTCTTTGTAGATGGGTCCTTGCCCAGAATGGATCTCCATAATTGCTTCCATGTTCCGTGGCTGCCATCTTGAAATTCCCCATCCATGTTTGGGTCCCCGGGCTCCTGCTGCTAATCCCACCCCACTGCAGGGGTGCCCCCGGGGCAAAGTGGAGTCCCCAGCCCGAGTCCCTGGCCTCACGGTTGAGTCCCGGTGTGCGAGGGCTGGGTCAGCTACAGGAAGCCCGGCAAGCGTGTCCGGAAAGGTCCCCCCGGGTGGTCTGTCTGTCCTTCCACTCCCTGGGCCATTCATCTGTTCAGTCACCGACTCTTCCACCCACCCACCTATCCGTCTGTCCATCTGTCCACCCATCCATCCATCCCATCCATTTTGATATCCAGACATCCATCCATCTGTCCATCAGTCCATCAAATATTTAGCATGCACCCTTGGTTCTACATATTAATATATATCTCACTCTGCAAATAGAGATTTTTTATTATATGTACCATATTCATGTCTTTTATTGACATTATATTTGCAATTATATTGACTATTATGCCTCCTAGATATGCCATGCTCTCTATAAATATATAGGGTATTCTGGGTACACAGGTATAAATATCCTTTATTATATATAATATAAATAGCACATGTATCCCTACTATTATATATTCATATTATATTATACGATAAATTATAATATATTAATTACATAATAATATGACATATTATTTTATATCATTAATATATTATAATATATCATATAAAATTATATATGATATATTATAATATATTAATGTTAATACATGTATTATAATATATAATATAATATATTATAATATATATTATATAAAATATAATACATAATATATAATAAATATATTTATTATATATTATATTAAATATAATATATAATAAATATATTTATTATTTTTATTATATATCATTTTATGTATAAACAGTACATGTGTTAACACTATGCAACTTTATGTTAATACATATAATATCTGTGTAATTCTACATAGTATCAATCCGACTACGCACATGCAGTCCTGTGTATTAATACATACTGCACTCTGTGTATAGAGATTTGGATATATTTTATTTTATTTTATATATATATATAGATCTTCTATTAACACCACACAAGCACTCTCTATACATCACATATGCACTATTTATATTTGATTTTATGTATGCACACACACTAGGCAGACATGCGGTTCTCTACGTATGCCATGACATATGTGTGTGTCCTCAGTAATCCTCGCTGTCGAGTTTCTTCCGGCTCCTTGAGGGCTTCAGAAATTGCATGACTTGCAAGGTGCAGTGGCCCACGTCTGTTCCCCCAGGGGCTCTGGAGGCTGAGGCAGGAGGATGGCAAGTTGGAGGCCAGCCTCAGCAACTTAGAGAGGCCGTAAGCAACTGAGTGAGCTCGTGTCTCTAAATAAAAATATGAAAAAGGGGCTGGGGCCGAGGCTCAGTGGTTAAGCACCCTGGGCTCCATCGCTGGGGCTCCGTCTGCAAAAACAAAATGTTTCATTATGGAAATGCTGAGTCTTTAACATGAGCTAATTGTGCTTTGCTTGCACTCCACCGAGAGAATTTAATCTCCTAAAAAGCCTGTGTCTGTCTCGGGGTTGGGCTCCCAGCCCGGGCCACAGTGGCCTGAAAGTGCAGCCTGTCACAGCTCGGACGAACGCCAATAAACACAAATAAATAGACCTCGGTGGAGGCTTTTAAAGTAAACACCGTGCCCAGAGGTAGGCGCAGTACCCACTGCGGGGTCCTTGAAGACTTGTACCTGATGATTGACACGTTTGGGTCCTTGGGGGATGGAATCCAATTCAAAAGATCCCCTCCCCCCACATTAATTGAATTTTCATTCTGGAGATGAGACCTTTAGACACGCATTTCAAAATGCCCACAACATCTAATGGAAATTGTAATTTTTGAGCCAACGCTGAAGAAAAACAAAACATCTCATTGTGATAAAGGGGACACGGATGAGTCTTTGGAATTGGCCACCAGCCTGAAGTCCCCTTGGTTTCTTTCATTTCTGTTTCCATCTCAGGCTGATTTGCCTCATGGCTCCAAAATGGCTGCAACAGCTCCAACATTCCCTGGCCTCATAAGGAAAAATCGTGAGATCTTCCAAAGACCGTACCCCTCCATTGTCCCCAAGTGTGCAACCAACCTGGAAAAAAAAATATCACGGGGCAGAGGGTGAGGGCTCTGCAGGAGGGGAAGGGGCAGAAGAAAAACCTGGGAGAAGGGGCTGTGGCTGCGCAATCAACTCAGGTGAGCTGTAAGACTTCCTGTTTCAACCGACAAATGTCGGCTTTCTTCTTGTGACTCCGAACCAGGGTCAGGTGGCAGGGCAATTAGGGGACAATAAAAAGATAAACCCTCTCTCCTCTGGTGCAGGTGTGCAGGGCCAGATTTGTAAACAGATTTGTAACCTCCTGAGATACACAGCATGCGGAGGCCCTGTGGCCCTGTGGCCCTGTGAGAGTGTCACCCAGCTGGCCACGGTGCGGCAGGCCGCAGATGACAGGTGTTCCCACACAGGCAGGAGGGGGCCCAGACACAGCCTGCGGCTAGACCATGACACGGGCCTGGACTGGCCAGAGGGGAGGTAGTGACTCAGGGTGGACAGCCGGTGACTCAGGGGTCTGTCACGCAGGGTAGTGGAATGTCACACCGCGGAGGCAAAGGCGAGGAACATTAAACTCACCTAGAACACAACATGGTCTTAGTGGGGACAGGGGACACCTCTGGCCTGGGATCAGGGCCTTTAGACCAGGGACCGGGAAACAGGGTGGGGGTGGCATTTCCTGCCCATCCCCCCCCCAGTGATTGACGGTCCCCACCCCCAGCTCTCCTCGCCCCTAGGCGCCTGCTCCCGGAAGCTGCCGGAGCTGAGGCCCCTTTCAGGGAGATCCTTGCGGGTGCGCAGCTGGAGCAACCGTACGCCGGGTCCCGCAGCCCCTCCCCCACCCCGGGACTTCCCTCCGCCACGAGTCGGAGCTGCCCGGGGAGGCCGCGGGGGGACCAAGGGCTGCCCCTCTCCCGGGACGGACGGAGCGCGGAGTCCTCCCTGGGGGCGCGTGGGGAGCCCCTCGGAGCGGTTTGCAGACAGGAGGGGCTTGGCGGGGGCGGCGACCCCCTCGGAGCGCTCGGGACTCGCCCCGCGGGGTCCCCTCCAGGGTTTGCCGCGGTCCCGGGGCCAGGGCGCGGGGTGGGAGGTGGCCGGGGCGGGCGCGGGGCGGGGACAGGGCGGCGCCCCTCCTCCGGCCCCGCCTGGGCCCGGGATCTCTGCGCCGCCGCCCGGGCGCCCCACTCGCCGGACTGTCCCCCGCGGCTCCGCGCGCACCATGGCGCGTCGGGCCGCCCTGGCCGGGCTGCTGCTGCTCCTCCTGCTGGGCGCCGAGCTGCAGGCGCAGGGTGAGTGACCGCCACCGGGCCCGGGGGCGCGGGGGGCGCACGGCATCGCGGGGGGCGCAGCGCGCGGCCAGGCCTCGGTCCGCGCCCGGAGCCCTGGCGGGCGGCCAGCGGGTGACCCACGCCTCCAGGAGGAGGCCCGCGTCTCCAGCTGTGTCCCCGGGGCCAGCTCGGATCGCTTCCAGGCGCGAAATGTCAGCGTGTCTTTTCGGGCGTCTCCAACTTTTTCAAAGTTTGCAGGAGGCCCCCGGGGGACAGCCGGCGACCGTCCCCCTCCGCTTCCCAGCCCGGGCGGTCCGCAGCCCGGTGCCCGCTGTCCCCCGGCCACTTGGGTCGCCACCTCTCGCCCACGCGCACGGGGGGCCTCGGGGACCTGGGCCTTTGTGTGCGAGCCGCGTCCCCAGCCACGCCCTGCGCCCGGGCCTAAATTTGGAATCGGCTCCGGAGCTCGGGCCTGGGAGGAGGGGCAGGGCGAGGTGGGCAGAGAAAGTGCTTGGCGAGCGCTGGCCGCGGGTCACGCCTGGTGGAGAAGCGACGCGGGGACACCGAGGCGCCCTTACCAGATGGTCAGGGGCTTGTCACTCGGGACAGGCAGGAAAAGGAGCCAGAGAAGCAGAATCCCCGGGACCCCTGGCCCTTTCTTTCCCCCATCCCTGCCCCAGCTTCTTTGCAAAACGGAAAGGCTTCAGGGCGCGGGTGGTGTGAGTCACTGTCACCACACGCAGGGCACCGCTCGGTCCCTGAGTGCGCGCGCCCGCTGCCCGTATCTGGGCGCCGGTTCTGTTCAGGAATGAGAAGCGCGCAGCAGCCGGGATGGGGGCCTTCAAATTTCTCTGCCGAGCGCCCCCAGCCTGCAGCTCAGCCTAGACCTGAGGGGGACACCAGGCCCTCGGTTTTTAGGGACAATTTGAACCCGCTTTTGGAATGCACCGCGGCCAAGCACGAGCGCAGCCTGCCTCCTGGTGGGGAAAACGAATTTACAGCTCGCCGGTCCTACCCCTCCCTAACTTGTCCCTGACCTGCTGTTGCTGCAGAATTGGCGGGCGATTGCACCTTTTTGGAGGGTTACGGTGGAGAGGGGGCGGCCTCGTCATGTTTGAGTCCCAAATAAGACGTTTCAGTGTATCGGCTTGGAAGTGCCTCAGTGGTGCTCACGGGCCCTACCAACCCCAAGGCTGTGGATGTGGATGATTTCCGTGATGGGCTGGCCGCAGGGTGGGGCAGGGGACTGCGCTCTTCCTCTGAGGGGCCGCCTCCTCTTCCCGCTCCTGATCCCCTCTTTCCCATCAGATCCTCTTGGGACCAGATGGGGACCAGATTGTTCCCGAGAGTCAGCCTCGGGCTTGGTTTCCACGGGGAGGTTTGCAAAAAATCTTGGCTCCAGACGGGTCCTAAGTCTTGCTGCTGGGAACTCTGGCTCCATGTTCCCAGTTTGGGGACCCGAGGAGTCGTGGGCTCCCAGGTAGCACAGTGCCCTGGTGGGTCCCTGAGACCTGGACATTCCCCAGGCACGTGGGTGGCGCCCAGGAACTGGAATGGACGCCCAAAGACTGGCTTTGATTTCCACGGTGACGGTGACAGAGCCTTCCACAGAGGACAGGGGATTTTAGAGAAGTGGGAAGACACAGACCCAGGGCTTGGCGTCTCCAGGGGCAGCGTCTAGTGGAGGAGGAATTGTCCCCTGGAGACCTGAGGCAGGGGACCCCTGCACGCTGAGGGTCCATCAGGGGCATCTGCAGCCAGGAGGGCACAAAGTCCCTGCAGGGTGCGCTCTGGCTCCCAGGTGGCACCGTAGCGGGGACCTTGGGTCCTGGTGCATCTCCTTGAGCTCAGCAGTGCCTTAGATCTCAGGTGGCCGGCTGTGGACCTGCCAATCAACGAAGCGTCCGTCTGTACCTGGAAGCAGTCGGCCACACAGAGATCTGAGACCCCCATGACACTCGAGCCAGGTCTTGGCCGTTCTTATGGGTCTGTCCCTGAGCTCTGGTGAGTGGACAGAGGCTGCTCGCTCGGCCGGGCGCCGTGGCCCACGCCTGTCATCCCAGAGGCTCGGGAGGCTGAGGCAGGAGGATGGCGAGTTCAAAGCCAGCCTCAGCCAAAGCGAGGCCCTGAGCCACTCAGGGAGACCCTGTCCCTAAATAAAATGCAAAACAGGGCTGGGGACGTGCAGAGCTAACTGGACTCCTGTCCAATGGGGGGCACTGTCCAGCGAGGGGCACTCAGGGAGGTCACCTGGGTCCTTCTGGGCTCTCCGTGTCCCCTGGCGCCAGGACATGGGGACCCTGCGCTCCCCACATTTGCAGACCCTTCTGACACGGGGTAGCCAGAGGCGGCCAGAGCCTCTCAGGGGGACGCTGGATTCTTTAACCCAGAAGCCGCCAGCCTCTGGCCGGGCTGGGGACCCTCTCCCCTGATTTCCACCAGGTTTTTAAACCTATTTTCACGTTTGGCAAAAGAAAGACCCAAAATCCAGACAGACGGACATTTCAGCCCCTGGAATCCGTCTGTCCGTCAGGGTGGTGACCTAAGGGTCTATTTGATTTCATTTTATTTTTTTTTTTTGTACTGGGGACTGGTCAGTATTGAGCCACACCCCGGCTCCTTTATTTTTATAATTTTTAGATTTTTTAAATTATTTTTTAAAATTTATTTTATTAATTTTGGGGGGTACCGGCTGTTAAATTCGAGGGGTGCTTAGCCACCGAGCCCCATCCGCAGCCCTTTTTATATTTTATTTAGATACAGGGTCTCCCTGAGCTGCTCAGGTTCTCTCTAAGTCTCTGAGGCTGGCCTCCAACTTGTGATCCTCCCACCTCAGCCTCCCGAGCCACCGGGATGACAAGGCACGTGCCACGGCGCCTGGCTCAAGCAGTTTATCACATGGTCATCGTCACCTTGTAAGAGCGTGGTGGCAGGCGGAGCGTTGTTGCTGGTGGAGGTGGCCTTCAGGGTGGCAGAGTGTCCCCACCGCAGGGACAGCTGTACGCCCTGGCCTTCTTGTGTGTGTGCCCTTGTCCTGGAGGAAGGACGGTGACCAAGGACGGTCACGGCATCAGGGTGATAACGGCACCGTCTGCACATGGCCACTTCTCTCTGGGGGCTTCCTGTTGGTGCTGGGCCGTTGGCTTGGGCGGGTGCCAGCCTCCCTGGTGAGGCTGGGCCTCTACCCCCCTCTACAACTTCCGGTTTCCTGTTTTCCTTCCCCTGAGCCACACCAGTGAGTGCCCTGGAAACCGCAGCTAGCCGCCCCCGGCTCCCGGGCGTCACTTCTCCAGGGGACACCGTCGTCGCCGGGGTCCCTCTGTGTGCTGAGAAGCGCCCCAAGATGGCAGGTCCTGCCGGCCCCTGGAGGAGGGCACGGGAGCCACGGATGGTTCTAGAGCCCGAGGGACGTGGTATCTTCTCGGTCCCTCTGCACCGAGCTAGCTCCCACAGACAGACGTGACGGACAGCCAGGGCCCCCGCCCGGTGTCCGGCTTCCAGCCAGAGGTGTCTGCGGGGCGATGGCTGTGACCCCCAGACAGCCCCCAGGTCAGAGCCGTTGCCTGGGTTCATCTCTGTGTCCAGCAAGATAAGGAGCTGGAGATAAGCGGGGAGTGGAAATGGTGGGGAAGAACTAGACTGGGAGTGTGATCACAGAGGGAACTTCCCTAGATCCACATCTGGGCATTCTGCTTTTTCTCCACCCCCCAGTGTCCAGGACCCTGTCCCCAGATTCCTCACTGGGTTGAGCTTTGGTAGGGAATTGCGCAGGGATCAGGTCTGTCTGGATGCACCAAGTGCTCCGTGTCCAAAGCACCGGGATTTAGTCTCCTTGGCCTGCATCCCCTCCTTCATGCCTATCTTTTAGGATATGGCCCTTTGCCAGAGCTCAGGACTGGAAGCAGCCCGTTCCACTCCTGCCGGCTCCTTCTTCCACATCAGATTGTTAGCAGACTGTTGAATTAATCCCCTCAATTGTTCGGCACCGTCCCCAACCCTAGCATCTGTCCAGGACTCGGAGGAGCCCTTCAGATAGTTCATACCTTGCACACTTTGGGCAGGTCCAGGGACCTCCTTAGAGACTGAAGGCTTTTTAAAAGCCCCTCACCAGAGCACCCCAGAGGCCCTGAGAGGCCAGGTTCCAGCTGTCAATCAAGTTTGTCCACCATCCAGCCGTCAATCATCCATGTGCATCCATCTGTCCACCCACCCACCGGTCCACCCACCCATCCACCCATCCACCCCTTGATCCTTTGCCGGGTTATCCCAGCGGCTCAGGAGGCTGAGGCAGGAGGACGGAGAGTGGGAGGCCAGCCTCAGCCATTTAGCAAGACTCCACCCAACTCAGCGAGACCCTGGCTCTAAATAAAAAGTCAAAATGCCCTGGGATGTGGCTCCGCGGAGAAGCGCCCCGGGGTTCCGTCCCCAGGAAAGAAAAAGGACAGTTCCCTTTTGTGGTGACCCGCGGTGCAGAGTCCCGAGGGAGGGCCAGGTCGTCTGTGCGTCTGTCACCTCCGCCTGGGTCCCTCCCGTACCCTCAAGTGGCCTGTCACTGTCACCGAGAATCCCGACACGGTCCCTGGGCCACTGGGTCCCCTGATTGCCTGGAGACCCAGGCTGCTCAGGAAGGGACTGTCCCCCCCCCCCAACTGTGGGGGACAATGCCTCAGAGTGACAGAGGACAGGGGCCTCCGCGGGGTAACACTGTCGCTAAGCGCCGGGCCTGGAAGGCGGTTCCCTGAGGTGATCTGCAAAAGGCACCGTATACAGGCGGCGCCTAAGCTCGGCGTAGGTCGACCCAGCCGGTTTGCAAGTCCAGGGGCCCTTGGCCTCTGCGGGGCTGCCCTTCGGTGCGCCTTCGGGCTGCATTTGCACCTGCGGAGCTCACCCCTGCGCGCCTGCGGGAGGCAGCTCGGCGGGAGGCCGGAAGGGAGGCCCGTGCGCGCCTCGGCTTGTTTTCCGAGCTTCCTGGCCGCGGAGCCGAGGAAGGGCGGGGCTCGGGCCGCCGTGGGGACGCGCCCTGGTGACTCATCGCCGGTCCCCTGCACATCTGGAGGCTGGTTGCGGGGGCGGAGGCAGCCTCTCTGCAAACCGAGGGAGGATCCCCGGGGCATCTGGCCCCCCCCCCCCCCCCCGGGACTGGCCACCTGCCCTTTCTCGCTAATGTCCCTGGGGGGGGGGGTGTTTGGGCAGCAGATCTGGGTATGGGTCACCTGGGTTTTGTGCGCACCGAGGAGGACCAGAAAGGAGGACAGGGCTCTATGTCCTGTAGGCAGGTGGGAATAGTATGCAACCACAAAAAAGACAGGCTCCTCCTGTCCTTGGTGACAGCGTGGTGGCCCGGAGGGGACGATGTGTGTGCCCTGAAACAAGCCAGGCTCAGAAAGACGAGGGGGACCTGTTCTGACTCTCACAAGAAACAGGAAGTGCCCAGGTGGCTTCCTGGGGGTTCGGGGAGCCGGACACGAGGATTAGCTGCAGAGTTGGTTTGGACCTCGGGGAGGCCGGTGGCAATAATGTGTCCCATCCCGGGACACCTGGAGGGGATTCCAGGTGTCCAAATGTCCTCTTCCAGGTCTGGGAGCTCTACAGCCTCTGAGGAGAACGGGGGTGTCCAGACCTCTGCCCCTGAGTGGACCTCTGCCCCTGAGTGGACCTCTGCCCCTGAGTGGACCTCTGCCCCTGGCCCCACCCACTGTCCACAAACTGGACCCCTGAGCCCCGTCCCCAGCCCTGTTTTGCATTTGATTTAGAGACAGGGTCTCCCTGAGCTGCACAGGGCCTCCCTTTGGCTGAGGCTGGCTTTGACCTCGCCATCCTCCTGCCTCGGCCTCCCGAGAGCCGCTGGGATGGCAGGCGTGGGCCCCGGCGTCCGGCGTAATTTCCCCGATTTCTAACCTGGGTCTTCTTCCTTTTCTTCTCAGATTTGGATCTGTCCGACGCCCTCGGTGAGTAGTGCCTGATTTTTTATTTATTTATTTTTTTTAACTTTGCACACAGTGTGTCCCTTAAGGCCTTGACGGTGTGAGCCCCTCGGGAAGGGGACAGTGCACAGAGGTCCAGCAGGGTCCACCGTGGTGGCCGCTGGGGTCATTCAGTGGAGATGGTGACCTGGAAGCCGGGCAGCTTGGGGCTTGGGGAAGGGACTGGTCCACCCTGCGGCAGGATCCTGCCTGTCCTCTGCCCCAGCCTTGGCTCCCAGGTCCGCTCTGCCCACATCCTGTCCCTCTCTCCACCTGAGACCCCGGCGCCGGGGAAAGGTGTCCAGCTGCCCCTTCTGTCTTGAGCTCCGCTCGGCTCTGGACCCACGGGGTTGTCACAGTAAAGACCCCAAAGCACAAGCTGGACCCGGGTCCCCGGCTGAGCTCCCTCCACAGCCTCCAGGGGGCTCCTCCTGCCTGTCCAGCTCCTGGGCTCCAGGTGGCCCTGGGCAGGTGGCCCCTCACTCCAGTCTCTGCCTCCGTCTCCACGGGGCTCCTCCTCTGGGTCTGTGTCCCCTCCTCTGTCTCTGGGGAGGACACGGCCATGGCATGAGGCCCCCTGACCCAGGAGGAGCCCATCTCAGAAATGAGTCCCTCTGCAGACACCTTCTAGAAGTCGCTCAGTCCCACGCTAAATGGCTTAGAGCCTGGCTGAGTGGCTGAGGCTGGCCTCCAACTTGCCATCCTCCTGCCTCAGCCTCCCGAGCTGCAGGGATCCTGGGTGGGAGCCACCGCGCCCGGCCCAGCCTGGGTTCCTAACGGAGGCCGCTTGGGTGCCAGTCGCTGGGGAGGAAGCCAGGTTCCCGAGGAGTAAATGGGCACCGGTCCCTCCCCCGCCTTCTCCTCTGATCTCGGGCGTCCACTCTCGGTCTTGCTGGTCATCTTCCTCTTCTTGTGGTTTCCGGGGGTATCTGTCTCTCAGGAGGAAGGGGACAGCCCGGCGGGACCGTGCTGTGCAGCCAACCGTGTTCCACGTGTTCACGGAGTGGACACGGAGCGGGCCTCCCTGCCTCCGTCCAGTACCTCTAGTTATTTTTGTTGGTTTGCTTCTTAGGAGGCGATGACCAGAAACCAACGAAGGCTCCCAAAAAGCCCAGCGATGACGGTAAGGAGACAGAGTCCTCGCTGTGCAAAATAGAAAGAGGAAACGCTGGCTTCCTGGACCCTAACTAACAGCAGGAAAGAGCTCCCGAAGCCACCAAAGGACATGAGTCACTCGTCGGGCCTGTGTCCTGGGTGGTGACATTTTTTTTTTTTTTTTTGGTACCAGGGACTGAACCCAGGGGCACTCGACCCCTGAGCCCCGTCCCCAGCCCTATTTTGCATTTTATTTAGGGACAGGGTCTCCCTGAGCTGCTTAGGGCCTCGCTTTGGCGGAGGCTGGCTTTGAACCCGCGATCCTCCTGCCTCAGCCTCCCGAGCCGCTGCGGTGACCGCCATGGGCCATTTCAATTCCATGTCCACGCCCAACTTTGGGACCCGTGGCCTCTGCCCGTCTGTTCCTTGACGGGCATCATTGGGCCCCAGAGTGTGGTTGGAATCTTAGCGGATGAGATGGCCGCTGCCCGCTCCTGGCTGGCCTCGCTGTGGAGGCCGCTCTGCCTTAGCTGCTTGCTTGCTTCTGAAGGTGGCCCGGCGGGGAGCCCTCGCGCACTGAGCAGCTGCTGCTCGCCCTCAGCTGACCTAAGCTTGGCCGCGCACGAAGCCCCGGGGCCCGTGACAAAGATCGTCCCGAAGCCCTGGCAAGGTGGGCACCGGGGTGGGGCCTTCTTGGAGGGGCGGGCCTCGACTCTGCAAAGGGAGGCACTCGAGACCCTCAGGAGGGTTGAGGTTTCTCTGCTGGGGGGTCTCCCTCCTGCGCCCCCTCGGTCCTGAGGTCCGGCTCCGTGCTCCTGGAGGCCGCGTCTGCAAGAAGGACGGCCTCGCGCGTCCTGAGGTCCTGCAAATAGACGCGGTTAAGGCGGGGTGAGGCTCTTGGACCCTGAGAAAGGTCCATGCCTCCAAGCGGGGAATGTGGTCAGGGCTGGACAGAAAAAGCCACTGGACAGCTCCCTGCAGCTCAGGATGCGCACTGCGCAAAACGCAGTCGCAACTTTGTTGCAAATGACGCCCGCCGCGAAGTTGCAACTTTGTCGCAAATGCACACCGTGAGTCAGTTGCAACTTTGTCGCCCAGCGACACCGAGGAACACCCCGGGTGTTTCCCCAGAGGGGCTGAAAGGTAAAGGGGAGCTACCCGAGGGTCCCCAGTGTCCCCTGCTGCGCGCGCTCGAGGCTCAGCTTTGCTAATAACCCACTGCTTCTGCTCCACCCCCGGGTGACCTTCGTCTGTGCCAGCATCGCGCCCCGAGAACTTTGGAATTAACCACCTGTCCCCGTTTCTAGGGAACGGCTTTAACCTCGAGGACGCTCTCGGTGGTGGTGGACACGGTGAGTGACCTGCTGTGGCCAGTGTCGTTGAGGTGCCCAGTCGTGCATTTGCAGAAAGGATCGGGGGTCGTCAGGAACCCAACTCGTGTTATTTGATCCCTGCCGCCGTGAGCAGTGTGGCAGTTGGTGCTGGTGTCCGAGGTCCAGTCCCTGGGGGCCGACTCCATGGCTCTGGCCCAAGGGGAGCAGAACAAGATGGCGGCAGGGCCTGGAGGAGGAGAGCAGCTCAGGACAGGGCACCAGGGAGCAGAGAGAGCTCTGCCCACCAGGGACAGGACAGAGACCCCAAAGGCACAGCCCAGGGACCCCCTCCTCCAGCCACACCCCACCTGCTGCAGTCACCACCCAGTGAGTCCAAACAAGTGGATTAATCCACTATTGGTCTACACCTCTGCTAACCCACTCCTTCCACCTCTGAACCTTCCTGCGTGGCCTCCCACGTGACCATTTGGCCTCTGTTGAAAGCATTCAGTGAGTAGCATCGTCACCAGGGGGTGGACGGCAACTGCCAGGTGGCCGTGGGATGAGTGTCCCCTCCGGGGCGAGGGCTAGCTGTGCTGTCCAGCTGCTGGGTGACCTGGGGGAGCCGAGGAAGGTCCCCTCCCTTCATTTCTCGCTGCTCTAACTCTGTTACAGATGCCCCAGTGTCGCCCAATGAGCCCAAGCCCAGGCCCAACCAGCCCGGCTCCTCTGGTAAGTCCACCCTGTCCCTCGGCTGGACTTGGGGTCATGGGGCGTGGCTGGACTGGGGGTTGTGGGGACCGTCCTTTCCCAAAAGGCCGCTTTGGGCTGGGATCTGCAATTTTCAGCCCTTTTCCTATTTCCTTTGGAGACGGGGCCGTGCTGACTGGCTGAGGCTGGCCTCCAACTGGCCATCCTCCTGCCTCCGCACCGGAACGGCCCCCTCCACCCCGAGGACCCGCTGACTCTTCCCCTCTCTCCCCAGGTGGCTTTTCTGACAGTGACCTCCTAGACGGGACTTCGGGAGGTGAAGGTAAGTTGTCCTTTCTCCCCCCACCCCTGCGGCCACCGGCCCTACAGAATCACAGAAGGGAGCGTCCCCCGAGCTTCTCGGCGAGGTCACTCTTGAATGCATGGCTCTGTCCCTGGGGGGCTCTGTCCTGGGCTGGACCCCTGGGAGCCAGCTGAGGGCCCCCTGCGTTGACGGAAGGCTCCCTGCTGAGGGGTCCCGGGTCCGTCACCTCCTGCTGGGACGCAGACAGAAAAGGATGGACCCAGGTCCACTCAGAGGCCCCTGAAAGGCCACACTCGAGACCCCCCTGCAGGCTCGTCCTCCGTCTCCGAGCCCCCACATGGGGACCGAGCCGTTGACACAGGGGACCTCCGGGGGACCTTCCAGGTGCAGCGGAGACGGGAGCAGTCTGCCCTCGGTCAACACTCTTCTTTTGCAGGACACGGCGGTGGCTCTGACGGTGGCAGTCACAGGAACGAGGGACAAGACAGTATGTACCTTGAACGGCCGCCCTCTCCCTTCCCCTCTCCTCTGGGGACAAGGGACGCCGGGGACACGGTGCTTTAAGTCGTAGTATTTGCACGATCGCCCTGAAGACCTCGGCAGAGCCCCTGTCCCTCCATGTCAATCACGGGCCACAGCTCGGCCGGCTGCACGGCTGCGTGGCCACTTTGCAATTTTAGGAAATAAGTGACAATTTTTTTTGGTGGGTTTGGTACCCGGGATTGACCTCAGGGTCCCTGGACCCCTGAGCCCCGTCCCCAGCCCTATTTTGCATTTTATTTAGAGACAGGGTCTCCCTGAGCTGCTCAGGGCCTCCCTTTGGCGGAGGCTGGCTTTGACCTCGCCATCCTCCTGCCTCAGCCTCCTGAACTTCCTGGACCCATCTTCTTTGCGGTGTTTAGATGGGTCTCTCGGGCGGCTGTCCTGGGATTCCATTGCCATCTGCGTGTCCCTCTCTGTCTCGGTGACGTCTGTTTCTTCCTCTGTGCAGCTAACTCCCAGGGTGTGGTCCCCGGCATCGTGGGGGCCGTGGTGGTGGCCGTGGCCGGGGCCATCTCCAGCTTCATCGCCTACCAGAAAAAGAAGCTGTGCTTCAAAGAAAACGGTAGGTGCCCTCCTGGCCGCGCACCGGGCCTCCTCGCAAAAGCACACGCAGCGCTCTTGCCGGCTCACAGCGCGGGTGCGAGGCTGGGACTCCCTGGCTCTGCGATCAGGCCCTGCTGCCCCGACATGCACATGTGCACAGGTTGCTAACTGCTCCAGCGCTGGCGGGTTCTGGGCACACACGGGCTGCAGGTGCCCCGGGCTGTGTGGGGACTCCTCTGTGGGGACGCCATCCCGAGGAAATATGGATGGTGATTGAGCCCAAGGCTGGGCCGCCATCTTGCTTTCTGCACCCAGAGGAATCCGACCCCCCAAATGGGGAGTCGCTCCCGCCCAATTTGGTGAAACCAACTAACCAGTGAGGCTCTTGGATGGGGTGCAAAATTGGATGGAGAATCGGGACACGGGGTGCCTTGGGGACCTGCGTCTTGGGGACTCCATGGTCCGTCAGGGGGGTTGGGACCTGGTGCTTAAAAGTCCCTCAATGAGGCCCAGGATTTGCTCCAAGTCAGGAATCTGGGCAGACAAATGCCCACGTTCAAGGAGATGCCACCAAGGATCTAGGATTCCAGGGAAAGCCCAAACCCTCGCCCGGCCTGGGTCTCCCCAAAGTCGCGGGGACCTCGAAAGGCCGGGAGCTCCGCCCACGTGGATTTTACCATTTCCCTTTAGTTCCATTTTCCCAAGTCTGAGTCTGATGGGCAGCGGGAGGGGGGACCCCGCAGGTGGCTTGCTCAGGAAGGACTCGTCCTAGCGAGGAGGCCACATGGTGACGTGGAGAGAAAGTGACCCTCTGTTCCTGGAGACGCCATGGGCCTCCCTCAGGAGCCTCCACCTTTTTCTGGGTTGTGCACATTTCCATTTTCACCCTGAATTTTAAAGTGAGCGTAATGCGTGACTCAGATAGCGTGGTTTTAGGGACAGAGGTAGAGAAATGACCTGGGGTGGCCGGGCAGGGTTGGGGCAAACCGAGTTCCCCACGGAAGGGAGGAGGGGACGCTCTTTGTGCAATCACCTGTTTGCTCTGGACATTTTGCTGTCCGCGGATCGAACCCCGGGGCTCCTCTTGGGCCAGTGGGGTAGGAGCAGGTGTCTCTGTCCCCCGTGGGGACGGATCAGTCACTGACCCTGCGTCAGGAGACACATTGACCCCAAAGCTTCTCCCTGTGGCGTCTTGAGCTCCCCCAGGGTGACACGGGTGACCAGGGGCGTTCTGAGAGTAGATGTCCCCAGATGCGAGTCTGCATTTCTAGGAGCTTCAGTGGGCCACCTGCCTGACGCTTGCAGGGTCTGTCTCTGCTGCTTGTCCCCTGGCACCGGCTCAGCTTCGAGGTCCGCGTGGGGGGCGCACAACCACGCAGAGCCTAATCCATGCTCAGGGAGGCGCTTTGGGCTGGGCCTGTGTCCCTGATGGACAGACAGCTGGACGCTGTGCAGAGCAGGGCTGCGCTCACCCTCCTGCCTCCTGCCTGGTCCTCTAACGCCACCTGGCTGCGGCTCTGTCCACCCGGCTCCTGCCCCCTGCTGCTGACCTCTTAAAAGTCTCCTTTTTTTATTTTTATCATTATTACTTTTTCTTTCTTTTTTGGTCCCCCCCCCCCATTTCAGATGCCTCCAAGACCTAGGGACGAGCAGAGCACCCTGTCCAGTCCAGAGCGTCCCGAGGACCCTTGTGCCGCTCCTAGGACGCAGCCTGGCCTAGCGAGCCGCCTCCCCCTCTGTGCGCCCGGGTCCCCTCCCCAGCTAGCGCGCCTCTCTCCTCCCCGCGGGGTCCCCTCCGCAGATTTCTGTACCCTAAATTCTCCATTTCTGGGCCTTCTCGATGGCCACACGGCACGCACCCAGGGCGCGGGGAGGGACGGGAAGGGATGGTGTCCCTTTGGAAGGCCACAGAGAAAACGGGGCGCGCGGCGTCGCCCTGCTTCCGAGGGTCCTCTGCAGTGGGTCAGCAGGGCGAGGATCCCTCCGCGCTCTTCTGTGCAGGGACAGCCCTGGGGCGGGGGTCCCTTTGCTCCTGGGGACCTCGCCACTCAGCGCCACTGTCAGCGCAGGGGACTTCTCGGCCTAGGTTTCCTTCCGCGCTGGGTCTGCAGACACGGCTCCCCGGAGTCCTGTCCTGCGTTATCCAAAAAGGGCGCCGCAGGTGGTGGACCGACCGACTGTGGTTCTGGTCACTGCCCCAGGGTGACCACCTGGATGGCCCTTTTGCTCTTTGGAAGGACATATGTGTCCAAAGCATCCTGGGTTCGGATTCCCTGAAGCCAGCCCGCGAAAGCGCGCAGGCGCGCAGGCTCAAGTCCCCCAACGCCGATTCTCAGTACCGAGGAGGGACCGGCCGCTGGTACTCGGTGGCATGCTGACCTGGGCTCCGAGGCTTTCGCAGTTTGCAGTTGTTCAAGGGCCAACCCGCTGTGTCCCCTGTCTGCAGCGCAAGCACCCTCTCTGGTCACCACCTGCGCACCTCCCTCAAGTGCGCGCCTTGCGTATACCTTCGGCTCGCTCGCTCTCCTCTTTGTCTCAAGCACGTTGGCTTCTTAACTGTGGGTGTCACTTAGAGGCTGGGTGGGGGTGCAGTTTGCAGATCTTAGGGTCCCTTTAGGGGGTGCATCTTTCTGTCGCCGTGATTACAACCCGCACCGCACACCTTTCGGCACGACGGTATTTGAACCACGGAGGGCACATGCATTCAGGTTCTGTGATCAGGGGACAGGGAGCGCTCGGGTGGGGTGACCTGAGGGGGGGGGGTGAGCCCCCTCCGTGTGGCATGTAAACGTGTCCTTTGGTGACGGTGCAGAGAACGAATAAACGCATTTTATCCGTGACCCTCGTGTGGACTTGGAGATCTGTTGGCTTTTAGATGCGCGCTGGAAGAGAAGGGTCAGGGGTAGGGGGTGACATGGCGCGCGGGTGAGTTTGAAATTCCACGGATCGAGCCCCGTCCCCAGCCCCTTACAGCTTAGGTGAGCTCTAAGCTAAGTTGTTGAGGTTGGCCTCCAATGGACCATCCTCCTGCCTCAGCCTCCCGAGCTGCTGGGATAACAGGCCACGGTGTCTGGCACCAGGGCTGGTTTTGGTGGTTTGCATTCTGGGGCAGGTGGGTACAGGGGCAGGGGGGCAGCTTTTAGCCCAAGGACGGCCCTCAGGGTACTAGCAGGGACGAAAAGTCCCCCTTCTGCAGGCTGCGAGAGTTCCAAGCCCAGCGGTCCCTTCTGAGCCTTGAAGTGGGGGTTCCGTCCCCACCGCTCATTCCTGAAGGGTCTTAGGACTGAGAAACGAAGCCGGGGGTGCAGCAGACCCTGGCGTCCACCCCGTCCACCCCCACCCCCACCCCCACCCCCGGGTGTGATTTCTGCATCTTGAGCAGTGCGTTCCCTGCTCCACTGAGCTGTGCGTGTTTTGTTTGATCTTTGCAGCCGGACAAGGAGAAGTGGACTTGGAGAACCGAGCGGGCACCAACGCAGAGCCACCAGGTAAAGACGGGCAGGTAGGGGGGACGGCTTCCCGGTGTCCCTGAGCCCCGGACACCTGTGTCGCTGCTCCCGCCCGCACCCTCGGGTTTCAGATTTGCAGGGCTGGGTGACTTCCTCCAGGTCGGGTGGCCAGGTGGTCAGTATGTCACCTCCTCAGGGGTTCAGGTGCCCAGTGAGAACTGTGCTCTAAGCACCTCTTCGATTAAGTCACCTTAAAAAAAAAAAAGTCTAAGAAGGAGAATTTGGGTGGGTGTGGCACGGGGGTGCACCCCTGTAATCCTCTTGGGAGGCTGAGGCAGGAGGACGGCAAGTTGGAGGCCAGCCTCAGTAACTGAGGTGCTAAGCAACTCAGCAAGACCCAGTCTCAAAATAAAAAAAGAATAAAAAGGGCTGGGGACAGGGCTTTAGTGGTCAAGCACCCCTGGTGTCCCTTTCCTGGGGGTCCCATCCGTCACCCGTGGGGCTCACTGAGTGACTTTTAGTATGCGTGTTAGATTGAGGTGCCCGGGCCTCCTGGGTCCTCTAGGAAGGGCGTTCCCGCGTGCGTCCGGCACTGGGGAGTGACGCCCTGTCCTCTGTCCGCCCAGTGCAGCGCACGCTTTTGGAGAAGTAGAGGCCGCTGGGCGGGAAAAGCCCAGTCCCAGGTCCGCAGCCCGGTGACACCTGCCCAGTGACACTTTGCAAGACCAGCTGGCGAGCGCAGAGGCCACCGTGCGCTCGGGGAGCCGCCGCCCCATCTCCACTGATGGACTCCCTGACCCAGACGTGAGGTGACCAGCACGCCCGGTGACCAGCGGGACGAACCCGCGGGGACTTGTGTCACCTCGACCCCTGGGGCTCCCGGGGATGGGAAAGGCCCACCAGGACCCAGTCCCTGTGGTCGGACACCGGCCCCGTCAGATGCCTGGACGCGCAAGCCCTGGGCCGATGCCCAGCTACCTGGACCCCGGCGACGCCCTACGCCTCCCGAGTGGAGGTGACCCCAGGGTCCTCGCGTCCCTCCGATGCCTTAGGATATCCGGCTGTTTTGTTTTGTTTTGGGTTTTGGTTTTTTTTTTTTTTTCCAACTAATAAAACAAAATTGGAAACCAAGCGCTTTCTGCGCCCTGGTTTGCCGCCGTGGGTTCCGGGTGGGGGGGGGCGTGGGAAGGGGCGTGGGCGGGGCCTCCTCTTCCACCTGGGCGCGGATGCTCCCCTGCACCCAGATGCTCCAGGCAGCCAGACAGTTCCCTGCACGCGCATGCTCCGGCAGATACTCCCAAGACGCCAGATACTCCCCTGCACCCAGATGCTCCCAGCAACCAGGTACTGCCCTGCGCTCACTCCCAGTCAGATACTCCCCTGCAGCCGGATACTCCCAGGCAGCCAGATACTTCCCTGTAACCAGATACTCCCCTGCACCCGCATCCTGCCAGGCAGACAGATACTCCCCAGCACCCAGCTACTTCTCTGAATGTAGGTCAGCCCTGGCATCCAGGTGCTCCCCTGCATACAGATGCGCCTCTAAACAGAGGCACTGCCCTTCGTCCAGATGCTCCTTGTGCACCCAGATACTCCTCTGCTCCCAGGTGCTCCCCCCATCCAGACCCTCCTTCGCACTGGGATCCTTTCCTGTCCAGATACTCCCTGGCCCCCAGATGTCCCCCCGTGCGGCGTGTGTCCAGTGGGTGGAACGTGGGTGTTTCTTGCTCACCATTTCTGGAGCCTGTACCAGGGGTTGGGCCCCGTGGACGTGGGGTCTGGTTGAACACGGGGGAGCAGCTCCTCCCGTGGTGGCCGGGAGTGTCCTCCTGGGGGATCCGCGGTCACTGGAACGGGTCCCTTCCCTGCGGTGACAGCCGACTTTTCCCTGATGCCTGGGGGGCAGCAGCTCCTCACCTTGGGCCGCTGCCCACGCCCAGGCCCCCAGGGACCAGCTCCTGTGGAGTCCAGCTGCAGCCGGTCATGACGCCTCGGCTTCCGACTTCTCCCGCCAGAACACGAGCCTGTCCACTCGGGGTGGCCAGGGGCCCGGGGGAGTGAACGAGAGCCCTGGTTGGCCGGCCAGAGAAGGCAGCCCCGTGGGGAGGGCCTGCCTGTCCCCCCGGCAGGGCCTCAGCAGCCGCTGTGTGCCGGGCAGCTCCCCGCCCGCAGCCCTGGTGGCCCGTCCGACACCCGTGTGGACAGCGTGCTGTCCCCTCAGGTGGGGGAGCGCGGGTGGGGCCGTCCTCCTGGGTCCTAGGCCTTTGCTCAGGAACCGCCTGCATTTGGGGGTGCGCACGGCTGGTCCCCAAGGGTAAGGTCTCTTCCCCTCCCCCACGGGCACCGCTTCCCCCGGGACGGGCCTAGGAGCCCCTTCCTCTGGGGCGGGGGAGCAGTCACGTGGCCCAGCCTTAGGGCATTTGAACCTTCCTGTCCGTCTTTGCCACGACCACTCGGATTCATGACCCGTCTGTCCTGATCGACCTCTGCACCCAGGTACTCCCCTGCACCCAGATACTCCCCTGCACCCAAGTACTCCCCTGCACCCAGATGCTCCCCTGCACCTAGATGCTCCCTTCACCCAGATGCTTCCCTGAACCCAGATGCTCCTCTGTACTCAGATACTCTCCTGCATCTAGATGCTGATGCTCCCTACACCCAGATGCTCCCCTGCACCCAGATGCTCCCTTGCACCCAGGTACTCCCCTGCACCCAGATACTCACCTATGCCCAGATGCTCCCTTGCACCCAGATGCTCCCCTGCACCCAGATACTCCCCTGCACCCAGATGCTCCCTGCACCCAGATGCTCCCCTGCACCTAGATGCTCCCTTCACCCAGATGCTTCCCTGAACCCAGATGCTCCTCTGTACTCAGATACTCTCCTGCATCTAGATGCTGATGCTCCCTACACCCAGATGCTCCCTGCACCCAGATGCTCCCCTGCACCTACATGTTCCCTGCACCCAGATGCTTCCCTGAACACAGATACTCCCCTGAACCCAGATACTACTCTGCATCCAGATACTCCCGTGCATTCTGATAATCCCCTGCACCCAGATACTCCTGTATCCAGTTACTCCCCTGAATCCAGATACTCCCCTGCACCCAGATACTCCTCTGCACACAGATACTTCCCAGTAGCCAGATGCTCCTCTTCACCCAGATAACTCTTCAGCACCCAGATGCTCCCTAACAGGAAGAACTTGTCATGAAGTGGCAAGTGTCATAAGATGAACACGGTGGACTACACCTATCCGGTCACCTGGTAGACCAGCAGGAAGGCAGGGGCATCTGTGGCCAGGATCCTGTGGCTGTCAGGAGCCACGCCCCCCCAACTCCCTGTGTCACAGGACAGGTACCTGCCGCATATCGCCAGCCCCGGAGGCCAATCACACTTCCAGGTTCAAAAGGCCACTTCTACCGAGTGTGTTCCCCTTTTGTTCCAAGGAAAAGGGTCGTATTTAATGGATCACCATAATGTACATAATATCTGACTTCTTATTGGAAACGTCCCCCTTTTCTAAGATTCTCTGTGCTTTATTCTGCAAATATTCACAGAACTTTTTCTACATACCAGAGGCTGTTGGTGAGCAAAGAGACGGTCCCTGTCATTCTTTCCAACAGTCAGAACTTTGGTTGCAATGACATTAAGCAGTCGCCAAGAATGTCCCACTGAGCACCTACGACCGTGAATGCCTCTGGAAGTACATTACGGGGACCCCGTTTCAGTGGGCACGTTGTCATGAATGTCTGGCTTTGTGAGGCTAAAAGGGTTCTGCAGCCTGTTCATGCCCATTGCCAAATCGTTCCACAGACACGCAGCAGATTTGCAATACCTCAAATGATTTCCTGGCGGATCCGAGAACTTTCAAATGAATTCCACCAGGGCTTTGGTGGAAAACAAGATCAAATGAACTGGCTCATATTCTCACATGTGTCTTAGGAAGGAGGTTGGGTGTACAAAAAGCAATGTGCAAACCGTTCCTGGAAACTGAATAAGCCCTTTGTTCATTTGTGTATGCCATCAGTTTCTTTTCTTATTGATTTGTAGGAACTCTTTACATATTAAAGAGCACCCTTGGGTTGCAACATGGATTAGCAGACATGATTTTTTTACTTTATTCTGAGTCTTTTAAATCTTTAATGGCTATTTTCTTGATCCCACTCTTTATATTTAGTGGTGAGAAGAGATTCCTATATACCAAGTGTAATTTTTTTTCCTTATAGGATAATTTCATACACCCTAAACCATTTAGTGAATTCTCCATTTTCTCCTTTACAGATTTGAAATGCAACAGACATTGGCCACTGCAAAGATTTTGCTATGATTTCTCTGCCCTCATGGATCATTTCATTGACAAAGGAGACGAAACTACATGATTTTAATTATCATAGATTTACTCTTTTAATATCTGATGGAACTAAACACATCCCATTAGTCTTTTTGAAATTTTTTTTGTCTAGTCTTTACTCTTTAATTCATTTTGGCTCCAGGGATTGAACCCAGGGGTGCTTAACCACAAAGCCACATTCCTAGCCTTTTTAAATTTTTTTTTAAAAATTTTATTTTGAGACAGGGTCTCACTGCTTTGCCTAGCACCTCACTAAGTTGCTGAGGCTGGCCTCCAACTTGCGGTCCTCCTGCCTCAGCCTCCCGAGCCACTGGGATGATAGGCGTGCACCACTGCCCTCCCCCAGGGACCCATCTCCTCCAGCGTTAATTTGCTGTGCCCGGAGCTGAGCTCTGCCAGCCTCTGATCTGAAACACGGGTGCCCCCTCATCCACGGTTTCACATTCTAAAATTTCAATCATCTGCAGTCGAGCACGACCCCAAACTACTAGATGGAAAATTCCAGAAATCAATCATTTACGAACTTTCAAACCCGAGCTAGTCTGTGTCACGTGAAGACATCCGGTCCCGTTGTTCCTGCGTGAGATTCCCCTCTTTGCCCCGTGTATCCAGGCTGTATATGCTACCCTCCCGGTACTCGGTAAGGAGCCATCTTGGTTATCAGATCCGGTCTCTCAGGATCCCAATGCTGGTGTCCAGGTCACTCTGCCTTTAATGGATAATAGCTCCAATACTCCAGAGTGATTGTGCGAGCCATTTGAAGCTCAAATTCCGGTGCCCATGTCCCTTCTGGCTGAGACACAGACCCCTGTGGGTCTCGGTGCCACAACAGAGCCCATATGGTTTGCAAGAGAGACCCAAACCGGTGCTCTCTGGTTGCATGCAGAAGATCTCTTCAGAAACCCTTGGTGGCACCTGGCTGTGTCCAGTATCTCCCAGGTCCCCCAGGCCCTCCCTGTGCATGCCCAGCGTCCAGTAATATCATACTCCCGTCTCTGCTTTCATGATGTGTCCCTCTCTCCAACTCCACACACATTATCTTGCTCTCTATAACGCATGTGGCTCCTCACAGATAAGTGTGCGGAAGTTTGTTGATTGACTCTACCAACATATCCAATATGGCAGACCTCAGCGTTTACAAACCTGCGCTGGCTTCTGACGCCCTCGAATGGCTCAGGTGACAGACAGAGAGGGCTACTAGGATCCCTCGCCCCTTCTGACTGTTGGTTCTGCTGCTCACAGAGATAATTGGGGGCTGCAGGGAGAGGAGGGGATTCTTTGAAGTCCCTGGGATTCTGGATTACAGCGGCCATGCCCTGACCCTCTGTGCAGGACTTTGCATGCGACATGGGGTCCCGGTGACAGAGGGGTCTCAGCCAAGCCAAGCGCAGGTGCGGGCTGCGCACTCCAGGGTGCACGAGTCCCCGTGGCTGAGCAGGTGCGCAGCGGTGGCGTCCAGGAGCCGCCGCGGATGCTGAATGATTGGCACGTGGCCCCGCCCAGGTCGCCCCAGGGCCTGCGCTGGTGCCATTGGCTGGGACAGTTCGGAGCAGCTGGCCCTGGGCGAGCGTGTGAGCACTCGTCCCCGGGCTCCGTGGAATCCGGGCTCGGGCGCAGTCGGGTGTTCCTGGCACCGGGAGCGCAGCGCGCGCGCGGCTGGTTTGGTGTTTTCCACTTGGACACAGCGCTCGCTGCCCGCCCAGGCGGGGACAGCGGAGTCAACAGGGCAGGGCGGGGCGGCCGGAGACCAGCTGCGACGTGGGACGGACGCTCCCGGGGACCTCAGCCAGCCATGGAGACCCGGCGGGGGCTGCCCGGCCTCGTGCTGCTCCTGTGTCTGCTGCCGCGCGCCCCAGGTGAGCACGGGGCGCCCCGCGAGCCCGGGATCCCGCAGGTCCGCGTCCTGCAGAGAGTTGACGCCAAAGTTTACTAAAGAATCGCCAAGACGCTCCGCCTCCCAGGCTCTGGGATGGGGCATCGGGTTGCGCAGGGACCTCGGGACTGTAGGGTGGAACCGCATGGAGAAGGTTCGTGGGACCCCGAGTGTCCTTCCAGGGCATGATGGACAGAGGGGATTGGGAGAGGCAGAATGGTCGGTCAGGAAGGGACGGGCTTCCTCCAGACGGGTCTACACTGGCCTTTCTTGTCTGTCCTGTTTGAAGACGGGGTGTCATTAAGACAGGAGCTGGCTGCGTGCGTATGGGCGGAGGAGATGCCCAGAGCTGGTTCTGGTGACCAAAAACCTCAGGGGGACACTTACACACTCCGATGCCACCTGTCGATCTCGCCTCCCGTGCATTTGGCCTGAGACAACAGGACTTTTAAATCCAGACTTTCTTGCTTCAGTTTGGGGGTCCCGGTCCACTTGTAGAAGGTCCAGAGATGGCCACCAACAATAATTGGAAGTCGCTTGCTTTATCTAGCCACCGGGGTTCGTTGGAAATGGATGGGGACGTCGGCTGACTGGCCGTTGGTCAGGTGCATAAACGAATATTTCCAGGGCCTTGTTCATTTGCCCTTGAAAAGGGTCTTTCTGGTGGCCGGAAGGGTGACATGAGTTCTCCGAGTGCTTCCTGTATTCCTTCGTCCGTTTTCCGTCGACAGCACGAAATACCTGAGGCCGGGTGTTTTATTAAGAAGAGAGGGTTGTTGAGCTCCTAGGTTGGAGGCTGGCAGTGTGAGCAGCCTGGTCGTGGTGCTGGGGACGTCCCCAGGCTCCATGGCAGGTGGATGGTGTATGCATGAGGTGCATAATGCCTACTGAAATACTGATTGTGGGCTGCGAGGGTTGAGGAGGAGGCAGGGCAGTCGGTACCGGGCAGGTGTGTTTGCAGAACTGTTCTCTGCCTGAGGCTGCGGTGGTCTCCGTGCAGTGCGGTGGCTGTGGTGGGGGTCTCTGGTGACAGTCCCTGCAAAGTAGACCCTGAGCTGATTCTGCAGAGAGCCTGGGAGACCCGTGGGCTTTGAGGTGCTCAGACACTGGACAGAAATGCAGGGAGGGAGGACGGCTGCCCAGGGGACAGTGGCCTCTCCTTGTCTGTTACTTTGTTTCTTTTTGTGTCTGCAGAGCTCAGAATCCACCCCGGGGCTTCCCACGTGCTGGGCAAGGGCTCCAGGGAGTTCCTCAAGGTCCAGAGATTTAGAAAGCCATTGTGCAGCCGCTTTCTGAGAAACCGCAATAAATCCTGTTTATAGGAAAAAAAATTAAAAAAAAAAAATCGTGGAGAGTGCCGTGTGATCTCGGCGGCTCCGGAGGCTGAGGCAGGAGGCTCACGATTTGGAGGCCAGCCTTAGCAACTGAGCGAGGCCCTCAGCAGCTTGGGGAGACTCTGTCTGTAAATAAAATGCAAAAATAGGGCTGGGGACGGGGCTCAGGGGTGGAGGGCCCCTGAGGTCAATCCCTGGTGCCAAAAAAAACCAAAAAAAACCCCAACTGTCACTAGGAAAGGCAGATGTTTTGCAGATGAGGTGACAGTGGTTTGCACAACACAATAGAGGAGCCAGCTGTGTTTGCCATCGGGCGGCCTCGGTAGACTTGAATTCAATTCCGCGGCGCTTCGTGTGCAAATTCTGCTGGAATTGGTGCTGCGCCCGCCCAGGGCTTTAGAAACCCTTAGAAAAAAAATATATATATTATTATTTTTTATTTTTTCCCTTCATTTCCAAGCCCCGCCCGGGGCCTGTTTTCTCCTCTGGGTGGAGCCGAGCCGCGGGGTCTGGGCTGCTGGCTGTGTGCACGGGTAACCGGCGGCGGGTGTGGACAGAGGTCAGCATCGGAGGGTCTCTGCAGGTGGCTTGGTTTTGCACCAAATGCGGCCGGGGCCGGGGTCTGGTTGCAGGACGAGGCCGGCGGATGTCTCAGCTGCATCCACAGCGCCCCCTGCAGGACCCGCCGCACGACTTCTGTCTGTGCGCATGCGCGGGGCCCGGGGCATCTCGTGCAAAAACGCTGCGCTCTGCGCAGGGGCGAGTCTCCACCGGCCTTCCCCGGGGACCGGCCACCGAGGACCAGCCTGAAACCAGAGGACAGCACAGCAGGCTGCTGTCCCCAACTCCTGGGGGGGGGGTGGGGGGGGGCTAGGGGTCCCAGAACACAGCAGGGTTGGATTCAGAGGCCACACAGCGCAAGTCACCAAAAAGCAAGTCAGAGACACGTTCTGAAGTCCGTGGCCTCCCGAGAGCAAGATGCCCGCGCGATGTCCACCGCCCGGGCTGGCCGCGCCCTGAGCCCCCCCCCCCCCCGGGGACTCTTGGCCGGGCTCCCCGCCCCCATCGCAGGGCAGATTCCCGCCCATCTCGCAGGACAGGGGCTGGCGCCACGCCTGGCTTTCGGGAGGCCAAACCGGGAGGCCCGGATGGCACCCACGCCCTCCCCGCGTGTGCGTGAGTCACGCTGCCCCGGGGACACTCCTACTTGGAAAGCGGCTCTCAAAACCAGGCAAAACCTCGCCCGGCCAGTTTGCTCGGCCTCCTCCGGGGTCCCTCCTGCGTCCTGCCCGCCCACGGGGTCCCCCCCCCCCCCGCCGCCGCCTGTAGAGCTGCAGGAGGCCATGGGATGAAGAGGGAAGAGGCTCGGGAGGCCCAGGCGGGAGGATCGTGAGGTCAAAGCCAGCCTCAGCCAAAGCGAGGCCCTAAGCAACTCAGGGAGACCCTGTCCCTCAAAAAAATGCAAAATAGGGCTGGGGACGGGGCTCAGGGGGGTCCAGTACCCCTGAGGTCAGGCCCCAATACCCCTCCCCAATAAAGAAAAGAGAAGAGAGGACAGACAAGGGGTGCAGGAGGGGAGTCTCTGGAAGTCACCTCCGTGGGCCAACCGGCCCCTGCTGCGGACTGGTGATATCTGGGGACAGTCTCCAGCCCTGCCCTCCTGGCTTCTCGGATAAGACCCAGCCTCCACCCCAGTGCTGTTGGGAAACAGCGTTTCAGAGAGGCCAGCCTCCACGGAGGGACGTAAGGCAGAGGGTTTGGCTCTGTGGGACACTGGGTGTGGCCTTGGGAGCCCCGGGGAGGGAGGTGGCTCCCTCACAGGGCACCTGAAAGGCTGGGAAGAGCCCGTGATGTGGTTGGAGCCGCTGACCTTCGCCTGTAGCAGGGCACCCCAGGGAGCGGGGACGACTTGTGGCTGGGGACACCCAGTATCCGGCTCCCGGGGTTTCCCCAGGCCCCGCCTCCGTTGGGACTTGGTGACTGGGCCCGAGTCTAAGTGCAGACTCAGCCTCTGCCCTGCCCTTCACCTCCTGGTGCCCCGGGTTTCTCACCTGGGAAATATGCATGGTAGTGATGCCAAGGTCCTGGGGCACATGAGTGGGTGGGATTCTTGAAATGCCACCAACAGGACTGGACAGGGTGTCCCCGACCACCCACTGTCATTCCTTACACGGTCACCCTTAGGTATCCTGGAGGGTGGCTGCAGGGTCCCCTCCGATACCACGACCCACAGAGACTCGATTCCCACGTACAAAATGACTGGGGCTCAGGGGAGTCAGATCCTACAGCGTGCCGCACAGTGGGGTGATCTTGGTGCCCACAGGGACTGGCGGGCCATGCAGGCAGGAGCACAGAGGTCCCTGCAGTTGTCATCGGTCACCTTTTGCTTCCCCATGTGACTTGTGCCCTCTCTGCTCCCAACAGCTCAGGGAGACTTTGACCTGGCGGACGCCCTGGATGACCCAGGTAAGTGCCCATGTTTTCAGTGGGGCTTGGCCTGGTCCCCGCTGGGCCAGGGCTCTGGGGTCAGCTGGGAATCCCTGGGGGCTGAGGTCTGCTTTCTCTCCAGGGAGGCCAGCCTCCTCGGGAGACCCACAGATGCCCTTCTAGAAGCCTGTCTGCAGAGGTCCACTTTGGCCATCGGTTCCTACCCTTGTCTCTCTAGGTCTGAGCCTGTGGTCCAGGGGTACGCAGGGGACTTTGGTGAGGCACTGGACTCCTGAGCCCCGTCCCCAGCTTAGAAGAGGAAAAATTTATTTGGGGCTCATGGTGTCCGAGGTCCAGTCCCTGGTGGCCGACTCCATGGCTCTGGCCCAAGGGGAGCAGAACAAGATGGCGGCAGGGCCTGGAGGAGGAGAGCAGCTCAGGACAGGGCACCAGGGAGCAGAGAGCTCTGCTCACCAGGGACAGGACAGAGACCCCAAAGGCACAGCCCAGGGACCCCTTCCTCCAGCCACACCCACCTGCTGCAGTCACCACCCAGTGAGTCCATCCAAGTGGATTAATCCACTTATTAAGCTACAGCTCTCATAACTCTATCATTACACCGCTGAAACACAGGAGATTTGGGGGGTCACCTCCACCTAAACCATAGCGTCCACACAGACAGGAAGTAGATTATGGGGGGCTCTGGGAAGGAGGACAGGTCATGCTGCCCCCCGGTTCCCGTTCTCCGGCCACTTCCTACCAAGGGAATGCCAGACAGCTTTTCAGACAGAACTTCCAGTAGACACTCGGGTCCTTGGAAGGACTCTGGCCGTTGGACACCCGGGATGTGTGTCCAATCTTCTCTGCTCTGTGAAGACTCCAACCCCCTGCTGCCCCCGCACGCCCACCTGCGCCCACACCTAAGTCACAGAGCAAGGTTGCACCTTGAGCACTCCCCACCTGATACCCGCATCCATGAATTCTGACCACCCAAGGCTCCGGATGTTCCCATGTGCACCGTGGGGTGATCTGGGTGCCCAGAGGGACCGGCACCTCTTCTGGTACTAGTGGGCACCCAGCTGATGTTTGCCGCGTGAATCAATGAGTGGGTCAGAGGAGTGAGGAGACGCACCGTTTCGAAAGCTGAAAATATCTCTTGACTTGCTTTTCCCCATCCTACCAAGGGTGGCTTTATCTAAGCTTCACAGATGCAAAAACCTGCCGTCCCAAGGCCCGTGGCTCCCGTCCTGGGTGTTGTCGTCCCTGCTGGCCATCTGTGGGCACCTACACAGCCCCTGGGCAGCTGGTGGACAGCCAGCCATTCCTTATAGCTTTGCAGTTTCTCTTCATGGTTTCTTTTGAACGAGGACGTGGACGCCCTTTCTCCGAGCAGCCGATACATCTTGGAGGCTCACTGAATCTGTCTTCTCTCTTTGTTCGCAGAACCTACCCCGAAGCCAAGCTCAGGTGAGTGGCCGTTCCGGGCATCACGGGGGGCCGCACCCTGGGCTGGAGGCTTTGGCAGCGATGGGTGTGGACGCTTTGTAGGACTGTTGTAGGGTGTCGGGGGGGAGGGACGGGGGGCCGGTCAGTGGACGTTACAAGCACATGCTGGTCACCGGGCAAATGCAAATCAAAGAAGCCACCGTGAGAAGGTCCATCGTATTCACTAGGAGGGTTAGGCTTTTAGAAATAGATAATATCAGGTTTTGATAACACAGCAAGCCGTGTTTGTAGAAGCACGATTCGGTAAAGCCAAAAGGTGGGCATGGGGTCCATCAAACGATGAATGGATGCACACGATGTGGTCCGTCCACGCTGTGGAATATGACTAGGCCATGAAAAAGGAACAAGGCGGCCCATGTACCCTGGAATATTACCGAGCCATGAAAAGGGATGAAGCCCCGACACCAGCTACAACATGAACATCAGCCTCTCGGTGACAAAGGCCAGACCCCAAAGGGCACAGAGCCCAGGATCCTGTTTATATAAAGTGGCCAGAACCGAGAAATCCAAAGAGATGGGAAGTGGGTGACTGGTGGCCAGGGGCCGGCCCAGGGGCTCACACCTGTCATCCCAGCGGCTCAGGAGGCTGAGGCAGGAGGATGGCGAGTTCAAAGCCAGCCTCAGCCAAAGCGAGGCCCTAAGCAGCTCAGGGAGACCCTGTCTCTCAATAAAATGCAAAACAGGGCTGGGGGCGGGGCTCAGGGGTCGAGTGTCCCTGGGTTCAGTCCCTGGTGCCGCCCACCCAACCCTCCAAAAAAGGGTCACCATTGCCCGCCATGCAGTTCCTGAGCCGACAACTGGGGGCGGTAGTGAGCTGCTCAGGTCGGTCTCAATGACAACTCGCGGATGCATCGCGTTCTGTTTGGCGCGCTTTGGGGACCCAGGGCTGGTTCCCGCCCTGGGGGTAGTGCGTGTCCTGGTCCATCCAGCTCCTGGGCAGCTCAGAGTGCCAGTCAAAAGGACGATGCCAAATAATCCTGGGGGCCGCTGTGTAACTCAGCCAGCGACAGTTGGGGACACCTGCCTTGGGTCCCAGAGGGCGTATTTCGAGGACCAAAATGATGTAGGGGACTGACCAAGGAGACCTTTAGGAAAATGGCCATGCGTGGGTTTAGGGTGATGTGAGGCATGGAGGGGCCCCAGGCTTGCGATAAGTGACAGGTGTCCATGTGGAGTTGGTCACCGTTGAAATGCAGAGGGACCCGGGTGCGGGGCGCACGCCTGTCCTTCAAGCCACTGGGGAGGCCGAGGCAGGAGGATGGCGAATTCAGAGCCAGCCTCAGCCACTTAGTGAGGCCGTAAGCAGCTCAGGGAGACTCAGGAAGGGGCTGGTCAGGTAGGAGCAGGTGGGTACCGAGGGCCAGGGATGGGGTCCCCCAGGAGCGTTTCACAGAGTCTACATCCACTATGAGTCTACACCTCTGTAAGGTGGTCATGTCACCTCTGAACTTTCCTGCTTGGTCTCACCCATGACCTTTGGGGACGCCACCTATCTAGACGGTAGCAGGACGTGCACAACAACTGTATAAAGAAATATGGAAACAGAGGGCGAGTGTCACCCGAACTTGGAGCCCGGGACAGGGCGCCCTAAACAGGACTCGGTGGCTCTTGGGCGGGGCTACTTGGATGGACTCACTGGGTGGTGACTGCAGCAGGTGGGGTGCGGCTGGAGGAGGGGGACCCTGGGCTGAGCTCCATCTCAGAAGCACAAAAAAATAAAAATTAAAATTAAATAAATTCACGGAGGAGAGAGAAGGAGAGCCGTGTGGACACCCGGGAAGGGACTTTGAGTGGACTGTGTCTGGGGACTTGGGAACCGTCCCCGTCGCATAGAAAACAGGGCAAGAGACCAGGAAGCAGGGTCAGGGCCGGGCAATGGGCTGGTCCTGAGTTGCTTAGAGCCTCGCTAAATTGCTGAGGCTGGCCTCCAACGTGCCATCCTCCTGCCTCAGCCTCCTGTGCCGCTGGGAAGACAGACGTGGGCCTTGGCACCCAGCCTGAGGTGAGTGTCCTGCAGAAGGGTCATAGAAGGATTTGGGGGGTCTTCTAAGCCTGCACCCTTGTTCCCACAGATATCTACCCCAAGCCCAGGCCCCCTCACGGCCCCCAGCCTGCAAACCCGGACAGCGGAGGCAGTAAGTTCCCTTGAGCCAGCCTCGGCCCCAGGAGGCTCCCAACCCAGGAGCTTGGGGAAGACAAAATTCAAGGGACACTTTTTGTTCTTGTCCCTGACACTGAACGGGAGGGACCGCGGGTCCTTTCCCTAACACCCGGGGCCGGTTCTTCTTCTTCCCAGCTCTGGCCACTTGCCCCGGGGCTTTCCCTGCGCAGGACCTGTCAGAGCCACGGGGTCTGGACGCTGGCCCTTCCCCTCCCCGAGTGACTCACCAACCCGAGGGCCTGGCCGAGGTCCCAGCTCGGGCGGGGCCCTGTGTGACTCAGAGCTGGATGTTCCCATTCCTGCCTCCGCGCGCAGGAAGGCGGCTCCCTGGCTCCGGTTCCGGGGTTTGAATGTAGCGTGCAGAGCTGGACGGTTAATTTGCAGCCCCCCGTGGCCGGTATCCAAGAGGGTGTGTCCAGAGCATCCCCAATGTAGGCAGTGCTGCCTGCAATGTCACTCCAGTGGTGACTGACAATCCAGAGGTCCTTTACCCCAGAGCCACAGAGGCATCAGGCAGACAGATTCCCGCCGAAAGAACACCCCATGCAAAGGTCCTGGGGCTGGCAGCTGGTGGCGTGCAAAGGTCCTGGGGTGGGCACGCTTTCCCTGAAATCCCCGCGCTCTCTTCCTGCAGATACCTACCCAAGGCCGAAACCCCAACCTCGCCCACAGCCTGGGAGCTCGGATAACAGCGGAGGAGGTAAGGACCTTGAGTCCCGTTCCGATTCCGGAGGCGGCTGATCCGGGAGCACTTGAAACTCCATACGCAGCTCCTCGGTGAATTCCCCTCTGGAACAGTTTCACAGCGGGCTACATGGGTTGCTGGCCAGCGCCCGGGGATTGCATGACATATAGGTCCGTCTGGCTTTGCCCGTGTCACGTGGTGACATATAGTGGCTTTATGGTGAGGGAGGTCATTTTGGACCTGAAAGAGGAGGAGGTTCTTGGGCCGTGGGGAGCAGGGGCTGAGGCTGGAGACCCCTCCAGGGCCGAGGTGAGGGTCAGGGGGCTGCATTGGCCATTGGAGGCCCCGCCAACCAGGGGCGGGAGGAGATAGGGTGGTGCCTGGGCAGGGAAGGGGCACAGCATCCTGATGGGGAGACTCTGAGCAGGACGTGCCCCAGGACCCTTGCACGGGCCCTCCCAGGTGACAGCAAGGCAGGCCCCTCTGTTTGCAGAGCGCAGTTCCTGAAGGCTGGTGGCCAGTGTCCCCGTCTGCCCACAGGACACCCAGCCGACGTGTCTGTGGGGTCCCTGGGTGTCCTGGAAAGAGCTGCTGCAGGCACAGGGCTTGTCCCCGACAAAGGCTCCCGACCTGTGGGTCCGGCAGGGGTGTGTGGGCGGGACGTGAGCCTCACACTGTGCCTCTGCCCCACAGGGTACCATCACAACGACGATGATGGACGCTACCCGCCCAGGCCCAGGCCGCCCGCAGGTACGGAGGTGCAGAGCTGCTTTGAGCCTCAGGTGTGTCCAGAGAGGGTGGGTGTGGACAGACCCCATGAGGACGGAGGTCACACCTGCAGGACACAAACAGGGTCTGTGCATCCCTGCGTCGGGGGCTTGTGCACCGACCCACCTCTCAAGACCTGTGCTCACTCAGGGCACCAAGGTGCATCCCTGGGACTCGGGAGGCTGAGGCAGGAGGACCGCAAGTTGGAGGCCAGCCTCGGCAACTTAGCAAAGCTCTAAGAGACTCAGCGAGACCCGGTCTCAAAACAAAAACTCAAAAAGGCCGTGGGTGTGGCTCAGAGGTTAAGCTCCCCTGGGGGCAATGCCCAGGAAGGAAGGAAAAGAAAATCATGGTCATTTTCAGGTAAAATGACCTACCTGTGGCTATACAGAAGGGGGTTAATATATGCCTGTCTGTATAGACCTTCATGTGTATACAAATGGATAGAACTTTGTGCATATGGACCATCTTTCTATATAGGTCTGTGAATCTTTCTGCATTCAGCATGTGCAGAGCTGCCCCTAAACACACATATATCGTGTCTGTGTGTACATTTTATGTGTCTATTATATGTTCATGCATATTTACATCATATTTGCATATAATATCCATATGCAAATATATGCCTGATATTTGTACATATTATTTATATGTAAATATATGCATGATATTTGCATATAATGTTTATATGTAAATATATGCGTGGTATTTACATATATTTATATGCACATATATGTATGATATTTATATGCAAATATGTGCATTATATTTGCATAGACATTCATACATATATATGTGTGGTATTTACATATGATAATTATATGCAAATGTATGCCTGTCTGACCCTGCAGGTACCTTTTTATGTGCATTTGCATGAATGTCTGTATGGCCCTATACAAAGCATGTCTACCCTCAGGTATGCACCTTTATAACACGTATGCACACATTTATATGTTTGTACCCTTTAATGTCACATGCTTATATCTCTTGATGTGACTTTAGGTATCCACAGATATCTTTATGCAAAGATCTACATTTTTTCCACGTGTGTACCCACATATGCGTATATCTAAAGAGGTATGAAGACATTACATATATATAGGATTCTTTTTTTGTACTAGGGATGGAATCCCTAAGGGACAATGTATTGCCACACCCCCAGCCCCTTTCTACATTTTATTTAGAGACAGGGTCTCCTTCAGTTGCTGAGGGCCTCGCTAAATGGCTGAGGCTGGCTTTGAACTCACCAGCCTCCTGCCTCAGCCTTCTGAGCCGCGGGCATGACAGGCGGGTGCCACCGCGCCTGGCCAGAAATAGATCTTTCTGTAGGTCTCTATGTGAACTTCTAATGCAAATTCTCTGCGTTTGGAAGGGGACGGTCCACACAGAACCATGCACCAATAATAATAATAATAATAATAATAATAATAATGAGAGCGTTCACGATCGGGATCCTCGGAGGGGCTGTGCTTCCGAAGCGGGTCATTCTGGCCTGGGGCTGCCGGTCCCTCGGAAGTCTCTCTGCAGTAGCAGCATGCACCCATAGTGATTTCAATGTGGCAGATCCGGTCGTGTGAAGCCAAGGAGTCTCCACAGCTGGTCCTGGCGTGAGATTTATCACGTGGACGACGTCACTTTGGCGGGATCACCTTGGCCATCCTACCCGTCGGTCACCACTGCCCGTGAGACAGGCTCGGCCTGCTGGCCCTAAGTCCCTCCTTCTCTGTCTGACAGGAGGAGGTGGCAGCGGTGGATATAGCGGTGGATCTGGTGGCTACGGACACACAGACGGTGCGTCCCGTGGGCTCTGGGTGGCTCTGGGCATTGGGGACCCAGGTGCTGGAATTTCTGGTTCCCCTTGGGTTCCGCCTGGGCCTGGTATCTGGGGTCCTCTGTCAGCTGGGCCGCCTTGGCTGGGGTCAGGGACTCTAAGCATGTGTCTGTGCTGGGAGGACCCCGTCTGTCCCCCGGGAGCCCAGGCTCTGCACCCACAGCTCTGTTTAATGGGGAGCGAGCGAGACTCTGATGCAGCACCACCCGAAGGAGCCCACGCGGTGACATGGGAATTCCTTGGGTGGTTGGCCTCCAACTCGTGATCCTCCTGCCTCAGCCTCCCGAGCCGCTGGGATGACAGGCGTGCACCTGGCCCGAGCTTGGCTCTTGTAACTCTGGTCCCACGAGACGGGGAAGCTTGGGGCGTGAGAGAGACGCGGTATTTGGGACGACCGCGAAGTCTGCAGTTGGAGCTCTGCTTGCTAACGTCACTCTCCACCCAATAGAAGGCCCAAAGCAGACTTCATATGTCAATAGCCTGTGGCATTTCACTAATGCAAAGGTGGGCCGTGTTATCAGTGGACGTTGGCACAACCCTGCAGGCTCCTCCCAAGGCCTCTCTCTCCCCTGGGCTGGCAGCCGCCGTCTTCTCCCTGTGTCCTCCAGGGCCGTCCCTCTGTGTGCGTCTGTGTCCTCATCTCCTCCTCTACGAGGACCCCAGTCCTGCTGGGTCAGGGCCACCCTGGGGACCTCAGTGCACCTCCATCCCCTCTGCAAAGACCCGTCTCCACCCACAGCACGTCCCAAGGTCCTCGGGCCAGGGCTGCATCATAAAATTTATGCTGGGACCTGGTGTGGGAACAGGGTCTCTGCAGAGGTCGTTAGTGAAGGGTCCCGAGATGGGCTCCTCCTGGGTCAGGGGGCCCTCATGCCATGGCCGTGTCCTCCCCAGAGACAGAGGAGGGGACACAGACCCAGAGGAGGAGCCCCGTGGAGACGGAGGCAGAGACTGCAGTGAGGGGCCACCCGCCCAGGGCCACCTGGAGCCCAGGAGCTGGAGAGGCAGCAGGAGCCCCCTGGAGCTCTGGACGGAGCTCAGCCTCGGACCCTGGTCCAGCCTCCGCCCTCGGGGCTGCAGGAGCCGTGAGCTCTGGCGCTGTCCTGCCCGTGTGTGTCCTAACCTGGCCGGGAGCCTTGGGGACTGGCCCTGTGTCTGGTCCAGTGGTCTTTGGAGCCTCACAGGGAACAGGCCCGGGAGCCGCCTGGACGGGGCCTCCGCTGCTGCTGGCTTACCGGGGTCCTGGCTGGGTCACTCCTCACCGCTGGGCGGGGCTGCCTGTGTCCTCCGGAAGAGGGAGAGGGTCTCAGGCCCTGGAGGTCCCGGGTGCCCGGGAGCCAGTCCCTGGGGGGCTTGGGCAGGGCTGGGCTCCGGTGTGGGGCCTGCGCCCTGCGGGTCCCCGGGTCCAGTCCGCGTCTCAAGGGTCTTTCTGTCCTGCAGGCAGAGGGGGTTACAGACCCAAACCTCGTTATGGAAATCCCTATGGTAAAGGAAGGGACGCGCTGGGCGACGCTGTCCTCGCGCCCCACTAACCCTCGGCCTGGCGTGGGAGGGGGCCCGCCTGTCCCCCCGCGGGGCCACTAACACACCCAGGTCTGCGATCCCTGTGCTCACGCACCTCGATGCTCGGGAGCTGTTTTGCACGCGGCCTTAACATCTTGAGGGGAGCTGCGGCCCTCGGGTGCACGTGTGTGGGCACCTGTGAGCACGCTTTGCGCTCACACGCGTGTGTTTGGGCACGCGCACGTGCTCGTGCAGAATGTGCATGATTGCGTGCGTGCACGCAGGTGCGTGTGCATGCACTGTGTTCTAGTGCTCGGTGTGCACGTGAATTGCACACGTGTGTTCTTGCGTACGCGTGTGTGTTTGACCGTGGAGCTGAGGGGTGCGCACGTGTGCAGTCGTCTGTACTATGGCGCGTGCGTGTAGGTGTGTGAGCGCGCGTGCCTGCGTGTGTTTTCTGTGCACACGGAGGTGTGTGGATCCACACGTCTGCACACGCTTGACCGAGTGTGTCAGTGCTGTTCTGCCCTCGGAGGTGCAGCGGGCACGGATGTGTGCGCCTGTGTGTGGACGGGCACACGCGTTGCTGTGTGTCTGCGTGTGCCACGTGCCATGGTGGGTGTGCGGGCACACTGGTGTAGCTCGCTGCGTGTGTGTGCCTGCGCTGTGTGTCGCACACCCGAGCGCCCCTGCCCCCCCCCCCCCCCCGAAGTCCCTGCGCCTGCCCTCGGCAGGGCCACCTCCTCCCGTGGCCGCTGCGCTCCGCTTCCGATCGCGATGCAAACCCTCCGCAGCCCCGCGCCTGCGCCCTGAGCCTCTCAGACGTGCGCGGGCGGAGCTGAGCACGTGACCGTGTCCTGTTCTGTTTGCAGGTGGAGACGGACAGTCCACCTATGGCAACCCACAAGGTGAGCCCGCCACGTCTCATCGGACCCGGGTGGGCGGGTGCGGTATAGACAGGCGCTGCGCCCACCCCGGTGGCCGTCCCCTCGTCCCCCCCGACTGCACTTTTCACGTGTCCTGTCCACAGGCTGCGCCACCCACGGGCATTCACAGGGAGCAGCCGTGGGGACAGCCGGGGGCTGAGGCGCCTTACAGCCCGGGCTTGGCCTGAGGGTCCTCATGGCGCCTGTGCAGGGGACACTCACTCAGCCCCCGGGACAGACAGCAGCGGGCTGGGGGGGGGTGTCGTTCTGCTCAGCTAAGCCCTCAAATGCGCCATCGGCCATCTCAGGGCAAAGGACAGAGGACGCTGCGCTCAAAAGGCCAACTAGCAGGGGGACAGGGTCCCCGCCCTCCCAGGGACCTGGTTCCAACCCGCTTGAGCGCAGACGGAGGATGATCGCCACGGTGCTCCCAACCCCGAGGCTGTCCTGTCCACTACGGGAGAGGACAGCGGGACCGGGCATGCCCAGCGGTCACGGCGTCGGCGTGGCCATATCTTAGGTGGACTGGGAAGCAGGTGCCCGGGTTTGGCATCTCAGGAGAACCCCTTGATTCCTTATCATAGCCCCCCGTCTCGGCCATCTCTGTCCCCTGACCCTGGGAATCGGGTGTGGAGTTCTGGGTGAGGACACCTCGTGTCCCTCTAAATCACAGAGAGCCAAGCACGGCAGAGAAGGCCCTGCAGCCCAGGCTGACTCGTTCCCTTGGTGGCCAGCAGGGCAGGGCGCCCGAGAGAGAGAGGAGAGAGAGAGAGAGAGAGAGAGAGAGAGAGAGAGAGAAGCCACACCCGGCTGAGACCAGCCCAGCCTCCCTTCTGCCAAAGCCCAGCCTCGGGGAGGCCCACCCAGAGCCCGCCCCCAGAGGAGGAATGCAGCCCAGCCGCCCTGCACAGGGGTGTGGACCTGGGCAGGGGAAGGAGGGAGGCCGGTCCCCCTGGGGAGGCCTGAGAGGCAAGGTAAACAGATTGCGAGGTGACAGTCTTCCCGCCAACATGGTGGCCTCGTCACGGGACATCCATGTCCATCACCTCCCGCACCCAGACCTGGGCTGGGCGGCTGGAGCCTGTCTGCAGGGACATCGCTGGTGACTCCAAATGCAAACTAAGCTTCCTCTTCTTCTCATTGATCGATGTGTTGATCAATCAATCGATCAATCAATCAATATATGTACCTACCTACCGATCTACACAGTGATAAGTGTAGATAAATATAAATAGTGACATAGTGACATATACGCACCTTTCCTCTTCCTGTATACACATACATACATATGGCTGTGTATGTATACAGAGGTCCCCAACCTCGGTTCTTTGTGCGTGGACACTTTGTAGGAAGGGAGGACGTCTGTATTTGGAGGGTGTTTGTGTTTCAGGGCACCAGAGAATCATCCTGGTTTTGGAAACAACTCTTAGCAGGAATGTTCTAGTTTAAAAAAAAAAACAAAAAACTATACACACAGCCGGGCACCGAGGTGCACGCCTGCCATCCCAGCAGCTCGGGAGGCTGAGGCAGGAGGATGGCGAGTTCAAAGCCAGCCTCTGCCAAAGCGAGGCCCTAAGCAGCTCAGGGAGACCCTGTCTCTCAATAAAATGCAAAATAGGGCTGGGGACCGGGCTCAGGGGTCGAGTGTCCCTGAGTTCAATCCCTGGTACCCAAAATAAAAAAATAAAATAAAACCCTATATACACACACACATGCACACTTATAGATGCACACATAAGTACGTATGTAAATGCATTTAATAGTTATGTTTGTATACGTGCAGACACATCCATCCATGTGTGTGTCTATGCATGTATGGGAGTAATTATAGATATAATACATAACGATACATTATATATATTATATCATATAATTATTATATGGTATACATAATCACATATACATCACATATCTGATATGATAATGAAATATACATCTCAGATACTATATATATATAATATATTGTATATATGTATAATACACATCTCATATAATTATGATATATAATTATCTACATAATTATGTATACTTGATATATTTTACATATTATTTAATATAATTATGTGATTGTTATATATTATACAATCACATTTTATATGTTGCATATTACAATAGGATATATATCGTATGTGATTATATAAGCTATATAATCACGTGTATTGTATGACATACATTATTTATGCAGAATGCACATTATGTATATTGCATATTAGATTTTACATGGTCAATTATCACATGTCACACACATAATTCACATATAATTAATTAAATGCTTCTGTTATGCGCCACTTTTCTGCCCTGTCCCTCCATGTCTGTGGGTTCTACGGCCTCAGATTGAGCCCACCAAGCACGGATTGAAAATTGTCCTTTAGCTGGGTCATCAGCTTCCAGCCACCCTAAGTCACCTAGAGGTGGTTTCAAGTGCCCCGGAGGACAGGGGTCCGTTCTGAGCATGCGGGGCTTCGGCAGCCCCGACAGCGTGCTGAGGCACAGCCCTGCGGCTGAACCGGAGCCTGTCCATCAAGGGCTGCAGACCCCGGAGCGGACCGTGCAGAGCGCGGCCCTGGGTGTCTGTCCCCCGAAGGACGCGGTTCACCAGGCGGCTCCCGGCCAGCGTCCAGGCGCCTTTCCAGGCCCTTCTCCGACCTGCCCTTTTTAGCCGCAATCTGCTCACCAATTTTTTGTCTCAGGCAGACTTTCTTTGTCCACCCTGCAGGCAACACGGTGGCCAGAATCGTGTCCCCGATCGTGTCTGTGGTGGTGGTGGCCTTGGTGGGGGCCGGGGTCAGCTACTTCAAGTCCAACCAGAGGAGAAATTGTTTTCGGGCCAGTGGTAAGTTCCTTCTCTTGTCCCTCTCGTAGTACCGGCTGCTTTAAGCCAGCCAGCAAATGCTTCCTGGTGGCTGCTTTTTACAAACTGCAGGGGCTTAGCCCCTGGGGACCGAGGGAGCCATAGACACTCTCCAACGACAGAACCCAGAACCGGGGGTGGGCCGCTGATGGCGAAGGTCCAGTCACATTTTTCACTGGCGTCTCTGGGGTCTGGATGGGAGACCACCCACGTGGAAGTCTGCCCGGGCCTCCGCGGGCGGCCTCCCTCCGGGAGTTTGTGAGGGTCTCCGAAACCTGGCCTCGCGCGCCCTCTGCTGGCCGAGACGCGGTACTGACAGTCCCTGAGCCACTCAGGGAGCCCCTGTCTCTCAATAAAACACAAAATAGGGCTGGGGACAGGGGGTCTGAGTGCCCTTGGGTTCAGTCCCCCCTGGTACTAGGAAAAAAGAAGAAAATTACCCTCCGCACTTCGGATCTGATGAGGCCGCATTAAAATAAAAAAAAAAAAAGAGGCTCACACAAATATTAGTTTTAACTCAAAAAGCTTTCGCTGAAATCCCCCGAAATGCATTAGGGATGATGGATGCAGCTTCACCCCCGGCCCCGACCTGAGACGTCTTCCTTTGGCCCCTTCCCTTCCAGATCCAGAGACGGTGTGAAGGGGGCCAGATCCTCCCGAGGTCCCCAGAAGGACCCGAGGACACCGGGGACCGTCCCGCGGAAAGGCTCCTTTTATATTTCAGTGCATTCCCACCTGTGGAAGGAGGCCAGCTGCCTCCAGAAGGATTCTCTACCTGTGGCCTCCACCCGGCAGCTCCTGCCTTCACGGGGCGGGGGGGGCCTCCACGGAGGCTGAGCCCGGCTGCGGAGGCCAGGGAGCAGATGGGTCTCGGGGACCGAGGCTGCGGCCGTAATTACTGGACACTGCCCCTTCGCCCCCTGCAAGGGGCAGGAGGGATTCCCAGGGCTCTCGTCCCCTCTCCAGTCCCCTCCAAATGGAATTTGAGGTTTTAAAATGTAAACTCACGGATGTTAAAATCACCTCGTGGAAATGGGTCTTGCAAGCAAGACTTTTTTCTAGAAAATTCTTTTTTCCTTTTTTGTACTGGGAATGCAATCCAGGGAGGCTTTACCACTGAGCTTTGTTGCCAGCCTTTTTTTCAAAAAAAAATTTAAAATTTTGAGACAGAGTCTCGATAAGTTGCTTAGGGCCTCACTGAGCTGCGGAGGCTGGCCTCCAACTTGCCATCCTCCTGCCTCAGCCTCCGCCCTTGGTTTATACCTTTGTCTATTCACGGAGGGGAAACCTCCTAGATCCTTCAACATCTAAAGAGTGTCTGAGCCTTTCGCTCTATTTTTAGGGACACTTTGAGGGACAGGGGAAAAAATATGCCATACAGATCCAGTTTGATTCAGGAGTGGTTTGTAATGACGTAAGTTTTTACACTTTGACCCAAATATCAGAACCAAAGATTCTGGAAGTAATGACAGGCTGGAACTCGTACATAAGACCCCCCCCCCTCAAGTCCGCAACACGGACACTTTGGGTTCACCTTGTCATCCGGTCTCCAGAGAGATGAGTGAAATAGCCTCGATTTGAAAAAGGACACAAAACTTGCAATCCTGGTGGCTCGGAATCAGGTTCCTCATTTTTTCTTTTTTGGTACCAGGGATGGAACTCAGGGACACCCGACCCCTGAGCCCCATCCCCAGCCCTATTTTGCATTTGATTGAGAGACAGGGTCTCCCTGAGTTGCTTAGGGCCTCCTTTGGCGGAGGCTGACTTTGAACTCGCCATCCTCCTGCCTCAGCCTCCCCAACAGCTGGGATGACAGGCGTGAGCCACCCAAGAGTCTCAGGGAGACCCTGTCTCTAAATAAAATACAAAATAGGGCTGGGGACGGGCCTCAGGGGTCAAGAGCCCCTGAGTTCAATCCCTGGTACCAAAACAAAAAAACACACTGAGATTCCTACCCGCACACTGAGGTAGAATCTAAACATTTTTGATGGACAGCTGCCCATTTCCATGACTGTCCTAAACCACTTTTAATTCCTTCACATAAGAGTGGGCGCTGGGGGTAGCCCAGGGACAGGGCGGGCACTTTGCAGGCTCCGGGCCCTGAGTGTGAACCTCAGCATGTCCTCCAACTCTCCAATCGACAAATAAATAAATACAAAAGGAAACTCTTGGCTTTGACTGTTGCCCTGTATTAAGTTTCACCTTAAGGAGTCCCTTTCTGGGTTGACTTAGGAACATATAAAATAGGGTCAGACCGTGACAAGATCAAACCCCGCCCCAGGACAAGAGGGTGAAGATATTGGGATATATGTTAGATCTCCGTTACTGTGACAAAACACCCGAGGTAAGTCAACTTATCACAAGGATTTCTTTGCGACTCACTGTTTCAGGGGTTCAATCCGGGGTTGGGGGGTTTGAGTGACCTTTTTCATCACTGTCACCAAAAGACGTGAAAAAAAACAGCTTAGAGGAGGAAGAGTTTATCTGAGGCTCATGGTCTCCGAGGGTCAGTCCATGGCTGGCCGACTCCACGGCTCTGGCCCAAGGGGAGGCAGAACAAAACGGCGGAAGGGCCTGGAGGAGAGCAGCTCAGGACGGGGCCCCAGGGAGCAGAGAGGGAGGAGGAGGAGGAGGAGGAGGAGGAGGAGGAGGACAAGGAGGTTTCTTGAAGCTGTGCAAACTTTTATAAGTTCCACAACTTCTCTGAGCCTTAATTACCCCATTAAAAAAAAAAAGATAAATAAACACGTTGGGAATTTCTTAGAAATGGCTGGAAACTCTACACCATGAAATCAAAACCGCAGAGGAAAACTATGGCTCTGGAGAGTAGAGAATCCAAGCTGTTTGGCCCAGTATTTCCTTCTCAATAGTTTTAAATCCGCTGAACTTGACCAATGGGGCCCCGTTCCTGGGCTCACAGAAGAACTACATTTCCCAGAATCCCTTGCAGTCAGGCATGACCATGTGACTCGGTCTGGCCAATGGCAAGTCGCCTCCGTTTTTTTGAAGCCTAAAACTCTTATAAAATCCTAAAAATCGTGTAAAGATTTCTAAAAACATGATACTAAACACAATAAAAATTATTAAAATGATAACATTTTAAAATCATTTCTAAATTATTAAGATCATATACTTGAAGGATCATTTTAAATTATTAAAATACTTTTTTTTTTTTTTTTACTGGTGTATATTAATTAAGCAGAACAGCGTGTTTCACTGTGGGCTACGCATATAACATAATTTGCTTAAAATTACAGCCCAGTTCTTCCCCATTTCTTCCCTTTCCTCCTCTTCCTGCAAATGTCATTCTTCGTGGCTGAGTAATATTCCGTTATGTATCACATTTTCTTTATCCGTTCATCCACTGATGGATCCCCAGGCTGGCTCCGTAGTTTGGCTGCTGTGAACTGTGCTGCTCTGAACCTGGGTGTGCGTGGATCATTGCCGTGAGATGACTTTCATGCTTCAGGATCGATGACGCTGGGTCATCTGTTGGTCCCATGCCTGGCCTTTTGAGGAATCCCCCTACCGAGTTGCGTAGTGGTTGTTGGAATTTACAGCCCCCACCAACGTTGAAAGTGTTCTTTTCTCCCCCCACACTCTCCGCCCTTCATTATCATAGATATTCTTGACGAGCACCATTCTGACCCGCGTGAGATGAGGTTTTTCAGCCTAGATTTAATTTGCATTTCCACCACTCTTTTCCCTACATTCATGGGCAGCCTGCGGTCTCTCTGAGCTTGTCAATCAGAGAACACACCGGGTACCCCCGGTGAACCGGATCTTCCTTTTTTGAAAAACGTTTTTATCATCGAAATACCCCAATACTAGTCAAAGCACGCTGTATTCTGCTTGTTTGCAGAGATAAACCTTTTACATGCTGAAGACCAATCCAGGTCACGATTTTGCCCAGGCAAACAGCAAGAAAAAAAAAGTTCAGGGTGTGATTGCCCGCACCTGACATCCCAGCGGCTGTGGAGGCTGAGGCAGGAGGATCGTGAGTTCAAAGCCAGCCTCAGCCAAAGTGAGGCCCTAAGCAACTCAGGGAGACCCTGTCTCTCAATCAAATGCAAAATAGGGCTGGGGACGGGGCTCAGGGGGGTTTAATCCTCAGGAAAAAAAATATTTTAAAGATCAACAATTGCTAAGGAACAACTTTTATCGACATATGAACGATTGATACCAAGTGGCGACTCTGACACACAGAAATTTGCATATTTGTCACAAACACTTCCTCTCCTTTTTTTTCTCTTTTCTTCCGGGTGGCAAACTCATGGTGTCAATCAAATAGGTTGTCCCTTTTTTTAAAAATGGCTTTTCAATTTGTCATCTGTCTTCTCAGCTTGCATTTGATGTTAGATCAGGGTCCCCTGGATTCTCCAGTGATGTCACCCTCTCCGCCGTGAGGACATCTTGAGGACATGTCTCCAGGGGCTCCCTGGGAAAGCGCCCGCTCAGTGTGGCCGTTGGCCAGCGCCTTCTCTTGGGAACCCTCTCTCCCTGGTCTAAACGCGCACCTGCCCTTTCACCCGGGAGCGAGGGGGCTGCCTGTCCCCTGCTGACTGGGCACAGTGTCATTTCGAAAGAGGCTTTTGCTCTGCTTGGAGAGGAAACCCAAGAGTGACTGTGGGACCCAAGAGTGACTGTGGGGCAGGGGACGGCAGCACATGGACAGAAGCTTGTGTTGCAGACCCAGCGCCTCCAACCTCTGTCCCGTTTCCCGCCTTCTGTTTCCCTCCCGGGCTGACCTTCAGTGAGATGGACACATCCAGCTTCCATGTTCCCAGCAAAGACACCTGAAGACAAAGTCCAAGGAGCTCTGGGGGGTCGCAGGTGAGTGGAGAGATGGGCTGTGTCCCCCAGGCCTGGCAGAGGGATCCAGCCAGGTGGCCTCCCACCCAGAGGGCTCTCCAGCCTCTGGACACTGTTTCCGCACAGCCCGGAGTATGGCTGGTGTAGTGTCACCTCTAGGGCCATTGGCCATGTCTGGAGAAGGTTCTGGATCTGACTGTTGGGGAGGGGCCGCTGTTCCTAGTGTCTGGAGCCCAGAGAGGCTGCTCCACTCCGGGTGCATGCACAGGATTCAGGCCCCCACCTACCTGCACCCCTCCTCGGCCTGCCCACGAAGGGCCCTTCACCTGAACCATCAACCCGGTCCCCTCAGTAACCCGAGGCTTCAAGGACGCATTGTGAGGGGCCACCTGGCCCCGTGGGTCTCTGCCTGTCCCCCAACTGGATGCAATAAGGTGCTTGGTCCGGCTATGCGCTGTCCCTGGAGCCGGCCAGGCCCACTGGCCTACAGGAGGGCCAGCCTCTTGGGTCTTGTGACCCCGGGTTGAAATACACTGTCACTCAAGGGACCCTCCTGGGCCTCTGGATCCTTTCTCTAGCCCAGCTGCAGGCTCTGCAGGGGCTCCCACCTGCTGGGTGGGGGTGGGGGTGGACGCAAAAGGCCCAGGGGAGGCTGGTTTGCATCTGAGGGCATCCCGCACCCCACGGGGGCCAGGTGGGAAGTCACCTTTATATATTCTACTCACCGGCCCATCCACAGGCCACCTGCTCCTTCCCCCAGCTCACCTGGATGCTCACCTGCATCTGTCCATCCACCTCGTCCCTCACCTTCTCATTCACTCCTACTTCCTCCAACCCGCCTGCTCAGGCCGCATTCCTTCAGCGGAACCGCTCCTGAGCCCCTTCGTCCAGCTCGCCTGTCCAGGTGCGCATGCGCACACCCATCCGTCCATCCACCCATTCATTCATTCAACGCAGCAGCTCATTCATTCAGTGAAACCTACTCCAACACCCATTCGGATCACTTGTCCAGGTGCGCATGCGCTCATTCATTGATTCATTCATTCATTCACTCACCTGTTCATTCTGGCACTGACTCATTCATTCCACTCACCATCTACTTAGTCAACTTAGCTGCTCCTTCAGGCATTCATTCATCTGCTCCTTCACTCATTCATTCAGCTGAAACTGGTCGTGCATTCTTTCAACCCATCTGTTCACGCAACCGCGTGCTCATTCATTCATTCATTCATTCGACTCACCTGCTCCTTCACTCATCAGTGCACTCGTTCTTCATTCAATTCACCTCGTCCATCCATTCATTCATTCAAGTTATCTGCTCATCTATTCATGCATTCAGCTCATCTGCTCGCACGGAAGTCTCTCATGCACTCATTCATTCCGCAGAATCTGCTCGTGCATCTAGTCATTCCGCTTGTCTGTCCAAGTGTGCAGGCGCTCATGCCTTCATTCACCTGCCTGTTCATTCATTCATCCACTCAGAGGAATCTGGTCATGCTTTCACTCAATTCACCGGTTCATGCACAAACGCGCTCATTCATTCAACTCACCTGCTCACTCATTCATTCATTCACCTACCCGTTCACTCATTCATTTGTTCATCTGCTCATTCATTCACTCAGCAGGATCTGCTCGTGCATCTATTAATTCCACTAGTCTGTCCATGTGTGTAGCGCTCATGCATTCATTCCACCTGCCTGTTCATTCATTCATTCATTCATTCATTGGAATCTGCTCCTGTACCCATTCATTCAGCTCATCAGTTCATGGGCACACGTACTCATTCATTCATTCACCTGCTCACTCATTCGTTCCCCTACTCATTCATCCATTCCCCTGCTCACGCATTCATTCATTCCCCTGCTCATTCATCAGCGGAATCTGCTCACACAATTCATTTAGCGCAACAGTTCATGCGCGCACGTGCTCATTCATTCGTTCGACGCACCTGATCAGGCACGCATTCATTCATTCAAGGCCCCTGCTCATTCACTGTTTCATTCAACTCATCTGTTCATTCATGCATTCATTCGCTTATTCGATCAGCGGAATCGGCTCGTGCACCCATTCATTTTACTCATCTGTCCATATGTATAGGCGCTCACACATACAACCTGACTGTTCATTCAGTCACTCAGCGGAATCTGCTCGTGTACCCATTCTTTCAACTCATCTGTTCATGCGCACACATGCTCATTCCTTCGTTCATTTGCTCATTCATTCATTCACTTGCTCATTCATCCATTCACTTGCTCATTCATTCATTCACTTGCTCATTCATCCCTTCACGCGGTCATTCATCCATTCACGCGCTCATTCACCCATTCACGTGCTCATTCATTGGTTCACGCGCTCATTCGTCCATACACTTGCTCATTCGTTCATTCACACGCTCATTCATTCAATCACAGTCTCATTCATTCATTCACAGGCTCATTCATTCAGTCACGTGCTCATTCATTCATGCGCTCATTCATTCACGCCCTCATTCATTCAATCCCCTGCTCACGCATTCATTCATTCCCCTGCTCATTCATCAGCAGAATCTGCTCACACGATTCATTTAGCACAACAGTTCATGCGTGCACGTGCTCATTCATTCGTTCGACTCACCTGATCAGGCACACGTTCATTCATTCAAGGCCCCTGCTCATTCATTGTTTCATTCAACTCATCTGTTCATGCATTCATTCATTCGCTCATTCGTTCATCGGAATCTGCTTGTGCACCCATTCTTTCAACTCATCTGTTCATGCGCATACGTGCTCATTCCTTCCTTCACTTGCTCATTCATTCCTTCACTTGCTCATTCATTCATTCACCCACTCATTCATTCATTCACTTGCTCATTCATTTGCTACTCATTCATTCACGCGCTCACTCACTCATCCACGGGCTCACTCACTCATTCATTCATCATGTCATTCCCTCACTCAGCGGAATCTGCTCGCGCATCCATTCTCTCCACTCATCTGTTCATGCGCGCGTGCTCATTCCTTGGTCCACTCACCTGCTGAGGCACGCATTCATTCATCGGGGCCCCTGCTCATTCACTCTTCCTTCGACTCTCCGCTCCTGCACCGGCTCACTCAGCCCACCTGCTGATGCAGCCTTCTCCCAGGGCCTCCTTCATTCCCCAGCCCATCCGCTTAGGTCCGTGCACGTGCTGATCGGATTCATTCATCATCCTCCACTCATCCCCCAGACACCCACGCACTCCTCCCGCTCCTTCACGCATTCGGTTCATTCCTTGGTGCATGCACGCTCCCGAGCACTCGCTCATCCTGCCGGCCGGCGTTAACACGCGGATTGACACGCTCGGCTCATTCATCTGCACGCTCATCCACACACTCACTGCTCCCGCGCCCACTCGCTTTGCAGTCCGTTGGCTCACGCATGCGTCGTTCCTGCGTTCCATTGGCTCGCGCACGCACGCGGCCTACTCGGCGTGCGTTCATTCACACATCCACGCATGCACGCCCCGTATCCATTCACTCATGCCCGCATTTATTCCTGCACCAAGGCGTGAGTCTGCTCACTCCGTCCTGCACGCACGAACTCAATCGGCCCTTCGCTCCCCCACGCACGCACGCAGCTCTTTCGCTCATTGGCGTAGCAGGTCTTTCACGCACGCATCCGTTCACGCTGTCAATCATTGGCGCCTTCCCAGCCGGGGTTGACTCTCTGGTGAGTCCCGGGCTCCCTCCACCGTTCTCCTCACGTGTGCTCAGGAATGCGCTTGCTGTCTCTCTCTCTCTCTCTCTCTCTCTCTCTCTCTCTCTCTCTCTCTCTCTCTCTCTCTCTCTCGCAGGCATCCACCCTCCCACGTGTGCACGCACTCAACCACCCACGCACCCCACAGCTGAGCCGGGCTCGCTCATTTATTCCCCTTCTCTCCCGCGCGCATCCAATCAGATGGGGACTGGAATCCCGCCTCCCGGGCAGGGGCCTCCCAGCCTGGCCTCCGCCGAGCCGCCCGCTGGCCTGGGGCCCGCGCCGGGGAAGCCACAGCAAACATTGCTTAGGGGTTGGCTGAGTAAAGGTTACATGTCCAAACCCGGGAGCCAGGAACCGCTGGCTGCGGCGGCGGGGAGCGGCCCCCGGGGGAGGGGAGGTGGCACTCGGGAGTGGAGCGCAGCCAGGTCCCCTCTTCTGTCTCTTGGCAGCCAGCCCAGGCTGGGCGACAGGCGGCGCGAGGGCTCTCTGGCCGGGGCTGCGACACCGCTGGGCGAGACGAGCGGCGGCGGAGGTGGGGCCGGGCTTCCTGCGACAGGCCAATCGTGCCGCGCGGGCTGCGGGGCGGCGCGGGGGCACAGGCCGCCCGAGGGCCGCGGAGGTGCGGGGGCTGCAGGGGGAGCGGGGCGTGGAGTCCGGGGAGCCGCGGAGGCCTGGGATGGAGGCTGCCGAGGGCGGCGGGAGCTGGGGGCGCGGGAGGGCAGAGGGCTGGGGAGGGGGCGCGGGCCCGGGCGGAGGCTGCGGGGTGAGCGCCCAGGAGCTGTGGAGGGAGCAGAGGAGCGTGGTTCGTGGAGATGGCCTGGGCGCAGTGGAGGCCGGGGACGGAGGCCGCCAGAGAGCGTAGGGGACGCGGGACGGGTGGAGGGAGCGGGACGCGGCCTCGCCAGGAGCCCGCGGGAGGTGAAGGCGGCGAGGGTCCTGGGCGGGCCGGGGAGGGCCAGGGCTGCTGCAGGGTTCAGGCATCTTGGGGGCAGCAGAGGGGAGGCTGGTTGGGGAGGCAGCGGGAGGCTCCCGTGGAGGAGGTGAGCCCGGCGCTGGGGAGATAGAGGGAGCAGGGATGGCGCGCAGGGTCTGGGGGGGCGGGTGCTGGGGCGCCGCAGCGGGAGGCCCTGCGTGGGAGGCTCGGGGTAGGCTAGAGGCCCGGCGACGTGGGAGGACTTGGGGAGTGCAGCGCTCAGGGCGCAGGGTTGGTCCCGGAGAGGACAAGGAGCCCGGTTCGCGGGTCCCCCTTGGAGGCAGAGGATGCGGGCACTGGAAGGAGGTGTGGGGCGCGGGTAGGCGACTGAGGACACCCGCGTGGGGCCCTGGAACACCAGGTTCAGAGGCTGCCCTGGGACGCACAGGGGCTGCGGTTCGCGGGGTGGGCTGCACCCACCAGGGCCACAGGTGACTTTGGGGAGGTGGGGAGCCCAGGTGGAGGGTGGAGGCTGACCCTGCGCTGGGGAGGTGTGGGCGCAGGTGACAGGGGCCTGGGGTCTGGGGACTGTGGCCGGAGCTGCTACCCAGGGTTCCTTCCGCAGGCCTGGGCCAGGAGGATCCATCCACCGCGCCAGGGCTCAGGCTCTTCTGGAAGCCCGCAGCGGCCGCGCCTCCCAACATGTCCGGTGAGTAGCCACTGCTGGCTCCAGAACACCCCCCCCCCCCCCCCGTTGACCCTGACCACTGCCCCCAACCTGAGTCCCCAACTGGCTGCCGCGCCCGGGTCTCTGGGGCCCGAGGGAGGAGCGCTTCTGATATGGCCGGAGCTGGGGGGCGGGGGACTCAGCAGCCGTGGGAGGGGGTGATTTATGGCCTGACAGAGGGGGGCCTCCAGATGTCACAATTGTCCTCCTGTGAAAGTGTCACGTACAGGATCAGAGGAGCTGGGTTCATAGGAGTAATAGTAAGCTGAGAGTCTCACTGCGTGGGAGAGGGTTGGGAAGAAATCTCGGCTCCAGAGCGCCCCATAACGCACGAGGCCGATTCAGAGTCAGAACATGAGTTTTATTTATTTTATTTAATTTTTTTTTGGGGGGGGGGTACCAGGGATCGAACTCGGTGCTTAACCCCTGAGCCCCGTCCACAGCCCTATTTTGCATTTTATTTAGAGACAGGGTCTCCCTGAGTTGCTCAGGGCCTCGCTTTGGCTGAGGCTGCCTTTGAACCTACCATCCTCCTGCCTCAGCCTCTGCTGGGGTGACAGATTTATTTATTTTTTCTTGTCCCAATGATTCCCCCAACGGGCAGCAGGCCTGGGCTCGATGACCAACTTGCAGGGATTGCAGACTGCCCAGCCCCGGGTCTCCCTGCCCTTGAGCTTGGGCAGGGGACATTGGGACAGTTGACCAGAGACCTCGATCCTGTTTCTCCGAGCTCCGGGCTTTGCAGGGTCTCTCTCTCGGGGTGGACTGGGAGTCTCTGTTCCCGGCAGCCACAGAAAGGGTCCTCTGTTCCCAGAATCACGGTGGAGCTCTCCTGAGTGGCCACCACATGTCCCCCGCCCCCCGAGGCCGCTGGGGGTGTGTACAATGCCAGCATTCAGCCGGCCCACCGCAGGACACTCCTTGACCAGGCTTGGAATGTCCTGCTGGACCTGCTTTGGGGGTTTTCAGCTCTTTGCAGGAATCAAAAACCACCTTTGAGCAGAGAAGACGCCCCGGGAGAAGCCCGTGGTGTTATTTGGGGGGGAGAGATGGAAGGTGGATGCAGGGCGGAGGCCAAGAAATAACCACTTTTTGGCAGACTCCGTTGAAGACTCTTGGCTGAGCCTCGAGTTGATTTTTTAAGAGTGACTGCTTTGCTGACCTGGGGCCTGGAGCCTGCTCCTGGGTGCTGCCCCCCAAAGCTGGTCACCCCGATGTCTTAAAAGCAAACTGCATTCAAGTCTGCGGAGCTGGTTTTGCAGCTTAGATGGCCTCCAAGGGCCCCGGGGAGGCTACGCTCCCTTCACGGGTGAATGTTCTTGACCGGAGGGACAGTTGGTGGCCGGACAGAGGGCTCTTCCACTCGCGGGTGCTGTTAATATGAGTCATAAGCCCGGTCTATAGTTCTTTCGTCCATCTTGGGTCCTAGGACATTTATTGCCCCTTGGTCCCCGAGGCTGGAGGCTGGAGGTCCGAGGTCCAGGCTGGGCAGGGCGGGCTCCTCCCGAGGCCTCTCCCCTGGGCTGGCAGCCGCCATCTTCTCCCTGTGTCCTCCCGGGGCGTCCCTCTGTGTGCGTCTATGTCCTCATCTCCTCCTCTACGAGGACCCCAGTCCTGCTGGGTCAGGGCCACCCTGGGACCTCACTGCACCCCCATTCCCTCTGCAAAGACCTGTCTCCACCCACAGGCACGTCCCAAGGTCCTGGGGCCAGGGCTGCGGCAGAGGACTTTGGGGAGATGGTGTTCAATGTGTAATATCCACCAGGGTCAGCGGTCCTTCCTGCTGTCCTCCTGTGGAGCTACAGACCCAATGTATGAAGCTATCAATTGCTGGTTTGATAGCTGACGCCTGTGCCCTCCCTGTCCCTTGCTGTTAGGGCACCCAACCCCATCTTCCTCCTCACTGGAACACGGTGTCCATAATGCTATTAGCAACCCTCTGGAATTAAAGGACCTTTGGGAGAAAAGACGCTATGGTTTGGATACGAGGGGTCCCCTTAAAGCTCATGCATGAGACCAGGTGTGAAATGTTCAGATGTGAAATGATTGGGTTGTGAGAGGTGTAAACTCATAGTGGATTAATCCACTTGGATGGACTCCCTGGGTGGTGACTGCAGCAGGTGGGGTGTGACTGGAGGAGGGGGTCCCTGGGCTGTGCCTTTGGGGTCTCTGTCCTGTCCCTGGTGACAGAGCTCTCTCTGCTCCCTGGTGCCCTGTCCTGAGCTGCTCTCCTCCTCCAGGCCCTGCCGCCATCTTGTTCTGCCTCCCCTTGGGCCAGAGCCATGGAGTCGGCCACCAGGAGCCCAGATCAACTTCTCCTTGTCAGCTCCTTTGATCACACTGATGGGGGGGAAAACAACTAAAGCCAAAGCCAAATTCTGGGTGTCCCCTTCTTACCGGCTTCCCTGAGCCTCTGTCTTCCCACCACCCCATCCCTGGGCTCCATGGAGAGCTGTCTCTTGCGGGACCCCACATCCAGCCTGCGATCCCCGTCTCTACTTCGCTGGGACACTCGTCTGCCTTGGGTGGCCTCGTCCCTCTCGGGTTATTTTTAATCTAGTTTCTATTGGAGGCTGGAGAGAAAAGTTATTTTGGGGACTTTTGTGGCTTTGCAATTACAGGTGACTTTTGGCTCAGTGAGGCACGGGGGGGGGGGCGATTTCTCTGGGCTTTGAAACCTGTCTTGGAGTTGGGGTGGGAATGGACGATGGGGTGGACACACAGCGTGTCCCTGCGTTTCTAGGTGGGCGGGGGTCTCTGGATTCACGTCTGATAATCAGGTGTTGGGAGCTGCGGTAAGTTCTACTGGTTTTCAGCCCTTAGCCGCCTCCTGGATCAATGTCCATGTGGCTTTGAAAGTGTTCATGGCTCAGGTTACTGTCCCCTATTGGACTGCAGCACCTAAGGACACAGATTGTGGCTCTGTCACTGCAGTCCTCGTCCCCCTGGGTCCTGGGACCTGGTCTGCGTCAGGGTCCCAGATGTCCCCCCTTCAGGGTCACCTGGCCCCTCTCAGGGACATGACTTCCCGCCTGCATGTCCCCTGCAGGTCACAGGTGGTCTGTGAGGAAGGTGGCGGAGCCTGTGCCCGGAGGCCAGGCAGGGCTGCAGGTCCAGGGCTTCTGGGAAGGAGGCTGTGGGGTCAGCACCGGGGGCCATTGATAGAACTGTCCCCTGGACCTCGGGTTCCACCAGACAAAGTGTCTCTATCAGCTTTTCCCTGATGTGACTAAGTGACCTGAGAGGAGCTAAACGGCTCCTCTTGGGCTCATGGCTTCAAAGGTAAACTCCATGGTCAACTGGCTCCAAGGGAGAAAAAAAACATGGCGGAAGGGAATGGAGGTGGGAAGGTCCTGTCAATCAGGAAGAAGAGAGAGAGGGAGGGAAGGGAAGGGAAGGGGCTGGGGAAAAGGTCAGCCCAGGGCACACACCTACTAACTAGTTTCCTTTAACTAGGTCCCACCTCCCATCATCCATCGAGCCCCAAATGGATTAATCCTTTTGATCCACGGGACGCTTGATAGACTTCAGAATATAGTTGTGTGGACTTTATCCAGGTGTTCCCAGAAGTGTATTATTAGGGGATTTTTGCTGTGTGGACACCGTAGCCATTTCGTTGGTATAAGTAGATTGTGTGATGCCCACACGACAAAATCCGTCAAGTGGATTAATCCACCCATGAGGTCAGAGCTTCATGATCCCTCATCACCTTAAAGCCCTACTTCTGAACCAGTGTCTTAGGGAATCTCTCAGGAGAGTAACCCTCATGTTCTTGTCCTACCCCCAGTGACCACACAAGCCTTCGTCACGCTGGCCACCAACGATATTTACTGCCAGGGGGCCCTGGTGTTGGGCCTGTCCTTGAGGAATCACAAGACGATGAGGAAGCTGGTGGTGTTGATCACCCCTCAGGTGTCCAGCCTGCTCAGGTAAGAGCTGGGGACTCCACATGCACCCCAATGCAGTAAAGGTCACCATGTCCAAGGGGACCCAGGACATACTCTCAATCCCCCCTTGCAGGTTGGTTCCTTCCCAGGAGCCGATGAGCATTTCTGTCTCCAATGTGGATTTTTCAGTCCATCGGAACCACCTAGAACTCAGGGGGGTCCTCCTGAGGCGGAGGCAGGATTGGAAGTCTGGTCCTTTCCTAAGGAGTGGTCGGGAACCACAGTGTTAGTCAGTTTACGTTGCTGTGACAAAATACCTGAGAAAATCCAGGTTTATTATGTTGGACAAAAGGTTTATTATGTTGGCTCCTGGTTTCAGCAGGTCTTAGTCCGTGGTTGGTGGCTCCATTGCTCTGGGCCTCAGCCGATTGTTTCTTTCTGGAATTTTCCGCCGAATAGCTTGGGATCACGGTTGATGGCAGGTCATTGAAACCAGGAGCCAGGAGCAACCCCACCCAGGTTGTGACAACCACGTAGAATTGATGGATGATACACAGATGATAGGTAGGTAGGTATATGTACTTAAGATATTTGGATGGTAGATCGTAGCTGGATGGAGAGAGAGATCGATATGCAAAGTGGGAAATGCATTCCCAACCTGCAGAGTTTGGCTACCATCCTTCATATATAAAGAACCCTTATAAATCACTAAGCAAAGACAGAGTAGCGGGCGTGCGTGTGTGATGAGCACGTCTCCATCCCTCTCAAATAGTCACACCGTGTCAGTCTTTGCTTTAGTCTTTGAGGTCTTTGCCTCCCAAGGTTGGCCAATGTCTTTTAAAATGGTGGCCTCCTTGGGTGGATCTCTGAGCTGGATGCCCAGCAACATGATCAGATTTGGACCCTCTTGGCTGTGACCCATTCTCTTGAAGGTCCTCCCAATGAATGGGTGCCGAGGTTGTATTTCCTCTTGATCCAATAAGTCTGTCAGTGTCCAAACAGAAAGAGATCAAGGGAAGAAAATACATTTGGTCACAGTGGACCTTGGCCCTGGGTCCATTTAACTTTCGCATTCATACAGGAGATGTCAGATCTGGGCAAAATGACCATGCATGAGAAGTCAGTGCACCCGGGTCTCTGGGGAGGGGACCCTGTGTGATGTGCTCCCTGTCCCTCCATCCCTTGAATGATGCCCATCTATGGATTTTTGATGCAATCCCACAACCCTTGTGTGATTCTCATGATTTCTATGTCCTTAGCAGGGGTCAGTGTTGTTCATATTTATGTGTCTCTCTCTTTTTTTTTTTTTGGGGGGGGGTACTGAACATTGAGCCCAGGGGTGCTTAACCCCTGAGCCACATCCCCAGCCCTGTTTATTTTTTATTTGAGACAGGGCCTCTGTAAGTTGCTGAGGCTGGCCTCCAACTTGTGATCCTCCTGCCTCAGCCTCCTGAGCCACTGGGACGACAGGCTTGCACCACCGTGCCTAGCCATGTGTATACGTCTTAATGTTGACTCCAAATGGTCTTTTAAATATTTAGAGAGGACCGCACAGAAACCGTGGGTAAGGTAGGACGTCGCAGACCGGGTTGAATTTTCACGCACTGGTTAAGGGGGCAGAAGACAGAGAGTGGCCCCTGACCACAAACCACCGGGGGTGTGAGGCCAGGAGACCACCCCTCTCCCAGGCATTGTGGTGCAAGCCTGTCTGCAAAGGCACAACCTGAGTGCTTCCTGACTGTATGCACGAAACATATTCCACTTCTAGGAGATGGGCAGAGCCGCACAGCAGGGTTTGAGGTCACAGGCCACAGTGCGATTTATGGTTGGAGGAAGGATCCTCGTCTCCCTGAGTCCCAGGACCAGGTCTGCATCAAGGTCACAGAAGTCCCCCCTTCAGGGTCACCTGGCTCCTCTCAGGGACATGATTTCCTGCCTGCATGTCCCCTGCAGGTCACAGGTGGTCTGTGAGGAAGGTGGCGGAGCCTGTGCCCGGAGGCCAGGCAGGGCTGCAGGTGCAGGGCTTCTGGGAAGGAAGCTGTGGGGTCAGCACTGGGGGCCACTGATAGAACTGTCCCCTGGACCTCGTGTCCCAGCACCCAGGTCTGTCTGTCCCCTTCAGAAACATTGACAAAGAATAAATGAAGTAGGCACAGTTGGCATTCTCCGTTATCAAGTTATGATTTTTCCCTTTATGGAGAATAAATATCCTGGGACAGACATACTAGGTTTATGCAACCAAATGTTTCTCCTCAAACATTCACGCACGTATCTAAGCATCCGTCAGTGAGTCTGGCTTGCAAGAATTATTATGGTGCTGTTTGCTTACCGTAGATTTTCTCTGTTCCTCATTCATTCTGTATTTATTATGTGGAATTCTTTCCCAAGATCATCCTCCTCCCTCTTCCCGGATTGTCCATTGCAAAAACTTTTGAATAGAGACCCAGAAACATTTATTTTAATGCTTTGTATATGTTATTTTGCTGACCAAATTGTTTCTGCTCTGGAAATTGGAATCTTTTCCTTGTCGGGTCTTGGTGTCCTGTTCTCATACTTTTATCCATTTTCTAGCGCTTGCTCAAATTTAAAAAAAAAAAAAATTATCATCATAACATGTTCCAGGTCACTGTGAAGTAGAGTGTCAGCCAAATCTAAAAAAAAGAATAATCATAATGGACCAGGGATAAGTTTATTTTGATAAAAAATATAATATTTCAAGATCTGAGCTTCAAACTTGTATGCAACTAACAATGTGGGTTTTGAACACGTAAAGCAAAAATTGACGGGAGATTGCGGTGGACATCTGTGGGTTCCCATCACTTTGGCGTTCACACCTCCCTGCCCACACATTTTATGAAGGAAGCTACCTTTCTAAGAGATGACCTGAGTCAGTCTATCTAGAACAGTTCTCTTCAATCTGTATGCTTGTCCCATTTGGGGTCATTTCCAGAACGAGGGCAAAGTGTGCCCAGTTGAGAGACAGCCATGGAAGACAACCCCAAATGCTGAGTCTTCAGTGGGTGTGGTGGGAATTGGAGCTTTGTTCCGTGTTTGGGAGCAGCTCCAGGGTATCTTCTGGCAGGACAGTGTTGTCCTGGGCTAATGGTCCTCTGCTGACCCATGTCTTTATCAGGGATGTCCTCTCACGGGTGTTCGATGAGGTCATTGAAGTCAATCTGATGGACAGCGAAGACTACATCCACCTGGCATTTCTGAAGAGACCTGAGCTGGGGGTCACCCTCACCAAGCTCCACTGCTGGACCCTCACTCACTACAGCAAGTGCGTCTTCTTGGATGCCGACACCCTGGTGAGTGCAGGGAGTGGAGAGGTCCAACTTCTCGGCTTGATGAGGAGGCTTTGATGCCTCTACGTCATAATATGACCCTGTTCCTAAATGGCATGGCAGCTCTTGCAGGTCAATTCCCAAGAGGTGGTGAGTGCTTCTGTCTGCACCATGGAGATTCAATTTGCCCAAACCACCCAATAACATAGGGGCAGTAGGCTAGACCCTGGTGAGGACAGGAAGGATTTGAAGACTGATCCTTTCTCAAAGAGTGTTCGAGAACCATGGTGTTGGCTTTCCATTGCCATGACAAAATACCGGAGAGAATCAACCTAGAGGACTAAGGGTCTATGTTGGCTGACGGTTTCAGAGGTCTCAGTCCATGGTTAGCTGGCGCCATTGCTCTGGGCCTGAGTTGAGGCAGAACATCATGGCGGAAGGGAGTGGTGGAGGAAAGCTGATTGGCTCAGGGGAGCTGAGAAAGAAAGAGAAAAGGGCCAGAGATAAGAGGTACCATTCCACGGTCTACTCCCCTCAACTAGGTCCCACCTCCTACAGCCTAGACCACCTCCCAATAACCCTTTCATCTAGGTATCCATCAATGGATTAATCCATTGATGAGCTCAGAACCCTCACAATCCAATCACTTCCCAAATCCCCAGCTCTGGACATTGCTGCTTCGGAGACCAAGCCTTTAACACAGGAGCCTGTGGAGAACATTCCAGATCCAAACCATTCCAGCCACATTATCTCATCTGCTCAAAAGAGCATAAGTGGGAAAATATTTTTGTCTCGGTTGTATATTGATTCCGGATTGGACAGCGCGCTATCCCCGAAATTGCAAATGGTGGCATCCCCCGATGTCATTTGGGGGGTAGTACCTTAGAACTATCATGGGATGGGCATTTTCAAAATGGCCACTGGGGATTTGGAACGCAAGACGGAGTTGGTCTACTGCGAGTCAGTTTTGGTTAAGCAAAAGCACCTCTTTAGGAAGAGGTAGTGAAGCACCCTGTCTTCCAAAACAGGGTCGCCCCCTGCCAAATGGCATGATTTAGAAACCAGTACGTGTTAGAGGGAGTTGCAATTAGGGGTCAAGTTCTCAAGGGCACAGTGTGTTGCTGAACTGGGATGTTGGGTAGCCTAAAGGTACTAAGTGCATTTTGGTCTCGCTCTGAGTTTCGTGGAACGGAAACAAATCCTAAGGGGTTTTTGAATGGGCTCCAAGACACAGGAGGCAAGCTAAGAGTTTTGCAAAAATAAAAGAAAGTTCTAGAACCCCCAAGAATGGGTGCTGGCTCAAGATGGCGTATCCCAGAGGCTGGCATTGAGGCTGGGGAGACCATTTCCACTCTGCGACGAAATTCACCCAGTATCTGCTTGATATGGATGGTCTCCATGTCCCTTCCTGGGATCCCAGTTCCATTTTGCACACTTGCTGATGTAAGTAAGGATGATCCTCCTCACTCTAGAATCTTAAGATCCGTGAGAAAATCGTTCCAGACCCAGTGCAGACTCAACAACTGCAGGTAAACTGGAGAGGAGTCTTTCTCACCAACGTTTCTCATTTCACCTTAAAAGTTTTAAGAATCTCACCAAAAAAAAAAAAAAATTGGTCTAAGTTTTCCGGGCACCAGAGGTGCATTGGGCTCACTCTAGGTCCCTGTGGAATTTTTCGGTTGCCCAATGGAGGCGACAGATGTGTGGCTTTGCCTCGCCAGGTTCTGCACAACATCGACGAGCTGTTTGACAGGGAAGAACTCTCCGCAGCCCCGGATCCGGGATGGCCCGACTGCTTCAATAGCGGGGTGTTTGTCTTCCAGCCTTCCCTGGAGACCCACCAGCTCCTGCTGCAGCATGCCACGGAGCACGGCAGCTTTGACGGTGAGTGAGGGCAGCCTGGAAGTCGGCAGGGCAGAGAGGACCCGTTGCCGGAGTCCGGTTTTATACCCAGCTCAACGTGTCTCTCGCATCCACGAGCTGGAGCCTGGAGACAAAGGTGCACATTGAGAAGTGAGCCAGGCAGGGTGACAGGGAGACATCAAGAAGCTATTATGTCAATATGCAGCAGCCAGGAGAACCTTTGGAAAACTCCCTCCCAGGTAGAGAGAGCACCTTGGCAATGCCGATCGTATACAACAGGTGTTCCAACCTTCCTCCGAAGGACCAAATAACCGATGTTGTCCGCTTTGCAGGGTGCACGGTCTTTGTTGCAAACACTGTATTCTGCACGTGTAACTTGGAGGTGGACATTGGAAGAAAAACAGTGAACGGGGCTGACTTTCAATAAGACCAGTTTGGAAAAAGGGGCTCAGGGTGATCCCTGAGAGGGAATTAGGGGGGAAAAATGGTTATCATCAGATTTTTTTTCATCACTGTGATCAAAAGACCTCATAAGAACAATTAGAGGAGGAAAAGTTTATTTGGGCTCACAGTGTCCGAGGTTCAGTCCCTGGTGGCCGACTCCATGGCTCTGGCCCAAGGGGAGGCAGAACAAGATGGCGGCAGGGCCTGGAGGAGGAGAGCAGCTCAGGACAGGGCACCAGGGAGCAGAGAGAGCTCTGCTCACCAGGGACAGGACAGAGACCCCAGAGGCACAGCCCAGGGACCCCCTCCTCCAGCCACACCCCACCTGCTGCAGTCACCACCCAGTGAGTCCATTCAAGTGGATTAATCCACTATTAGGTTATACCTCTTCTAATCATTTCACCTCTGAACCTTCTTGTCTTGTCTCACACATGAGCTTTTGGGACATACCTCATATGTATACCATGTCATTGTCCCCCCAGGTCCCCCAAAATCTCATGCAAAATTCATGTAGCCCATTTCCAAGAGTCTGCACGGTCCTAACATAACAATGGGAAAGCCATTTTAACTACCAGATGGAATTCACTGGGGGTGAGTGGAGGACGCTGGAGGTTGTATATAGTTTTATTATTAATTTTGGGGGGCAATGGATGCAGATCTTGTAGGGAACACACCCTGAATTTTAGTAATGGTATGGGTAGCCGATCACTGTCAAGAAGAGCAGGAACACTGTAGCTGGCGGAGAGGACCTCTCAAGGCCAGTGTAGACCTTAGGTCCTTCTCATATGTCGGGCCAACCTGAGAACTGCACCCAACTCTACTGACCTCTGTTTGTGTTGGCGGGTGGCCCAGGCGCAGATCAAGGCTTGCTGAACAGTTTCTTCAGTGACTGGCCGACGGCGGACATCCATAAGCATTTGCCTTTCATCTACAACCTGACCAGCAACGCAGCCTACACCTACAGTCCAGCCTTCCAACAGTAAGCCCTCCGCCATCTTGAACCCCAACTGGCTGTAGCCACTTGGTTGTTTTTATCTCCCAGATTAGATATCAGCTGTTCGTAGAGGAAAGGGAAATAGATCACCCTGTCCCCGTATGCCAGGACCTCAGTAAGTTGATAAGGCTGGCCTCTGACTTGCGATCCTCCTGCCTCAGCCTCCTGAGTCACTCATATTCCAGGTCTGTGCACCATGGCACCCAGAAATGTATTTGTTTTGAATACAGGGATTTCCTTTTTGTTAAAAAAAATAATTATGAAATTTATGTATAGTGGGTTTCTTTTAAGGAATAGATGACGGTATTCCTTAATTTTTCAGTCTTAGATTCTATGATGGTAAAGTAGAGAAGATGAATTCCATGGGGTTGTACCTCTTTGGGTCTTCAGTGATTTTTTTTTCTTCCCTGGGGTCCTGAGACCCAAAATTTGGAGCTCTGCTGCTAGAGGAGACGTTAAAATGAAATCAAAATGTGATAATGATCCAGGAAATGAATAACTCCAGAGTATGCATTACCCAGCAGGGGTCCTGCTGCTCCCAGGGAGGCAGAAATTGGTTCTGGGGACGGCAAATAGTCTTTTTTTGTTGTTAATATATTTTTAAAAAAATAATGTGTGAATCTCAGACCATGCGCCTTTGGTGTTAAAATTTCATGGGGAGTTAATTTAAAAAAAAATAATGTCCAAAAAGCACTTGGGGAGTGATAATGAATGGCACCGGAAAAAGGTTCAGAAGGGGAGATTTCAGAATCTTTGATCCTTTTTCTTTTATTTTTAGAGGCGTTTTGTTTGCAGCTTGTGTTATCTGCCACGAAAGCTCTTTATTTTATTTTCTCGTCCCCATCCTTTGAAGGATGAGGTCGTTGAAGCTGCCCCTCCGTTCCTCTATATAGGACTGATGTGTGGACGCGGGGTGCAGCTCAGAGGTGGGGTGCTGGACCAGCCTGGGTACCATCCCCGACCGTGCAAAACCAGCAGCCGCAAATCACCTTGCAGTCTCCTTCCAGTTGGGAGGAAGACCTCAAGGGAGACGACTCAGGTCTCTCGGTTCATAGAGAATGAATTACCAGCCGAGTGTCCTTTGTCAGAAAACCCCAAATCTGACACACTGCAGAACCCAAGATCTGTACCCACATGTCATATTGTGTGTGGGTCCCGGGCAGAGCGCAGGTGTGCTCCAAATACCGTGGAAAATGACCTTCAGGCTGTGCGTGTAAGGTACAGGTGAAGCAAATTAATTTCATGATGAGATGTGACACATACCCAAGACATCTTATGACGTTTTCATTATTTATTTATTTATTATTTTGGGTGTCAGGGATGGAACCCAGGGGTGCTTAACCACTGAGCCACATCCCCAGCCTCATTTTGATATTTTATGTTAAGACAGGGTCTCGCCAAATTGTTGAGGACCTCGTGAGGCTGCTGAGGCTGGCCTCCAACTTGAGACCCTCCCTCAGCCTCAGCCTCCCCAGCTTGCAGGGTCGACGGGCATGTGCCACCGAGCCCAGCTCAGGATATCTCATTATGCACCTATGCTCTTTCCAAGACCTCATAACATCTGAGATCCGGAACACTGTTGATGCAAAGCATTTCAGGGCAGAGATGCTTTTTCTAAAAGATGCACATGTGGATTTTTTAAATGATCTTTAGGGGGCCGGCGCGGTGGCGCACACACCTGGGAACCCAGCGGCTCGGGAGGCTGAGGCAGGAGGATGGCGAGTTCAAAGCCAGCCTCGGCCAGAGCGAGGCCCTCAGCAACTCTGGGAGACCCTGTCTCTAAATAAAATGCAAAATAGGGCTGGGGATGGGGCTCAGGGGCGGAACACTTAACCTCGAATGTAGAGGCCCTGGGTTCCATCCCCGGCACCACACACACACAGAAAAAAAATCCCCCCAAAATGTTGTTCCCTTTACCCAAAGTAACTGTCAATCATTGCCCTACTAAGGTCCCTGTCAACAGTGGTAGCGGGTCAGACGGTTCCCCTCCAGGTGGCTCTTGGTGGGGACCTCCACCGTCGTGCTCGGGCGCCCTCTGGTGGAAAATCGGAATCTGTCCTTTCTCCTCCTCAGGTTCGGCTCCAGCGCGAAGGTGGTGCACTTTCTGGGGTCCACTAAGCCCTGGAACTGCACGTACGACCCGCAGACTGGCTCCGTCTCGGAGCAGGGCGCGGGGTCCGGCCCCCAGCAGCACGTGACCTTCCTGAATCTCTGGTGGAGGCTGTTCCAGGAGGGCGCGCGGCCTCTGTACCCAACCGCCCGTGCGCAGGAGAGACAGGGACCTGCGGGGCTCCGCGTGAGTGGACGCTCCTCTGCTAGTTCGGCTGAGGACCAGCCTGTCCCCGCCAAGACCCACAGCTCCCCTGGCTTCTCCCCATTATGTCTAAACACGAGGATGCTCCGTATCCGCGGATGCTCCATATCCGCGGATGCTCCATATCGCGGTTCCCTTCCAACCGCGGATGCAAAATAGAATATTCTTCAAATAGCTGCATCTGCACGGAACCAGTACACAGGTCCATTTCCCCCCTCTTTCTTACTCCCAAAACAATCAGACAGGTATTTACACCCCCTCCCCAGCCCTACTTTGTATTTTATTGAGAGACAGGGTCTCCCTGAGTTGCTTAGGGCCTCGCTGTGGCTGAGGCTGGCTTTGAACTCGCGATCCTCCTGCCTCAGCCTCCCGAGCCACTGGGATCACAGGCGTGGGCCACCGCGTCTGGCTGGAGGTCAACTTTAATTTTTGCTTGAAAAAAAGAAATCAGTGGTTCCTGATGCTACTTCTCGGGAACCTTTGAAGGCTTTCAATAGGAGCAAATAGGAAGGAGTTTATTGGTTCTCGGGCCACCTTGTGGGTGAGTGGCTGCCACACAGAACACTTGTGGGTTATTTACAGGTTCTTGGGAATCCAGTTGCACAAATCCTTCCATTTGATGGGCAGCTCTTGCACACCCACGGGGCAGGATGACCGGGGAGACCAGAGCAGAGCGGACTAGTAAAAATGTGTCCTGTGTGTGTGTGTGTGTGTGTGTGTGTGTGTGCAGGTTTGCTCAGATGGCCTCGAGGCGATGCGTGCAAATTCAGCCCCCAGTGCTGCAGAGCCGTGTGCAAACTCAGCTGCCCCTTCTGAGGTGCCGTGTGCAAATTCTGCACCAGGATCGGGCCACCCGCGGTCTGCTCTGGAGAACACATCCACCACGGTGGCTGAGACCCGGACGTCCCCTGAAGGATGGGAAGATGTGAGTACCCGCCTCCCACACTCTGCCCAGAGACGCCCATGCCCTGACCCGCACAACCTTGTACTAACAAAGGGGGTTTTGCAGATGGGATGGAGTCAAGGATGCTGGGGTTGCAGAGAGGGTTGTGGATTATCCCAGGGGACCCGCATCATCCTAAGGGTCCTTATAGGAGGGAAAATGTAGAATCAGCCAATTCCCAGAATCAACAGCTGACTCCATCTTGGGAGCTGCCCACCCCCACCCCCAGCCTTCCACCTGCTCCGATTTCAGAAAAGCCCCAGAGACCCGGCTCAGGAGGGAGCCCCTGCTGACCATGGGCTCAGGTCCTGCTGAACTCATCATGAAGTAAAAAATAATACAAGTAGAAAATTCATTGCTTACGTTCAACCTACCAATCCTGGCAATGTGGGAGGCTGAGGCGGGAGGATCGCATGTTGGAGGCCAGCCTCAGCTACTTAGTGAGATCCTGTCTTAAAATTAAAAAAAAAAAAAAAAGTAAAAGGGCTGGGGGTTCAGCTTAGTGGTGGAGAATCCCTGGGCTCCATCACCAGTAGTATCCCTCCCCGCATGAAAAATAGTGAAGAAAATTCAATATTTCTTAGGAAAAGAACAGAATTTAGAATTCCAAGCAGAGTTCGTACCGAAAACGGGTCCCTTTCACACTCCTTTAGAGTCCAAAGCTGGGAAGTCAAAGCCATTATGAGCCAGTGTGTTTATTTATCATTGCTCTCATAAACTACCTGAGACCGAGGGACGGATAAAGGAGAGAGGTCCAGACAGGTCAGGATTTTTGGGGGCTCTTCAGTGGGTCCCATGATCCGATGTGCCACCTCTCAATGTCACCGCACTGGGGACCAAACTTCTAGAGAGTGAACACTTGAGGGACACGCTAGAATCAGAGAGAAATCTATGGTCCAAATAGGAAGGGGGACAAAAGTGCTGGGTGTAAATCCAGTTTTCACCTTTCAACTTCCTGTCCCCCTCGGCCGCCCTGGTCTCTGTGAATAGTGGTTGGGCACATTGACTCTGGCCTTGGCCCCATTTGACGTTGCTATAACAAAATGCTGTGGAGCGGGGAAACTGATAAAGAAAAGAGGTTTCTCGAGCTCATGGCAGAGATGTCCCGTGGGGAGACAGAGAAAGCAACCGAGCTCGGGTCTGTCTCCCCTGTTCTCCTGAAGCCACTTTGGGGGGTGGTCCTACCCTCATCAGTTCACGTAGCCCCAATGACCTCTCCAAACGCCACCTCCAACACCATTAACCCATGGTTCTGGGGGTTACGTCTGTCTGTCAAGCATGAACTTTTGGGGAACACCTTCGTACCACGGCGCCTGCGTATTTTATGAGGAGCCTATTTCCCCCCAAAAAATGACAGTCGTTGCAGTTTTAAATGGGAGGGGTTCCCTTCAGCACCCCGTGTATTTCCTGAATGAATTTTTTTTTTCTGAATGAAATTTTTTTCTGAATGAATTTTGCAGCCCTGCTGCCCCCTTATGGCCATTTATTGAATTGCAGATTCTGGAGTCTTGATTTTTTTGAGGAGCCAAAACCAGACTCACCCCTCAAAAAAAAAAAAGTTGTTATTATTATTAATTTTTATTTTTTTTGGTGAGGTTGAGATACTATTTTTTTTTAAAAAAAGTGCTCATAACTGCAGAAAAGCTGAGTGTAAATTCTAGCAGTCTCTATTCAAAATAGCTACCTTTGAGTGTTTAATGATGGCCATTATCTAACCCCGGGACATTTTTATATAAAATAATTAGCATGGCGATTTTTCTCCTAAAAAGAGAAACTTCCAGAATTTTGGCTGGGGTTTCGTTCAATCTATAAACCAGTTTTAGGATTATTAACGTCTCCAAGGTACTGAGCCTTCCAACTCTATGAACTTGGTCCATTTCTATACTTATATCTTTAATTTCTCTCAACACTGTTAATATTTTTTTTTGCAGTGGACTTTTGTGTTTTGTTAGGCTTGTTAATTTTTGAGTCTAGGTAAATAGCATTGCTTAATTTTTTTTTTCTGATATCGGCATGTAGAAATGCATGTGACTTTTGAATCCAGACGGTGTGCTGAAATTTTTTCATGCGACGACACAACATTCTCTTTGGTTTTCCTGCAAACAAAATTACAATATATGCAGGTGGGAAATTTGTAATTTCTTTGAACATTAAACATGCACCTACTGCATAATGCAGCCGTTCCATTCCGAAGTTTGCTCAAGAGAAATGAAAGCTTATATTTTATTTTTATTTATATTTTATTTTTATTTTTATATTTGATTTTGAGGCTGGCTTCAAATGTCCATAAAGATGATAGCACTTTTATATATAGTAGCTTTGCAATGGAACAAGTGTCCATCAAGAGGTGAATGTGTGAACCAATCGAGGCGAATTCCTAGAGTGGAATACTATGCAGCCATAAAGCGAGCAGATGTGGATAAGTCACAACAAAAACTGGCTGGAGTGTCATTACCTCATGGACATTCTGTGGCTAGTTCCCGATTTCAGAGTCTATTTCTCTCATTGCTAATGGTCTTGTGTCTGAACCATCATTTTTCTGCATTCCTGCAGGTCTGATGCTTGTTGTTTGGTTTGGTTTTTCTCTTGGTTTTCACTCATTTGATCTTGTCTTCTCACAGGATGGTTAATTTTTTGGAAATTGAAGGCCAGACATTGTTTATGGAAGAAAAAAATTCTTGCAAAAATAACTTGAAATTCTGAATCAGACTATCCTTGCCCAGTAGAGGTTTGTTTTGGTATCCCTCTTCCAACTGTCACATGTTTCTGGACGGAGAGCAAAATTTTGGTTTCCTTCGATTTCGTTTCTGGGCTTCTCTGCTCCGTCAGCCTGTCCTTCCTTAGAGCTACCCACGGGTCTCTGGACTGTGCCCCAGGCCACGGTCTCTTCTTTCAAGGTGAACTAAATGTCAGGCAGTGGATGAATCAGTCCCGTAATGACAAACCCATTTGTTCACCGGCTTCCTGAAACCTGGCCGAGAGGCTGCGTTGGGCCCATACTATTGCTAAACGCTCATCTTGGGTCTCTCTCTTCATCTTGTGTAAAGAGGGACATGTTTCCTAGTTATTGGTAAAAATAAGGGGGATATTGATTTGACAATTTTTTTAGGTTTATGTTTTATTTAGTATTGTTTTTAATAAACCTGTGGGGTCAGGCGCGGTGGCACACACCTCTAATCCCAGTGTCTCAGGAGGCTGAGGCGGGAGGATCCCAAGGCTGAGGCTGGCCTCAGCAACTCAGCCAGGAGGCTGAGGCAGGAGGATCCCAAATCTGAAGTCAGCCTCAAAATGAAATATAAAACAAAAATAAAATATAAATAAAAATTAATAATAAAAAAGGGCTGGGGATGTGGCTCAGTGGTTAAGCACCTCTGGGTTCAATCCCAGGTACCAAAAAAAAAAAAAAAAAAGTCAAATTATTGCTTCCTTTATCCTCCAAGGCCACCGCGGGTCCCTTGCATGACCAAAGCAAGCGAGTGGCAGAGAGCAAGGTGTCCACGCAGGTCCTTTTCCTTATGTGGGCAGGGTTAGAATTTAGGACATTTCCTTCGCAGTCCTGACGGGTCAAAGCAGCTCTTCATTCCTGTGGGATTTACGTGCTTCTGACCCGTGAGGCCCCAGGGTGCATGGACCCTGTGCCCAGCGCAGGGTTCAGGAGCAGGGCCGGGGGGACACAGGCTCAGGTCCTGCTCTGTCCTTAACGAGCTCCTGTGTGTGGACAAGTGTCTCCAACTGCAAATTAGACCCCTCACCACCAAGAGCAAGGGGGTAACCAGTGTCCTCAGAGGGCTGCGAGGAGGTTCAGGAATGTGCAGGACCTTGGTACTCAACCTTGAACCCAGAGAGCCACATCCCCAGCCCTTTCTTTTATCTTTATTTTGAGACAGAGTCTCACTAATTTGCTTAGTTCCTCGCTAAGTTGCTGAGGCTGGCCTCCAACTTGCCATCCTCCTGCCTCAGCCTCCAGAGCCTCTGGGACGACAGGTGTGTGCCCCCACACCTGGCCCCATTTTCATTTTCATTTTTTTATTTTGAGACAGGGTCTGGCTGAGTTGCTTAGGGCTTCACTAAGTTCCTGAGGCTGGCCTCCAATTCGCAATCCTCCTGCCTCAGCCTCCTGAGTAATTGGGATGACAGGCGGGCATCATTGTCCCTCCAAGTTGAAAGCTGGCTTCTGATTTGAGTCGCATCCAAGTTTTGGGTGGCACAGGTTTCCCGGGCTCCGTGAAGCTGTTCAGGGACCCGGGGTTCTGCTCTGTCCTTGCAGCTGTGACTCTGTGAGAGCATCAGGACTTTGTGCTCAGAGCAGCTACGGCAGAGAACACTGCCTGGCACCCGCGGGACTCGGTCTCCATAGCTCTTCCTTTCCCGTGGCAACCGACCGAGTGGGCACAGGTTGGGGGGGACATCTTGCCCTTCACCGGGAAGGGTGCGGGAAGCACGTGTCCTCCTGCTGCCTGGCACGGAGGGGCGTCGTGCCCCAGCTGCCCGGTCTCCGTGGTCAGATGGAGACGCGCCACCCTGTCCAGGCACCAGGAGGCTGCACCCCGGCATCAGGTGGGATCCCACGGGAGAGAACAGAGAAGGATCCACGTTGGACACCGGTGAGCCCGTCACTCTCAGCGCCTGAGGTCAGGTGCCCCCGGCACCCTGGAGGCAGGGACCCTGCCCACCTGTTGGTAAAGCTGTGTCCATGCCAAGGTCCGGGTCTCACCTGTCGGCTCTTCCTTCATAACAGACGGGAGGCTGCCCTGACACCCTGATTCCGGCCAGGATCCCGTGTGCGCCTCGGCCACCGCTGGCCCTGCCATTTCCAGACGTCGCTGAGACCCAACCCACCCGGGTACACTGGCCCCTTCTCTCCCACGGGCTCCTGTCTGTCGCTTGTCCTTTCTCTCAGAAGATCTGCATCAGCCGAGCAGACCCTGGGTTTTCCCATTTCACCCTGAATCGCCTAAGGGCTTTAGCAAGGAACAGAAAATAGCCACGTGGTAGTGCACGCCTGCGGCTCTGGAGGCTGAGGCAGGAGGATTGCCAGACGGAGGCCAGCCTCAGCTACTTAGCAAGAACCTAAGCAGCTTAATGAGACCTTGTCTTTTTTTTTATCTTAGAGAGAGAGAGAGAGAGAACTATTTATTATTTATTTTTTGGCGGACACAACATTTTTGTTTATTATGTGGTGCTGAGGATGGAACCCGGGCCGCACGCATGCCAGGCGAGCGCGCTACCGCTTGAGCCACATCCCCAGCCCCGAGACCTTGTCTTTATATTTAAAATAATTTAAGAAAAAAAGAAAAGAAAACCAATAAAAACAAAAACAAAAACAAATAATATGGCAGGGGCATCTCACTTAATTTTCAAAACTTTTGGAGGGACTTACAGCCGTGCCTGAAATCGTGACTGGGACACTCTCCTGTAACCACCGCATTGCCTGGTAGGGTTCCAGTCACCAAGGATACTAACCTTGCCTTGGCTCTTAGGGACCTGCCTGCGCATCACGTTTATTAGGGTCTAAATGCCGAGTTTGTTCCATTGCATCGGGAGTGTGGAGGACACCCGTCGGTGCCCAAAGTTGCAAATTCAGCTTTATCAGAACTACGCATAGGTTGGGGAAAAAACCATACACAGGGTTCCGTACTGTGCAAGACTTCTGGCATCCACTGGGGGTCCTGGGAAATAGCCCCTGTGAAAAAGAGGAGCCAACTCTAATTGAAAATTTTTAATTTTTAACTTTAATTGAAATATTTTCATTCTTTTTTAAATTTTTGCCACTAGGTTATTGAACTCACGGGTGCTGAACCACTGAGCCACATCCCAGCCCTTCTAAAATATTTTGAGACGGGGGTCTGGCTAATTTGCTTAAGCCCCCTCTAAGTTGCCGAGGCTGGCCTCCAACTTGCAATCCTCCTTCCTCAGCCTCCTGAGCCACCCATTATTTATTTATTTATTTTTTTAAGCATTGGTACTCCCCTCCCCCCAAAGGCTATCTAGTAGGGCGTCTTAATTTTTATTTCGTTTCCTCCGTCCTTTGGGCTAAGGTGAGAATTCCCTGCATCCTCTTGAAGACTAATGATGGAATGGTTGTGTTTCTAGCAGGCAGCGAATCAAGTCAAAGGTGGCCCAGCTGAGTCGTCTTTGGATCCGAGTCAGGAGGTCCCTGGGGAGCCCTGCAGAGACCCCGGTGCTCAGGAAACCCTGGAGGTGACACCTGCATCCCTTTGCCTTGCCCATCACTCCTGATGGATGCTCTCAGCCAGCTCTGCAGCCAGCCCAATGCACACATCCATCCTTAATCCAAAATTTCAGCCTCAGCTTGTCCAACTCAGGCTCTGTCTGCCTCTGATCCACCTGTCTTCTCTCTGCCATTTGCTGGGGGCTGGTTGGTGTCCTCATTCCTGTCTTTGGCTCGGATCTTGCCTGTTCTGTCCTCAAAAGCTTTCCATCAGAAGTTGATCTGAAGAAAGTTTGGGGGTAGATTCAAGATGGCGGGCTGCATGCCGAATTGTCCTGTGAAGGAAGGTTGGGGTGCTGTTTAGGGGGGAATGCATAGCTGCAAATCAAACACACTATTTCTTCCATGACTGAGAAATGGGACACTCGTTCTTCTCTTCCTTCCTCTTATGATCATTGGCATCCTGCATTTCATTCTCTCTGGTGCTTTGAATGAAAGCCATCAGCAACTTTTTTTCTTTATAAATGAACGATCAAATCATGCCTTCTCTCTTTAGGCAGCAGTAAATCCGTTCAAGGTCATAATCCCCTTCAATGACACCCCTCCAGCATTGGGAACTGGGCCTGGGTTGAATGTATTTACCCACCGATTTGGAATATCGCCTCATCTATCATGTATCCGTCAGCTTTCTGTTACTAGAGCGAATACCTTGAGATAATCGACTTAAAAAGACGAAAGGTTTTGGATGATACTTTGAGAGCTTTCAGTTCAAGCTCAGGTGCTTTGAGGATTGTGTGAGGTGGAGGAAGCTGGTCCCCTTGGGGTGGCCAGAAAGCAGAGAGGAGAGGCTGAGGTTCCAGGCCACTCCCCCAATGACCTCACTTCCTCCTCCTAAGCCCCACCCTTTAAAGGTCCCACCTCCTTCCAATAGCACCAAACCCGGAATTAAGCCTTCCACCCGTGTGGCCTTTGGGGGACATTCCACATCCAAACTGTAGCATACCATAAGGGAACTCACCCTTGGAGAAAGTGTGAATGCTGCTTCTCCTCCTCACCCGGTCGGGTTGGTGAATTCCAGGTGTCATAGTGTGGACTGGCATGGAACGCTGTTGGTGACAAGAATTCTTGTAAAACTCCACCTGTTATGATGTGTGAGTTTGTCCCTTCAGCACGTTCAGCCCTTGTGCGCTGATAAGGAGACTCAGGGAATCCTCTCTGTAGTTGGTGGTGGGTGACATGGCGTGGGAGTAAGGTTGGGTACATCTGCCTGGTGGCCCAGCCATTGGTAGGTTTGGGATCTTGGGTGAGTGGGTCTCATCCTTTGAGCATCTGTGGGAGGAGGAGCTGGGCTACCCACCTGCAAGAACTGGGGGAAGCGTGGAGAAGGCAGGACGAGAAGGTGAACTGGAAGAAGCCCTACTGTGTGTCTGCCTCCCGTACACCATCAGGACCCCGGCCACTCGTTTGCCCCCAGGGCCCATGTCCTGGGAGTGTGTCCACCCACTGTCCACCCATATATTTATCACCTATCGATTTGTATGTATTTCATCTGTCCATAGTCCATTTCTCAAGTATCTACCCAAACATCCATTCATCCATCTATCATATCTATTATCTATCTGTTATCATCCAACCATCCATCAGACCACCCACCTGTCGTACGCATCCATCCACCTATCCACACAGCCACGTATCTATCCTGCTATCTGTGAATCTATCCAGCAATTCCTATGTGTCTAAGTGGCCATCAATTAATCTATGGATCCATTGGTCTTTCTATCCTTCTATCCATCTGTGTGTGTGTGTAGACAGAGACATAGAGGAAAAAGAACACCCAGGGTACAACCGCCCAGCACCAAGTCTACCCAACCCAACCCACATCTGGGAACAATGTGTCAAATTACTATAGCTTTCTTTTTCTTTTCTTTTTTTAAAGAGTGAGAGAGAGAATTTTCTAATATTTATTTTTTAGTTATCGGCGGACACAACATCTTTGTTTGTATGTGGTGCTGAGGATCGAACCCGGGCCGCACGCGTGCCAGGCGAGCGCGCTACCGCCTGAGCCACATCCCCAGCCCCTTACTATAGCTTTCTATCCACCATGTAAATCTACCTACCATCCATTTGTTTCTACGTATTTCATCTGTCCATCTGTCTTTCTCCTTATCTCTATCTATCTGTCCTTCACCCATCCACCCATGCATCCACTCATCCATCTATTCATTCATTGATCTGTCCACCTGTCCATCCATCCATCCATGCACCCACACAACCAACCACCCACCCATCCATCAGTGCACCCATCCATTCATCTATCTACCCACCCACCCACTCATCCATCCACCCATCCACCCACCCATCCACCCATCCATCTATTATTCATTGATCTTTCAACACTTATCTGTCCACCTGTCCATCCATCCACTCATCTATCCATGCATCCATACAACTAACCAAACAACCAACCAACCATCCATCAGTACACCAATCCATCCATCTATCCACACACCCACCCATCCATCCACGCATCCATCCATCTATCCATCCACCCATCCATCCATCCTCCACCCATCCATCTGTCCATCTGTCACCCACCCATCCACCCACCCACCCATCCACGCACTGCATCCATCCATCCATCCACCATCTACCAATCCACCCAACCATCCATCCACCCATTATTCCACCCACCCACCCATTCATCCATCCACCCATCTACCAATCCATCCATCTATCCATCCACCCATCCACCCATCCATCCATCCACTCATTATTCCACCCATCCACCCACCCACCCACCAATCCACCCATCCATCCACCCGTCCATCCATCCATCCACCCACCCATCCATCCATCTACCAACCCACCCATTATTCCACCCATCCACACACCCATCCACACACCCATCCACACACCCATCCACCCATCCACCCACCCACCCACCCATCCATCCACCCACTCTTCCATCCATCCGCCCATCCATCCCATCATATCTATCCATCCATCTCTATGTTGTATCTATCCTTTTATTGATCTTTCTGTCCATCCGTCTATACGTGTGTCCGTCTACGTGGATAAATACCCAGATCGATGATATACATGCATGTGCAGACTTTTAAAACTCTCATTCTAGTCCTGTGAGAAGTGATTAAGGCACGGGTTCTTTTTGATCCACCTGAGCACCAAATAGAAGTGAGATGCGTGTGTTTGCGTTTACACACTTGTGCGTGGATATACATCCACCTGCCCATTAGGAAAATAGAACCTGCCGTCCTAGGGAGAAAATTGAAGTCAAATCTGTATGTGACTATTTCGGTGATCCTCCCTAGACGTGTAAAGCATTGCAAATTTTATTTACATGTGGTGCCATTTTTCTTCATCTTTTTTTTTCTTCTTTTTTTTTTCTTTTTTTTATTGGTTGTTCAAAACATTACAAAGCTCATGATATATCATCTTTCATACATCTGATTCAAGTGGGTTATGAACTCCCATTTTTACCCCAAATTCAAATTGCAGAATCACATTGGTTACACATCCACATTTTTACATAATGCCACATTAGTGACTGTTGTATTCTGCTGCCTTTCCTATCCCCTACTATCCCCCCTCCCCTCCCCTCCCATCTTCCCTCTCTACCTCATCTGCTGTTGTTCAATTCTCTCCCTTGTTTCCCAGCCCCCCTTTCCCCTCACAACCTCTTATATGTAATTTTGTGTAACATTGAGGGTCTCCTTCCATTTCCGTATGCTTTCCCTTCTCTCTCCCTTTCTCTCCCCCCACTCATCTTTGTTTAATGTTAATCTTTTCCTCATGCTCTTCCTCCCTGTTCTGTTCTTAGTTGCTCTCTTTATATCAAAGAAGACATTTGGCCTTTGTTTTTTAGGGATTGGCTAGCTTCTCTTAGCACAATCTGCTCTAACGCCATCCATTTCCCTGCAAATTCTATGATTTTGTCATTTTTTAGTGCTGCGTAATACTCCATTGTGTATAGATGCCACATTTTTTTTATCCATTCATCTATTGAAGGGCATCTAGGTTGGATCCACAGTCTAGCTGTTGTGAATTGTGCCGCTATGATCATTGATGTGGCAGTATCCCTATAGTACGCTCTTTTAAGATCCTCAGGGAATAGTCCGAGAAGGGCGGTAGCTGGGTCAAATGGTGGATCCATTCCCAGCTTTCCTTTTTTTAAGATGGCGCAGGAGCATTGAGGTTTTTGCAGGTGAAAGTATTTAATCTAACGAGTGCCGGTGGGGAGTGGGGTTTAGTGGTTAGGGATTCATTCTTAGGGGAAAGCAAACATGAACACAGTTACGGTTTCCAGCACCACGGACAAGCTAGGCAGAGTGTCACCTTGCCAGATTGTGTGACACCCGGCATGGGTTTAGTTTGGAGCCCGGGAGGCACCATCTTGCAGAAGTGAGGGCTGAGTGCGTGGACGGTGCAGCCTCTGTGGCTGCTTGACTGACAGCTGGTGACCCTGTGCGGTTGCTTGTGTCCCCCAGGTCCATGTGGCCGCCTCCGTCTCCAAGATTTCCATCCAGGAGAAGCTCAAGGAGCCCAGCCCCGAGGAGGAGAGGAAGAAGTGGGAGGAAGGTCGCATCGACTACATGGGGAAGGACGCCTTCGCGCGCATTCAGGAGAAGCTGGACCGCTTCCTACACTGATGCGCGTGCGTGGCGGCCACCGCTGACCCCTCCCGGGGGGAACCCTGTGCCTCTATTTATGATTCACCAACTCCAGTGCCTGCCCAGAGTTATGTAGATGCTAAAGGTCCAGCTCCAAGCCACCCTGGCTGCCCCCGAGCTCCCTACCCTGCCTCTCGGGCTTTCCTGAGAGGTCGATCCTTCCCTTTGTCAGCAAAAGAGAGCAAGCCTATAGCCCTAGTGGACCCCGGATGCTGGTCTCTGGTCTTACTGGAAAGAGTTCTCCAGTGCTGTGTAGCCTCAGTGCTGCCTGTCCAGCCTTTATGGGGTTCCACTTCGGTGCCTATCTTAATTATCTAATTATGCATACCTTAATTATCTGATTAACCTCATAACATTAGACTGCGTATTCCGTACCTCTGAGCCTGTCATCCCAGCAGCTCGGGAGGCTGAGGCAGGAGGATCTCGAGTTCAAAGCCAGCCTCAGCCAAAGGGAGGCCCTAAGCCACTCGGTGAGACCCTGTCTCTAAATAAAATGCAAAATGGGGCTCGGGGACAGGGCTCAGGGGTTGAGAGCCCCTGAGTTCCATCCCAGGTACCACAAAAAAAAAAAAAAAAAATGAAGACTCTCACTCGGAGGGGTAGCAGCTTGATCTGCACTAACAGAAACTAGAGATAGATGCTTTTTGCTAAGTGATGACATCAGCAAGCGGTGGGTGACCTCTGAGCAGTCCTTCCTCGGTCTCTGCATCTCTACCTCAGTGCCAAGTACCTTCGGTGATCACTCTCCAAAGCCATTTCCTCTGGGCTCCTCTGGGAGCACGCTCAGTGTCCTGGGGATGGGACAGCTGCTTCCAATTCCAAACCACCATTTCACACCTATCCTCATCACTGGCACCGATGCGAAGGGCTGCGTGTGTCACTGGGTGGCCATGATAGGGGATTGGGTTCTAGGGGATCCCTCTCCAACAGGCTGGGCTGGGACATGGTGAGAACACTGTTTTATGGTGTCTGTCTGTCTGTCTGGCCGGCCTCTGTCACTCAAAGCAGGTTGACCCTTTAGGGAGAGCCCTTGGGGTGAGCTCATGGTGTTGACTGAGGCGTCCGCTGATGATCCCCATCCAAGCAAAATCGTGAATATATCACAGAACAAAAGAGTGTTGGTGCTATGAAACCAGAAGCCTCCGTCGAGCAAACCAGATGGACGGTATTCCAGAAAATTCATACTCGTAAATGAATGTGCATCTCTGGAAATGGGAATTCGTGGCAATGGTTTAGTGGGCTTTCAGGATTCTAGCTCCATCTAGAATGTGACTGCACCCCCGGTGCGCGCCAGTCAACCTCCTTGGAAGAGCGCTGATGGATTTGAATTAAAGTCTTAAAAAGCCACGGAGTCTCCTCTTAAGTGTGCCTGCAAGGTTCTGAGCAATTGGGATCGTGTTTTAGAGGGCACAGCGGGAGGGGAGGTGGCTGCCTTGCTCCCAGGACAGATTCCAGTGGTCCGGTGGATTTTTCAGAATCCCTGGTGGTGGCAAAATGCCAAGCATCTTTACTTATGGTCCCTCTGAAGTCTTTTAAGGTTTTTCTTAGAGGAGCTTTTGGATTTGGGGCTCTGTGTTCTCAGTTACATTTATTTGTTCCTTCATTGCATGGTTATGGAGTTACCTCTATAGGCTAAGATATGCAATCAATCAATGCATGAGAAGTTTGAAAACACTTGAAAGAATCCCAAAACATCTGCATAAGGAACACAAAATAGGGCTGGGGTGTAGCTCAGTGGTACATGAGCTTTGGGACCTGAGTTCCTAGGTTTGCTCCCCGGCACCCCAAAAAGAAAAAAATATAAAAGGTATAAAATAATGTTATTGCCTGAAAACAAATGTCACCATTTGAGATGGTGGAGAGGGGTAAAGTTTGAAAACTATGGCCCCGTGCACAGTGATGCACTGCCGCAGTCTGGCTGGGCACAATTCAGGAGCCACTTGTCAAAAGAAATGAACTTTATTTTTAGAACACACACTGCACCACACAGCTCTTCAGGAAGTCCTCAGAGCCCAACTGCCACCACCGGCTTCCCACAAGCCTCTCAACCTCCCCCACTCCTCCTGCTCTTGAGGCCAATTGGCTGGGTCACGTGGGCAGAGCCAAAAAAGTCCCCCAATGAGCAGCTCCATAATCTGAAAGGGCGGGGAAACAGCCCAATGAGCATCACAGCAGAGGAGCCAATCAGCTGGCAGCTGGAAGTTTGCTGGGACCCCTTCAGCTGTGACTCTCAACAATGCACACCTGTCATACCAGTGGCTCTGGAGGCTGAGGCAGGAGGATCTCAAGTTGGAGGCCAGCCCCAGCAACTTAATGAGGCCCTGAGCAACTTAGCAAGACCTTGTCTCTAAATTAAAAAATAAATAAATAAAAAGGGCTGGGAATGTGGCTCTGTGATTAAGCGCCCCCTGGATTTAATTCTCAGCACCACAAAGTTGGGGAAACGGAGGCAGCTTGATCTTAAAACTGAATCCCTCAAGCTAGAAGTTGAAAGGACTGACATTTGCCCTGGGGCATCGTGGGTACAAATCACAAAGCATCCCTCCCAAATCTCCCGAGTCACTCTCCCCAAAGGGAACCAATCTCCTGCACTCTAACATCATTGACTGATCTTGCCCTACTCTGGAATTTCATGAAAATGGAGGAATTCCATGCCTAGCTTTATATGGCAAAAAATTTTTTTTATTATGGTGCCATATTCTAATGTACGAATCTCCCACATTTTATTAATCCTTTCTGGTTTGTTTTTCTGGAGTATTTTCCTATGTTGCACCTGTTAACTATACATCTTAATGGGATTCAGCAAGATGTTTTCATACATGCATATGCACGGCACGTGCTAACCCAAAACATGCAGTACTTCTCTTTCTGTGCCTGGCTTATTTCACAGAATATGATGTCCTCCACTTTCACCATGTGGCTGCAAATGATGGGGTCTCCCTCTTTTTTATAGCTGCATAATATTCCATGGTATATATGTACCCCATCTTCTTTGACCGTTCACCCATTGATTGGCATCTAACTACATGTGCTTTCTCTCATTGATGAGTACTTGTTTAGGACACTTATAAATGATGCTACCATGAAATCCTTGTCTGTTGTCAGAGTGGCTTCTGATTCCTTCAGAATGCCCACCGCATCCCAAATGGTAGATCTTTAAAATAATAGTAATCTCCTTCAATAGCTACTGCTAAAGTGGTCAAAGCAATTTGCACTCCACCAGCAACATTGTGACATTGAGGGCATTCCACGTCCCCTCTAGGTACTGGACCTCATCCATTCTTGCAGCGTAAGCTATTCTAGAGGATAGGTAGTTGTGCCTCATTCAGATTTAAATTTGCATTTGTCTCTGTTGAATGCTCCCCTTATTTCTCTGTGGCTGGTCTGGTTTCTAATCCCTTTATAGCCTTTCTTTATGTACAGTATATACTAGTCCTTTGTTGGTTATGTGCAGAGGGAATACCTCTTCCCAATCTGGGGCTTGTCTTTCTCTCTCTCTCTCTCTCTCTCTCGATGGTGTCTTTGATGAATTTGAAATATTGGCCCTTCATCTTGCGGACTCTGCATCACTAGATTCAACCGATGGATGGAAGATATTTAATTAGAAAATTATATCTATATTGAAAATATGCAGATTTTTGTCATTATTGTTAAACGATGCAAAATAGTAACTATTTAGAGAGATTTTCCTCTGTATTAGGTATTATAAGTCATCTAGAGACATATACTGTGTGAAGTTTAATGTGTGGAGCTTCTATGCAAATGTAATAACCTTTTATATAAAAGATTGAGCACCTGCAGATTTTATCTTTGGGTTCTTGGAATGGATCCTCCATGAATAGTGTTATGGTATAGTCATGAGATGTCCCTCAAAGCTCATAAATGAGACACTGCAAGAATGTTCAGAGGTGAAATGATGGGATAGTGAGAGCTATAATCCAATCAGTGGATTAATCCACTTGAATGGACTGACTGGATGGTACTGTAGCAGGTGGGGTGTGGCTGGAGGAGGGGGTCCCTGGGCTGTGCCTTTGGGGTTTCTATCCTGTCCCTGGTGAGCAGAGCTCTCTCTGCTCCCTGGTGCCCTGTCCTGAGCTGCTCTCCTCCTCCAGGCCCTTCCGCCATTTTGTTCTGCCTCCCCTTGGGCCAGAGCCATGGAGTCGGCCAACCACGGACTGAACCTCAGAAACCATGAGCCACAAATCAACTTCTCCTCTAAATTTGTTCTTGTCAGGTCTTTTGATCACATCAGAAAAATTTTAAAAACTACATAATAAGGTCTAATTTTATAGACCTTTGAGATGATAATTGATATGCTCATTCATTTCTACTTTGATTTATTTCTATTTTTATGGAAGAAATTAAACAAAATACAGAAAAGTTTAAAGAAGGAAAAAAGAATACCATTCTGCACTGCCCTTAAACTCAACAATGGCTAGCATTTTATGTTAGCTTGACACGTTTCTTTGTTATATATTTTTTTTGTTGAGCCATTTCAAAATAACTTGTGATTCTTCAGCTCTGAAGATTTTCAACCTGCAACTCCTAGGAATTAGGAGATCCTTCTGCATAACTGCTTCACTGTTACCTCACCTAAAAAATTAAATATAATTATTCCTCTCTCCTATTCCATATTTAAGCTCTCCAGATGTCTGCTAAGCCTTGCTCTTCAATGCACATCACCAACGCAGACAGTGACTCAAGTCTGCCGGGAAGTCCAAGGTGACAGTGTCACCTGGCTCAGTGTCTGGTGAGGGCTGTTGTCTACGTTCAACAAGGGAATTTGTTGTTGCATCTACCAGAGGGGAGGAACAGAAGGGCCAAGAGAAACCAAACTCCCTCCCAGAAAAATCTTTTCAAATTGCATTCACCCACTCATAATGGGGGAGCCTCAGGACCTCAACACTGCCCCAAAGTCCACACTCTGAACACTTTTATTGTGGATTCTATTACCAGCACCTGACATTGGGGGACACATTCAGACCCTAGGAGTCTACAGGGGACTGATGTTGAATGTCACACTTGGCAGGTAAGAGCTAATGGCCTCAATGGGTTGAAGCTGAGATGTGGCTCAATATCCTATACTGCCCAGGAAGGACCCCACCACTGAATGATCCAGTCAAATGGTGACATATTGTCATTGTTGAAAAAAATGGCTGTAGGATTCAGTTAAATTTTTTATTTTCTGTTTCCTTGCTCTGTGCTCCTGAATGCATGCCACTACCATGCTGTTTTGATTACTGCCGCTTTGTTGTGTATTTTTTTTTAATATTTTTTTCTTGTTGTTGGACCCAAGACTTTTATTTCATTTTTTTTTTAATTTTTATGTGGTGCTGAGGACCAAACCTAGTGTCTCCATGTGCTGAGCCCCAACCCCAGCCCCAATGTTGTGTATTTTTTTTTTAGAATTAGTAATAATTCTTTATTTTTTTAAATTTTTTATTTATTGTTTTTTTAGTTTTCGGCGGACACAACATCTTTGTTTGTATGTGGTGCTGAGGATCGAACCCGGGCTGCACGCATGCCAGGCGAGCGCGCTACCACTTGAGCCACATCCCCAGCCCCAATGTTGTGTATTTTTAAGTCGGTACATAGAACGCCTCCTACTTCATTCTTTTTGCTCAAAACACCTTTGCCTCTTTTGGGATTTTTTTTTTTTTTGACTCCTAGGAATTTTAGGATTGTTTTCTCTAGTTCATCAGTTCTTTGATAAAAATTGCATTGCATTTGTACCTGGCTTGGGGTAGTATGGGCATTTTAACAATATTGAGTCTTCCTATCCATGAACATGGGATGCCTTTTTCTGTGTATGACTCTGTCTCCAGTTTCTTTCCTCAATGTTTTATAATTTTTCATTACAGAGATCTTTCACTGCTTTAAGAAATCTTTGTTCCTGTGTTTAAGGAAGTTATTTTGCTTTTCTTTTGTTTTGGTATTTTGATGGAGAAAGGTTGATCAGTGAGTATCAACTTATTGTTAATTAGTAGTAACTTTGTGATGTACTATTGCACCTGAGCATGACTGTTAATAACAATAATGTCTGGCACATTTGGAAAAGTGAGAAGGAATTTGCATGTTTTTATCATAAAGAAATGATAGACATATAGAAATATAGTTGTTTACCCAGATTTAAACATTATGCAACGTACTCATGTAGTGAAACATCTCCTGGTACCCCATAAATATGTATAATTTTTATGTTTGTACATATTAGCTAAAATACATTTAAATTGTGATTTTTTTCATGAGATTGAGTTTTGAAAATTCCTGAATAATTTTTTGTAAAATGCCCCTGATTTGGGATTCATTTCATTGCTGATCCCAGAACTGAGGAAGAGGAGGGATCGTGCTCCCCTTCATGATGGGCTCCCTTGGAAAGTAGCTGATTTTATAATGTGTACCAGATTATAACCTATAAAAAAGTCCAGAGATATAGATCAATAGCTGCCCAATGGAGTCAAAATGACTCAAGGCTTTCCCTTCAGGTGTGGACTCAACAACTGCCTGGCATCCTGCAGTTACCCTTCTACCTTCCTCCTGCTGGAATGTGTATGAGATGTGTCATACTGTGGCAGTCATCTTGAGACCATGAAGCCAACTTTACCTGTTAAAAATGGTAGAGCCCATATTATCTAGGAAAGAACATACTCTTCTCTCATTTAAGACATTCTTGTTCCCAGTCTCCTCTAGTCCTCTCTAATCATTTAAGCAGTGAGTTCGTGACTGCCATCTAGGATTTCCAAGAGGAGAATTTGTTAATTCATTTTCTCTCCATGAATAAATGGCAAAAATCTGGTAAGTTACTCAAAGTCAGGGGGTGTACGTAGGAGAAGAATTTTGAACGTGGACTACAGGAACAAATGAAACCACCCAGGGAGAATCTATCAGAATTTCAGAGTCCTGAGAAATGGCCTTGTATCCTCTGTACCCATTGTTTCTGCCTCCTCTTGGGCCAGAGCCATGGAGTTGGCCAACCATGGACTGAACCTTGGACACCATGATCCCCAAATACACTTTTCCTCCTCTAAGTTATTCTTGTTGAGACTTGTGGTCACCATGTGGTAAGATCTGACTACAACAGCATCAATTTGAATGTTTTCCAGTTTGATGGAGTGGTTTTATCCAAAACCAACCTAAATCAGGTAAAAGATGAGGGAGCTCTTGCAGCCCATGCTCCATGACAGTTGCTATTTTGTCACTTTAATTTGTGTTGGGACTTCCCTGTTACTCTAGATGTTCTCCCGGATGGATTCTGAAGCCTGAACTCTATGCACCGCCTCCCTTGGCTCACATTCCCTGTGGCTGCAGGTTAAATCCAGCCAGCAAAGAACTTGGCTTAACTTTCCATCACTGTGACAAAAAAACTGGCGAGACCAATTGAGAGGAAGAAAGGTTTATTTTGGCTCCTGGTGTCCGAGTTTTGGTCCATGGTTGGCCGACTCCATGGCTCTGGCCCAAGGGGAACAGAACAAAATGGCAGAATGGCCTGGAAGAGGAGAGCAGCTCAGGACAGGGCAGCCAGGAAGCCAGGGGTTGGAGAGAGAAGGGGTCAGGCACAAGAATAATGTGTTCTTCAGTTCTTTGTTGCTGTGACAAAATACCTGAGCCAAGCAACTTAGATTTATTTTGGTTCACAGTTTCACAGATCTCTGTCCATAGTTGGCTGGCTCAGGGCTCTGGGTCTGAAGTAAGGCAGACCATTATGGTGGAAGGGTGTGGAGGAGGAACTCAGCTTAGGACAGGGCAGGAGGAAGGAGAGATGGGGGAAGAAAAGCCAGGGACAGGATATAGTCCCCAAGGCCACACCCCCAAGGAAGCATTTCCTCCAAGTAGGCTCCATGTCCTACCATCTCCCAGTCACCCGTTCAGCCCTCAATGGACTAACCCACTGATGAGCTCAGAGCTCTCGAGATCCAATCACCTCCCCAAAGCCTACCTCTGCACTCTTGCCCTGGGGACCACACTTTCAACACAAGAGACTTTGAAGGACATTCTGGATCTAAACCACAACAAAACCCTCTACCTATAATTCATTTCCCTCCAAGGACTTTAAGAGCCAGGGCAGGTAGGGTCAGCTGCCTGGTTAGCAGAACCCTCCGCCCTTGTCTGGGACCCTCGCCCAGGGAGACACTCTGCCCCCCTGATCTCTGGATGACAGAAGCTTCCATGGCTGGGTATCACAGTGGCTCCTTGGTTGGGTCCAATTTCAAGTTGGTGGCTAGAGACAGAACAGGAATGCATGTCCTGTGCTTGAGATGAGTGGCAGGAAGACCCTCGCCAAAGAAGTTCTTTGTTCAAGACCAGCAATGGGACAGCTGGGAACAGGTGCAGGGAGATCTGACCATAGCTGCCCGCCCAGAAGTAACTGGCCTCAGCAAGACCCACATTTACATGCTAAGAGATATGTTAGAGGGGGCCCTTATAGGATGTTAGGCCATGTGCAAATTGGAATAGGCTCACTGAGAGAGGGCTATTCAGCCAGTGTCAGTTTCTAGTCCCCAAACCTATATGTGCTGATTGCCCCTTGATTTCCTTGCTATGTGGATCAATGCAAGAAATAATGCTTACTCTGTGTTAGCTGGGTTGCATTTCTGTGCTGCAGGACCTCACAAACCTCCCTGCCTCCCTGTTCCCTCGAATACTGCTCTCACTTGGTCCCTGGTACGAAAGCTCTGGATTTTTAATTTATTTTTTAAACTCAGGGGTGCTTAACCACTGAGCCACACCCCCAGCCCCCTTTTTAAAAAAATTTGAGACAGGAGTCTTGCTAAGTTGCCGAGGCTGGCCTCCAACTGGTGATCCTCCTGCCTCAGCCTCCAGAGCCAGTGGGATTACAGGTGTGTGCCACCGCGACCTTAAATAATTGAAGCATGCAAGGTGCCTTTCTTTGATCTATCTGAAGGCTCTAGGGCTTTGTCCAAGGTGGAAACCATACATCCAGAGGCCTTCTGCTCTTTTGATGATCATTTGCTAATAACAGGTACTGGTATTTGCGTGTGCTTCCCAGCAGGATGAGATAAAGGGTGTTTCTTCTGGCAGTTTTAGTGATACATCAAAAACCTCGGCCCACTCAAGGAAGCTGTTCTCATTTATATGCCGCAGAGACTTACTCTTGCTTCACGAGAGCCAGGTATTTCTCAATTTCCGGTTCTCTCTACAGAGAGCTGAAAGCCAAAAGTTGTGGGTTCTGTGATAATTATCCTTCACAGGGACAGACTCAGAGGAGAGGAGGCCTCTTAGTTCTGGCTCTATCCTATTGCCTGGATTGGGTATGGGAGGGCCAGGGCTGCAGCAACCCTCCTGACACCAGGGGGCCCACTCTCCCATAGTTAGGGCAGTACAGCAGGAAGTTGGGATGAACTTGTGTCCCTCTGGGCCTCCCATTTCCTGGGAGACATTATCCTGCAATCTTGTTGAAAGTTTTCTTATTCTCTGGGACTTTTGTGGATAGCCTGGAGGCAATTTCTAAGTCACACAGCAAGGGTACCAAGACAGTGACCCCAAGAGGTGGCCATGAGGGTCAATCCTCGGCGATCACTGATTCCCAAGCACAGAACAGGATCTTTACTCGGCCAACCTAAGTGGACTGGGTGCAGACCCGTTTGCTTGGCCTGTGGTCAGGCTAGGTGTTCCCAATGCAGCTCTGTGGTGATTGGCAGCTGAGGGGACAGGAAGTCAGCCCCTGTGAGACCCCAGGGTCAGGAGAGGGGTGGTCCCTGGAATCCTCTCAGAGCAAGATGGCTCAGTGACCCACTCCCGGCTGCCGCAGGGTCCTCAAGGGGGGAACGGGGGAGGGGTCTCCTTGGAGACGCTGTCCCCTGGTGGCCCTGGGACACCTTCTCATGGCGCTGGCTCTTGGGAGGAGCTGTCCCCGTCGTCGCTGCTGCAGGAGCAGAAGGGGAAGGTGCCGCAGCAGGGCTGCAGCCACGGCTTCCACAGGACGTTGCCCAGGGTCAGCTGCTGCGGGACAGGACGCAGGGTCCCCCGGTGCCGCGCCACGGCCTCGCCCACGCGCTGGACCACGGCGTGGAACAGCGGCTCCGAGTCGGGGGACAGTGGCCGGGCCTCGGAAGGGTCGCTGGAGAGGTCGAAGAGCAGGGGCGGGCTGTGCTGGGTGACGCCGTCCCCGGAGCAGGGGCACAGATGCTGGTTCCCGCAGGCGCCCGAGCCCGCGGGCTGGAACCTCGGTGTCGTGTAGTGGACCTTCCAGAGCCTCCCACCTGTGGGCATAGCGGCGACAGCGGCGCGGCTCAGGGTGGCCCTGCGCCCCACGTCCCTGTCCAGGTCGCCGGTGTCTATGGGCGTGCGCCCCGGCAGACAGGGTAGGCGGCAGAGGGACTCGGGGATGGACAGATGGTCGGACACAGGGTTGGGATCCGCGCAGGACAGGTGATATATGTATAGACATGGTGGGGGGGGGGGGTTGACAGACAGATATATATATATATAAAATCTCTGTGCATTTATCAGTCATCTAGGTCCGGCTGTCTGTCCACCAATAATCTATCATCTATTTTTTCTATTCTGTCTATTTACCTTCCTAACTTCTGTTAATTATCTATCTATCTATCTATCTGTCTATCTATCTATCCATCCATCCATCCATCCATCCATATCCATCATCTACCTACCTATCTGTCCAGCTATTCATTATCTGTGAGTCTGTGTACCTGTCAATCATCTCTGCCAGCACCCGACCATTCTATCTATCTATATGTCTGACTCTCTGCACCCATCTGTCAATCATCACCACCCGTCTGCGCATCTGTGTATCTCTGTTTGATGGTCAATCATCTCTCCTTGTCCATCACCTAGCAATCTTTCCACGGAGCATCTGTGTATCTGTGCTTCTATCAATCATCCTGATGGGAGTCTGGATGTCCCTGTGAACGCAGGTTTTCAGATGAGATTAGCATGTACATCAAAATAACTAGACAAAAGCAGGGGACCCCCCTAGATCAGCTGTGCATATACCTATTCTTTAGATCCATCTCTATGTCTATCCATCCACATAGCATCTGTCTATCTACCTATCCATCTACCCATCCACTCATCTATTCATCATCTATCTATCTATGTATCTATCTATGTATCTATCTATCTATTCTCCTGCTCATCTATCCATCCAACCATCCATCTATCCACCCACCCATCCAACATCCATTTATCCATCCATCCATTATTATCTATCTATCTATCCATCCATTCACCATCTATCTATCCACCCTTCCATCTATCCATCCATTCATCTATCCATCCATCCACCCATCATCTATCTATTCACCCTCCTGCCCATCCATCCATCCACCAATCCACCATCCATCTATCCATCCACCCTCCCATCCATCCATCCATCCACAATACATCTATCCACCCACTCACCATCATCTATCTACCCGTCCATCCATCCATCTATCCATCCAACCATCCATCATCTAGCTAGCTAGTGATCCACCCATCTATCCACCAATCCATCATCCATCTATCCATCCATCCATCATCCATCCATCCATCCATCCACCCACTCATCCATCCATCTATCCTTCCACCCACTCATCCATCCATCTATCCTTCCACCCACTAATCCATCCATCTATTCATCCATTCCCCCATCCATCCATGTATCCATGTATCCATCCATCCATCCATCCATCTACCATCCATCATCCATCCATCCATGTACCCATCTACCCATCCACTCATCATCTATCTATGTATTCCAGCTATCTATCTATCTATTATCTATCTATCTATCTATCTATCTATCTATCTATCTATCTATCTTCCTGCCCACATATCCACCCATCCATCCATCCATCCATCCATCTATCCATCTTCCTCCCTCCTCCGGCTGCATCTCCCAGCGCCCCCTGGCGCCCGGCAGCAGGACCTGCGGTACTCACTCTCCCTGTGGTGCCAGCGGGCCGCGTGCAGGAACTGTCCACAGTAGTGGAAGAGGAACTCGTGCTCAGAGTGCTCCACATCTCCTCGCAGCAGCGGTACCAGGCTGCGGCCGTCAATCACCCTGATTGATGCAGAGAGCAAGGGCGGGGTCAGACCAAGGATGCTCAGGAGCAGTGACGGCCAGTGGGGGGATGCGAGCCCGGGGCTAGAAGGGCCCCAGATGAGTGCGTCACGGAGACTCCTCAACCGAGTGGCGCTGGGTATTCTAACAAGAGGCCTGTGGTATTCTAAGACACAACGCCATCTCGTAGGCAGCACCCCCTAACCATTATGCACACCCGCCCGCACCCTGCCATGACCCTGGATATGCATGTAGAGTCTCCTGAGTCCAGCCAGACAGCCAGGAAGTCCTGCTTTGTGATTTTAAAAAAATCTGAATATTGAATGTAGAAATGCAAGTGTTTTCCTCAAAAAAATATTTTAAGCCTATTAATTTATTTTTGCAGTGCTGGGGGTGGAACCCAGGTGCTCACCCCTGAGCTCAAGGTCCCCAGCCCTGTTTTTTTATTTTTAGTTGGAGTTGTCCCTCAGGGTCCCAGGGAGGCTCGGTGCCAGGACCCCTGTGGATACCCAAACCCAAGGGTGCCTACATCTGTTCCATGAGGAGACAGGATGTCCTCCTAGGACCCACGGATCTCCTCCTGCATGGAATTGCTGTAGTTTAGGGAATGAGACCAGAAAAATATCTGTCTGTGTTCAGTATGACTCAGTTCTTAAAATACTTCCCATGTGGACTTGGTGGAATTGTCAACACAGAACCCCAAGACACAGAGCACTGGGTGTATAATCATGTGGCTGGGAAGGTATTTGGTGGATGAGAGCAACCACCAACATCATTTGAGTTTAGGTTGAGCTGCTAACCCACAATAACATTGGTGGGCATTGTCTAAGTAGTTGAAGGCCTTCAAGGCAAAGAACAGGTCTACTGGAGAAGATGGGATTTTTTTGGTCTCAAGACTGGCATAGAAATAATGTCCAGGGGTGCAGTCTGCTCCCTGAGGGCAAGGCTTTTGGATTTACTACTGGCTATCACACGCCCGTGAGCCAGCTCTTTAAAATAAATGTCTTCAGTAGACAGATTGACAGAGGATAGATAGATAGGTGACAGATGTAGACAATGAATCGATAACAAATGTTAGATACAGAGATGGAAGATGGAGGGATGTTGATAGACAGCAGATAAAAACATGATGGATAGGTAGTTAGATGATGGATAGATAAATGATAGGTTGATGATAGATAGATAGATGGCAGATAGATAATCTCCACGGAGACATATTTTTATACACACACATACCCTAGTGACCAATCTGTCTTCAGAGACCTCATGATCCCCTGATATATAATACGAAAATTCTTCCACGGAGTGAGAAGTTGGGGGGACCCTAGACCTTCCATTAAATAGGAGAACTAGTCACTGTAAATGTAGTTGAGAGCAAATCAGCACCAGCATACTGATTTTCCCCTCCCTCCCTTCCTCCCTAGTGCTGAGCATGGAGCCCAGGGTCTCTCAGTGCCAGGGAACTTTGCCGGTGCTCACCACTGAGCTGCACCCCAGTTGTCATAGAGCATTCCTTAGTGGCATTTCCAGCCCTGAACTGAGAGCGAGGGGGGCTCATAGGAGGGAGGGAAGACGACCTTGTGAACACGGACCTGTCCTGGGGCACCTGGCCGCCCCCCAGCTGGACCACGGTGGGGAACACGTCCATCAGGCTGGTGGGCTCCTGGATCACACGGCCAGCGGGCAGCACACCAGGCCACCGGAAGATCCCAGGGACTCGGATGCCCCCTTCCCAGCCACCCATGCCTTTGCCACCTGCCAGGAGATGACATCAATCATGGTTGGGCCTCTGCAGGGACCGTCCTACCCTAAAGAGGTGTGTGGCTGAGGACGTTAGGGGTGGGGACCCAGCAGGCAGGCATAAGGCAGGGCGCCATCTTCCTCCTTTTCCATCTCTACATCCACCTCCTTCTTCTCCATCTCTTCCTTTACTATCCCCTCCTCTTCCTCCTCCTCCTCCCTCTCCTTCTCCTCTTCCTCCATCTCCTCCTCCTCCTCCCTCTCCTCCTGCTCTTCCTACGCCTCCATGTCCTCCTAGTCCTCCATCTCCACGTCCTCCTCCACCATCTCCTAGTCCTTCTCTTCCCTCTCCTCCTCCTCCTCCTTACCTCTTCTCCTCCTCCTCCTCTTCATCATCATTACTTATCCTCCTCCTCCTCTCTCCTCCTCCTCCTCATCAACATCATCATCTCTCTTCTGTCTCCTCCTCCTCCTCCTCCTCCTCCACCATCTCCTCCTCCTTGTCCTCCCTATCCTCCTCCTACTAGTCATCATCTGTCCTTCTCCTCCTCATCTCTCCTCCTCCTCCTATTCCTCATCATCAGCTCTTCTCCTCCCCCTCATGTTTCCTCCTCTTCCTCTTCCTCATCATCATCATCTCTCCTCCTCCACTTCCTCCTCCTCCATCTCCTCCTACTCCTCCACCTTTTTGTCCTCATTTTCCATCTCATCCTCCGTCTCCTCCCTTTCATTCTCCATCTCATCTCTCCTCCTCCTCGTCATCTCTCCTTCTCCTCCTTCTCCACGTCCTCCTCCTTTATCTTCTTCTGCTCCTCCTCCCTCTCCTTTTCCTCCTCCTCCTCCTCATCAACATCATTATCTCTCCTCCATCTCTTCCTCCTCCTCCTTCATCTCCTCCTGTTCCCCCTACTCCTTCCTCTCTTCTTCCTCCTAATCCCTCTACTCCTCCTACTTCTCCTCCTCCATCTCCTCCTACTTCTCCTCCTCCATCTCCTCCTTTTCCTCCTCCATTTCCTCCTCCTCCTCCTTCTCATCCTCCTCCATCTCCTCTTCGTCCATCCCCTCCTCCTTCTTCTTCTCCCTCTCCTTCTCTTCCTCCTCCTCATCTCTCCTCTTCATTTTTTACTTATCATCATCTGTCCTACATCTCCTTCTCTTCCTCTTTCTCCTCCTCCTTCTTCTCATCCTCTTCCTCCTCCTCCCCCTTCTTTCTTCTCTCCTTCTCCTCCTCCTCCATCTACTCCTTCTCCATTCCTTCCTCCTTCTCCTCCCTCTCCTTTTCCTCATCTCTCCTCCTCCTCCCCCTCATCATCATCATCATCATCATCTCTCTTCCTCCTCCTCCTTCTCCTTTTATTCCTCCTTCCCCTCCTCTTCATCCATTTCCTCCTCATCCATCTCCTCCTTCTCCTCTATCTCTTTCTATTCCTCCTCCATCTCCTCCTCCTCCACCTTGTGTCCCTCTCCTCCATCTCCTCCTCCTACCTTTCCTCCTAGTTCTCATCTCTCCTCCTCTTCATCTCTCCTCCTCCTCCTCCTCATCATCATCATCATTCTCCTCTTCCCCCTACTTCTTTACCTCCTCCTCCCCCTCCCTCTTTTCCTCCTCCACCTCATTTTCCTCCATCTCCTCCTCCTCTTCTTCGCTCTCCTCCTCCTCCTCCTCATCATCATCATTATCTCTCCTTCATCTCTTCCTCCTCCTCCTCTTCCCCCTTCTCCCTTATCTCCTCCTCCTTCTCCTGCTCCTTCTCATCCTCCTTTTCCTAATCTCACTCCTCCTCCTCCATCACTTCATTCTCTTTCTCCTCCTCTTCCTCCTCCTCCTTCTTGTCCTCCCTCTCCTCATCATTCTTTTCCTCCTCCTCCTCCTTCTGCATCTCCTCCTCCTTCTTCTTCTCCTCCTACTGCTCCTTCTCTTCCTCCTTCTCATTTCTCTCCTCCTCTTCCTTCTCCTCCTCCATCTCCTCTTCCTTTTTCTCTTCCATCTTCTATTTCTCCTCCTCCTCCTCCTCCTCCTTATCCTCTTCCTCCTTCTCCTCCTCCTTTCTCATTTCCCTCCTTCTCCTCCTCTTCCTCCTCCATCTCCTCCTTCTTCTCCTCTGTCTCCTCTTCCTTTTCCTCCCCTCCTCCTACTCCTCCTCCATCTTCTCTTCCTCCTCCTCCGCCTCTTTCTTCTTCTCCTCCTTCTCCTCTTACTCCTCCTGCTCCCCGTTGTCCTCCTCCTCCTCCTTCTGTCCATTGTCCTCCTGCTCCTCCTCCTTCTCCTTCATCTCCTTCTTCTCCCCCATCTCCTTGTTCTTCTTCTCCCTCTCCTCTTCCTCCTTCTCATCTCTCCTTCTCCTCCTCTTCATCATCATTATCTCTCCTTTTCCTCCTCCTCCGCCTTCTCCTCCTTCTCCTTCTCCTCCTTTTCCTCCATCTCCTCCTCCTCTATCTCCTCCCCCTCCTCCTCCCCTCCTCCTCCTCCTCTCTCCTCTTCCTCCTCATCAACATCATATCTCTTTTCCATCTCCTCCTCTTCCTTCTTGTCTTCCTCTTCCTCCTCCTCTTCCTTCTTTCTCTCCTCCTCCTCCTCTTTCATATCCTCCTCCTCCTCCATCTCCTCATTTTTCTCTCTGTCTTCTTCTTCTCCTCCTCCTCCTCCATCTCATCCTCCTCCTTTTCCTCCAACTCATCCTCTTCCTCCATCTCCTCCTGCTTTTTCTACTCCTGCTTATATCGTCCTCCTCCTCATCTCTCTCTCCTCCTCCTCCATATCCTCCTCCTCCAGCTCCTCTTTCTCCTCTATTTTCTTTTTTTTCTCCTCCCTTTCCTCCTCCATCTCTTCCTCCTGCTCTATCTCCTCCTTCTCCTCCTCCATCCCCTCCTCCTTTTCTCCCTCTCCTCTTCCTCCTCCTCTTCATCATCATCATCTCTCCTCATCCTCCTCCTTCTTCTCCTTTTCCTCCTCTCCCTCCTTCTCCTCCTCCTTCATCTCTTCCTCCTCCATCTCCTCCTCCTTCTTCTCCCTCTCCTCCTCCTCCTCCTCATCCCTCCTCCTCCTCCTCATCATCATCATCTCTCCTCCACCTCCTCCTCCTCCTCCTCTTCCATCTCCTCATCCTCCTCCTGCTCGTTCTTCTTCTCCCACTGCTCATCTCCTCCTCCTCCTCCTCCTCCTCCTCCTCCTCCTCCTCCTCCTTCTCCTCCTCCTGCTCATCTCTATCCTCCTCCTCCTCCATCTCCTCCTTTTCCTCCTCCTCCTCCTCCTCCTCCTCTTGCTCCTTCTTCATGTCCTCCTCCTTTTTTTATATCCTCCTCCTCCTTCTCCTCCTTCTTCTCCTCCTTTTCCTCCTTCTCCTTCTTTTCCTCTTCCTCATCTCTCCTCCTCCTCCTTCTCCTCCTTCTTTTCCTCCTTGTACTTCTCCTCCTCCTCCTTTTTCTCCTCCTCCCACTCTCCTCCATCTCCTCCTTCTCCTCCTCCATCTCCTCCTCCTCCTCCTCTTCTTCATCATCATCCTTCCTCCCCCCACTTTGTAGTCTCCTTGCTCTGGCATCTCAGATGCGGGCTCCTTTGGCTCCCTGTCCCCGTCCCTTCCTGTGGCCAGCCCCTCACCTTTATAGATCCCGTTGTACCCCCCCAGCTGCTGGTGTTCTTCTGTGGCCTCCAGTAACCCTCCATGATCAGAGGCAAAATAGGTGAGCGTGGAGTTCTTCAGACCGTTCTCGTCAAGGGCGTGGAGGACTTTACCTGTGGAGAAGGTGGAAGGTGTCAGAGGGAGCGTCCACACTGGGTCTCAGCTGGTGGCATGCACTTCCCATTCTGTGGGCAAGCCACCTCATTCTGGACAGTCACAGAAAGAGCCCCCTGCCCAGAGCTCACAGGGGCATGTGTGATCACGGTGCTGAGACTGTTTTGCCCAGGTCTGCTTAGCACCGTGTCACCTCGAAAACCAGGAGAGACTTGCAAAGAAATATCCAGGATGTCGCCCGGAGGCGTGGTTTCGACGTGCGGTGCCTGTGGGGGTCAAGTGCCCTAATAAAAGTGTGAGAGGGTGGCTCGGGGCAGGGAAAAGCAATGACAGATTCCGGCCCACGTGGAAGGAACCACAACCAATAGCAGTCAAATATATGATGGCCATGATCAGCAGAGCAGGGGACACCTGCAAACCCAGCAGTAGCTCCCTGCACCATGGAGACCAGCGGTCCTTCCTACCACTGAAGGCACAGAGGCCAATTCACGAGGGATGTGAGCTGCTGTCCTCCTTGGGGACATCTGCCTCTCACGTAGCTCAGATGTCAGAATGTTTGTGCGAGGACGTGTCACCTGACCTGCGGGGGCTTCCACGTCTCCAAGAAATCCTCACAGATGGAAGGGTCTGCAAGTTCTTGCTTCTCTCTAGCCCTGAAAGCAGAGCCCCTTTTCTCCACGATGCTGAAAGCTAACGTTGTCTCTCTGCTTCCTGTAACCACTAAGGGTGACGCTGAATGACAGCTTCTCACAAAACTGATTGCCAACAAAATGATTGGTTTCGTGCAAAATTAGACTATCACTGGGAATAAGTGAACAAACAAGGGACAGGATTTGGGGTGTACTCTCCCCCATTCTTGATCTTGACTTACCTACAAACCAGTCCATCTCCTCCACGTTGTCTCCATATAAACCATGGCGGCTTCTCCCAAGGAAGGCTTTCGAGGTCACCAGAGGAGTGTGGACGTGCATCAGGGACACAAAGAGGAGAAAGGGCCTGTCCTTGTTTCTGAAAGAAGAAAACCACTTGAATTATGGATGGGAGATGATGGCCTCCACAGTGGACCTTGAATCTGATGCGTCCATGACCTGGGGTCACCTGCTGGGATTTCACTGTGAGGGGTCCCCCAAAAATTCAGGGGTGAGACCATGCAAGAAAGTTCACAGGTAAAAAGATTAGATTATAAGAGGTGTAACCTAATCAGTGGATTAATCCACTTGCATGGACTAACTAGGTGGTGACTGCAGCAGGTGGGGTGTGGCTGGAGGAGGGGGTCCCTGGGCTGTGCCTTTGGGGTCTCTGTCCTGTCCCTGGTGAGCAGAGCTCTCTCTGCTCCCTGGTGCCCTGTCCTGAGCTGCTCTCCTCCTCCAGGCCCTGCCGCCATTTTGTTCTGCCTCCCTTTGGGCCAGAGCCATGGAGTCGGCCAACTACGGACTGAACCTCGGACACCATGAGCCCCAAATAAACTCTTTCTTGTCTATTGTTCTTGTTGGGTGTTTTGGTCACAGTGGCAATTTTGTCTGAGTAAAACAGCATCCATGGTCAGTATAGTACAGGAAGAAGTTTTGAGAGGGAGGGATGGGACACCTCTCCACCCACCTCGTATTAGAGAACATTGCCACATTTACTCCATTATATTATTAGGTGCTGCTAATTCTGACTTTCCCTGATTTATAAATTAAATATCTTCACAGGTATGTATGCATATGGAAATAGCTATATATTATAATATATGTATGAATATTGATTTATAACATATATATGAATGGTTGGGTACTCTCCGGGGTTTCAGGCATTCCCTAGGCCTTGGAAGGAGTCCGCGGTGCATGACCACTACTCTGATACTTTCCAATGCAACCCCAGTAACTCAATACAGAGACGTGAGTGTGGAAACCAATTCATAGGAAGAGGTCAGACCTTTCCTTTTTCTTCTTTTTTTTAGCACCAGAGATGGAACCCAGGGGTGCTTCAACACTGAGTCCCATCCCCAGTCCTTTTGATATTTTATTTACAGAGTCTCACTGAGTCTCTTAGGGCCCCACCAAGTTGCTGGGGCTACCCTCCAACTTGCCATCCTCCTGCCTCAGCCTCCCAAGCTGCTAGGATGACAGACGTGGGCAAAGTGACTCCATAAAGAAATCCTGCAGCATATACACTGTGGAATACTATGTATCCATGAAGAAGGATAGCTTCCTTTCATTTGTGAATGAAGTGTGAGGTTGGACCTTTCCAATACACCTGTTGCTATTGGACCCCAGAGTAGCTCATGGCTCAGAACCTGCCCCCCCCCATCGTGAGGGTCCCCACCTTTGGATGTAGGCCGTGGCTTCCTGCAGCATCCGTCGGGTGGTGCTCCCCACATCCATGGGCTGCTCGGTGACCTGGTGGTTCCGCATGAGCACGCAGTTCCAGCGACGCACGAACCCACAGCTGGAGAACCACGTGATGAAGAAGAGGAAGACGAGGCTGGCCGCGCCCCCAACTACCGTCCAGGGAACCGAGAGGAGGCCGCTGAGCTTGGCGGCGGCAAGCGTCAGGACGCCCAGAGCCAGGACGCGGGTGTAGCGGCTGAACCGGGCAGCCACGCTGACCCACAGGTCGGGGGGCCTGTCGGGGTCGCAGTCGTTGATCAGGGTGAAGGGCAGGCCGTAGAAGTAGTCAAAGCCGTGGTTCAGCGGGTGGTGGCAGTGGTCCCCGCGGGATGCGCAGCTCACTCCCTGGTGCCACTTTCCTGCAGGTGGGGGTGGGTGGTCAGCCGCACCAAGGGCGCATGCGTTGCCTGGTACAAAAATCCCCGGGGCCATTTCGATGCGGTCAAGGGAAAGAAAACCTCCAAAAGAGCAGATCCTGAATCAGCGGAGGCCATGAGTGACCTCAGCCAGGATTTGCTTTTGGTTTTGGTACCAGGGATTGAACTGAGAGCCCCATCCCCAGCCCTTTTTGTGTTTTCTTTAGAGACAGGGTCTCGCTGAGTTGCTCAGGCCCTCGCTAAATGGCTGAGGTGGGCCTCCAACTTGCGGTCCTCCTGCCTCAGCCTCCCAAGCTACTGGAATTACAGGCGGCGGAGCCAGGCTCTGAAGAACTTTCTGATTCCTTGAGGCTGAAGAAGATAGACAGGTCCAGAGAAGGAAAGAGGACAAAGAATATATCAAAGAACCTTGACCGTCTGCAATGAGGAGAACTTCTGAACTGGAAACCATCCGAGAGCGCCAGAGCCGGGCCAGGTACCGACTCGAGAGGCGGAGCAGGATGAAAGTGTTTTTTTTCCTCTGGAGGAAATTGGTCCCTCCGCAATTGGATGGGAGGGGAATCAGGCGTCCGCATACCTACGAGGCCGGTGGCATAGCCTTGCTGCTTTAGGATTTTTGCAAAAGTGGTTTCGTTGGCAGGAAGCCCGCCAGAGGCCGCGTTCCAGTAGAGGACCCGGTACTTATCGTTGTCCATTCCTGTGGAACCGACAGCAGAGCAAGGTTCACGTTCCCTTTGCCAGGAACAGGTCTTAGCAAAGGGATTCTGGGCACCAGGGGACAGTGGGCAAGGATCTGGCTGTCAGCACTCGGGGAAGGTCGGAGGTGGTGCTCTGGGTATGAGTGGGTGCAGATCAGAGAGGTTGTTAAATGTGCTATGGTGCACAGCATGACCCCACCACAGAGCACCATCCGCCCCAATGTCAGCTGCATAAGTTGGACACACCTTGCCTATCATGAGAACCGACCCAGTATCTATCTATCTATCTATCTATCTATCTATCTATCTATCTATCATTACCTATCATCCAGGTATCATTATGTCGCATCTATCCCCTTTCTATCCACACATCATTTATCTGTCACCTGTATGTGCATTATGTGTCTGTCACCTCTATATACCTCTATCACCCATCATTAGCTATCACCTGTTCCTCTATTATCTATTGACAGGATTGCTATCAATTGAGCATCATTGATACGTATTCCTTCATTGATGGTATCACCATCATCATCTATGGAGCATTGTCTATCACCTGTCAATCACCATATATCTGCTTCTCATCCACCAATGATGGTGGTCAACCCATCCCAGAAGGCTCCCTCCGTACAGCCTACCAAGGGCACCTACCTGGCAATTTGATGAGACAACAGCCGGTACATGGAAAATATCGGAAGGAAAAGAACCTTTCTCCTGCACCAGACATGCAGACATTTGTGTTGGGTGTTTTTTCCCTGAGTAATTTTTTTTTCTCTGAGTATCAGCACGATTCCCATAGAACCTGCATCGTGCTGCATGTCCCAGGTCAGCTAGGGACAATTTAGACCTCAGGAAGAGGTGTGTGACTCCCATTTGATTAACCCAGGGGTACCTAACCACTGAGCCCTGTCTGCAGCCCTATTTTGCATTTTATTTAGAGACAGGGTCTCACTGAGTTGCTTAGGGCCTCCTTTTGGCTGAGGCTGGCTTTGAACTCGTGATCCTCCTACCTCAGCCTCCCAACCGCTGGGATGACAGGCGTGTGCTACTGTGCCTGGCTTTGTGCATGGGTTTTAACAGCCACTGGGGGCTGAGGGTCCTGAGGGGGTGAGGGCATAGGATACCCTGTTCTGAGCACACACTGCAGGAAGGTGACAGGAGGGCACATTAGCCTTCACGTTACCAGTCTCTCGGAGATCGCTACCCAGATAGAGCAGCGATGGGGTCCAGGCTGCAGCCTGGAGCTGCTGTCCATGGTCCCTGGGACACCCACCTGATCGGAGGGCATATCTCCCGGTGAGAAAGGCAGCTCTGCTCGGGGTGCAGAGCGGGGCGGCCGCCAGGTGCTGGGTGAGTCTCACACCCTCCTCCGCCAGCCGGTCGATATTGGGGGTCCTGAGCAAATCAGATGAATGTCATTTGGGAAAGGGACGGGAACACACTGTGCTCCAGAAGAGGCCAGCATGGAACTTCCCGGGGAGGCATGGCACCTGTCTTAGTGCGCCCACTTCTCTGAGTTTGCAAAGGACAGATGAGGCTCACCCTGGGCGGTTCCTCCTACAGCCCTCCCCCACCTCAGCTGTTGCCAAAGCAACAAAGGGCCCCCAGATTTTGAATTTTGACTTTGGCCTGGGGGGGGGCTGGCACACAGACACCTTGCTGATTTCACTTTCGGGGGGTGATGAATGACAGATGTTGAACAGTGATTATAAACACAGGCTGCGTGAGAAGCTTTTGTCCAGCCAGGAATGAGGTGGGTTCTGAGTCCGCTGGAGGCAGTTTGGGCTCAGCCAGGACCTTGGGTGGGTTCGGGGTATGAAATGCACATCTGCGTGGTGACATTCTCCTCTTAGGGTGGGTTATGGGAGACCTCTGGTCACAATAACTCTGTGGTTACATCACAGGGCTTCTTAGAGGAAGATGGACTCCAACAAAATTACGTTTGAAGGAAGAGATGACCGATGTCACACACAAGGGCAAAGTTTTTGGCTTTTTCTTTTTTTTTGGGGGGGGTATGCAACCCAGGGGCTTGTGTGCTTTGAATATCCCATCAGCATTCCCGAAGGGTTCTCCCTGAGTTTCCTACCAGCTTTCTCAGGTGCAAAATTCAAAGAGAAGATGAAACACTTCACCTAAGAGCTTTTGCAGTCAGATGTGCAAAAATTGATTGAGAATCTCACTATAGATACGAATCCCAAAGGCAGTGACCCAGCCCCTAGAGCTCACTGAATTCCCCCGTGTACTGGCAGATGACAGGTGCTTGTCTCTCCCCTTCTACCTTGGAGGAGGCTGCATCTGGTGGGAGCGAAGCTATAGAAGCTCAGACCTTGTTCTTCATGCACCCAAAGCTGACCACCTAGTGGCCCCCCATAAGGACAGTTTTGTTCCCCTGAGGACAACTGGCAAAGTGCAGAGACACTGGGGGTGTCCCACTTTGGGATGTGGTGCTATTGGTGAGCAGCAGGTGGAGACCAGAAATGTTGTTCAACATCCTACAATGAACAGGATGGGCCCATCACAGAGAGTGATCTGGGCCAGTGTACCAGTAGGACCAAGGTAAAGAACCTTGTCAGTCCTTCCATCCATCCAGCCATCCAGCCACCCATGCACCCAAACAGCCAACCATCCATCCACCCATCCATCCATCCATCCTTCCACCCATCCACCCACCCATTCATCCACCATTCAACCATCCACCCATCTACCCATTTGCCCATCCAACCACCCATCTGCCCACCCATCCAACCACCCATCCATCCATCCATCCACCCACCCAGCCACCCATTCATCCATCCATCCATCCATCCATCCATCCATCCAGGCAACCATCTATCCATCCACCCATCCAGCCATCCATCCATCCATACATACATATATACATACATACATACATACATACATCCATACATACATACATACATACATACATACAGGCAACCATCTATCCATCCATCCATCCAGGCAACCATCCATCCATCCATCCATCCATACATCCAGGCAACCATCTATCCATCCATCCATCTATCCACCCATCCATCCATCCATCTATGCATCCATCCATCTATCCACCCATCCATCCATCCATCTATCCATCCATCCATCCATCTATCCACCCACCCACCCATCCATCCACCCATCCATCTATCCATCTATCCACCCACCCACCCATCCATCCACCCATCCATCTATCCACCCATCCATCCATCCATCTATCCACCCACCCACCCACCCATCCACCCATCCACCCATCTATCCATCCATCCATCCATCCAGGCAACCATCCACCCACCCATCTATCCATCCACCCACTCACCCACCCATCCACCCACCCACCCACCCATCCACCCATCCACCCACCCATCCACCCATCCATCCATCTATCCATGCACCATGGGTGGACAGGCAGATATACAAATGGATGATGCCTGGATGAAAACATGGACAGATGGGTGGGTGGAGGGATGGCTCGTTCATGGATGGATACATAAGATGCATGCTGATGGATTTGGGGTAAAATTCTAGTGATTTGCTAACCCTGAGAATAAAGGGCTCAGAACGGATTACAATTTTACAAGCCTGTGTGTAATCCTCTATACAGTTTAGCCAAAATAAGAAAATAACCCACACTCTCTACGATCCTCTGGCCTCCAAAGACCCCCATTCAGACCTTCTCCTTGACCCCCCATTTTTGCCCTAGTCTCCAGTCATACTGGGGATCAGGGTTTCTGTGAACACAGAATATGTGAGTATGTTTTGGACTCACTGCTTTCAAATCCTTTGGGTCTGAACCCAGCGGTGGCATTGCTGGGTCATAGTGTGATTCAGTCTTAAGCTTTTGAGGGGTCACCATATTGTTCTGCCAAGGGCCACCTGGAGCCCAGGAGCTGGAGAGGCAGGAGGAGGCTCCCTGGAGCCTGTGGAGGGAGCTGGACACTATTTTAAGAGGCAGGTCCTGTCCACACCTTGACCCCAGAACCTGTGAGTGGGACCTTGTATGGAAACAGGGTCTCTGCAGAGATCATTAGTGCAGGGTCCTGAGATGGGCTCCTCCTGGGTCAGGTGGCCCTCATGCCATGGCCATGTCCTCACGAGAGACAGAGGAGGGGACACACACCCAGAGGAGGAGCCACATGGAGAGACTGCAGTGAGGGGCCACCAGCCCAGGGCCACCTGGAGCCCAGGAGCTGGACAGGCAGGAGGAGCCCCCTGGAGGCTGTGGAGGGAGCTCAGGCTGGGACCCTGGTCCAGCTTCTGCCCTCCAGGGCTGGGGTGGGGGGGTGGTTCCTGGATTACTTTTAAGTCTCTTTGTCTTTGGTTATTTAATACAGCAGCCCCAGGAAAACCCTCACAAACTCAGCCCGGCCTCAAGTTGTTTGAGAGGGCTAAGACCCTGTTTTTACTCTTGGAAAAGAATCATGTGTGGTGCTGAGTTCTGGAGCACTAAGAAATTTCATTTGCCCTGGTCGATTTTAAGTGGATTATTCCCCTAAACTGCACACACACAGCACCACCCCACCACCCAAACCGCACTCTACCTCAGTGTACGGTTCCCATAGCAACCAACATCCCCGATGCCCAGATCATCTGCCAAGATCAGCAGGATGTTTGGCTTGGAGGCGTTCGGTGATTTCGGCTCACAGGTCTGCAGAAGCCAACATACAAGGAGGAGAAGCAGCGTGGAGTCCCTGCAGAGGAAAACAAAAGGCAGAAAATAAATGTACAGGATTTGGCATGCAAAGTATACACCATGCACATGTTGATGTCAGGGGTCTGGGGAGGGCTTGAACCGCACACTTATGATGCCAACTGAGCCCCAAGAGAATTATCCAGCTGTGGGAAGCCTCTGGTTTTGCATGGGGTCCAACAGCCCAAAGCGAACCAGGGTGGAGTCACTACTGCTAATGGCCACACAATCAAGATGACACTGAGAGGCCCATTTCCTCCCTGCACCCAAACTGGAGATTCTCAGCAAGCAATCAGAACCTGAGCCCTCATAATAAGAAGGTTCCCTCCACTTCAACCCCATGAAAACAGAGCAGAGGTCCCCTCTTTATCCTCCGGGGACACATTCCAGAACTCTCAGAGGAGGTAGAAAGTTCAGCTAGTACCTAACCCTATATAGACTATACTTTTCCAGTATATATAGATGCCTGTCATAACGTATGATTTATAATCTAGGCACAGCAAAGGATTAACAGGGCAAATCATAACCAAATAAAACAGTTTTAACAATGTGCTGTGACAAATGCCTGATTTACAAGTTTTGCACTTTCCGTTTTTTCCCACTTATTTTTGGACATCCGAGAACTGAATCCTGGGAGATTTCTGACCACTAAATTAAGGAACAGTTACTGAGTGCATTTGTGGTGACCTTTTGTCGCTACCAACACACCGGGGTGACCCTGGAAACACCCTTTCTTATTGTGCAAGTCATGGTCTCTTTGAGTTTGTTTTGTCACTAAATGGGTCCTCTGTGTTAAGGTCATTTGAGCTCAACTCTCAGTAAAGCGCGGACGAACTTGTCGAGAGTTGGGGTTCAGAGCCCAGGGCCTGCCGTTTGGGGTCCTCGGAGTGTCAGGAGGCGGCTGATGCTTGGCAGGCTCCTTAGCCCACAGTGCGCGGAGCCAAGGCTGCGCTAAGCGGCAGGCAGGGCACTGGGAGGACCGGACCAGCAGGGACACTAGGATTTTAAACCACAGATGGGGGATTCACAGCAACCCCAGAGACCAGGGCAGCAGGCAGAGAGTCCCTGAGCGTCTGAACAGGGGGCCAGGAGCCCCACCGCCCCAGCGGCTACTAGGAGCGTCACTGGCGGGTCCTGGGCTCCACCCGCCCCAGGACCCAGAAGGACTGGGTTGTCCCTGACGCGCTGGGGGTGGGGCAACCGGGGAGGGCAGGAGGGCAGAGTCAATGTGACGTCACAGTGTGTGTGTGGGGGGAGGGTAGCCTGAGGAAAGGGGCGGGGTCTGCGTAGATCTTGTGCGCCATCGGAGTGGGGGATCGCAGGCCAGTCTAACTGCTGGAGGGATGGGTATGCGAGGGCGCAGTGGGCGGACTGAAGGATCCAGAGCAGGACCCGCGAGTCCTAGTGGTGGGAGGGGGACCCAGCTGTGGCGGGGGCGGGGATGGAGGAGTCAAGGGTCCGCACCCTGCGGTTTTTAGTGGACGGTGGGAGGGGAGGTCATAAGTCCGTGCACGGCTGCGCTGGGGCGGGATGGGGAACTTGGGAGCCAGGAGCAGGACGGGGTGTGTCCTAGAGTGGGGGGGTGGTGAGTGGGCGTGCTGGGGGTGGGACAGGGACGAGCCTGAGTGTTGAGCACCGCGGAGCTGGGGCTGCGAGGGGGACGCGCCCTGGAGCTGGACTGCGCCTTCCTAGAGGGACCCAGGGTGGAGGGCGGTGCAAGGGCGTGCTCTAACATGCGCAGTGGACTGCAGGGGGCGGCGCAGGGGGCGTGTCCCAGAGGGGGCGTGCTGGGGGTGGGGCAAGGGGCGAGCCTCAGTGTGGGCGGGCAACGCAGAGCTGAGGCTGGGAGGGTTCGCGCCCAGGAGCCCACCAGGGCCTGTCTAGGGGGACACTAGGCCTTAAGGTGGGATGGCGCAAGGGGCGTGCCCTAGGATGGGGGGGAGGGCTGGACGTGCTGGGGGCGGGACCCGGGCGGGCCTTCGTATTGGGCACCGCCAAGCTGTCCCAGGGTGGACACAGGGGCCCAGGAGCGAATTGGGGAGTGACTTAGGAGGGAAAGGGGCGGCGCAGGGGTCCAGTGGCGGCCCTGGAGTTGGAGGGACCGTCGGTGCTGGGGGAGGGGAGAGAGGCCCGGCAGCGGGACAGCAGTGGCTTAGACTGTTCCTGGGGACTCCCCAGCAGCATCAGGGAGGGGGCGCGGGGCGTCCGGGGGGACTCAAGACAGGCCCCGAGTCGGGACCGTGTGGTTTTCTGGGAGTGACGGGGCGAGACGGCCTTATGGGGAGGGGACCGGACAGGAGTCTCAGCCTGGGTCAAGACCGTGTTGGGGGAGGAGCAGGATTGTGTCTTAGAGTGTGTGAAAGGCCATGGCTGGGGGTGGGGACCAGGGCGGGACACGGAGGGCTTCGAATTTATTGGGAAGACAGGGGCATCGGGCTGCGTGTCTTAAAAAATGTGTGTGGGGTGTGTCACAGCCGTGTCAGCGTGGGGCAGGGGAAGTGCCTTATAGAGACTGTGGGACCGTGGCCACCATGGGGAGGGGTCCCGGCTCCGAATGGGAGGGGCAGAGCGGGTCTTAGTGGGGGGACACTCCAGCGCATCTGTGTCGACCTGGTGTGGGGGGACAGAGGCCGTGAGGGGGCAGGGACCGGGTCTTGGAGGGGTTCGGAGGCCCGAGGGTCTCAGCGTGGGGAGGCGAGTCTCCGAGGCCCTGGGGTGGGGCGTCGCAGGCGCAGTTTCCGCAGCTCCACCCGGGGCCCCCCTCCTGCTCGGCCTGGACCCCCTCCTCCTGCTCGGCCCCCCACTCCCTCTGCGCCCCACCCCAGCGCTGCTCTCCGGGCTGCGCAGAGAATGCGCCCGGGGCTGGGTTTCGGTGACCCGCCATTTCCGGGCACCTCCGCTTCGTTCCCAGGGTCTCGCGCTTGTCCCCTCCCCAGGCCTGAGTGGCTCTGCATCAAGGAGTCCCGCGCACCTGGCGGTGGCCGAGGCGCGTCCCCTGGGCCTGCGAGCACTCTTCTGCGTGGATCCCATGGCTGAGTGCTGGCGCCGGGGCAGGACCTTGACCCCAGACCTGGGCATGATCCCGCCCACGCTGGCGTCTCCGCCCACCGGGCTGCTGGGCGCGCTCCTGGACCCCCACGGCTCACTTCATCCGATTAACCTCCCGACTCGGCCTGGGGAGTGGCGCCTGAAAACTGGTTCTCCGGGTCCGCACCGCCAGGTGAAGCTGGGGCTTCTGGAGCTGCTTAATCTGGATGGAGCCCGAGCAGGGTGACCGCCCCATGCAGGCAGGGCAGTTTAGGGAACCCTCCTCTTTTTTTATTCCTTCCAAGGGTCTTGGGACAGCCCCACCCCCCTCATAGAATTGGTGCGAATTCAGCTCCACCAGGCTCCGGTTTGGAATCTCCAGGGTGCTGGACTCTTGCTCCTTTGTGCACGCAGGCAGGGCCTGGGGTGAAGCCAGAATTAAACCGGCAGTCAGTATAGACAGGAAATGGAGTGAGGCCAATTTTGATGAGTCTGGCAAGTTGGAGACTGTTCCTTGAGGGATTGAAATGTTAGTTCCTTCAGAGCCCTTCCTCCACCCTTATGGAGCACCTGCCCTTGAGCCAATCTGCTGCTAAGATAGCTTGTCCCAGGAATTGCCCCTCCCTACAGGGAGCTCCAAGGTTTTTGATTAATTGTCCTTGGCTGCTCCACCCTGCCCTTCCCCCTTCAGCTCATCTGGTTCCCACCTTTTGACCAGCTCAGGAGCATCCCTGGGCCTAGTCAGGTTCCTAGGAAGGAGGAAGATGAGGGGAAGAGGGCCCCAGAACCAAGGAAGCCTAGGACACATAAAAAGGGCAGAACACCTTGCTTCCTGGGATACCAGGACACCAGCTATGGCCCCTTCTCCCTCCCAGGAGAAGTCTGTGTTCCCCCTTTTTAAATAAACCCTGCTTCATATGCTTGCTTCGGCGTGCTCCTCTAATGTTCAAACGTCAACATGTGGGAAGGCAGAACTCCTCACCAGTAACCATGGTATCATTTGGAGGTCCTACGAGCTCTTAATGCTTAAGTGCAGTTAGTGCAGCTGCTGTTAGGTTGGTGGTGGCGGCTTAGTGGCGACTTAGAACAAAGCAGCCCTCAAGAACATCAATCAGATGCTGGCGGAAATGCCTGTCAATCAGCAGGACCCCCTGGCCAATCCTGGAGTTCAGCCAACTCCCCTGACCAACTCCAAAGGGGCAAGGGACCCTAAAAACACCTTTTCCTGTCCCAAGCCCTTCTCTTCCTGCTGTAAGCCCCATAAAAGTCCAGTCCAGTCGAGCTTCCACGCGGTTTCTCCTCAGACCCTTCCCCTGTCCCCTCCGTGGGTTTAATTGAGTTCTGCCCGGGAGTGATACCTCAATAAAGTCTGTTCAGTGGCCCTTTTAAATCTGCATCCTTTGGTCGCTGCCTGCCTACCCTGATCTGACAGCTGCCACTCTTCAAGACTGGGGTGGAGGGCTTCCCCGCCTAGGCAGCTCCCAATCACCTGTTCAGTACAGAGCAGGCATGTTGGGTTCTGCTGAAGCTACTTCCCAGTTCTTTTTTTTTTTTAATTAAATTTCTCTCTCTCTTTTTTTTTTCTGGGGTTTTTCACAATCTGGAGTTGGTGAAGGGGTTCCCGTAATCCACTGTCTGACAGGATCACAGTGTGGGGGATGCTGTGGCAGGGTCACACCATCTAGAAACCAGAACCAAGGGGAATGTTAAGTGTTTTGTTTATGATCCTCATGATATGGAGAACAGGGTACCCCTCCATCAATAATAAAAGTACATGTTGCCTGAGAATGCAGGAAAATCCCCAGAATGAGGCCAAGGACACAATTGAGACAGGCCCCAAGGTGTGTTTCAGTATCTCTCAGGATACAAACCATAGTGTTTATTCCTTAAGAAATTCACAGAGAAAAAAATCACAAATCAGGGTTCCTGAGAAAAGCCTAACTGACTAGAAATGTTTATCCCATGGTTAACAATGTACACTGGTCTCCCCCCTGCCCTTTCTAAAGGCACAACTCATGCAACAGCCTAGTTACAGAAAAACAATTCCTGCGCCAAGTGTACAAGGACCACCATGTATAGCTTGCTTAATTAAAGGAAGATTATAGTATTCCCCTCCAGAACAAGAGGCTAATCAAAATACATCCCCCCCCCCAGTAACACACCCTCCTTTGCCTCACACAGGAATTCATGATGAAATTGAGAAACACATAGTTAGTGTTAATGGCAATTGGGTTGAGGAGCAGAGCCTGCCCTTTAGTTAAAAGATTAGAAAAACACAAGACTCGGTGTGCTTTGACCAAGGATCAAGAAAATTCTTTAAGAAAGCAATTAAATAGGTCATATGAAAAAAGGAAATTACTTTGGAAATTAAAAATAGAATAATGAAAAATTAATATAGATATATTTTAGAGTCACTTCGGAATAATAGGCTTTCACTATTTTAAGTGTGTTTTACTATAGGGGCTGGGGACGTGGCTCAAGCGGTAGGTAGTGCGTTCACCTGGCATGCCTGTGGCCCGGTTCGATCCTCAGCACCACATACAAACAAAGATGTTATGTCCGCCGAAAACTAAAAAAAAAAAAATTAAATATTAAAATTCTCTCTCTCTCCCCCCCTCTCTTAAAAAAAACTGTTTTACTGAAACTTTAGATTAAAAGTAAGAAAGTTACTAATAATTATAGATGTGCTTTAAAGTTAAAGGTTAATGAAATAATTATAGGTATGATTTAAAGTTAAAAGTTAACAATAGACCAGGAGACGTGTAGTCGAGCTGTGAACTATAGTGTTAAGGGCCAGGCTATATGAGCAATGACCAAAAGACTCCGTTTTACCCTGAGACTCCATATCATGGAAGAAAGGCTTCTCCCGTGGGAAAGCCCCGCCTCTCTACCCATTAATGGTTTCCTACAGAGCACACTTGGCAACACAAAACAGCAATTCTTACACAATGTAAAATTGTTCTCTTTGCTTTCCATTTTTCTTGGGCAATTTCCCTTGTCAGAGATTGATTGCCTAGACCTTAGTAACCATTCTATAACTTTTGACCCACTTCCCTTCTGCTGGCTTGCTGCTCTGCCAACCTGGAAAGTCCTGCGGGAAATACCAATGTACCCACTGCATTGTCTCCTAAATTAAATGCCCTGTGCAGCTTCTGGACCTGCTTGCTTACAGCTATATCCACCCAGATTGTTGTTGTTGTTGTTGTTGTTGTTATTGTTTGTATTTACATATCCTAAAATGCTCAGGCTTGGGCCTGTTCCTTGCAGAGACAGTTATGGGTCTGTAAGGGTAAAAGAAATTGAAGTTAAAGCGTAAAAGTTAAAGGGTCAAAGACCGGGTGTTGTAAACTTTCTAAGCTGCAAGGTCTGAGTTAAAATGTAAAGGATTAGGTATTGTTAGGTTTCTATGCTACCTGCAAAACCTGAAATTTCTGTAGCTGTTAAGACAATGCTTGGAACTGCCCAGTAAATATTTCCCCTGACTATTTGGTTGTTTAATAAGGGCTCCGTGTGGTCGCACATAGGCATTGCAGGGCCTGGAACAATCAGTTTAAATGTAACCCCCTCCTTAGGAATGACCTATCACTCCAGCCTGACCTGTTCCCACCAATGAATGAACCAATCATGTTTAGGAGTTGTTGTTCAATTTTCCCGCGCCTCATGATGATTTGTTCTGATGTATACAAAGCCCTCCGCCCTCCCCAAAAAGTGTACTTAAGCAGTGCTCAGCCCCTGCTCAGGGCTCTGGGCTGTTTTCCCTTCTTGAGTGGGCACGGAGCCCCAGCATGCTGGTTCAATAAATCCCCTTCTGCCAATTGCATGAGTGGTCACTTGGTGATCTCTTTCTCCGACGTTTCGCGGGACCCTTACAGGTCATGCAGGGAGCTGTCCCTGGCTGGCCGGCTAAATTCTGTCAATCTGGACAGAACTGGGACTTGGTGTGTTTTCTGAGTGACTTGCCCCACAACAGTATGCACCTGATGATTAAGGGGAAAATGTAAAAGCTTACTCATGATTGGCAAAGGTTACAGGAAAATATTTTAAACCATGTCCTCAATATATCTTAGGTAATCAATATGTCAGAAAGATTGTGACTCTTGGAAAGTATGTACACCAAATAATTTTCGGGCTTTGAGGTTATTTATTAACTACCTGGAAAGATATCTGCAAAAAAAGATATAAAAATAAAGGTCCCCCTAAGGGCAGCAGATTCCTTTTGAAGGCTGCTCAGAACTTGCAAGTTGCTGTCCTTCAGGACCACATAAAAATTAATAAATAAAGTTATTGTGTCCAACTACACCTAATTTTTTTTTCTAAAAATTAAAAAGTAGGGACAGAGTAATACTGAGACAATCTCGGTGAATGTGTTTGTCTCTCTGTGCACCATGTCGCCCCTTGACATGTCTTGACAACATTTCAATATCTTGCTGAACCTCACTCCTCAACCTGGGCCCAGGGATGTTTTGTGTCACTGATGAGGCCTCTTTGGTCCAGGTCCCAGAGACACCCTCATGAATAAAAGCAAATCATTGGCCTCAGCCCACAGGCGAAGGGAGACTGTCGCAAGTCTCCACAGAGTTTCCTAAAATGTGAGGATGAAGAGGAGCAAGGAAGAGGTACATGTGCTTGAAAAAGAGTCAAGAGGTTTACCCAGAACGTGACTTGTTCATTGGACACGGGTTAGCAAGGCAGTGAGATTTGAGGGTGGGGCTAATTAAACATACTTAAGCCATTTAAATGTTTATATCATTCTTCATGTGGGAGGAGAAACATGTTCTTCAGAAATAGATCTGAAGTGGAATTTGGGAACAAGTGGTTAAATGTTTAGTCACAGCATTCAGCAGAAATCCTGGGGCAGGAAACACAGAAAACAGGAAGTGTTTGCAGCCCATTCACAAATGCACCCTGTGGCTGGGCAGGGACAGGAGGAATGAAGAGGCAGTGCTTTGATGGACAGCTGAAGCTGGAGAATGAACTGAACTCCCAGAGTGCAAGTTCACAGTAAGGATGTGACTCCTATTTCCTACTTGGATTCTGAATTATTTTCTTTCTGTTTTATTGTTTTCTACATTTAATTTGCTATGAGTGATGATTGATTCAAGACTCACATTATAATCTTACTGCTTTCTGCTTGCTAAATGACCTTCCACAAATCTTCATGATTTCATTTAAATACTTGGGAATTATTTCCCAATACTTGATACTGTTTTATACAAAAATGTACAATGAACTTTTGAAAAGATTGTTATTGATTCTAATTAGTTACATATGACAGCAGAATGCATTTTGTCACATTCTACATGGGTGGATTATACCTCCTCATTCTTCTGGTTGCACGTGATATAGAGTTACACTGCTCATGAAGTCAGAGGGTACAGAGGGTAATGACGTCTGATTTATTTTACTTTCAATCCTACCTCCATAACCCCTCCCCTTTTTTCACTTCCCTCTGTGTAATCCAAAATTCCTCTATTCTTCCCAAGAACCTCACCCTTTTTGTGAATTAGATCTGCATTATCTGGGAAAACACTAGGCCTTTGAGTTCTTGGGACTGGCTTATTTCCCTTAGTGTAATATTCTCCATTCTCCAGCAAATGTCATCATTTTGTTCTTCTTTTAGGCTGAGTAGTATTCCATTCTGTATATATACCAAAATTTCTTTAACCATTCATCTGTTGAAGGTCACAGAGATTGGTCCTTTGTTACAAAATGTCATTGAGTCTGACAAACCATCCTCTACCTCAGAGCAAAGCCTGACCCAGGAAGGAGCGTGACCCTTGTCCTTGGAATGACCCACAGAGCACTCCTAGGCACATACCCACCCTGCTGAGTTGTTTATGTACAAATAACAGGAGAGATCTGCTGGACCACGTGTCCCTGACTCAGTCAGGCTAGGTGAGGACCCATAGCAACCCCCTACAACCACCAATCAGCATGAGACAGGGAAAATACCTGGGATGCCAGATGACCCCCCAGTAGTTTATAGAGCTTGATAACATGTTGGGAAACCATGTAGTTCAACACACACTCCCCTTGTGGCTTAAACCAATCAGTTCAAAGGAATCCCCCTCTTGTACTAACTGATAGACCCAACCTGATCTTTTCTTAAAATTTGGAGCCATCTCGCCACAAAGCCATGAAAAGCTAATTTCGGCTTTACTATAAATTACTGCAAATTCTGAACCTGCTTGGAATGCCTGCCCATGCCTTGAACTCACCCATGCCTGGCTCTCTGACCAGAGAGCAGCCCTCTCTGAAACTTTAGTGACACCTCATAAATATTGGCCTTCTGCCGGGGTCCTGCCCTAGCGGGGTCCAGGGAGTCCTGAAGGATGAGGGGCGTCGGCGAAAAGATGATACCGGAGTCGTTCTGTTCAAGCAATCTCCAGAGAGAGAGCTCTAATGCAGCTTTCTCTGGGTCATCTTTTATTGCAAATTTTCTCATCATTATAGATTCAGATACGCCATTGATTATACAATTTAAAACCTTGCAAGACATGACATTTCCTTAACCATGATTGGGGGTACAAAAAATGTAATATTAATTTACATTTTTTCAGGATATGACCTTTAGTTATGTAATTATTAAAAGTACAGAATCATTAATAAAATGCATCACTAATTTACATTTTTCAGATTTTCCCAAGATTTACTATTTTCCCCAAGATATGCTATTATTAACTAATGCCAAACTACGTAACCAGACTCTAAGTCTCCTAACCTATCATTAACGTAAAGTACACTTGTACTTTATTTCTAATCTAAAATTCCCATCTAAAAAAGTCCCCTTAAATCTTATATTTAAAACATCCTAAAATTTATAAATCATTCTTAAAATACATCATAAACCTATACAACTAAAAACTTAAGAATTTCTAAACTGAAGAATCTAAATAAAATAATATTTCTAACATTATTCTAAAACTGTGTCTTATAAAGCTGTTTTAATTAATTCCTAAATTTATTCTCATAAAACTGGTTGAGCTGCTTTCTCAAAGAGTTTCTTTGTTTCTCAGTCAAGGTGCACTAGTTCTCATATCTTTATAATCTTTCTCAATAGAAAGTAAGTCCTAAACATCAGTCCACTTTCCACCAATATTAACTATGCTCATCATGAATCCCTATGTAAAGTAAAAAGGGTTTATAAAAAGAGAAGAATATATCTTTTTATGTTATAACTTTCCTAAGTGTATAATATAACTTTCCTCAATCAAAAATGAGACTACATATGGTGGGCTTTGAAAAACAAGCATAATAATTAGGTTTTCTAAGAGCTTGGGTTCTAGTTGATATAATCGATGTGGTGCCTAAAATTCTCATGACCTTTCAGAGGATGATTGTTGTCCAATATCACATTTGTCCTCAATGTACTGAGATAGAAGAACAGCCTTCTACTTTGTCCTTGATATGCTGAGGGGTATTAGAACAGCCTCCAAGGCATGAACTACCTGTTATGTTCTAGCCATCTGAAATTTAATTTGTTTAGCATTTAACATACTCATGCCTCCTGTCAGAAACATAAGCATGAAAATGCAAAGTCCCAATTACATAAAAAAGGGTCTCATGGTTTCGGTTTCCCACCAACCATTGTGGCTCTGCCAGCATTCATCCTCACTGTGACCCTGTCAAGACAGTGAGTGGGGGATCGCCTTCACCAGCCTTCCCAGGCCAGATAACGACCCTTTCTGAGGCTCTAATGGTCCTCATAAATTCTGTTGTTGGGGCCAGCAAAAAATGTAAACTACCATTAGTGTGAAGCTCCTCAGAGTTCTGTTATCTGTAACCCCCTTTGTGTAACTTTCTGGGCTATAAGGCTGGGCTGCAGGAAAGCTGGGGTGGCTGTCTTGTTCCCGCCATTTTGGGAGGGAGAGGCAGCCAGGCCAGTCAAAATAATAAGCTTGGTTTAATTTGATTTGAATTGGAGTCAGCGGTCTTTTCTTGCGTCCTGGTCTAACACTAACCCAACTTGTTCCCACCAGTGAATGGGCTAATCATGTTTTAGAGTTGTTTTATGATTTTCCCACAGTGTATGATGATTTGCTAAGAGATGCTATGATGTATGGGAAGTCCCTGCCTTCCCCAGAGTGTAGAAAACTGCTGCCAACCCTCAGCTCGGGGCCTCTCAGCGTCACCAGTTGCTTGGTGCACATGGAGGACAGAGCTACCTCACAATAAACGCTTCCTTGCTGCTTTGATCCATCTTGGTCTCTGGCGGTCTTTTGGGGGTCCCAAATTTGAGCATAACAGGTCTAGGGAAGATTATTGTAATAAACTTCAACTGGGCTTGAATTTTGTTAAATCTTTGTGAATTCTATAATTGTTTTGTAAAAGTAAAATAAATTTTTATAAATATATTTTAAATTTCGAAAAAAGAAAAAGAGAACAGTACACCACAAATTGACAGAAGGATTCAGTTTATTCTCCACACTTGGAGAGAAATTGACAAGTTCCCTAAAATCCACATCACTTTGTGAAGAAAACCAAAACTGTGGGCTGGGGATGTGGCTCAAGCGGTACCACGCTCGCCTGGCATGCGTGCAGCCCGGGTTCGATCCTCAGCACCACATACAAACAAAGATGTTGTGTCCGCCGAGAAATAAAAAATAAATATTAAAAATTCTCTCTCTCTCTCTCTCTCTCTCTCTCTCTCTCTCTCTCTCTCTTTAAAAAAAAAGAAAACCAAAACTATGACCCACTCTTTCAAATACATGACAAAACTCTGTGGTTCCGCACACTGACATCAATTCTTACTGAAAACTACAGTGAACAAACCACAAAGTTCTAGCCTGAGAATGGATTCTTAGAAACCAATTTGAAGATGGAACAATGCACACAATTGTGAACAATTCATTATAGTAAACGGATTAAGAACTTCAATGAGGATAGAAGTGTTTTCTAAAATGATTCCAGAAAACTCAAAAGTTGTCCTGCAAAATGATGAAGCTGGAGCCCCAGCCCCAGTCACACACCAAACATACAGTCATCCATGGTTAACAAATATATGAAGAAAAGTTCAACATCTCTAGCAATTAGAGAAATGCAAGTTCAAACTACCCTGGCATTCCATCTCACTCCATCAGGAGGGCAATTCTCAGCAATACAAGTAACATTAAATATTGGCGAGGATGTGGGAATATGTTGTCTTTAGAATTTTTTTTTTTTAATAATTCCAGAGACCCTAAATAAATGTAATGAGTTATTAAGATGATTAGTGGGATATGTTGTTGAGTCCTCTCCCGTGGGGAAAGTGCTTTTGTGGACGTTTTTTAGATTGTTTGTATGAATCTATATATTTTAAAATATTAGATAAAGACTTTTTGGGTTAATGTACTAGAAGTCAGCGCTTGGAGAGTGAGAAAACAGGGAAGGAAAATGTTGTGATGAGACTCAATACAAGGATTCTTTCCCCGTAGAGAAGTAAGTTTTATTTTTCTGTTTTCTGTTTTTTTTTTTTTTTTTTTGTGAACACTCAGTTTATACTGAACCCCTACTGGGTCCGAGGGCCGAATCCAGACTGCCTTAAAATCTGATAGTAACTCTGGTGTCTGCCATTAAAGCTCACTTTTAAAGTCCCACGTGCTGCCAGGGAAAGTACAAAGGCAGGAGGACACAAGCTGCAGGCACAGGTCGCCCGTGGGATCCCGCCAAGGCCGGGGAATACAGACAAACCAAATGGAATGCCACAGCCTAGGGCAGCCCTAGGGCAGCGGGCTCCAAGCTGTTTCCATCACCATGGTAACCGCCCAAGCCTGGCCTCACAGCGGGCTTCCTGGTCCCGCCTCCTGCATTTCAACAGGCTTCTCATTGGTCCTTCCAACTGTCACTCAGACAGGACTTCTGGTCCCACCTTCCAGCCACTAACCTGTACTTCCTGTTTCAGACCTGCTACCCAGATAAATGCCCAGAACCTGCATTTTTAAGAACACCCACCTGTAAGTGCTAAGGAAAGATCTTTTTCAGGCAAAATCTAATTCCACATTTTCGTTCCTTGCAGCCCTAAGCCGGACTTGCTCTCAAGGCCAAATAACTTGATTTCTTACCCCTCAGCAGCGTCCCTTGGGAGCCTTCCTTTTCCTCCCTATGGTTATGTTGCTAAATGTTGCTATCTCACATTTGGCTTTTAATTTTGAAAGTTATGGGGATGCATTTGCTTATCGCAGAAAGAAACCCGGCAATGTTTCTGGGAAGACCCCAAAATCCTCATTCTTTTCCTGACTGTGTAATTACAAGAAATAAGTAAATGTATACACAAGGATCATCAGCCACATCACGGGACATCACATGCAAGCATGCACTCCTAGTTAAGAATAAATTGAAATGGATCCAAAATATCTTAAGATCCACGTGGTTACATAAAGTTAATCAATTATATTGTATTAATTACAGGTGATGTATATTGTATTAATTATCTACAGAAATATCAAGGACTTTAACTGTGTTTTCATTGATATGTCTTTCCTTTTTTATATATATTTTTGAAAGTTGTTGATGGACCTTTACTTTTTAAATTTATTTGTATGTAGTGTCGAGAATCGAAGCCAGTGCCTCATGCATGCCTGGCAAGCATGCTACCACCGAGCCACAACTCCAGCCCTCATTGATATTTCCTTTTATCAAGGTACAAAGATTCTAAGGTTTTCAGAAATTATTTCAAAGTATAACCAGGAAAAATTCTAAAAGGAATTTCAACAGAGGAGAAGCAACATTGGAGGTCCTAAGAAGAAAGAAATCATCTTTGGGTAAACCAAGATCTTTATATTCTAGATTTTAATGATAAAAATATTTTCCTAAATAGAAATATTTTTATATTATTAATTAGATAATAGAGAAATGTAAAAAAAGATTTTTATGTACTGGGCTGACTAAAAATTTTAACTGATTGATTCAAGGATATTTCAGGCCATTTCCCTGATTTTACTATCTATGCTGATAGTGAGCTAATATTTTGGTTCATATTTTGACATGATAAAGACCTATTAAAATGTTAAGTTTAACTCCTTTAAGCAAGGACTTTATTGCCTAGTGATTCTTATTGTTTAAAGCAAGGATTAATTTTGGTGAATAAATTCATATCCTTGATTAAACACTAAATATATTAAACTGCTGACTTAGATTCCAATTTTTACAATTCTCCTTGGAGACTAAGTTTGATTGATTCAGAGACTGTTCATTCTTGCATATTTTGTTTGTTGAATAATTTTGAGATATGGGAATTTTTTTAGGATGGAGGTTCTCCAAATTAAAGTTGTATGTTAGTTTTGAGCAATCAAAGTTGCAAACCTTGTTGAAAATTCATTGACATTATAGAAGTTCTCTGACTGGACCTATTATTTATAAAACTATGGTAGGATTTATATACTGCTTAATCATATTTTTGAAAAGACAATTGAGAGACATCTATTTAAAGGATAATATTCTGAGACAAAGATATTGTGAGACCTTCTCTCAGAAAGACATTGAGGATTCCTTTTAAATTGTTAGGATGGATCAACTAGTATATATTGAGAAATTACAATAATCAACACAAGGTAAATCTGATCATGTAAATACTTTACTACTATCTATAACTTAAACTGATGATACTATGGCTTATGCCAAGTCTTTACTCAGTTTTATTAAATTAAGAAAAGGGGGAATACAGTACCCCAGAGGCACACACTAGATCTTACAAAATATTTATTTTTTCCCCTTAATTGTAATATTGAGAATCTCAGGGGATATAGCTCAGTTGGTAGGGTGCTTTTCTCACATGCACAAGGCCCTGAGTTCAATCCCCAGCACCACCACCAAAAAAAGAAAAAAAAAAATTGAGACTTCTGCTGAATTTACTGAATCATGTTCACTGCTGCTGAACATGATTCAGTAAATTAAATCAGATTTGAAAAGATAGAATTTAAACCTGTCATCATGAAAATGACTGAAACACCTGACACAGGAAGGTAAACCTTCCAGCTGCAGAGTTTACAACCATGCAGCTTCATGAGCTTGTCAGGTAAGTAAAAATTATGAAGAGACTTCTATGGACCCATTTCTCAGATCTATTTTTTAAAATTTATTTTTTAGTTGTAGATGGAAACAATCCCTTTATTTGTTTATTTTTTTATGTGGTGCCGAGGATAAAACCCAGGGCCTCGCACGTGCTAGGCAAGCGCTCCACCACTGAGCCACAACCCCAGCCCTCAGATCCATTTTTAATGTACATTGTGGTGTGGACTGGAAAGTCCACCAATGAAACTAGATTAATCATACTGACTGTAGTGGTCAGTTATATGTTGATCCTATGTTAAACAGGTTGTCTGGGATTATATTTGAGGAAAACACAGTATATGAGAAACCTAAACCAGAGAATCATGCTGACCCTTTGAAATTAAGACTACGTATCTGGACAATTGTCCAAATAGAAAGCTTGTTGAAATAGAATTTTTCTATACAGGCCAGTTGTTTACATAAGGTATCCACCAATGCATGGTTGCCCTGATCATTCTACAATAGAAACTGACACCTTTCCTAAGTATTATTCCTGAGTATTCCTAAGTATTATGCAAATGTCTGGCCAGTACAACACAAGAGGTCTAGAAATAGTGGATGCATTTTAGGCTGGTCTCCTAGAATGGACAAGAGCAGTTACAGGAGGATTCTGGCACCTGGAGGTTGATTGGTAATACCCTAACCCTCAGTGAGATGGCACCCAAAAGGATGTTTGGATGTTTGTCTTCTGCCTTCAGAATATGTACATCACTGACCGACGTAATAGACTCCTTAAATATGAGAGTTAAGAGGAAGGATGATGAATATCCTGTAGCCTGTATGAATGCAACTCACCTTATGGCATCACTAGGTATTGCCGGCTGGTATTTCAGAGCTACACTCTGCTGAAGTTCATGTTCGGGTCTGAAACAGGTGCATGCCAATGAACCAGACCTAGGCCAGCTCCAGTCTCATGATCTTTGAAGTGACTACTAATAATATTTAATTATTCCTTGCTTGTGTGATACAGTCTTTATGTCTCTGTTTCAAACTTACAACATATGGATTTTCTTAATGCTTGACTTAAATTACTTTCAAGATCTTTCATAGTCAGATAAATGCTGATGGAAAAATTAGAACAGAGTTAAAATGCTCTAAAAAGCCACTGTAATAAATATTGTGACTGAGCCCTCTGCTCCATGGAAAGGCTGAAACACCATGCCAAATGAACATGTCCATGTTACCATTGCCAAGTGCAAGGCTTCCCAATAAAATCAAGAAAAGATGAAGAATCTTCTGATGAGTGTTTGGCAGAATAATAATAATAATAACCTGGAACTTCCAAGTTGGTTATGTCCCTGAGATAGTATGTTTTCTACTAATGCCTTTTGTGTTTCAATAGCAGATCATGATGACCTCGGACCAAGAATCCAGTGATGGAAGGATTTAATTTCCCAATTGCCTTCAAATATTAAGGAAGGGCTGGGGATGTGGCTCAATCGGTAGCGCACTTGCCTGGCATTTGTGAAGCCCGGGTTCCATCCTCAGCACCACATACAAACAAAGATGTGTGTCCACCGAAAACTAAAACATAAATATTAAAAAATTCTCTCTCTCTCTCTCTCTCTCTCTCTCTCTCTCTCCAGGAGCCATCACAGAACCCAAAGAAAAAGGTCTCAGTGTCTCTTGTGTGGTTATTTCGTGCAGCTCAGTTCCCCTGGAGTGACCCTGAGTGTTTTCGTGTGAGGAAGCGGCAGCCAGTGATGCAGACAGGGTCCCTGTCCAGCTTTCTGATTCTTCGAGCTGTCTGTAGTGCGAGCCTCACCCAGACCAAGGCGGCCCCCCTTCACTTTGAAACCATCCAAAACAGGGGGCTGGCAGGACACTTCTCCTTACTTTTCTGGCCAGGGGTGGGCAGGAGAGTTTCAAATTTCAAATCCCCCTCCCAGGGAGCACTTGGGAGGCTGTTGGCCTGGCCCTTCTGCCGGAGGAAGAGCCCACTCCAACCCCAAGCCCTTCGTGGCTATCCTGACCAAGGGGACCTGGTCTCTAGCAGGGCTTCCCCATCCCTCTGTGGTCTCCCCTTCCTGATCAGGGTCTTGATGGAAGCCAGAGCCCCAACCTGCATTCACTCAGGCAGCCAGGAGGGAGATCTGGGGCAACGTTGGGACTAGTTTGCTCATTACGTTTCCTGATCTAGGTCTCAGGTGCTGATGAAAAGTGGGCCTGGGGGTTAGTCATGCTGGGATTGTCACTCTCTTGAAAGTGCCTCTGTGTAGAGCCCTCCATCACCTTTGCAACCCAGGGAGCCTGGGACACTGTCCCCAGTCACAGACCTTCATGTCCCCTCCCCCTTGCAAGAACAGCCTCCAGAACCCAGCCTCTTCATGGGCAGAAGATGTGGCGTGTCTGTCATCTTGTCATTGCCTCCCCTCCCATTGTCCTCGTGGCACCCCACTCTTCTGTGCAGACACCAGGCCCTTCTTCAGGCCCCAAAGTAGCTTGTGATTGAAGTTGACCCTGGAATGTTCATTTTGGTCAGAATGTGAAAGATGCTTCCATATCCACTCTCCACGGAGGCCCTGAGGGCAGGAGGATCATGAGGTCAGAGCCAGGCTCAGCAAAGACAGGTGCCAAGCTACTCAGGGAGACCCTGTCTCTAAATAGAAGACAAAATAGGGCTGGGAGGGGGCTCAGTGGTTGAGTGCCCCTGGGTTCAATCCCTGGTACCCCAGCTCTCCAAAAAACGGCCCCCTGTTCCTGCTGATGAGAAGAACCATGGCCTCTGAGACAGAATATCACATGCTTCTCCTTTACTAATAAAGCAATAAAACATTTTTTCCCCCAAAGCTGTGTCCTGATTATTGGATTGGCACTGGGGACAAGGATGGAGTCTTCAGTAACTCCTTAACCTCATGTATTTTGGAAAAGAATGCACATGAATTCATCAAGGTGGGCCCCATTTTACAGGATTATTCTCTTAACCTTCTGTTCCCACCATTCTTCTGTGTGTCCCCTAGAAGACTGAGAGACACAGGTACAGAAAAAGCACAGCTTTCGCTGAGAGTCTTTCAGGATGGAACACCTGGGGGGGCAGGCAAGTTGCAGTCAGCATTTTATCCTCTGGTTCACAAGTTCCCCGCTTCCCACCCCAGTTCCTTGTTAGCAAAGTTCTATGGGGTGTACCAGCTTCCAGATCTTCACCTGGGTTTCCCACTGGGCTGTTTAAAGAAGTATGCTGCTGGGCAGACTGGCACATGCCTGAAATCCCAGTGGCTTGGGTGGTTAATGCAGGAAAATTGCAAGTTTGAAGCCAGCCTCTGCAGCTTAGTGAGGCCCTAAGCAAGTTACCCAGACCCTGTGTAAAAGTAAAAAAGAGCTAGAAATTTGGCTCAGTGTTTAGGCAGCCCTCAGTTAAATCCCTGGTATCAGAAACCCCACATATTTGTTTATAAAGCAATACACCATTAGTTGTCCCCACCTCCCTTTGTCCTTTTGTGCCAGGAAAGTCTTGTTGGATTGAGTGCATCTTGGACATAGATCCTTTTTTACTTTCCTACATCAACACTGTTTCTTTCTCTCTTGGTCAGGGTGACCCCTCCCCTACCTCCTGTGTGTCCAGGGTGGTTCAGGTGCATGGACTCGGGATCTGCCACATCCACAGTCTGGGGCTGTCGGAGTAACTCTCCATTTTGCTCTACTTGCCCTCAGGCTGCCTTTCTTATGTCTCAACTCTACATTTAAGGCAACATACTATATTCTGAATATAGATCAGTGGACTTTTTATTTCTCACACCAAGTACATCTCATCAGAATAAGCGACACATTCATACTAACAACTCCAGCTAAATAGAAAACCCTTATCCTACCTAGCTCTCCATCCTTCCACATACAGTTGTAAGTCCTTTTCTACATTCCATTTTTGTATGTTTATTCTTATGCATGTCATATCTCTAAAATTACAAACTAAATAGTGTCTGGCTGGAAAAGTTATTGCATCAGGAAATTCTAAATTCTAAGTCTTTTGAGGAAGTTAAAAGGAGACCAGTGATCTAATTAAGAATTTTGTTCATTATTTTTATTATTTATTTATTTATGGTGCTGGTGATTGAACTCAGTGGCACTTGGCCACTGCACCACATTACCCAGCCATGTTTGGTATTTTATTTAGAGTCAAGCTCTCATCGAGTTGCTTAGCACCTCATTTTTACTGATGCTAGATTTGAACGAGCAATCCTCCTGTCTCAGCCTCCTGAGCCTCTGGGATTACAGGCATGAACAACCATGCTTGGCCTAACCCTCTTATTTGTCAATTTCTTCACTTGATTGATAGTAGGTTGGAGTCACCATCTGGAGTTATTCTCTCAGGTCCATTACAGTTATGCTCACACCCACCTTCTTTGAACCACAATAAAAGGGATGCTCAGAGGCAAAGTGCCCCTGCCCTCAATTCAGTCTCTACCATGGGGGACAATAAAAGCACCTGGAATTCAATTCTCAGCCCTGGGCAACTATGTGCCCACTTTTCCACACCGGTGGGAATATGACTTCTTACACAATAGCCCCCCTTGGCCATGGGCAATATTGTTAGGTAGAATGAACTTGGGCCAGTGAGCAGGATGTGAAAGACTTCACAAAGCCCAACTTAAAAGCAGAGAATAAAATTTTACTTAATTTCCAAGAGGGGGGTAGACATGACAGGCAGTATTGGCCCCAAGTTGCAATTTTTTATGGTTTATATGCAGGGTTAATGGGCAAGCTGAGCAGGGTTTTCGTTTCTTTCTGGTTTGACTATCAGTTGAAACCCAGGAAGCTGAGAGCGCTGGGTCAGCTTCTGGGGGAATGTTGTTTTGTCTGGTTTGTGGCTTTTTTTGAAAACCTTGACATGGCAAGAATACACTGGAGGGGGCCTTCCTGCTGACAAAGTGAGGTCAGTCTGTGCAATAGAGTGACATGTGTCAAGGGGGCAAGTGAGCGTGAGCTCACAGACATGTTATAAGACCACAGAGGCCTGAAGCTTAAATCCTACAGATAATACTAAATCCTAGATACAATTTCCCCTGTGCATACAGCCTATAATTATCCTTCTATAAAACCTCAAAGTCCTTGTCAGCACCTGAAGACAGGGTAAGGATAGGGTTTCCTTGTCATCCTGGTGTAGCTGCACTGGTCAAAGTTTCTTTCCTGCTTTGCATCATGACCTTTTCTGTTTGATTTTGGGGCAAACACCTGACCAGACCTGTGGGATCACCAGAGTCAGGTCTCTGCATAAGACTTCCTAACAGTCAAAGTAGAACATCTACACTAAGCACAAGGCACCCATTTTATTTCCACCACACATTGCTGCCCTAGAGGATTGCCTTCCTTCCTCCCCCACCCTCTCTGCTAGGGATGGAACCCTGAGCATCAGAGCCAACCCCAATTGCTTCCTTTCATAGCTCAGGCTGCCTCCTCAAAGCAACAGAGGCCAGGAGGTGAAGAGAATTACTAAAATAGTTTTCAAATTGTTCTCATTTTTAGATATTATGTATGGGTCATACATATGATATCTTTAAATAGTGTTTCAAAAATTGGGAGACTGTGTCTTTCTAAGTCGCTTGAGGTCGCATCAGCTGAAAAAAAAAATATGTTATATAGTTCTTTCTTTTTCTTTGAGGTACTGGGGAATAAACCCAGTGGGGCTTGACCTGGACCTCTGAGCTACATCCCACCGTTTTCATTTTATTTTAAGAGAAGATCTCACTGACCTTGGGCTCCTCCAGCCTCAGCCTCCCCGAAAAGCTGTGCTTTGTTTTTGTGTTGAGGTTAAACCCAGGGCCTCGCCATGCTCAGAAAGCACTCTATGGCTGAAGCCTAGCTCAGCGCCAGATGTCACCTCTGTACCACAGGCAAAGCCAAGGCTTCCCACCTGGATTAGTTCCCAGCACAGCCAGGAAGCTCCTCCTGAAAAGGGCTGGGGCCAAGAACCTGTCACTCTACCCAATTACAGCCAGTGATTGGATGATGTTAGCTGTCAGTCACGATGCAGAGGTGGGCCTGGAGGTCATCCATCCGGGATGCTGGGGGAACTGCCCAATCAGTGCGCAGAGGAAGGGGGAGGGCGGGCTTCCCCAATCTCGCGGGCTTTTCTGCCTTCCTTACTGGGCTACTCCTTGTCAGGGCCGGGTTCTCTGCTCCAGGGACCCAAGGACTCTGTGCAGCCTGTGTTCCCCGCCCCCCCCCCCCCCCATCTCGGGTACCCGGAGGTTCCTCGAGAGGACGCCGGGTCACCACGGAAGCCAAAAATGGTGAGTTTGCGACCTGGGCTGAAGGTACGCATCACCATCTGCCTTGGGGCCCGGCTCGCGGGTGAGCTGCGGAGCGCAGCGGAGTCCCCCTGGCGGGTGGCCCTGGCCCCTGTACCCTGGTCCCCTGGGGTGAGCTGGGTTTTGGGTTTTTGAGATTAGCTGCGGAGCGCGGCTGAGTCCCCGCTGGAGGGTGGCCCTGGGCCCTGTCCCCTGGTTCCCTGGGTTTGGAAGGGCGGCTCAGGTCCCTGGTGTCCCCTTTGCTCCCTACTGGTGGCCCACACCCACTCTTCCCAACGTGGAGGAAGCAGGGCCACAAATGCACCTTCCTTCTCCCAGGGGAGCTCCTCCGGAGGCTGCTGCAGGTCCTCCAAATTGCAGGCGCCTCCTGCCTTCTAAACCCCACCTTCCCTCCACCTCACAGCTCGGCCAGACGTTCGTTCTTCCCACTCGGTCCAAATGGACAAATGGACACCGTCTGCTAATTGTCACTTCTCATCTAGTGAAATATTGGAAAGAATCTTCCTCCCTCCCTCTCTCCTTTCCTCCCTCCCTCCTTTTCTCCCTCCCTCCCTCCCTCCTTTCCTCCCTCCCTCCCCAGCCATAACTTGTGATCCTCCTGCTTCAACCTCCCACAGATCTGGAATGACAGTCCTGTGCCACTGTCCCTGGCAAGAAGAACACTTTTGAAAGCATTTGGTTTTTATTTGTGAATATTATACTTGAGGGGAAAGAATAATCACTTAACACTTCCTTGTGTTTGGTCAAAATAACTGCTTTAAAGGGAGTAAGGAGGTTGTTTATAGATCCCAGGGATATGGAGTCCTGGGCTTCATCAATAGAGTATAACTGCTCCCTTTTCTGATAGTCCATGATGTAGAGTCACCCCAGTCGTGTAGTCACGTAAGCACACAGCGTAATACTGATGTAGGGACAAAGGAGGCAAGGCACTGAAGATAGCCAGAAACAGTTTTATCTGGCTGCAGCCAGTCTCAGAGGGCACAGCTTTTGCTGTAATCAATAAGTCAATCCCCTGAACCCTGGGTTCAGGTGGTTTCAGAATCTTATACCCAGCATGTAAGGGGAGGGGCTCAGAAGTTCACATTGTAATACTGAGACCCTCAAATAACTCTCAGACCACACAGTCTCATTCCAGTTAAGCCTTTATTGCTGGCTGGTGACAGACACTCTGCTCTCGAAAGAATGAGATGGACAGAGTGGTGCCCCTGCCTTCAGGTGGCTCCATATTTAAGCACAAATACCATAAAAGGGACGTTTGGGGGTTCAGGCAATGCAAGCAAGGCTGAAAGTTTCAGTCAGTTAGTCTCCAGTTGGCACCATAGATAATGCTGGGTTCTTGGGGGCTTTTCGTGAAAAAAAGAATACAAAGTGCCCCAGGCATGACTTTTTTGTGTGTCATGGCTGAGTTCACAAAATGGAGTCACCATAGTCAAGTTGTCACATCACACACATAAAAACAGCTTTTTCTTTCTCTATTCTAGCCTGGATCTCCCTGTTTGAGAAGCCAGATTTAAAGAGAAGAGTTTCTGTAGCTAGGTTAATGGGGTTCATTAGGAACCATAAAGAAAATGGAGTATAATCTGAGCCTGGGAAAATCATAAAAACACCTGAGAAATTGAAATATTAGTGTCCCATGATCTTGGGCAGGTCCTAATAAGTGTTAATGAAGTAGCTCCCAGTAAAACTGGGAGATGCTAATCAAATCACCCTAGGCTGTTCCTGCCCTGGTTTCTGCTCCTGCCCCACCAGTCCACCAGTTTCCCACCCTTTGTCCTTCCACCTGCAGCCCCCATCACATGCACAATAAAGAGAAATAAAGGACAGGAATGTGGGAGGACAAAAGGCAACCTTTGGTATAAAAGGGAGAAGACCTCCCTTTTCCAAGGATTTCTCCTTTGGAGACCCCTTCTTCCTGGGGGGTGGGGGCGAATCTTTTCTGCTCTCCCTCAATTAAGCCTTCCACTTTCCACTCTCCACGTGCTTCTCTGGTGTTATACTTCAGCATTTGGGGAAGCAAGGACCTGTCACAGTAAACATGGGTAACACTGTAGATCCTGACCTGAACCTTGGGCTCCCCCTGCCTGAGGCTCCCCAAGTAACTTCTTTTGTTAATTGTTAGTTGTTTCTGTGGTGGAGTTCACACCCAGGGCATCATTCATACTGGGAAAGCAGTCTCCCCGAGCCATAGTTCAATCCCATCCTTACTAAGTTCCAAGCAAAGGCTTCTAACTTGGAATTTTTTCTAGCCCAGCAAAGCCTTGTCACCTGAAAAGAACTGTCACTCTAGGCAATTTTAGCTAGTGATTGGATAACCTTAGCTGTGAGTCACAAGGCAGAGATGTTCCTGGAGGTGGCCCATTAGGGATGCTGGGGTGGAACTGTCCTCACCAACTCTGTTCCTCCCTTTCCGGGCCCCATGTGCTCTGCTCAAAAAGCCTAGGTGATTCTGAGCAGCCAGTGTCCCCGAGATCTCTGGTGTCTGGAGGTTCCTCGAGAGAATACCAGGTCCCCAAGGAAGACAGAAATGGCAAGTTTGTGACGAGGGCTGAAGGTACGTGGTCAGCACCTGCCTTGGGGTCCCCACAATTGGGTGAGCTGCAGAGCCTGGTGGAGTCACCTCTGGAGGTTGCCCTTGGTCTCTGTCCCCTGGTCCTGGGGGTTGGGCTGGATGGTAGATCCTTAAAGTCACCTCGCTGGCAGCTGACCCTAAGCCTCTGTCCACTAGTCCCTTGGGGTGAGCTGGGTGTTGGGTGCCCTAGGTTGGTGCAGAGGGTGCAGTCTAGTCCTTCATGGTGGATGGCCCTGGGCTTCTGCTCTCTGGGCTGGAGTGGTGGGCTGGTCCCTGAGGTCAGCTGCAGAGCATGAGGCCCAGTTCCCACTGGCAGGTGACCTTGGGCCCTGTCCCTGTCCCTTGGCTTCCATTTTTGAATGGGTGGCTCAGGTCCCTGGCCTCCCCTCCTCTCCCTGCCTGTGGCCTGCACCCACTCTTCCAAATGTGTAGGAAGCAGGATTGCAAATCCACTTTCCTTCCTCCAGTTTACTTTCTCCATAGGCTGCTGTAGGTCCTTCATTTGCAGTTGTCTCCTGCGTTCTAAAATGCCATCTTCCTCTTCTCTTCCCATCATTCTCAAATATCTGGTCTTCCTCCTGTGTTTCAAATGGACACAGTCTATTAATTTTCACTTTCTCTCTAGTGAAGTATGGCAAGGAATATATTGTTTTGGGATTGAGGATCAAAACTAGAGAAGCTTTATCAGTGAAATCCTCAGGCACAGCCCTTCCCTTATTTTTTTTTTTTTTTTCAATCTTGGTCTACATCCCAGCCCTTTTTTTGTTTGTTAGTTTTTGCAGAAGTTATTTATTTGTTTTACTTGGTTTTCATTCCTTGTACATAGCAGTAAAAACATTTTGACACATCATACATAAACAGAGTTTAACTTCTCCTTTTTGTGGTTGTACACAATGGTCATTTAGTCATATATGCACATAGGATAATGATGCTTGATTTATTATACTGTCCTTCATCCCCAGCCCTTTTAAATTTTATTTTCAGACAGGATCTGGCTATGTTGTCTAGCCTCACCTGGAACATGTGATCCTCCTGCCTCAGCTTCTCAATTCTGTTGGAATTAAAGGCTCTGGCCACCATACCTGAAGAATATAGTTTATTTTGACCCAAATATTAATGACCATCCTCAGGAACATGAGGATGTTCATTTAACTTATCCTGAATGATGTATGTGTTCCACTCTGGAAGAGATTACTTTTTTTTTTTTTTTTTTTTTAATACCAAGGATTGAACCCAGGGGTAATTAACTAGTGAGCCATATCCACAGCCCTTTTTATATTTTATTTTGAGGCCTGATCGTCCTTAGGGCCTCACTAAGTTACTGAGGCTGGCTTTGAATTTAGCAGTCCTCCTGACTCAGTTTCTCAACCTGCTGGTTTTGTAGTTGTGCTCCAGTGTGCATAGCTGAGAAGAACATTTGTAAAGAAAGTTATGTAAGAATACATTAACCAATTGCATTGGTAGGATCATCAGATGGGTGGCTACAGTAAAAAAAAAAAAGGTGAAATTTCTTCTGTAGGTCTGTTATTACATTGTTAGCTTTGGAAGATGGTGCTTATATGTCAAATAAGGTTGGTAATATATACTGAGAAGTTTATTTGTTCTGAGAATTTTGAACTAATACAGAAATTGAGGTAATTGGCTATTAAAGGGCTTAAGATAGCCCAAGATAATTTTTGCCATTCATCCAGGACCCTGTCTTACTGCCCTCATGGTGGTTTAGTTCCCCAAAGTCAAGGTGTCTGAATTTTCATTGATATAGAGCAAGTTCATAGAGAATTTCAGTTCATACCTGCAAAAATTCTGTGTTTCTCCTTTTATCTTTCTTAGGAATAAGCACCATATCCGATTTTCTCAGGCAAGTTTCCTTTGGACACCTCACAGAGTCCTATGTTCTCAATCACTAGTGTTTCCTGGGCCTGCCACAATGTGCCCACAGGTATCCTGTGTCCCGCATGGTTCAAGGAATTTTAGGCACTCGGTCAGCTCCTCTTAGAGGACAGCCTAATGTGTGAGGTACAGCCTTTTGGGGGATCAGCTGGAAGTCTTGGGGCTAAGGAATGTCCTGGAACAAGCCTCATCTAGACAACTAACTTCTTGGGACCTTGTTTTCCCCAAGCCCTGTTCCCATTCCTTGGAGACAGGTGTGCAGTCAGCCTGTGGATGCTGGTGGTGAGAGGCCATGTCACCAGTGATTCCTGACCCTTGCATTCTCTCACAGTGTAAAAGAGCAAAAACTCTCCCAGAGCCTAAGGACCAGCCACCCCAATGCAGTGCTGAGCAAACCCGAAAAGCCTCATAAGCTGGAGTCATGGTCCAGGTCTTGTGGGAGAGTGATCATAGAGTGCTTCAGTGGGTATGACCAGGTGTGAGGATGTCCCAGCTGGCAGGGACCTTCTGTACTTCTGAGCCTATTAGGTTTGCTTCCTCAGCACCAGCCATTTTGTGTTTATCACTTTGAAATGATCTGCTTATTATCTGAAGCCCAAGTTTATTTATTAAAAACCAAATATGGTGAAATATTATGAAAAAGAGAATACAGAGGGGATTTTAAAAAGTCTACTTACATTTTCATTTGTTAAATATCCTAATTTGCAGCAACATTCACAGGTGCCCCAGATGCTGAGGCAGGAGGGTTTAAAGTTTGAGGACATCTTTACCAACTTAGGGAGACCCTATGCAACTTGATGAGACTTCAAAGATTGGGGATGTGGTTCAGTGGTCAACTGCCTCTGGGTTCAATCACAAGTATTAAAAAAAAATATGCCTCATCTTTGTGCCACCACGTTTGCAGCTAGACTATTAGCTTATGAAATTTAGCAGTTACATAAATACTGTGTTCATACTCAGTGTGATCTCTACAAGATTTTCACTGATCTTAGATATGGTCCACTATTTCCATTTTTAGGAGTAGTTTCTGTTAAGTTCACCAAGAAGCACAGCACTCCTGGCCCTGGATTTCACAAAATTTACTAAAATGCTCAGGGTTTTTTCAGAGAGTGTAGATCTTGGGGAAGTTCAGTCTCCTTAATCTCTTTGCTAAGAAAGCATATTGTCTTTCTATTGATTTCATTGTATTTAATGCCTCACATTTTGCACTTTTTCCATTATAATCATTTTTTGTCATTCATGAGATGTATTTTAGTATAGTTTCTGTGTGTGTGTGTGTGTGTGTGTGTGTATTTGTGCCCTGGTTCGGATTGAACATAGGGCCTCATGCATGCTTGGCAAATGCTCTACTGTTGGGCAACTCCCCAGCCCAAGAAAATGGACTATTATTGATGTATTTACTTATGTATTAACTGGTGGGATTTAAGCCACGGACTTGCTCATGCTTGTTATCCTTCAAAAACATGTTTTAAGTTTGTGAAAGCATTTTCTTGGAGGGTAGGTGTTTCCCTAAGGATTAATCCCAGAGCCACTTGACCACTGAGCACATCCCCAGTGTTTTTTTGTTTTTATTTTTTATCTATTTTTAATTTTGTTTTAGTAATAAATGGACAGAATACCTTAATTTTATTGATTTATTTGTGGATCTAAGTTTTGAATCAAGTGTCTCACACATGCTAGTCAAATGCCCTGTCACTGAGTGACAGTCTCTTTCCCCCGTTTTCATTCTTGATTAAGAGCAAGTCTCACTGTATTGCTGATACTTTTGTACATGACTGAGGCTGGCTTCAGTGTTGTCATCTTCTGGCTAGTAAAATTTGAAGTGCACGCCACCACACCAGGAGTTATAGTGACTTTTAAAGACAAGTCACCCATTTCTCTCAAAGTGGAAACAGTATTGAAAACCAGTTTCCTTGCTTTTCTTCATAGTTATGAGATTTGTATATATAACTCTTCCTCTTTCCTTTATGCCGCAGTCCAGCTGCAACAAAATAACCGTGGGGTGACGAACAACTTGTGTAGGTTGATACAGCAGGAGTGGGAGCTGTTTATTGTAGGACTGGAGGGGTATATATACATTACACACAGCTTATCTTAATTAACATAAACTAGATACAGCAGTCAACCAATAAGGAATCTCCACACTTAATGGCTCACTGGCATTACTTCATAAACCACTCCCCCTGGCAAAATGCTAGGCGCCATTTTTTTTTTTTTTAAAGAGAGAGAGAATTTTTTTAATATTTATTTTTCAGTTTTTGGCAGACACAACATCCTTGTTTGTATGTGGTGCTGAGAATTGAACCCGGGCCGCACACATGCCAGGCGAGCGCGCTACCACTTGAGCCACATCCCCAGCCCAGGCGCCATCTTGACTTGTTTACAGACCCTAACATTTCCCCCTTTCATTTAATTTAAATAACAACCATAGTGGTTTTTACAGAAACACCATAAATAGTCTGCTACAAGCAGAAGGGGAGGATAGAAAATGCCACAATACCAAGCCAATTGATGGCTCCATGCAAGAAGCCCTTGGAAAAATTATACCAGCAATGACACCGTTAACAAAGATACTGAGTTACAATTTGTTGTAGATTACAGTTTGTTGTCTCAATCCAGGTAAAGCAGTGTCTCAATAGATTAACTCACAGTCCAGGTAAATCACAGTCCAGGTAAGTTCTGCGGGCAGAGAGCTTGATCCGAAGTCTCTTCCGGTTCTCAGTAACACTGGAAATTTTTCCACGTGTGTAGATTGATACAGCAGGAGTGGAAGCTGTTTATTGCAGGACAGGAGCAGTATTTATACATTCCACACAGCTTATCTAATTAGCATAAACTAGATACATCAGTCAACCAATAAGGAATCTCCACACTTAATGGCTCCCTGGTGTTACTGCACAAACCACTCCCTCTGGCATTTTGCCAGGCACCATTCAGACTTGTTTACAGACTAACATTTCCCCCTTTTGTTTGATTTAAATAACGACCATAGTGGTTTTTACAGAAACACCATAAATAATCTGCTACAAGCAGAAGGGGAGGATACAAAATGTCACAATACCAAGCCAATTGATGGCTCCATGCAAGAAGCCCTTGGAAAAATTATACCAGCAATGACACCGTTAGCAAAGATGCCGAGTTACAATTTGTTGTAGATTACAGTTTGTTGTCTCAGTCCAGGTAAAGCAGTGTCTCAATAGATTAACTCACAGTCCAGGTAAATCACAGTCCAGGTAAGTTCTGCAGGCAGCTAGCTTAAATCATAGTTCAGGTAAGTTCTGCAGGCAGCTAGCTTGATCCGAAGTCTCATCCGGTTCTCAGCAACACTGGAAATTCTTCCACCTTCGTCTTCACTGGCACTGGGACGAAGGCAGGAACTCCGGATGGCTAAAGAAAATCCTGTAGTATTCCAGCAGGCACTAAGAAAACAACCTTCTGAACAATTTAGTACATTATCTCAAGGTTTTTTACATTTGAAATAAGCCTTAATAGTGCTCATTACACATTAGCTTCCAGGTGTGGGAGAACCATTCTAGTTACTGGCCTTGGAAATGATCAAACTTCAGGGACCCGGGCCTCTTCTGGCTGCAGTGTCCCAGGCAGTCCCAGATGGCCCTGGGGAGTGTTCTGGACTCAAACTGCCACTGGGCACAGGGAGCAAGAGCCTGCGAGACTGTGTCTCTGGTGAGGTTTGGATTTGGGCTCTCACAGTGGTGTCCCGCTCCCCGGGTGGGGAAGAGCCGGCTGCCGCCACTTGGAAAGTCCTTGCTGCGCCATGACTGGCTTGCGCATGTGGCGGCATAACGAAAAGTATTCAGTAATAGCCTTTTGTTGCAACCTTTTTCCTGATAATCCTTCTTCTGAACTTTCTTTTTCTTTCTGATTAGAGTTCCTGGGCTTCCATGAACACATGCCCTAACTATTCTTGGTTCCACTGGGGTGTTTCCTTCCCTTAGCAATTTACTTAATATCCCTTCCATATTTTCATCACAAAGGCGATACAATACACTGAGACAAAACAAGACACAAACCTGCTGTATTAATCCTCTCCATCTTCTTAAAATGGTCATTCTTTCTTTCGCCCTGTCTTCTTAGGGATGAGCAGATTTGCTTCTGTCGTATCTTTCTATGGATGGGCAGCTTTTTTTTTTTTTTTTCCATCACTTACCCCTGAGTGTCCTGGGGCTCCCCGTACAGGCCACCATCTGCCGCAGTCCAGCTGGAGCAAAATAACCAGGGGGTGACGAACAACTTGTGTAGGCTGATACAGCAGGAGTGGGAGCCTTTTATTGTAGGACCGGAAGGGTATATATACATTACACACAGCTTATCTTAATTAACATAAACTAGATATAGCAATCAACCAATAAGGAATCTCCACACTTAATGGCTCGCTGGCATTACTTCATAAACCACTCCCCCTGGCAAAATGCCAGGCACCATCTTGACTTGTTTACAGACCCTAACACCTTTACTCTTGCATTATTATGGAAAAGGTATTCAGTATGTAATATTGTTTCTTTTGTATATATTTGTGAATCTTCCATGGTGTGGTAGTTGGTTCACTTTTTTATTAAATTTATTTTTCAGAGTGATTATAGTCTTATATAGTACATTAGTCGGGGTTCTCCATTGGAACAGAATTAACAAGAAGAATGAATACAAAAAGGGGATTTATTGGATTGTCCTAGGTGACCAGAAGCTGGAGAGTCCTCCATGGCCGTCTGCTGGCTGGGGAGCTGGAGAAGTAGTAGCTGTGCAGCCCACGATGCTGAAACCTCTGAACAAGAGGGATCAATGGTGCTACCCTAGTGTGAGATCCAATGCTTCTGGAAACTCCCTGGAGAATCACTGGCAGATCAGCTTTGGAAGAGTGAAGAAGGGAAAGTCTGATATCCTCAGGCAGTCACAGCATCAGTGGAAAGCCCATCTGTGTAGAATCCAGCTTGCATCTGCAGCTGCTCCATGTAGTTGCAACTTTTATTTCATGCAAACCACCATCCTATTTGATGATGTTACCCACACATATGGAGGTTTTCCAGTTTGCTATCCCACATGTCAATCACTCCTAGACACAGCCTCATGGCCAAACCCAAAAGTCCATCAATCATCAGTCTCTCTTAATCCCATCAAGGTGAAAATTCACATGAACCATCACATAGTATAATACACCCCTTCTCTCTAGCTCATAGTCTCAACTCTTTTCAACATCTTGGACTTGGCATGCAATTCTTTTTAATTATTTTTGGTTCAGTTAAGTAATGTTTGTGGAGGTATTTTGCATTTATGATCATGAGAGTAATTCATAGCTTCCTCATTTTATCAAGTTAATTTTTTTTTAAAAAAAGAGAGGTGAGAGAGAGAGAATTTTTTAATATTTATTTATTTTTTAGTTTTCGGCAGACACAACATCTTTGTTTGTATGTGGAGCTGAGGATCGATCCTGGGCCTCACGCATGCCAGGCGAGCGCGCTACCGCTTGAGCCACACCCCCAGCCCCTATCAAGTTAATTTTGATAATAATGTAACATATGCCTCCAAAGAAATTAGAAGGTGTTTTCTCTGCTTCTGCATTCTCAAAAGAAATGTAGAAAATTGGTGGCAGTTCTGGAGTGTCTGGTAGCAGCCTGTAGGATGTCTAAAAGTCCTACATTTCACTTTTTTGATGGTAATGAGTTATTGAGTCAGTTTCTTCTCTAGGCACAGGCTCATATGTTTTGTGTATTTGTCCTTCTGTGTATGTTGTAGGAGATGGTCTCTCTGAAATTATTGGGCCACTTCCTCTAAGTTATCAGATTTGTGTCAAGTGCATGTTCATGATATTGTGGAAGAGCCCATGGATGGTAATGGTGGGTCTTTTCATTCTAATGGATAGTTTCTGTGTCCTCAGTTTTCTTAATTGTTTATGTTATTGTATTTTTCATAGCTTTGTTTTAATTTATTTACTTTTATGTGCTGACAAGGAATGAACCCAGTGTGTAACTGGTGCTAGGCAAGCTCTCTACACTGAGCCATAACCTCACTCCTGTCCTCTGTTTCCTTAGCCACACATTAGTTTGTCAGTGATGCTGATGTTCATGCAGAACTTGGTTTTGCTGACTGCTGATTTTTTTCAAATATTTTTTTTCTTAATTTTTAAAAATTGTTCATAGATCTTTATTTATTTATATGTGGTGCTGAGAATTGAACCCAGTACCGCACACATGCAGGGAGAGTGTGCTACAGCTGAGCTCCAGCACCAGCCCCTGCTGATTTCTTGATTGTTGTTTCACCAACACCCCCTCTTACCTGCCTGTGCTTAATTTACCCTTACCTTGCTCTTTTTTCTTTGCTTTCCTTAAGTATTGGGTCAATGATTGCTTTTATCTCTTCTTTTCTAAAATATGCTTTGGATAGTGTAGATACCCCCAGTGCTCCATCTCTGCTGTTTTCCATGTTGGACTTTTTTATTTCATTTTTCTCAACATGATCAAATTTACCCTTGAGTAACCTCGTCTTCCTATGTCTGTTTAGAGCCCTGTGTTGCATCTCCCATTGCTTAGAGGTTTTCCAGCTGCTTCTGATCTGATTTCTGCTTTAACTCTCATGTTCTTTGAGCCTACTTGGGATTTCACTGGCATTGCACACTTGTTGAGGTGAAGGTTATGGCTCAGAATGTGGCCTTTTCTGGGGAGTCGTACTATGATCCTGAGAAGGCTGTGTGTTTCACTGTTGACTAATGGCCAGGGATCACAGACCCAACAGAGTTGTGGTGATGTCTCCCAATGTAGCCATGTATTCTTCACTGTCCTGGGAAGTTTTGTATGTCTCTGCCTGGTGTATTTTGACTTTGTTTCAGCTGCATGCATACTAGTAATTCAAGACAGTTACTTGAAAGTTTATCCTAGAGCCGCCACAGTGGCACATCCCTTTAATCCAAGCAGCTCAGGACTCTTAGGCAGGAGGATCAGAATTTCAAAGGTAGGCTCAACAAGTTAGGCACTGAGCCACTTAGAGAAATTCTCTCTCAAAATAGAAATAATTAAAAATAAAATAGGGCAGTGAATGTGGCTTATTTGTTATGCACCCTTTGGTTCAATCCTTGGTACAAAATATAAATAAACAAAAAAATAAATGAATAGAAAAAAATTAATCCCAGGGATTCTGGAGTCTTATCTTACTCAGGCATGGTCAATCTCACGTCTGGTATTTTCCATTCATGAGTTAAGTTTTCCTGTTTCTCAGTATTCTTTGTACATTTTTAAAAAGTGAATGAAATTCGTTTCTTGGGGATGGGGTTGTGGCTCAGTGGTAGAGTGCTTGCCTAGCATGCATGAGGCACTGGGTTTGATTCTCAACACCACATACAACTGAAAAAAATTCCATCAACAACTAAAAAAAATTAAAAACAGAAAATATGTTTTTCCTTTTCTCCTTTACTATGGTTCCTGTTTGTTGAAGGCTTCGTGCCTTTGCTTAGAGACTAGGTGTCTGAGCTATTTTTAGTGAATTATTTTGTGTTCAGCTCCTTTGAAAGATTTCCCTGAATGCTAGGGTCATCTGAAGGAATGGAAACTTTAGGGGTTTCGAAGCTGACAGGCTGTGGATTTGCAGACTGACACCCACCAGCTGTGCTCTCTGACATTTCACCATGAGGGCTGGCCACAGCTGCAGGTACCTGTAATGCAGTAGCAGAAGCAGCCAACAAAGTAGCAGAGAAAGAACAATCACTCTTCAGGTTGAGCATAGTAAAAGTCCCAAATGTGTATGAGTCTTCAGGCCATTGGCAAGCTTGTTCCCATATAAGAAATAAAAAATTCACTCTCCAATATATTGCCCCAATTTCCTTTTTAATGTCCTCAGAACTTGTTTATGTATAAAAGTAAAAGCCCAGCTGTGCTCAGGCCTCAGGCTTTAGGAATTTTTTTGGGGGGAGGGGTCTATGGTGTCACAATCAATTATTGCTGCCAGATCTCAGTATCCCTTGGCCTCATTTCTCCCTACACCCGAAACTATAAAAGAACAGTAGAAACAGGAAACCTCACTTGTCTGTTTTTTTGTGAGTAGTTGTGCTGGGGCCTGTGCTTTAACACACAGTGGTGCTATTAAAACTCTGCTGTGCCTTTGCTCTGCAGATCCCCACCTAGAGAGCAACCAGTGCTGAGCATGTGGGTCATGATCCTCTTTTTAATGTTTCCTCCTGGTTTGTGTGAACTTCCTTCTTTTCTCAGAATATCTCAGTGGTTTTATTTGGGGGAGCATACTGTGGAGTGAACCCTCAGGTGCTTCACCACTAAATCAAATGCCCAGAACCTTCCCCCTTAACTTTTATTTTTGTTAACTTTCATTCAGGATTTTGCCAACTTGCTTAGGGCCTAACTAAGTTGCTAAGGCTGGCACTGAACTTGTAAGCCTTCTGCCTCAGGTTTCTGAACCTGGGTATATTTGAGACCTGATTTCTGAAAGAAACTCTCTGAAACTTTCTTTGTCAAATTTTAGGTGATGGTTGAGTGGGTAGACAATAGTTTGCTTTCTTGCTATTTGCAGGCTGTTTGTTTACTTAAATCCTTTTGAGGAATTTCTGCTGATTTTTTACAGTGATTACTTCTGATGTAGAAGAGTGAGATTTGGTTTTAGGCATTAATATATTTCCACGGTTGAGCTGGGGTTGTGGCTCAGTGGTAGAACACTCACCTAGTACATGTGAGGCCATGGGTTCAATCCTCAGTACCACATTAAAAAATAAATAAATGAATAAGTAAAGGTATTGAATTCAATTACAATTAAAAAACAAAATATTTTAAAGAAGATAATTCCATGGTGATTTTAGTATGAGTTGCCCAAAACTGAAGAAGATGTGCTGTGTGCAGTCTGGAGTCATAGAGGGTCAGGCTGAAGGGATCATGAAGGTCAAACCATGGTTGCTGCACTGCACTCTTCCATATGACTGCTTCACGGAGCTGGTGGGAAACTTTCAGGGCTTTGGGGCATGATGGCATTGTTGTTCTGATGGTTTGGCTTGTGTTTCCAATTCTGTTCTATCTCATGGCTGTACTGAGATGATTCCAGGCTCACTCTTGTGTCATTTTGCTATGAGTGTTGAATTGTTTTTCTTCTAATCATTAGGGAATTGTATAACATGTTCTTCTACAAAACTAAATTTCCACAGGTGCAATGGTGCACGATTGTATTCCTAGCAGCCTTGGAGGATGCGGCAGAAGAATCATAAATTTAAATGCTACCCTCAGCCTCTCACAAGGCCCTGAGGAAGTTTTTGAGTACTGTGTCAAAATGGCATATATGCTGGAGATGTGTCTCAGTCATTAAGTGCCCTATGGTCAGTCCCTGCTTATTTATTTTCTAAATGTTTCTGACCACAAATAAATAAATACAGTGAAATTTTTTTGTCAGTTCATTAATAGTGTGTCACATTTGAATGTATAATAAATGGATTTTTGACTATGGGATTAGTGCCTTTGGCCACCTAGATTCGAGTTTGCCTAGATCATCATTGTGATCTGTATCCAAGACACCTGCTCTCACTCATCTTTCCATGCTGTTGAAGGCCAGCCCACTGAAGCCTTCCTCATGGTCTGTTGCTCACCTCTGCTGATACTGTGCTGCTCAGGAGATCACATGTTTTAAGTCCTTGAGAATGGTTTTGTGTCAGTGGCAGGGGCACCTTCTGGTAGGTGATCTTTTTGGCTGTTCCATCACGGGGCAAACATCATAGTACTGTTATGATTGTACATGAAGTGGCGTGTTTCACACCCAAACTGTGTTAGATACGTGAGGATTCTGGGTTGCAACCCTGCTTCTTTACACACCCTGTAAATGCTTCTGTCGTAGGTTTGTTTGCACCACCATCATTACAGGCAGGAGGAAATTCTTTCACAACAGACACCAGTGCACATGTGGCCCACTCTTGACCAAAGTGTCCTTGAGTGGAACATGGCTATGTGGAACATGACCTTACGGTAGTGAAGTGATTGCTTTTCAGTAGGTTATTGACAATTCTTGTACATTCATTGTTGCTATGAGGTTTAGAAATTCGTGTCTGCTTTTCATTAAGAAAACTGGTTTGAGACTTACAAAACTTTGCAAGGTTGTTGTTTGGACAAGGTGACATCTTTGGGTCATTGAGTTATATGTAAGACATGTTCCATCTTTCAACTTACCTAATTCTGCTTTGACAGTAACCTTGAGAAATCATCAAATTTTTGTGTTTATTAATCATTGTGCATGTTTACTATTTTATTAATTTTTTAATGGAGAAATGTACCTGCAAACATCTAGTTGTTCTCTTCTTGTAATCCCACAACATGAACTCAATCCCTAGTTCACAAATTCTGGCAACCTGAGTGTCAAGTTGTCTAAATGTTGTCTGTAGTGGAAGCTTCTTTGTGATCAATGCTCAGAAGTCATGGGTGGGGACTGTTCTAGGCATTTCCTTAAAGAAGGAACAATAGACTTTCAGAAAGAATCAAGAGATCAGTGAACGCAGTGTTGTCTATATTAACTGTGTAGGCACACTGACCCACTGTGGTTGGTAGAATCTCTCTCAATTGCTCAGTTCTGTGATTGCAACAATGTCCTACTCGTCAGCTTTCTTTCCTAAGGGTAAGTACTCTCGAGGGTGCTAATATTAGCTCTCAACTTCCGAGAAGGTTGTTAGGACATGTAATAGAGGTGTAACCAACAAAGTGACCCAGGATCCTGTGTTACTTCCTGTGAACTCTCCAATGGAAGGGAGAAAATAACTAAATTGCTTGCCTTCTGAGTGGCCCAATTCTACTGTTGAAATGTTTGTGAAGAATTGAGTGCAGAAAAGTTTTGTTGGACCAAATCATGGAATTAATCAGAAATTCAGAGAATCATGTGAACATCAAGCATGTTGAGTACATATTTCTTCTGCTGTCAATCTCTCCTGACCTCCAGTAAACATTTGTGGGATATTTTAGATCTCAGTGACCTTTGAGGATGTGGCTGTGAACTTCACCCAGGAGGAGTGGGCATTGCTGGATCCTTCCCAGAGGAACCTTTACAGAGATGTGATGCTGGAAGTCCTCAGAAACCTGGCTTCTATAGGTAATAATGATTTTTTTTAAATTAATCTAATAGAGAACTCATGTTTATTTTGGTCATTTATATAGAACATGAAAAGGGAATCCATTGTTGAATTATTGCAGCATAAAAGGCACCTACAAGTTTGGCAAAGCATTTCTGTCTCCTAAAAATTCATAAAGATTGTTCTGGTTTCTCATTTTAGAAAACAAATGGTATGAAAAAAACATTGAAGATGAGATCAAAAATTCTGAGATCATTCTAAGGTAATTGTACTCACAAGAGGAGTTCTTGAGGGAATGTGAGAAAGTCATATAATTTTTAAAACAGACCAACCCAAGAAGTATTCATAATTTGAAATGTATTTATTCTTATAAAATTTTTTTTTACTAGAAATGTATACTTAACTGTAACAGATATTCAGTCTTTTCCAAGTACTTGGCATGCCAAAAGTATATGAAATTGCATGTGAATATCACTATTTGGATAAATACCATAGGGAAGCTGCATTGCAAAGGATTATTTCCTTTGGATATCTTGATTTTCAGGCAATTTGAACACATCAGGAAGCCTAGCCTTTACCTGATGTTGGTAGTAATGTAAGCCTAGGACCCATAAATAAGTATAAAATCATGAATGAATCAAGCATTGATAATGTTCTGGTCATTCTTGAAAGAAGCCATGTGGTAAACTTAAACAGCCAAGAAGGTAGTGTGGGGAAACTTTCAATGAAATTCCAGTTCTTAAATGGACAAAGAAAAATTTTAATAGAGTAAGTCCATGTGGTTGTTATATGTGTGCCAAGGACTTCATATGTGCTTCATTCCTTCATAGGCACATCACATCTCACTCTGAACACAAATGCTACAAGCCTGATGAATGTGAAGAGAAGCCATGTGAATTTAAACAGCACAGGCAATCCCTGGTTTCTGTCAAAAGTGTTCACACACAAATGTTAATACAAACTGGAGATGGACCCTATGAAAGTACAGTATGTGGGAAAGTCTCCAGTTGTTCCAGTGACATCCAAAGGCATGAAGATACTCATACTGGGTGGCAACCCTATGAATATCAACAATGTGGTGAAGCCTCATCTTCTCCCACAGGTGTTCAAAGACACATGAGAACACACAGTGGAGGTAAACCTTTTCAATGTGAGGTATGTGGGAAAGCCTTTCATTTCTCCTCTTCAGTTAGAAGACATGAAAGAATTCATTCTGGAGAGAAACTCTATCACTGTAAACAAGGTGGTCAAACCTTTATTTCACACACAAGTCTTCAAAGGCACAGGATCACACACACGGGGAATGCACATTTTAAACGTAAGGTATGTGGGAAAGACTTTGCTTATCCCAGTTTACTTAGAATACATCAGAGAACCCATACTGGAGAGAAGCCCTATGAATGTAAGCAGTGTGGGAAAGCCTTTGCTAGATCCAGTGAACTTCGCATACATGAAAGAACTCATACTGGAGAGAAGCCCTATAAGTGTAAGCAGTGTGGAAAAGCCTTTGTTACATCCAGTCACCTTCACTCACATGAAATAACTCATACTGGAGAAAAGCCCTATGAATGTAAGCAGTGTGGCAAACCCTTTGCTAGATCCACTGACCTTCAGATTCATGGAAGAACACATACTGGAGAGAAGCCCTATGAGTGTAAGCAGTGTGGCAAAGCCTTCAGTCATTTCTCTGGCCTTCACTCACATAAAAAAATTCATACTGGAGAGAAGCCTTATGCATGTGATCAGTGTGGCAAAGCCTTTGCTAGGTCCAATACCCTTCACAGACATGAAAGAACACATACTGGGGAGAAGCCCTATGAATGTAAGTATTGTGGAAAAGCCTTTGCTAGTTCTAGTTACCTTCCCAAACATGAAAAATCTCATACTGGAGAAAAGCCCTATGAATGTGAGCAGTGTGGCAAAGCCTTTTCTACATCCAGTTACCTTCAGATTCATGGAAGAACACATACTGGGGAGAAGCCCTATGAATGTAAGCAGTGTGGAAAAGCCTTTGCTAGATCCACTTCCCTTCAGATTCATGGAAGAATGCATACTGGAGAGAAGCCCTATGAGTGTAAGCAGTGTGGAAAAGCCTTCACTTATTTCTCTGGCCTTCATGCACATAAAACATTTCATATTACAGAGAAGCCTTATGCATGTAAGCAGTGTGGCAAAGCCTTCACTCGTTCCTCTGACCTTCACTTACATAAAAAAATTCATACTGGAGAGAAGCTTTATGCATGTAAGCAGTGTGGCAAAGCCTTTGCTAGTTCCAGTGAACTTCAAACACATGGAAGAACACATATCGGAGAGAAGCTCTATGGTTGTAAACAATGTGGAAAAGCCTTTGTTACATCTGCTCAGCTTCACTTACATGAAGCAACCCATAGTGCAGAGAAATCAGACTCATGAAAACAACTGGCAAAGTCTTCTGTTAATAAGGTTTCACTCATTAACATGTAGTAAGTTTTCTGAAGAAAAATTCTTTGAATGTGGTAAATCAATATTTCTTGTCCATTTCAAAGAGAAGAAAGTGCTCACATGTTTGAATATCTATCTATCTGTCATCTATCTATCTATCTGTCTGTCTGTCTGTCTATCAATAGTACTGGGGATTTAGTCTGGTGGTCATCTATCACAGAGCCATGGTGAAGGCGATCTCCCACTCACTGTCTTGACAGGGTCACAGTGAGGATGAATGCTGGCAAAGCCGCACTGGTTGGTGGGAAACAGAAAGCATGAGACCCTTTTTTGTATAATTGGGACTTTTCATTTTCATGCTTATGTTTCTGACAGGAGGCATGAGTATGTTAAATGCTAAACAAATTAAATTTCAGATGGCTAGAACATAACAGGTAGTTCATGCCTTGGAGGCTGTTCTACTACCCCTCAGCATATCAAGGACAAAGTAGAAGGCTGTTCTTCTATCTCAGTACACTGAGGACAAATGTGATATTGGACAACAATCATCCTCTGAAAAGTCACGAGAATTTTAGGCACCACATCGATTATATCAACTAGAACCCAAGCTCTTAGAAAACCTAATTATTATGCTTGTTTTTCAAAGCCCACCATATGTAGTCTCATTTTTGATTGAGGAAAGTTATATTATACACTTAGGAAAGTTAAAACATATAAAGGTATATTCTCTTTTTATAAACCCTTTTTTACTTTACATAGGGATTTATGATGAACATAGTTAATATTGGCGGAAAGTGCACTGATGTTTAGAACTTACTTTCTATTGAGAACGATTATAAAGATATGAGAACTAGTGCACCTTGACTGAGAAACAAAGAAACTCTTTGAGAAAGCAGCTCAACCAGGTTTATGAGAATAAATTTAGGAAGTAATTAAAGTAGCCTTATAAGATATATTTTTAGAATAATGTTAGAAATATTATCCTATTTAGACTTTGGGGTTTAGAAATTCTGAATTTTTTGTTGTATGGGTTTCTGATATATTTTAAGAATGATTTATAAACTTTAGGATATTTTAAGTATAAGATTTAAGGGGACTTTTTTAGATGAGAATTTTAGATTCGAAATAAAGTAAAGGTGTACTTTAAATTTAAAGGTTAATGATAGGTTCAGAGACTTAGAATCTGGTTTCGTAGTTTGGCATTAGTCAATAAGAAAATAGTAAATCTTGGGAAAATCTGAAAAATGTAAATTAGTGATGCATTTTATTAATGATTCTGTACTTTTAATAATTAAATAACTAAAGGTCATATCCTGGAAAAATGGAAATTAATGTTACATTTTTTGTATCCCTAATCATGGTTAAGGAAATGTCATGTCTTGGCAAAAGTTTTAGATTGTATAATCAATGGCGTATCTGAATCTATAATGATGAGAAAATTTGCAATAAAAGATGACCCGAGAAAGCTGCATTAGCTCTCTCTCTCTGGAGATTTCTCCAACGGAACGACTCCTGTCTCATCTTTTCGCCGACACCACTCATCCTTCAGGACCCCCTGGACCCCGCGAGGGCAGGACAAGAACAGGATCAAGTCATCCTTTTCTCTACATGCCCTCACTAGTGCAGTTCTTTCATCCTCACTGTGTCATGCAACTATTGATTTCTTTGACTTTTCTCACAACGATGCTGCCCACTGCTTTTTCTCAAAAATTGATTATTACTTCATGACTTCTCAATTTATTCTTTTGTTTGTTTCTAAAGTTTGGTTACACATTGTGTATGTGGGTTGAGGCCTGTGCACTCCAGCATTCTGTGCAGATTGGCTAAATATCTCTTTTTTCCTCCTTTGCTCCCTTCTTTCCTTCAGATTTCACCCAGGAGTGCTCCACCACTGAGCTTCCCCCTAGCCCTTTTATTGTTACTTTTTGAGATGGGGTGACGCTGGCCTCAAACATGTGGTCACCCTGCCCCAGCCTCCTAGCAGCTAGGACCATAGAGATGTGTCCTTTTGTGCTCTGTGACTGGCCTCTTCCTTTTCCTTGGTGCCTTATTGTCCTGTTGATGACTCTGGGACCACCACTCTGTCACCCGTGTTTCTTCTAAGTCTCATGTGTTGTGTTGTATGTAGGCACATTAAAGGGCATTATAAAAGTTGTAATTTTTATGTATTCTTTGGAGAGGCATCTTCTCAAAATATACTTTGCCCTGTACTTAATTAATTGAGTGGCTTTCTGTTTCTTTTCTTTCCCTGGTGCCAGGGACCCAATCTTGCCTTGTGCCTGCTAGACAGGTGCTTTAGCACTGAGGACTCCTCTAGCTCAGGTGGTGAGTTTGCTGCTGCTGTGTGCGTGGTCCCTGCGTGGACCCCACTGAGGACCACTTTGGTAGATGCAGCTCTGCAGGTTTTTCCCATGTTTTCACCTGGTCCCTTTCTTAAACATCTTGTACAGCAGGGAATTTCAACCACTGAGATCCACCTTAGATTTTCTCCCCATGACTAATACTTAGGTGAAATATGCCAGAAAACCCAGGCTGGTCTTGTCTCTGTGTTCAGGGTACCTCAGTAGCCCTGGGAACATCGTCTGATGCTTTTCTTCATACACAGCATGTGATCAAAACTAGGTAAGGAGGGACCCAGTCGGATGTCCTAATGTATTGGTGCCCCCTTCTGCACCTAAGAATCTTAAATAAACTTCTCCAGAGATCCTCACCATAATATTCTTTAAAACAAATATCAGGAAAAGGTTTTGCAAAGATATCAATATATGTTAGAATGAAGATGTGATGATGTTACTTTGTTTTTGGTAAAGCTTGGAAGATCTCCGAATAATCTCAAAAATGACTAAAAATTCACTTTCTTTGAACAACCAAAAAAAAAATTTATGTAGACTCCTACAAAAATAAAATAAAATAAACCTCCACCCCCTCCCACTGGGTGTAAAGATAATGAAATTCCAACATCAAGGTCCAGAAAATTTTAGGTGATACCCCTCTGAACCCTGCCGCTAATAAGTCAGCTCCCTGAATCTTCCTCAGGTGTCCAGCCTCATCTGCCCCACGTCACTAATAGAGCCTCCATTGGCAAAAGATTTCACATGGTACCCAGGAATTTTTCTTTTAACATTAACAGCAGGGTCTCTGATGGGATTCAGGAGCACTGGTTTCAAGGTTCCTAGACACTTTAGAGCTTCCTTTCCCAGCAGTCATGACCCAGACAAAATCCACAGTGGGTGCAGCACCGGGAGGTGGTCACCCTTCATGAAGACAATACCCTTCTTGACACTACAGCCAATAAATTTCCAGGAGTCTTGCTTGCCAGTGCTTGCCCTGTGGTGCAGGGGATCCTGCATATTGGTATGAACTTCTGGGTGTTCTTGCTGTGCTCTGCTGGGGTCATTGTGCCCAAGAGGCCTGGACACTGCTGGTCCTGGGGTCTATTAATGACTGTGGAGCAGGAGGCACTTGCATGGATGCCCATTTACTCCTGGGTCTGATGAACTTCCTGGGCCATGACCACCCATTTGTGCCTGGATCTTCTCTTCACTGTTGCCTTCTTCCCTGCACTGCCTGAGCTCAGAGTCCCCTCAGTTCTCCACACTCATGTTCCTCTTTCATGATGGCCTTGGTGGCCACCAGGGAACATACTCCCTCTCAGCCTCATGGGCTCCCATCAGACCCCTCTCTGCACAGGGTCACCATGGTGTACACTGCAGGTTTGGCATCTCCCCCTGCTGTGGAGTCTTGGTACACTGGGCCCAGGGTCAACCTGTGTGTGCTGCAGGGTGGGCATCTCCTCCTGTTCCCTGGAACCCTGGTACACTCTGCCCCTACCCTGGGTACCCTGCAGGGAGGACAGAGGGCCTCCAGCAGAGAACCTGGGTTTTAATCTGCTGTGATAGTGTGATTTAAGGACAGGTCAATGACCTCCATTGACCTGTCCTGTGCCCACCCTAGGGAAGACTCTGCAGGGCACCCTGGATGTATTATGCTCCCTGGAACATACCCCCAGAAAGAACTGTGTTTGTGTCATCTGTGAATGGTCCTAGGTCCTAGGATGAATGTCACTTGGGAAAGGGACAGGAACACACTGTGCTCCAGAAGAGGCCAGCATGGAACTTCCCGGGGAGGCATGGCACCTGTCTTAGTGCGCCCAGTTCTCTGAGTTCGCAAAGGACAGATGAGGCTCACCCTGGGCGGTTCCTCCTACAGCCCTCCCCCACCTCAGCTGTTGCCAAAGCAACAAAGGGCCCCCAGATTTTGAATTTTGACTTTGGCTTGGGGGGGGGGCTGGCACACAGACACCTTGCTGATTTCACTTTCGGGGAGTGATGAATGACAGATGTTGAACAGTGATTATAAACACAGGCTGCGTGAGAAGCTTTTGTCCAGCCAGGAATGAGGTGGGTTCTGAGCCCACTGGAGGCAGTCTGGGCTCAGCCAGGACCTTGGGTGGGTTGTGGGTGTGAAATGCACACCTGCTTGGTGACATTCTCCACTTAGAGTGGGTTATGGGGACTTCTTGTCACAATAACTCTGTGGTTACATCACAGGTCTTCTTAGGAATATGGATCCCAACAAAATTACGTTTGAAGGAAGAGATGACCGATGTCACACACAAAGGCAAAGTTTTTGGCTTTTTCTTATTTTTTTTTTTGAGGGGGGTTATGCAACCCAGGGGGCTCGTATGCTTTGAATATCCCATCAGCATTCACAAAGGGTGCACCCTGAGTGTCCTACCACTTTCTCAGGTGCAAAATTCAAAGAGAAGATGAAACACTTCACCTAAGAGCTTTTGCAGTCAGATGTGCAAAAATTGATTGAGAATCTCACTATAGATATGAAACCCAAAGGCAGTGACCCAGCCCCTAGAGCTCAAGGAATTTCCCCATGGACTGGCAGATGACAGGTGCTAGTCTCTTCCCTTCTACCTTGGAGGAGGCTGCATCTGGTGGGAGAAAAGCTATAGAAGGTCAGACCTTGTTCTTCATGCACCCAAAGCTGACCACCTAGTGGCCCCCCATAAGGACAGTTATGTTCCCCTGAGGACAACTGGCAAAGTACAGAGACACTGGGGGTGTCCCACTTTGGGATGTGGTGCTATTGGTGAGCAGCAGGTGGAGACCAGAAATGTTGTTCAACATCCTACAATGAACAGGATGGGCCCATCACAGAGAGTGATCTGGGCCAGTGTACCAGTAGGACCAAGGCTAAAGAACCCAGCCTTAGCATGAGAATCTGTCAGTCCTCCAATTCATCCAGCCAGCCAGCCACCCATCCAGCCAACCATCCATCTGCCCATCCATCCATCCATCCATCCACTCACCCACCCACCCATTCATCCACCATTCAACCATCTACCCATCCATCCATCCATCCATCCATCCACTCACCCACCCACCCATTCATCCACCATTCAACCATCCACCCATCCATCCATCCATCCATTTATCTATTCATCCATTCACTCATCCAGCCATCTGCCCATCCACCCATCCATCCATCCATGCATCCATCTATCCATCCATCTATCCGTCTATCCGATGGGAGCATCCATCCATCCTTCCATCCACCCACACACACACCCAACATCCATCCATCCATCCGTTCATCCATTTACCCATCCACCCATCCATCCATCCAGGCAACCAACTATCCATCCATCCATCCATGCATCCATCCACACATCCATGCATCCATCCATCCACCCACCCACCCATCAATCCACCCATGTATCCATCCATCTCTCCAGGCAACCATCTATCCACCCACCCATCCATCCATCCACCCATCCTACCATCCACCCATCCATCCATCTATCCATGCACCATGGGTGGACAGGCAGATAGACAAATGGATGATGCCTGGATGAAAACATGGACAGATGGGTGGGTGGAGGGATGGCTCGCTCATGGATGGATACATAAGATGCATGCTGATGGATTTGGGGAAAAATTCTAGTGATTTGCTAACCCTGAGAATAAAGGGCTCAGAACGGATTACAATTTTACAAGCCTGTGTGTAATCCTCTATACAGTTTAGCCAAAATAAGAAAATACCCCACTCTCTAAGATCCTCTGGCCTCCAAAGACCCCCTTCAGAATTTCTCTTTGGCCCCCAGTTTGGCCCTGGCTCCCCCACACCCCAGTAAGACATGATTTTTGCCCTAGTCTCCAGTCATACTGGGGATCAGGGTTTCTGTGAACACAGAATATGTGAGTATGTTTTGGACTCACTGCTTTCAAATCCTTTGGGTCTGAACCCAGCGGTGGCATTGCTGGGTCATAGTGTGATTCAGTCTTAAGCTTTTGAGGGGTCACCATATTGTTCTGCCAAGGGCCACCTGGAGCCCAGGAGCTGGAGAGGCAGGAGGAGGCTCCCTGGAGCCTGTGGAGGGAGCTGGACACTATTGTAAGAGGCGGGTCCTGTCCACACCTTGACCCCAGAACCTGTGAGTGGGACCTTGTATGGAAACAGGGTCTCTGCAGAGGTCGTTAGTGAAGGGTCTGAGATGGGCTCCTCCTGGGTCAGGTGGCCCTCATGCCATGGCCATGTCCTCACGAGAGACAGAGGAGGGGACACAGACACAGAGGAGGAGCCCCGTGGAGACGGAGGCAGAGACTGCAGTGAGGGGCCACCCGCCCAGGGCCACCTGGAGCCCAGGAGCTGGACAGGCAGGAGGAGCCCCCTGGAGGCTGTGGAGGGAGCTCAGGCTGGGACCCTGGTCCAGCTTCTGCCCTCCAGGGCTGGGGTGGGGGGGTGGTTCCTGGATTACTTTTAAGTCTCTTTGTCTTTGGTTATTTAATACAGCAGCCCCAGGAAAACCCTCACAAACTCAGCCCGGCCTCAAGTTGTTTGAGAGGGCTAAGACCCTGTTTTTACTCTTGGAAAAGAATCATGTGTGGTGCTGAGTTCTGGAGCACTAAGAAATTTCATTTGCCCTGGTCGATTTTAAGTGGATTATTCCCCTAAACTGCACACACACAGCACCACCCCACCACCCAAACCGCACTCTACCTCAGTGTACGGTTCCCATAGCAACCAACATCCCCGATGCCCAGATCATCTGCCAAGATCAGCAGGATGTTTGGCTTGGAGGCGTTCGGTGATTTCGGCTCACAGGTCTGCAGAAGCCAACATACAAGGAGGAGAAGCAGCGTGGAGTCCCTGCAGAGGAAAACAAAAGGCAGAAAATAAATGTACAGGATTTGGGATGCAAAGTATACACCATGCACATGTAGATGTCAGGGGTCTGGGGAGGGCTTGAACCACACTCCTATGATGCCAACTGAGCCCCAAGAGAATTATCCAGCTGTGGGAAGCTTCTGGTTTTGCATGGGGTCCAACAGCCCAAAGCGAACCAGGGTGGAGTGACTACTGCTAATGGCCACACAATCAAGATGACACTGAGAGGCCCATTTCCTCCCTGCACCCAAACTGGAGATTCTCAGCAAGCAATCAGAACCTGAGCCCTCATAATAAGAAGGTTCCCTCCACTTCAACCCCATGAAAACAGAGCAGAGGTCCCCTCTTTATCCTCCGGGGACACATTCCAAAACTCTCAGAGGTGGTAGAAAGTTCAACTAGTACCTAACCCTATATAGACTACACTTGTGTAGTACATATAGATGCCTGTCATAACGTATGATTTATAATCTAGGCACAGCAAAGGATTAACAGGGCAAATCATAACCAAATAAAACAGTTGTAACAATGTGCTATGACAAATGCCTGACTTACAAGTTTTTCACTTTGTTTTTTCTCACTTATTTTTGGACATCCGAGAACTGAATCCTGGGAGATTTCTGACCACTAAATTAAGGAACAATCACTGAGTGCATTTGTGGTGATTGTTTTTTGTCGCTACCAACACACGGGGGTTACCCTGGAAATACCCTTTCTTGTTGTGCAAGTCATGGTCTCTTTGAGTTTGTTTTGTAACTAGATGGGTCCTCTGTGTTAAGGTTATTTGAGCTCAACTCTCAGTAAAGCGCGGCCCAACTTGGAGAGAGTTGGGGTTAGAGTCCGGGGCCTGCCGTGTGGGGTCCTTGGTGGGTCAGGAGGTGGCTGATGCTTGCCAGGCGCCTTGGCCCACAGTGCGCGGAGCCAAGGCTGTGCTAAGGAGCAGGCAGGACACTGGGAGGACCGGACCAGCAGGGACACTAGGATTTTAAACCACAGATGGGGGATTCACAGCAACCCCAGAGACCAGGGCAGCCGGCAGAGAAGAGAGTCCCTGAGCGTCTGAACAGGGGGCCAGGAGCCCCACCGCTCCAGGGGCTACTAGGAGCGTCACTGGCGGGTCCTGGGCTCCACCCGCCCCAGGACCCAGAGGGAATCCGAATGGGAGGGGCAGAGCGGGTCTTAGTGGGGGGACACTCCAGCGCATCTGTGTCGACCTGGTGTGGGGGGACAGAGGCTGTGAGGGGGCAGGGACCGGGTCTTGGAGGGGTTCGGAGGCCCGAGGGTCTCAGCGTGGGGAGGCGAGTCTCCGAGGCCCTGGGGTGGGGCGTCGCAGGCGCAGTGTCCGCAGCTCCACCCGGGGCCCCCCTCCTGCTCGGCCTGGACCCCCTCCTCCTGCTCGGCCCCCCACTCCCTCTGCGCCCCACCCCAGCGCTGCTCTCCGGGCTGCGCAGAGAATGCGCCCGGGGCTGGGTTTCGGTGACCCGCCATTTCCGGGCACCTCCGCTTCGTTCCCAGGGTCTCGCGCTTGTCCCCTCCCCAGGCCTGAGTGGCTCTGCATCAAGGAGTCCCGCGCACCTGGCGGTGGCCGAGGCACGTCCCCTGGGCCTGCGAGCACTCTTCTGCGTGGATCCCATGGCTGAGTGCTGGCGCCGGGGCAGGACCTTGACCCCAGACCTGGGCATGATCCCGCCCACGCTGGCGTCTCCGCCCACCTGGCTGCTGGGCGCGCTCCTGGACCCCCACGGCTCACTTCATCCGATTAACCTCCCGACTCCTGGGGAATGGCGCCTGAAAACTGGTTCTCCGGGTCCCCACCGCCAGGTGAAGCTGGGGCTTCTGGAGCTGCTTAATCTGGATGGAGCCCGAGCAGGGTGACTGCCCCATGCAGCCAGGGCGGCCTATGGGACCCCCTTTTTAAAAATTCCTTCCAGAGGTCTTCGGACAGCCCCACCCCCCTCATAGAATTGGTGCGAATTCAGCTCCACCAGGCTCCGTGTTTGGAATCTCCAGGGTGCTGGACTCTTGCTCCTTTGTGTAAGCAGGCAGGGCCTGGGGTGAAGGCAGAATTAAACCGGCAGTCAGTATAGACAGGAAATGGAGCTCAGGCTTGGGGCTGTTCCTTGCAGAGACAGTTATGGGTCCTGTGGGGAGCTGTCCTTGGCTGGCCAGCTAAATTCTGTCAATTTGGACACAACTGGGACTTGGTGTGCTTTCTGAGTGACCTGCCCCACAACAGAGTGCCTAATGATTAAGGTCAAAATGTAGAAGCTTACTCATGATTGGCAAAGGTTACAGGAAAATATTTTAAACCATGTCCTCAATATATTGAAAGACCCTCCGACTCCCTGTCCAAGGAAAAGCACACGAGACACTGGCTGCAAAAGCAAGAGGCGATTTATTGATACACAGGCGCCTGCGGGTGCTCAGCAAGACCTCAGCCGGAGCTTCGGTGAACTGGCACACCGGGCTTTGGGGCACAGATCTTTTATAGGGTAAAGGAGCAGGTTTCGCGCGCGGTAAGCAACAGGTTTCTTATTGGTCTTTTTGAACCTAGCATATAGGTTACCTAAAAGGCAAGGTTGTTTTTCACTGTATGTTCCTGGAAAAACCACATAAAAACCACTTGTTTTTCACTGTATGTTTCCGTTTGCTCAACCGTGCCGGTTCTTTCCCAACCATCCTGTTCTTTCCTAATCGGTTACACTTAACTGATTATCTGAAAAACACATCTGACGCCTGTGCAGGTGCAAAAGCAAGCCCTGATGATTTTGTAACTGGGCCTAAAGTTATTGGGCTGGGGTCTCTCAATATCTTAGGTAATCAATATGTCAGAAAAGATTGTGACTCTTGAAAAGTATGTACATCTGGTGCAGCCAATTTGGAAAGCAGTATGGAGATTTCTTGGAAAGCTGGGAATGGAGCCACCATTTGACCCAGCTATTCCCATTCTTGGTCTATTCCCTAAAGACCTAAAAAGAGCATGCTACAGGGACACTGCTACATAGATGTTCATAGCAGCACAGTTCACAATAGCAAGACTGTGGAACCAACCTAGATGCCCTTCAATAGACAAATGGATAAAAAAAATGTGGCATTTATACACAATGGAGTATTACTCTGCATTAAAAAATGACAAAATCATAGAATTTACAGGGAAATGGATGGCATTAGAGCAGATTATGCTAAGTGAAGCTAGCCAATCCCTAAAAAACAAATGCCAAATGTCTTCTTTGATATAAGGAGAGTAACTAAGATCAGAGTAGGGACGAAGAGCAGGAAAAGAAGATTAACATTTAACAGGGATGAGAGGTGGGAGGGAAAGGGAGAGAGAAGGGAAATTGCATGGTAATGGAAGGAGACCCTCAGGGTTATACAGTGGAGGGGGTAGAGAGAGGGGAGGGGAGGAGAGGGGAGAGGTGGGGAGGGGGGAGGGTGGAGGATGGGAAAGGCATCGGAGCACAACAGACACTAGTATGGCAATATGTAAATCAATGGATATGTAACTGATGTGATTCTGCAATCTGTGTATGGGGTGAAGGTGGGAGTTCATAAACCACTTGAATCAAAGTGTGGAATATGATATGTCAAGAAATTTGTAATGTTTTGAACAACCCACAATTAAAAATTAAAAAAAAAAAGAAAAGTATGTACATCAAATAATTTTTGGGCTTTGAGGTTATTTATTAACTACCTGGAAAGATATCTGCAAAAAAAAAGATATAAAAATAAAGGTCCCCCTAAGGGCAGCATATTCCTTTTGAAGGCTGCTCAGAACTTGCAAGTTGATGTCCTTCAGGACCACATAAAAATTAATAAATAAAGTTATTGTGTCCAACTACACCTAATTTTTTTTTCTAAAAATTAAAAAGTAGGGACAGAGTAATACTGAGACAATCTCGGTGAATGTGTTTGTCTCTCTGTGCACCATGTCGCCCCTTGACATGTCTTGACAACATTTCAATATCTTGCTGAACCTCACTCCTCAACCTGGGCCCAGGGATGTTTTGTGTCACTGATGAGGCCTCTTTGGTCCAGGTCCCAGAGACACCCTCATGAATAAAAGCAAATCATTGGCCTCAGCCCACAGGCGAAGGGAGACTGTCGCAAGTCTCCACAGAGTTTCCTAAAATGTGAGGATGAAGAGGAGCAAGGAAGAGGTACATGTGCTTGAAAAAGAGTCAAGAGGTTTACCCAGAACGTGACTTGTTCATTGGACACGGGTTAGCAAGGCAGTGAGATTTGAGGGTGGGGCTAATTAAACATACTTAAGCCATTTAAATGTTTATATCATTCTTCATGTGGGAGGAGAAACATGTTCTTCAGAAATAGATCTGAAGTGGAATTTGGGAACAAGTGGTTAAATGTTTAGTCACAGCATTCAGCAGAAATCCTGGGGCAGGAAACACAGAAAACAGGAAGTGTTTGCAGCCCATTCACAAATGCACCCTGTGGCTGGGCAGGGACAGGAGGAATGAAGAGGCAGTGCTTTGATGGACAGCTGAAGCTGGAGAATGAACTGAACTCCCAGAGTGCAAGTTCACAGTAAGGATGTGACTCCTATTTCCTACTTGGATTCTGAATTATTTTCTTTCTGTTTTATTGTTTTCTACATTTAATTTGCTATGAGTGATGATTAATTCAAGACTCACATTATAATCTTACTGGTTTCTGCTTGCTAAATGACCTTCAACAAATCTTCATGATTTCATTTAAATACTTGGGAATTATTTCCCAAGTACTTGATACTGTTTTATACAAAAATGTACAATGAACTTTTGAAAAGATTTTTATTGATTCTAATTAGTTACATATGACAGCAGAATGCATTTTGTCACATTCTACATGGGTGGATTATACCTCCTCATTCTTCTGGTTGCACGTGATATAGAGTTACACTGCTCATGAAGTCAGAGGGTACAGAGGGTAATGACGTCTGATTTATTTTACTTTCAATCCTACCTCCATAACCCCTCCCCTTTTTTCACTTCCCTCTGTGTAATCCAAAATTCCTCTATTCTTCCCAAGAACCTCACCCTTTTTGTGAATTAGATCTGCATTATCTGGGAAAACACTAGGCCTTTGAGTTCTTGGGACTGGCTTATTTCCCTTAGTGTAATATTCTCCATTTTCCGGCAAATGCCATCATTTTGTTCTTCTTTTAGGTTGAGTAGTATTCCATTCTGTATATATACCAAAATTTCTTTAACCATTCATCTGTTGAAGGTCACAGAGATCAGTCCTTTGTTACAAAATGTCATTGAGTCTGACAAACCATCCTCTACCTCAGAGCAAAGCCTGACCCAGGAAGGAGCGTGACCCTTGTCCTTGGAAAGACCCACAGAGCACTCCTAGGCTCATACTCACCCTGCTGAGTTGTTTATGTACAAATAACAGGAGAGATATGCTGGACCAGGTGTCCCTGATTCAGTCAGGCTAGGTGAGGACCCATAGCAACCCCCTACAACCACCAATCAGAATGAGAGAGGGAAAATACCTGGAATTAGAGAAATGCAAGTTAAAACTACCCTGACATTCCATCTCACTCCAGTCAGAAGGGCAATTCACAGGAATACAAGTAACATTAAATATTGGCGAGGATGTGGGAAAAATGCTCACTCATCCATTGCTGGTGGGACTGCAGATTGTTATAACCACTCTGGAAAGCTGTATGGAGATTCCTCAGAAAACGTGAAATGGAACCACCATTTGACCCAGCTATCCCACTCGTTGATTTATACCCAAAGACTTAAAATCAGCACACTATAGTGACTCAGCCACAAAAATGTTTATAGCAGCTCAATTCACAATAGCTCAAATATGCAATCAGCCTAGGTGTGTTATGCTCAAGTTTGGGAACCCCCAAAGACCACGAGAGACCAAGATTGATGTAAGCAGCAAAGAGGTGTTTATTGCCAGCTATCTCGGTCCTCCATGCACACAGCAACTGGTGATGCTGAGAGGCCCCAAGCCCAGGGTTTGCAGCAGTTTTATACACTCTTTGGGGAAGGCAGGGACTTCACATACATCATAGCATCTCTTAGCAAATCATCACACACTGCAGGAAAATCATAAAACAACTCTAAAACATGATTAGCACATTCACTGGCAGGAACAAGTTGGGTAGGGGTGATTGGTTGCTACAAGAGGGGGATTCGTTTGAACTGATTGGTTTAAGCCATGAGGGGAGTATGTGCTGAACTACATGATTTCCTGTTGAGAGCCACAGCTGAAGGGGCCCGAGCAAACTTCCAGCTGCCAGCTGATTGGCTCCTCTGCAGTGATGCTCATTGGGCTGTTTCCCCGCCCTTTCAGACTATGGAGCTGCTCACTGGTGGACTCTTTTTGCTCCACCCACATGACCCACGTGTGACGTGTGTGTTCTAAAAATAAAATTTGTTTCTGCTTGATAAGTGGCTCATGAATTGTGCCTAGACAGACTGTGGCATTTGGTGGCCCACACGGGAACGACTGAGGGTTAGTGATAAGGTAAACTGCTCACCCCTGAGGGCAGGGGTGAGAGGATGGGTAGCCATTTGAAGATTTTTCTTTCATTTTGTTTCGCTTTTGTTTTAAGTTGCCTGAACCTGGAGATGGGTGAGACGGAAGAAAAACCACTCACATCTGAGGAAAAACTATTTGTGTCTGAGGAACACATAGGGAGAAAGGATGGATGGACATTTCAGGAGGATACAAAGGGTGATATAATGATTTTTTGTTGTTCCATTTTTGTTTCATTCTGTTTTGGTTTTGTTTGGCGTTTTCTTGTTGAGTTGTATTATAGTAGAAATATGGGATCAGAAATTAGTAAAAAACAAACTGAAAGAGTGTTAAGTAAATTGTTAGAGGAAGGAGGCATCCCAGTAAAATCAAGAGCAGTCAGGGCATAGGTTGATACAATACAAAAATGTAGCCCATGGCTTTTTAAGGAGGAGTTGTTAAATATATCACAATGGAACCATCATGGTGAAGATTTAAAAAGAATAGAAAAGAAAAGCCCAGGAACTCTTCCAGTTGACACATTGCCATAGTGGACATTCGTATCTTGTTTGCTTAGTCCAAAGAATTCAGTTCAGACAATGGTAGAGGAAGGAGAAGACATATTGATTCAAGTAAAAGAGAAGGTCTCTCAAGTTATTCAGACAGAGGAAAAAATTCAAGTAAAAGAGAAGGTCTCTCTAGCTAGTCAGACAGAGGAAGCAAGTTTAGAGCAGAAAAAGCCATCAGGGGAAAAGTTACAACAGGAGACTGCTACTAACACCTTTCTATCACCAAAGGGCGTAAGTGTCCAACCAACAGCGCCACCTCCATATGCTGGGAGGCCACCAACCCCCATAGTTGATAGATGGGATCTTGATACAGGACCTCAAATATTAGCATGCCCTGTATTTGAGCAGGCAAGAGGGCAGCGAATTCACCATGCTTTAGATTTCAAAACAGTAAAGCAGCTAAAAGAGGCTGTAACAACCTATGGTCCTCAAGCACCCTTCACTGTAAGCATGGTCGAATCCATTACCAACTTGAACATGTCGCCAGCAGATTGGACTAGTATGTGTAAAGCTGTGCTAAATGGAGGACTTTACCTGTTATGGAAGGTTGCCAATGAGGAATTTTGCAAGGAGACGGCTAGGCAAAATGCAGTAGCCAGTTATCCTCAGAGAAATCTAGGTATGTTGTTAGGAAAGGAACCTTATGAGGATCAGCAGCAACAAACTGCATATGATCCTGCCATATACTTACAAATTGCTGTAGATGTGGTTAGAGCATGGAAGACTTTACAAGGACATGGAGGTTTACAAGGTCAATTATCTAAGGTAATACAAGGAGCTAATGAACCTTATGCTGAATTTGTAGATAGGCTTATTCAAACAGCTACCAGAGTTTTGGGGAATACAGAACAAGCAATGCCATCAATAAATCAACTGGCTTATGAGCAAGCAAATCGTTGGTGCAGAGAAGTCATTAGACAATGGAAAAATGAAGATTTAAACACATATATTTAATTATGTAGAGACATTAATGAATAAGGGCAAGTCTTAGCAGTTGCAGTACAACAGGCTTTAGATGCCATGCCAAAAACATGCTACAATTGTGAACAAACAGGACATTTTACAAGGAATTGCCCCATAGGAGGAGGGTTTAACAAAACTAGGTATCAAAGGAGTAGAATATCGGGTATTTGCCCACGATGCTGTAGAGGGAGATATTGGGCTAATGAATGCCATTCTCAAACCACCATAGAGGGTACTCCATTATTAAAAAAAATGAACAAGGACCAGGTGTCTATCCACGAAATCAAGGAGAAAGGCATCAGACTCCATTGTCAAAAAACGGACAGGTGGGCCCAATGCTCTGGGTCCCATGACCACAAATATACGGGGCACTGGAGGAACCCAGCAACACCATCAGGGTAGTGCCCAGGACACATTATCCATTAGATCCCTCACTAGACAAACCAGAGGAATCACAGGATTGGACATCTGCGTCTCCACCAGAACAGTACTAACTCCAGAGATGGGAGTTCAAATCATTCCCACAGGGGTAAAAGGACCTCTTCCCAAAGGAACAGTAGGCTTATTATTGGGGCGCAGTTCTTCTATTCTAAAAGGACTTATGATAAGTCCTGGGGTAATTGATCCTGATTATGAAGGTGAAATAAAAATTATAGCCAGTTCTCCTAAGGGTATATCACCAGGAGATAGAATAGCACAGTTATTAAGAATACCCAGCCTACATGATAAATTTTCCAGTTGTAATGTAGAAAGAGGTTCCAGGGGATTAGGTTTCATAGGTGTAGATTGGGCTATGCTTTCTTTAAATTTAGATTCTCACCCCATGCTAAAACTAAATATTCAAGGACATGAATTTAATGGGCTACTGGATATAGGTGCAGACCTTAGCATCATCTCTCATCAAGAATGGACAAAACATCAGCAATTACAACAAGCCACTCAAATGCTTTGAGGCCTAGGAGTGGTGACTAATCCCCATAGAAGTGCAATGGTATTAGATTGGAAGGATCCTGAAGGATGTGAAGGAACTATACAGCCATATGTATTGGATCATCTTCCCGTAAATTTATGGGGACGAGATGTCCTAGATCAATTAGGACTAACATTAACAAATGACATCAATTCAAATGCATCCACTATTATGGCTAGACAAAGTTTTAGGAAAGGAAAAAGATTAGGAGAACAAGAACAAAGTATAGCAGCACCAATACAAATAGATCAAGGAACAGACAGACATGGGTTGGATTTTCAAAAAGGGCCACTGAGACAATAAAAATTACTTGGAAATCAGAAAGACCAGTGTGGGTTCCTCAGTGGCCCCTGACTAAAAAAAAGATACAAGCAGCCTATGACCTGGTCAAACAACAATTAGTGGAGGGACATATACAACCTTCTGTATCTCCCCATAAAACTCCCATTTTTGTCATCAAAAAGAAATCTGGTAAATGGAGATTATTGCAAGATTTAAGAGCCATTAATAATGAGATGATTATTATGGGACCTGGTCAATCGGGGATTCCCCAATTGTCTGCTTTGCCAAAAACCTGGTATGTTTTAGTTATAGATATTAAAGGTTGTTTTTTTTTTTTCAATTCCAATTCATCCTGAGGATAGTCCACGTTTTGCATTTACTATCACTGCACTGAATCATGAAGGTCCTGATCAGAGATATGAATGGAAAGTACTCCCTCAAGGGATGGCTAACAGCCCAACTATGTGTCAAATTTATGTTAACAAAGTAATCTAGCCACTTAGAAATCAAAATCCTGAACTACAAATATTTCACTATATGGATGATGTATTATTAGCACACAAAGATAAAAACACATTGCTAGAATGTTATGCCACACTTACAAACTTATTAAAAAATTATAATCTAGAGATAGCAATAGATAAAGTACAATTAAATTTTCCAATTAATTATTTAGTTCTATTATCCTCAACCATGGTCCGTCCACCAAAAATTAAAATACGAGTAGATCAACTCAAATCACTTAACGACTTTCAAAAGTTATTAGGAGACATAAATTGGATAAGGCCTTATCTAGGCATACCAACAGGAGAGTTGGGACCTTTATTTGACATTCTAAAAGGTCCATCAGATCCAAATTCACCCTGAATGTTAATGCCTGAAGCAAGAAAGGCATTAAAAATCATTGAAACATATATGGAAAATATGCATTTGGATAGAATTGATATAAGTTTGCCTTTATTATTTATTGTACTACCAACAAAAAATATTCCTACAGGAGTATTTTGGCAAGAAGGTCCATTATTATGGATACATTTATCTTATTCTCCTAACACTATTCTTACTAGGTATCCTGAGGCTGTAGGACAATTAATACTCAAAGGAATAAAAGCAGCAAAGGGAGTGTTTGCAATTTCTTTCAATAAAATTATTACTCCATATACTGTGGATCAAATTGATGAGTTAGCTAATGAGTTAAATACTTGGGCAATAATCATATGCAAATCTAATGTTTCATTTGATAACCACTTACCATCTAATCCTTTGTTGTCTTGTTGGTCATTGCATCCTGTAATTTTTCCAAAAATGACAAGAAAAACACCTATCATGAATGCTCCAAATATATTCACTGATGGGTCAAATAATGGTACAGCAGCAGTAGTTACACCTGATCAAACTTTTACATTTTTAGTACCCAAACAATCAGCTCAAAAGGTAGAGCTTAATGTAGTATTACAAGCTTTTGTGATGTTTAAAGATTCTGTATTTAATTTATTTTCCGATAGTCAGTATATAGTTAATGCTATACTATCCCTTGAAGATGCTGGTAGGATTTCCCCTTCCTCTACTGTTTTCTCTTTGCTTTCCACTATACAAAGTCTAATCTGGGACAGAAAAGATCCATTCTTTATAGGACATATCAGGGCACATACAGGATTGCCTGGAGCCCTTAGTTTGGGCAGTGATTTAGAAGATAAAACATACATTTTTTTTCTATGCTAGAAGAAGCTACAAATTTTCACAAATCCTTCCATGTCAATGCACATACTTTAAAAAGTCATTTTAAAATAAGTAAGGAACAAGCTAGACAAATAATAAAACAATGTCAAAATTGTGTGACATGTTTACCACAAGTTAATCTTGGAGTCAATCCTAGAGGACTTATACTTACATATCTGGCAGATGGACGTCACACACTTGCCAGAATTTGGAAAATTAAAATATTTGCATGTTACAGTTGATACTTCTTCTGGATTTTTGATAGGCTACCTTCATGCCAGAGAAAAAACTAAAGATAGTATAGCTCATTGCTTACAAAATTTTGCCACTGTGGGCATTCCAAAACAGTTAAAAACAGATAATTCCTCTGGTTATTCTTCTACCTCTTTTAAACAATTTTACTCATCATTTGGCATTACTCATATAAGAGGAATCCCATACAATCCACAGGGACAAGGCATAGTTGAAAGAGCTCATCAAACTATTAAAATGTACTTATTAAAGCAAAAAGAGGGAATTGGGAAGGGGTATATATTCCCCAAAGATAAACTTAAAATAACCCTTTTTACTCTAAACTTTTAAAATTTGGATTCATCAGGGCTTAGTGCTATGGAAAGGCATATGTGTCCAAAAATGTACATAAGCCCAAGGTACTTTGGAAGGGTATTCTAACAGACAATTGAAAGGTCCTGACCCAGTAATTGTCTGGAGTCGGGGGTCTGTTTGTGTGTTTTCACAGGGAGAACAGCAGCAGATTTGGATTCCAGAGAGATTAACTAAAGCGATTTCTACAGACCAAAAATAAGATGATTTGGCTCAAATCCATAATAGCTGATATCCAGAACTCCAGTTTAGCTACCCTTACAACTGCGACAGAACCAGGATGCTTTTTTCAATATCTATTTTATTATTGCCCTTTTCCACATCATGAAGTTCTATTTTGTTTTTTGAGCTCATACAGACCTAGGTTAATGTTTTGCTGATCAGTTCTATTTTTTGACTACAGAGTTTTTAAACATTGCAATGGAGATTTCACCTGTAAAAATTTATAAGGCCTTTACTATTATGTTATATGTTGTATGTATTATATTATGTGTGCACATTTGTGTTTTGTGTTGTATGTTTGTATGTACGTATGTCCATATATCATATATGATGAGCGCTTATGAAAAAATGGATCCATATATGTTTTTTTCTTATTCACATGATTTAAATGGTTTAATTTAAATTGGGTAAACAGCTGTTGAGGATTGTTTTAATATGTGAACAAAAAAGGAGGTTAACAGATCTGTTTGTTTACTTTCACCTTTCCTTTTCATTATATTTAATAATTCTGTTCAGGATAATGTAAATTGTTCAGAAAATTGTTTTCTTTTAGTGCCTGCTGGAATGTTCCATAATTTTTTCTTTAGCCATTATTGCCAGAATTCCTATCTTCATCCCAGTGCTGGTGAAGACAAAGATAATACCAATCTACAGCTTCTGCAATAGCTATCACTGAACTGCTTGCAGAACTTGCCTGGACTATGTATCACTTGTATGCATTGTGAACTATCTGTTGGTGCAGCGACTTGTGGTAGTGTTGGGGTATTTTTGCTGATGGTGTCATCGGTGGTACAATTTTTCCAAAAGGAGCCGTCAATTGGCTTGGTGTATCCTCCTCCCTTCTGCTTGTGATGGTCGTTCAGCTACAATTTGGGGGCCAACAGAGATGAGGCAAAGAACCACCCCACCCCCCGCTGGTACAAAGGCCTATCCACAGGTGTGGCTGTATGCTGGACCAGTAGTCAATGACAGGTAAATCCAATTGCAATGGGCCAACCTAAGACAGGAGGCTGATGCCTTGAGGTCAGCTCATCCAATTATGAGTAAGGACCGTATGTAGTATTGGACAACCTAAGGCAGGCATGGTACCTAAGCCATATGCCTGTTGTTTAAACAGAGAGGAGGACATGTTGAGAGCCACAGCTGAAGGGGCCTCAGCAAACTTCCATCTGATTGGCTCACCATGGCCCCAACAAACTTCCAGCTGCTAGCTGTTTGGCTCCTCTGCAGTGATGCTCATTGGGCTGTTTCCCCACCCTTTCAGACCACGGACCTGCTCATTGGGGAACTCTTTTGGCTCCATCCACACGACCCAACCAATCGGCCTCAAGAGCAGGAGGAGTGGGGGGGTTGAGAGGCTTGTGGGGAAACCAGTGGTGGCAGTTGGGCTCTGAGGGAATTCCTGAAGAGCTCGTGTGGTGCAGAGTGTGTATTCTAAAAATAAAGTTCATTTCTGCTGATAAGTGGCTCGTGAATTTTGCCCAGCCAGACTGTGGCAGTTTCCCAACACCATCAACTACTGGGAGGGTCATCTGGCATCCCAGGTATTTTCCCTGTCTCATGCTGATTGGTGGTTGGTAGGGGTCCCCACCTAGCCTGATTGAATCAGGGACACCTGGTGCAGCAGATCTCTCCTGTTATTTGCAGATAAACAACTCAGCAGGATGGATTTGTGCCTAGGAGTTCTCTGTGGGTCTTTCCAAAGACAAGGGTCATGCCCCCTTCCTTGGACAGGCTTTGCTCTGAGGTAGAGGCTGGTTCCTCAGGTGCCCTTCAGCAGATGAATGGATAAAGAAAATGTGACACACACACATACACACACAAGCACACACATGGAGTGTGGGGAGAAAAAAATAAAAGTCTATTGAATTAGACAAAGAGAAATTATGGGAAGGGAGAGGGAGGGTATAGGAAAGTGAGTAGACTGGATGGGACACATTCCTATGTTCATATATGACTACAGACCAGGGTAACTCCACATAATGTACAACCAAAAGACTGGGATCTTAATCAGAATAAGTTACTCTCCATGTATGTATAATGTGTCAAAATATACTCTAGTGTCATGGAACACACAGAAATGCAAATACTGAAATTACTAGAATTATCAGGGCAAAAACAAGAGGGAATTTTGGTGATCTTGAGAGAGGAAAGATGTCTTAGAATTATACTGAAGGTACAATCAGGAAAAACTTTTAAATTTTTTTTTTTATTTTTTATTTTATTTTCTTGGTATGGAGGATTGAACCTATGGGCACTTAACCACTGATCCACATACCCAGCTCTTCTTTATATTTTATTTAGAGACAAAGATGCTTCAGGCCTCCCTAAGTTGCCAAGGCTGGTTTTAAACTCACAATCCTTCTGCGCCAGCCTCCTGAGCCACTGGAATTACAGGCATGAACCACTACACCAGCAAGAACAGAAAATTTGATAAAGAGTACCTCATCAAATTTATAAGAATTTTCTCTTCAAACACCATAAAGAATGTGAAAACAGTCTCTAGATTTAAGCATTCCAAAATCTATGCATACATCAATATATCATTATTTTACTAATGTTTTAAGTTATAATTATACAAATAATTCTAATGTGAAAATATTTTTAGAAAGAAGCTGCTGAACAGGAGACACTATTTCACATTATATATTTGATTAGTTTCTTTCTAGTGTGTAGATTATAGCGAACTCTAGTGAGTTCATAATTAAATCATGGTTGGCCAATTAAAAAATGAGTTCAGAATTGTGAAACCCTGAATATGGCTGCTGGTTTGATGGTGTTCCCTGAGGATGAAGTTCAAAATGGCAATTGTCAACCTTCAGTCCCGAACATCTGGATGATCCTACAGTAAGGCCACCCCTATCCTGGATCAGAACAGGGTTCCTGTAGTGGTATTTTAACTCACCTGTTTTTCCAAAGGTTATTGATATGCTCTGTGCAAATACCCCCACCTCTGAAATCTGGGGGATCTTAGAGTATGTCTCCACTTGCTGCTCAGGTGACACAATCTGAGGCTAACATGGACCCTAAGAACTCTGCAGCCATGTGTTCCTGCAAGAGCCCGGAAGGGGGAGCCCTTCCCACTCACTTCACCCTTCTCCTGCAGGATTTTTTAATTGGAGGAGGAATGATGGGGTCTGACTCTTATTTATGCTTTCACTGCAAGTGAGGATACAGAACCACTCCAAAGCTGTAAAGGATAGAGTTAGCGTCATGTTCAACTCTAGCATTAACTAATCATAAAAAAATAAAAGCCTCCCCCCCAAACCAGCATATTAGGAGTGAAAGCATTGTCAGGAGGAGAGTAGACATCTCTTTCCATAATCTTCCTGGAATCCCAGAAGACACTGGCCAGTATTCCTGGCTCCTCAGAGCTGGAGATGCTGATTGGATCTCGGTGGGCCCCAGCTTCACCTGCTGCTGAGGAAGTGGGTGCACCTGGCCTTGTGTGAGGAGCCTCTTCCACTGACAGGGCTTTGGCCCGCAGGCCAGGAGACTGTATGGGAGGCTGGGTCTCCATGAGGCCTCCCTCAGAACCGTGTGCCAGTCCCCTCATTCCCGCTGCCCAGTGTGATCCAGCTATTATCACACAAAAGTGCACACATGTGAGCCTGCCATGTACAAAAGTGTCCCAAGCATCACAAGGAACAAGTGAAAGAGGCCACAAAATCAGTGAGCTTGGAGAATCAGGAAGCCGGAGACTGAAGCCATCCAGGTCATTCTAACATAGCCCAAGACAGAGGAGAGCCCCGGAAGGGCCTAGTCTTTAGCACAGTTCTCCTTTATAGTTCGGGACTCAAGTGACCGCCCACCAGCAAACCCTGTGCTGTCCTTATCCAGGGCCACACAGCCACAGGTACTGTTTGCTCCTCTTCTGTCCTCCTCTAGTGTTTTCCTTAATGATCTAGAAACCCAGATGACGAGGATGCTGATCCCAGAGCACAGACTCTAGGTGGCAGAATTTCCTTCTGCTGGGGATCATCTTTGTTTTGACCCAGATCAACTGTGTTCCCATCTGCCGTTTATACTTTTCCCTACACCCATGCCCACTGCACCTCATCTTCTCAGGTAGACACACGTAGAGGATCACAGCATTGTCCCCTTCACACAGGAGGAAACTAAGCCTCTTGTGAGACCCACTCATCACAGGGGCCATTTGTGGGAATCACTCTGAATGACCCACACCTTCCAGTCCTGAAGCAAGAAGCTCCAATCAATCACTCGGGCATTGCTACAGCTCAAGAAGTAAAAGGCATGTCTTCAGATGTAGATGAGTCACCAATGGGGTTGAGCGACACTCACCTGTTCTATTGTAATCCTACCCCTTTGCCCTGTTTGGGATAAAATGTTCCTTGGAAACTCCCTTTGTGTGTTCCCTTCTCTTGCTGTGCCTTTGGATGTGGCCTCCCTAGATGTCAGTCAACCTGCTGGCAGCAGACAACAGAAAGCTAGACTCAGCCCCCTGAAACCTGACCCCTTGCCTCATTTGAATGGCTTCTCCTCAATAAAAGGGTTCAGCATGTGTGTGTGTGTGTGTGTGTGTGTGTGTGTGTGTGTGTGTGTTCTCTCTCTCTCTCTCTCTTTCCATGGACCCCTGAGGTCTGAGCTGCCATCACAACACCCAAAGGAAAAGGTATCTCTGTCTCTGTCTCTTGTGTGATTATTTCATGCAGCTCAGTTCGCCTGGAGTGACCCTGAGTGTTTTAGTCATGAGGAATGCGACAATTGGTTGCCCATATGGTGACTCCAGGGTGAGTTTTAAAAATTCAGTTCATTTGGAATTTCTCTCCAGAAGTTAAGAGCGCTTAGGATTGTAGAGTATTGTGGACTGAATTGTAGAAAGTAAGTAAATTAGACAGAAGAAAAATCTGTGAGGTTAAACTTTTTACTATCTGGGAATATTTTGTCTTTAGAAATTTTTTTTTTTTATAATTCTAGAGACTCTAAATAAATGTAATGAGTTATTAAGATGATTAGTGGGATATGTTGTTGAGTCCTCTCCCATGGGGAAAGTGCTTTTGTGGACTTTTTTAGATTGTTTGTATGAATCTTTATGTTTTAAAATATTAGATAAAGACTTTTTGGGTTAATGTACTAGAAGTCAGCGCTTGGAGAGTGAGAAAACAGGGAAGGAAAATGTTGTGATGAGACTCAATACAAGGATTCTTTCCCCGTAGAGAAGTAAGTTTTATTTTTCTCTTGTTTTTGTGAACTCTCGCTTTATACTCCTATGGGTCCGATGGCTGCAACTTGGCCGCTGCTCCCTGTGGTGTCTGTAACTGGACTCACCCCCAGCACTGCTTATGACCCTTAAGCGACCTGGCCTGGGTGCCTAATGCAGACTGCCTTAAAATCTGATAGTAACTCTGGTGTCTGCCATTAAAGCTCACTTTTAAAGTCCCACGTGCTGCCAGGGAAAGTACAAAGGCAGGAGGACACAAGCTGCAGGCACAGGTCGCCCGTGGGATCCCGCCAAGGCCGGGGAATACAGACAAACCAAATGGAATGCCACAGCCTAGGGCAGCCCTAGGGCAGCGGGCTCCAAGCTGTTTCCATCACCATGGTAACCGCCCAAGCCTGGCCGCAGAGCGGGCTTCCTGGTCCCGCCTCCTGCATTTCAACGGGCTTCCCATTGGTCCTTCCAACTGTCACTCAGACAGGACTTCTGGTTCCGCCTTCCAGCCACTAACCTGTACTTCCTGTTTCAGACCTGCTACCCAGATAAATGCCCAGAACCTGCATTTTTAGGAACACCCACCTGTAAGTGCCAACAAAGTTCTTTTTCAGGCAAAATCTAATCCCACAGTTTCCTTCGTTCCTTGCAGCCCTAAGCCGGACTTGCTCTCAAGGCCAAATAACTTGATTTCTTACCCCTCAGCAGCTTCCCTTGGGACCCTTCCTTTTCCTTTCTATGGTTATGTTGCAATGATTCTGGGATGACCCCAAAATCCTTATTCTTGTTCCTGACTGTATAATTACAAGAAATAAGTAAATGTATACACAAGGATCATCAGCCACATCACGTGACTTCACAGGCAAGCGTTCACTCCTAGTTAAAAACAAATCGAAATGGATCCAACATATCTTAAGAACCACGTGGTTACATAAAGTTAAACAATTATATTGTATTAATTACAGGTTATGTATACTGTATTAATTATCTACAGAAAAATCCAAGGACTTTAACTATATTTTCATCGATATTTCTTTCCTTTTTTTTAAAATATATTTTTTAAAATTGTTGATGGACCTTTACTTTTTAAATTTATTTGTATTTAGTGTTGAGAATCGAACCCAGTGCCTCATGCATGCCTGGCAAGCGTGCTACCACCGGGCCCCAACTCCAGCCCTCATTGATATTTCTTTTTATCAAGGTACAAAGATTCTAAGGTTTTCAGAAATTAGTTCAAAGTATAACCAGGAAAAATTCTAAAAGGAATTTCAACAGAGGAGAAGCACACATTGGAGGTCCTAAGAAGAAAGAAATCATCTTTGGGTAAACCAAGATCTTTATATTCTAGATTTTAATGATAAAAATATTTTCCTAAATAGAAATATTTTTTATATTATTAATTAGACAGATAATAGAGAAATGTAAAAAAAAAAGATTTATATGTACTGGACTGACTAACAATTTTAACTGATTAATTCAAGGATATTTCAGGCCATTTCCCTGATTTTACTATCTATGCTGATAGTGAGCTAATATTTTGGTTCATATTTTGACATGATAAAGACCTATTAAAATGTTAAGTTTAACTCCTTTAAGCAAGGTCTTTATTGCCTAGTGATTCTTATTGTTTGAGGCAAGGATTAATTTTGGTGAATAAATTCACATCCTTGATTAAACAAACTAAATATATTAAAGTGCTGTCTTAGATTCCAATTTTTACAATTCTCCTTGGAGACTAAGTTTGATTGATTCAGAGACTGTTCATTCTTGCATATTTTGTTTGTTGAATAATTTTGAGATATGGGAATTTTTTTAGGATGGAGGTTCTCCAAATTAAAGTTGTATGTTAGTTTTGAGCAATCAAAGTTGCAAACCTTGTTGAAAATTCATTGACATTATAGAAGTTCTCTGACTGGACCTATTATTTATAAAACTATGGTAGGATTTATATACTGCTTAATCATATTTTTGAAAAGACAATTGAGAGACATCTATTTAAAGGATAATATTCTGAGACAAAGATATTGTGAGACCTTCTCTCAGAAAGACATTGAGGATTCCTTTTAAATTGTTAGGATGGATCAACTAGTATATATTGAGAAATTACAATAATCAACACAAGGTAAATCTGATCATGTAAATACTTTACTACAATCTATAACTTAAACTGATGATACTATGGCTTATGCCAAGTCTTTACTCAGTTTTATTAAATTAAGAAAAGGGGGAATACAGTACCCCAGAGGCACACACTAGATCTTACAAAATATTTTTTTTTCCTTAATTGTAATATTGAGAATCTCAGGGGATATAGCTCAGTTGGTAGGGTGCTTTTCTCACATGCACAAGGCCCTGAGTTCAATCCCCAGCACCACCACCAAAAAAAGAAAAAAAAAAATTGAGACTTCTGCTGAATTTACTGAATCATGTTCACTGCTGCTGAACATGATTCAGTAAATTAAATCAGATTTGAAAAGATAGAATTTAAACCTGCCATCATGAAAAAGACTGAAAAACCTGACACAGGAAGGTAAACCTTCCAACTGCAGAGTTTACAACCATGAAGCTTCATGAGCTTGCCAGATAAGTAAAAATTATGAAGAGACTTCTATGGACCCATTTCTCAGATCTATTTTTTAAAATTTATTTTTTAGTTGTAGATGGAAACAATCCCTTTATTTTTTTATGTGGTGCCGAGGATGAAACCCAGGGCCTCGCACGTGCTAGGCGAGCGCTCCACCACTGAGCCACAACCCCAGCCCTCAGATCCATTTTTAATGTACATTGTGGTGTGGACTGGAAAGTCCACCAATGAAACTAGATTAATCATGCTGACTGTAGTGGTCAGTTATATGTTGATCCTATGGTAAACAGGTTGTCTGGGATTATATTTGAGGAAAACACAGTATATGAGAAACCTAAACCAGACAATCATGCTGACCCTTTGAAATTAAGACTACGTATCTGGACAATTGTCCAAATAGAAAGCTTGTTGAAATAGAATTTTTCTATACAGGCCAGTTGTTTACATAAGGTATCCACCAATGCATGGTTGCCCTGATCATTCTACAATAGAAACTGACACCTTTCCTAAGTATTATTCCTGAGTATTCCTAAGTATTATGCAAATGTCTGGCCAGTACAACACAAGAGGTCTAGAAATAGTGGATGCATTTTAGGCTGGTCTCCTAGAATGGACAAGAGCAGTTACAGGAGGATTCTGGCACCTGGAGGTTGATTGGTAATACCCTAACCCTCAGTGAGATGGCACCCAAAAGGATGTTTGGATGTTTGTCTTCTGCCTTCAGAGTATGTACATCACTGACCGACGTAATAGACTCCTTAAATATGAGAGTTAAGAGGAAGGATGATGAATATCCTGTAGCCTGTATGAATGCAACTCACCTTATGGCATCACTAGGTATTGCCGGCTGGTATTTCAGAGCTACACTCTGCTGAAGTTCATGTTCGGGTCTGAAACAGGTGCATGCCAATGAACCAGACCTAGGCCAGCTCCTGGTCTCATGATCGTTGAAGTGACTGCTTTAAGTATTATTCCTTACTTCTGTGATACAGTCTTTATGGCTCTGTTTCAAACTTACAACATGTGGATTTTCTTAATGTTTGACTTAAATTACTTTCAAGATCTTTCATAGTCAGATAAATGCTGATGCAAAACTTAGAACTGAGTTAAAATGCTCTAAAAAGCCACTGTAATAAATATTGTGACTGAGCCCTCTGCTCCATGGAAAGGCTGAAACACCATGCCAAATGAACATGTCCATGTTACCATTGCCAAGTGCAAGGCTTCCCAATAAAATCAAGAAAAGATGAAGAATCTTCTGATGAGTGTTTGGCAGAATAATAATATTAATAACCTGGATCTTCCAAGTTGGTTATGTCCCTGAGATAGTATGTTTTCTACTAATGCCTTTTGTGTTTCAAGAGTAGATCATGATGACCTCGGACCAAGAATCCAGTGATGGAAGGATATAACTTCCCAATTGCCTTCAAATATTAAGGAAGGGCTGGGGATGTTGCTCAAGTGGTAGCGCACTTGCCTGGCATGTGTGCGGCCCGGGTTCCATCCTCAGCACCACATACAAACAAAGATGTTGTGTCCACCGAAAACTAAAAAATAAATATTAAAAAATTCTCTCTCTCTCTCCAGGAGCCATCACAGAACCCAAAGAAAAAGGTCTCAGTGTCTCTTGTGTGGTTATTTCGTGCAGCTCAGTTCCCCTGGAGTGACCCTGAGTGTTTTTGTGTGAGGAAGTGGCAGCCAGTGATGCAGACAGGGTCCCTGTCCAGCTTTCTGATTCTTCGAGCTGTCTCTAGTGTGAGCCTCACCCAGACCATGGCGGCCCCCCTTCACTTTGAAACCATCCAAAACAGGGGGCTGGCAGGACACTTCTCCTTACTTTTCTGACCAGGGGTGGGCAGGAGAGTTTCAAATTTCAAATCCCCCTCCCAGGGAGCACTTGGGAGGCTGTTGGCCTGGCCCTTCTGCCGGAGGAAGAGCCCACTCCAACCCCAAGCCCTTCGTGGCTATCCTGACCAAGGGGACCTGGTCTCTAGCAGGGCTTCCCCATCCCTCTGTGGTCTCCCCTTCCTGATCAGGGTCTTGTTGGAAGCCAGAGCCCCAACCTGCATTCACTCAGGCAGCCAGGAGGGAGATCTGGGGCAACGTTGGGACTAGTTTGCTCATTACATTTCCTGATCTGGGTCTCAGGTGCTGATGAAAAGTGGGCCTGGGGGTTAGTCATGCTGGGATTGTCACTCTCTTGAAAGTGCCTCTGTGTAGAGCCCTCCATCACCTTTGCAACCCAGGGAGCCTGGGACACTGTCCCCAGTCACAGACCTTCATGTCCCGTCCCCCTTGCAAGAACAGCCTCCAGAACCCAGCCTCTTCATGGGCAGAAGATGTGGCGTGTCTGTCATCTTGTCATTGCCTCCCCTCCCATTGTCCTCGTGGCACCCCACTCTTCTGTGCAGACACCAGGCCCTTCTTCAGGCCCCAAAGTAGCTTGTGATTGAAGTTGACCCTGGAATGTTCATTTTGGTCAGAATGTGAAAGATGCTTCCATATCCACTCTCCACGGAGGCCCTGAGGGCAGGAGGATCATGAGGTCAGAGCCAGCCTCAGCAAAGACAGGTGCCAAGCTACTCAGGGAGACCCTGTCTCTAAATAGAAGACAAAATAGGGCTGGGAGGGGGCTCAGTGGTTGAGTGCCCCTGAGTTCAATCCCTGGTACCCCACCTCTCCAAAAAACGGCCCCTTGTTCCTGCTGATGAGAAGAACCATGGCCTCTGAGACAGAAGCTCCCCTGCTTCTTTTTTTACTAACAAAGCAATACAACATTGTTTTTTCCCCCAAAGCTGTGTCCTGATTATTGGATTGGCACTGGGGACAAGAATGGAGTTTTCAGTAACTCCTTAACCTCATGTTTCCATCCCCCACAGCTGTTATCTGTCACTAAATATTTGTGTTTGAAACATTTTGCCTAATTTTAGTAGATGCTGTAGCACAGCCTCCTCCTCCTCTGTTTGCTGGTGCAGATTCACATCCTTTGTTTTCAAACTCTATCCATTACCATGCAAGCAGGGACTCCTGTGGATAGCATAGAATTGGACATTGTTTTTATTTTTTCTTATGACCTCTACCTTTGTATAAGATTGCTTAGTCAATTCACATATAATGTCACTGTTGATGTCGTTATATTTATATCTGCCTTTTTACATTCTATTTTCTTATGTCTTTTTTGAGGGGGTGGGGACTGGGGATTGAAAGCAGGGGCACTCAACCACTGAGCCACATCCCCAGCCGTATTTTGTATTTTATTTAGAGAAAGGATCTCATCAAATTGCTTATGACCTCATCATGGCTGAGGCTGGCTTTGAACTCATGGTCCTCCTGCCTCAGCCTCACAAGCTGCTGGGATTTGAAGTGTGCACCACCATGGCTGACCCTTACATCTTCTTTATTCCTCTATCCCTCTTCATTGTGTGTGTGTTTTACTGAAGATTGAGCCCAGGGGTGCTGTAACACTGAACTACATCTCCATTGCAGGTTTTATTTTGAGACGGAGTGAAGCTAAATTGCTGAGGCTGCTCTAGCTAGTTACTGATTTATTTATTTTTCTTTGTTTGGTTTGTTTAGCTCTTTGTTAATGAAGACTTCTGAATTTTTTTTTTCCAGAAAATTAACTCATTATAGAGCTGGGACCTCCTGAGAAACTGAGGCAGTGAAAAGATCCCCTTGAACCCTTGATTCTTGCAATCGCATCAGAAAGTTTTCAGACACATCATCCTGTAACAGACATGAACTTCTTGAAGGGGAACGGGACATTCTCAAGGATGAGAGTGGGTCCTCTCAGAGAGCAGAGGGACACTGTGCCTCTTCTGCGCTCCAGTTTTATTGGAGTCCCTGGGAAGTTTCCAGAGAGTCCTGCCCAGGTGCACCTTTTGACTTTTGACAGCAGGGTGACATCATATTTTCAAATCTGGACTGTCATGGTAACTCTATGTCACCTTGGCCCATGATGAGCCAAATTGGATACTTATCCAAAGAATTATCCTTTCTTCCAAAATTTGGTCTGTGAAAAGAGTCACAAAATCTGTCCCTGCCTAGTAACTTGGGTTCCTCTTAGGGGGTTTCCTGCCTGCATTTCTCATGCAGATCACAGGTAGTTTGCTGAGGAATGTGACATCTTCTGTCCACTTAGGCCAGGCAGAGTTGAAGTAAATTGCTTTTTGGAAAAGAATGCACATGCAGGTCAGCACGGTGGGCCCCATTTTACAGGATTATTCTCTTAACCTTCTGTTCCCACCATTCTAGTGTGTGTCCTCTAAAAGACTAAGAGACACAGGTACAGAAAAAAGCACGGCTTTCGCTGAGAGTCTTTCAAGATGGAACACCTGGGGGAGCAGGCAAGTTGCAGTCAGCATTTTATCCTCTGGTTCACAAGGTCCCCGCTTCCCACCCCAGTTCCTTGTTGGCAAAGTACTATGGGGTGTACCAACTTCCAGATCTTCACCTGGGCTTCCCACTGGGCGGTTTAAAGAAGTATGCTCCTGGGCAGACTGGCACATGTCTGAAATCCCAGTGGCTGGGGTGGTTAATGCAGGAAAATTGCAAGTTTGAAGCCAGCCTACCAGCTTAGTAAGGCCCTAAGCAACTTAGCCAGACCCTGTGTAAAAGTAAAAAAGAGCTAGAAATTTGGCTCAGTGGTTAGGCAGCCCTCAGTTAAATCCCTGGTATCAGAAACCCCACATAGGGCTGGGGAGGTGGCTCAAGCCGTAGCGCGCTTGCCTGGCATGCGTGCGGCCCGGGTTCGATCCTCAACACCACATACAGACAAAGATGTTGTGTCAGCCAATAACTAAAAAATAAATATTAAAAAATTCTCTCTCTCTCACTCTCAAAAAAAAAAAAAAAAGAAACCCCACATATTTGTATATAAAGCAATACACCATTAGTTGTCCCCACCTCCCTTTGTCCTTTTGTGCCAGGAAAGTCTTGTTGGATTGAGTGCATCTTGGACATAGACCGTTTTTACTTTTCTACATCAACACTGTTTCTTTCTCTCTTGGTCAGGGTGACCCCTCCCCTACCTCCTGTGTGTCCAGGGTGGTTCAGGTGCATGGACTCGGGATCTGCCACATCCACAGTCTGGGGCTGTACGAGTATCCATTTTGCTCTACTTGCCCTCAGGCTGCCTTTCTTATGTCTCAACTCTACATTTAAGGCAACATACTATATTCTGAATATAGATCAGTGGACTTTTTATTTCTCACACCAAGTACATCTCATCAGAATAAGCGACACATTCATACTAACAACTCCAGCTAAATAGAAAACCCTTATCCTACCTAGCTCTCCATCCTTCCACATACAGTTGTAAGTCCTTTGCTACATTCCATTTTTGTATGTTTATTCTTATACATGTCATATCTCTAAAATTACAAACTAAATAGTGTCTGGCTGGAAAAGTTATTGCATCAGGAAATTCTAAATTCTAAGTCTTTTGAGGAAGTTAAAAGGAGACCAGTGATCTAATTAAGAATTTTGTTCATTATTTTTATTATTTATTTATTTATGGTGCTGGTGATTGAACTCAGTGGCACTTGGCCACTGCACCACATACCCAGCCATGTTTGGTATTTTATTTAGAGTCAAGCTCTCATCGAGTTGCTTAGCACCTCATTTTTACTGATGCTAGATTTGAACGAGCAATCCTCCTGTCTCAGCCTCCTGAGCCTCTGGGATTACAGGCATGAACAACCATGCTTGGCCTAACCCTCTTATTTGTCAATTTCTTCACTTGATTGATAGTAGGTTGGAGTCACCATCTGGAGTTATTCTCTCAGGCCCATTACAGTTATGCTCACACCCACCTTCTTTGAACCACAATAAAAGGGATGCTCAGAGGCAAAGTGCCCCTGCCCTCAATTCAGTCTCTACCATGGGGGACAATAAAAGCACCTGGAATTCAATTCTCAGCCCTGGGCAGCTATGTGCCCACTTTTCCACACCGGTGGGAATACGACTTCTTACACAATAGCCCCCCTTGGCCATGGGCAATATTGTTAGGTAGAATGAACTTGGGCCAGTGAGCAGGATGTGAAAGACTTCACAAAGCCCAACTTGAAAGCAGAGACTAAAATTTTACTTAATTTCTAAGAGGAGGGTAGACATGACAGGCAGTATTGACCCCAAGTTGCAATTTTTTATGGTTTATATGCAGGGTTAATGGGCAAGCTGAGCAGGGTTTTCGTTTCTTTCTGGTTTGACTATCAGTTGAAACCCAGGAAGCTGAGAGTACTGGGTCAGCTTCTGGGGGAATGTTGTTTTGTCTGGTTTGTGGCTTTTTTTGAAAACCTTGACATGGCAAGAATACACTGAAGGGGGCCTTCCTGCTGACAAAGTGAGGTCAATCTGTGCAATAGAGTGACATGTGTCAAGGGGGCAAGTGAGCGTGAGCTCACAGACATGTTATAAGACCACAGAGGCCTGAAGCTTAAATCCTACAGATAATACTAAATCCTAGATACAATTTCCCCTGTGCATACAGCCTATAATTATCCTTCTATAAAACCTCAAAGTCCTTGTCAGCACCTGAAGACAGGGTAAGGGCAGGGTTTCCTTGTCTTCCTGGTGTAGCTGCACTGGTCAAAGTTTCTTTCCTGCTTTGCATCATGACCTTTTCTGTTTGATTTTGGGGCAAACACCTGACCAGACCTGGATCCCCAGAGTCAGGTCTCTGCATAAGACTTCCTAACAGTCAAAGTAGAACATTCTCACTAAGCACAAGGCACCCATTTTATTTCCACCACACATTGCTGCCCTAGAGGATTGCCTTCCTTCCTCCCTGAGGACCCTCTCTGCTGGGGATGGAACCCTGAGCATCAGAGCCAACCCCAATTGCTTCCTTTCATAGCTCAGGCTGCCTCCTCAAAGCAACAGAGGCCAGGAGGTCATGAGAATTACTAAAATAGTTTTCAAATTGTTCTCATTTTTAGATATTATGTATGGGTCATACATATGATATCTTTAAATAGTGTTTCAAAACTGTGGAGACTGTGTCTTTCTAAGTCGCTTGAGGTCTCATCAGCTGAAAAAAATATATGTTATATAGTTCTTTGTTTTTCTTTGAGGTACTGGGGAATAAACCCAGTGGGGCTTGACCTGGACCTCTGAGCTACAACCCCACCTTTTTCATTTTATTTTAAGAGAAGGTCTCACTGACCTTGGGCTCCTCCAGCCTCAGCCTCCCCGAAAAGCTGTGCTTTGTTTTTGTGTTGAGGTTAAACCCAGGGCCTCGCCATGCTCGGAAAGCACTCTATGGCTGAAGCCTAGCTCAGCGCCAGATGTCACCTCTGTACCACAGGCAAAGCCAAGGCTTCCCACCTGGATTAGTTCCCAGCACAGTCCGGAAGGTCCTCCTGAAAAGGGCTGGGGCCAAGAATCTGTCACTCTACCCAATTACAGCCAGTGATTGGATGATGTTGGCTGTCAGTCACGATGCAGAGGCGGGCCTGGAGGTCATCCATCCCGGATGCTGGGGGAACTGCCCAATCAGTGCGCAGAGGAAGGGGGAGGGCGGGCTTTTCTTCCTTACTTATTGGGCTACTCCTTCTCAGGGTCGGGTTCTCTGCTCCAGAGACCCAAGTCTGTGTGCAGCCTGTGTTCCCCGCCCCCCCATCTCGGGTACCCGGAGGTTCCTCGAGAGGACGCCGGGTCACCACGGAAGCCAAAAATGGTGAGTTTGCGACCTGGGCTGAAGGTACGCATCACCATCTGCCTTGGGGCCCGGCTCGCGGGTGAGCTGCGGAGCGCAGCGGAGTCCCCGCTGGCGGGTGGCCCTGGCCCCTGTCCCCTGGTCTCCTGGGGTGAGCTGGGTTTTGGGTTTTTGAGATTAGCTGCGGAGCGCGGCTGAGTCCCCGCTGGAGGGTGGCCCTGGGCCCTATTCCCTGGTTCCCTGGGTTTGGAAGGGCGGCTCAGGTCCCTGGTGTCCCCTTTGCTCCCTACTGGTGGCCCACACCCACTCTTCCCAACGTGGAGGAAGCAGGGCCACAAATGCACCTTCCTTCTCCCAGGGGAGCTCCTCCGGAGGCTGCTGCAGGTCCTCCAAATTGCAGGCGCCTCCTGCCTTCTAAAACCCTCCTTCCCTCCACCTCACTGCTCGGCCAGACGTTCATTCTTCCCACTCGGTTCAAATGGACACCTTCTGCTAATTTTCATTATCACTTAGTGAAATATTGGAAAGAATCTTCCTTCCTTCCTCCCTCCATTCATCCCTCCCTCCCCAGCCTTAACTTGTGATCCTCCTGCTTCAGCCTCCCACATATCTGGAATGACAGGCCTGTGCCACTGTCCCTGGCAAGAAGGACACATTTGAAAGCATTTGTTTTCTTTTTCTTTTTTTTTTTTTCTTAAAGAGTGAGGTGAGAGAGAGGCACAGAGAGAATTTTTATTTATTTTTTTGTTTTTGGCAGACACAGCATCTTTGTTTGTATGTGGTGCTGAGGATCGAACCCTGGACGCTCGCGAGCCAGGCGAGCACACTACCGCTTGAGCCACATCCCCAGCCACAGCATTTGTTTTCTATTTGTGAATATTATACTTGAGGGGAAAGAATAATCACTTAACACTTCCTTGTGTTTGGTCAAAATAACTGCTTTAAAGGGAATAAGGAGGTTGTTTATAGATCCCAGGGATATGGAATCCTGGGCTTCATCAATAGAGTATAACTGCTCCCTTTTCTGATAGTCCATGATGTAGAGTCACCCCAGTCATGTAGTCATGTAAGCACACAGGGTAATACTGATGTAGGGAAAAAGGAGGCAAGGCATTGGAGATAGCCAGAAACAGTTTTATCTGGCTGCAGCCAGTCTCAGAGGGCACAGCTTTTGCTGTAATCAATCAATCAATCAATCCCCTGAACCCTGAGTTCAGGTGGTTTTAGGATTTTATACTCATCATGTAAGAGGAGGGGCTCAGAAGTTCACATTGTAAAACTGAGACTCTCAAATAACTCTCAGACCACACAGTCTCATTCCAGTTAAGCCTTTATTGCTGGCTCTTGGCAGACACTCTGCTCTCAAAAGAATGAGATGATCAGAGTGGTGCCCCTGCCTGCACTTGGCTCCATATTTAAGCACAAAAACCACAAAAGGGACATTTGGGGTTCAGGCAAAGCAAGCAAGGCTGAAAGTTGCAGTCAGTCAGTCTCCAGTTGGCACCATAGATCATTCTGTGTTCTTGGGGGATTTTCATGAATACAAACTGCCCTAGTCATGACCTTTTTGTGTGTCCTGGCTAAGTTCACAAAATGGAGTCGCCATAGTCAAGTTGTTACATCACACACATAAAAACAGCTTTTTCTTTCTCTGTTCTGACCAAGTTAAGCCTTCAAGGACAGCACCTGAGAAGGGGAGAGCTTCTTCTCCCCTTTCTTTCCTCCCCCACCAGCTGTTTCCATGAAGCCTAGTTGGTAAGTTCTCTGTGAAGCCCAGCTCAAGGCCAGAGGCCTTGTTTGCACATTTCTACAAACTACTATACTGGATGCAAGTGTGTAAAAAACTAGTAAGGGGAGTTCGAGTCCAGCACTTGCAGTGCTAATTTCTTTCAGACTAGTGGCCCAGAAAATAGGGCAACACAAAAATAGGAAGTTTGTCTACACTGAACTTTTTTGTGGACACTGTTTTGTTGACAGTCCTAAAATTAGCCATGGTGAAGATTTCTGGAGAAACCCAGTTAAAATTTTCTATGAAAAAAAGGGTATGCCACTACAATAATGTCTGATTCATTTACTGTCCTTCATCCCCAGCTTTTTTCAATATGTTTTTCACAAAGGATCTGGGTATTTTTCCCAGCCTGGCCTGAAAGTTGTGATCCTCCTGCCTCAGCTTCCAAAGCTGTTGAGATTAAAGGCACTGACCACCCCAGCTACAGAAAATAGTTCATTTTAACCCAAATATTAATGACTATACTAAGGTACATGGATTCAAGTTACCCTGAATGATGTGTGTGTCCCTCCCTGGAAGAGATTACATAATTACATCAATTCTTTCTTTCTTTCTTTCTTCTTTATTTTCTTCTTTCTTTCTTTTTTTCTTTTCTAACATACCAGGGATTAAATTCGGGGACACTTAAACACTGAGCTACACCCCCAGCCCTTTTTATATTGTATTTTCACATATGATCTCACTAAGTTCCTTATGGTCTCACTAAGTTGCTGAGGCTGCCTTTAAATTTAGCAATCCTCCTACCTTAGCCTCTCAAGCTGCTGGGATTACAGTTGTGTGCCACTGTGTCTGGCCTACATGAACTTTTATTAAAAAAACACTATGTATCACTGCATTAACCAATTGGATTGTTAGGAACATCAGATTATTGGGGTACAGAAAAAAATAAAGAAAATTTCTTCTGTATGTCTGTTATTGCATTCTGTGCTTTGGTAGATTTTGGAGATGTCTGGTAAGGTTAGTGATATATTCTGAGAATATTTGAGATTGTGGTCTGATACAGAAATTAAGATGATTGGCTATTGAAGGGCTTAAGATAGCCCAAGATAATTTTTGTTCTCCATACAGAACCCTGCCTTTCTACCCTCATGGTGGTCTCGTTAGCTAAAATCAAGTACTCTGAAGGTTCTTTGATGTAGATGCGACTGTATAGAGAACTTGAGTTCACAGCTGTAAAAATCTTGTGCTTCTCCTTTTACCTTCCTTAGGTGTAGACACCATGTCAGATTTCTTGGGGAGAGTTTCCCTTTGGACACTTCACAGGGTCCCATGTCCTCAGCCACTATCCTCTCCTGGAGCTGCCACAAAGTGCCCACAGGTGCCCTGTGCCCTGCAGGGTGAACAGAACTTCAGGCCCTGGGCCAGCTCCTCCTAGGGGACAGCCTGAGGTGTGGGGTGCAGCCTCAAGGGGAAGTGGCTGGGGGTTTTGGGCTGAGGAATCTCCTGGAACAGGCCTCATCTAGACAGCTACTTTGGTCCCTGGGACAGTGATCCTGGATGCTTTCAGGGAGCAAGACCAGGAGGGAGTATGTTCCTGCTGTCAGGGACCTTCCCTGCCCCTTGAGCCTGACACATATGTGCTCCCTCAGCACCAAAGCTTTCTGTGCATCACTTTGAAATGATGTGCTCACTTATCTCAGGCCCAGGTTTATTTATTCAGAGCCAAATGGGATGGACTGTTATTAAATATGCAAGAGAGAAGTGGATTTTAAAAAGTCTAGTTACATTTCCATTGTTACAAATCCCAACTTACAGCCAGGTACCATGGTGCTCACCTGTGATCCTTCTTGCTCCAGAGGTTGAGACAGGAGTGTTGCAAATTTGAGGACAGCCTAAGCAACTTATCTAGGCCTTAAGCAACCTGGTGAGAATGCATCTCAAAATAAAATATACAAAAGACTGGATGACTGGGGATGTGGCTCAATAGTAAAATGTCTCTGGGTTTAATCTTGGGGTACCACCCCCCCCCCAAAAAAAAAAGAAAGAAAAATAAAAAGAAAAAGAAAAGTCCTAATTAGCTAATTTACCTTTTGCTACCCCTGAGTATGTATAGAAAGTCTGTAAGATTCAATCTTGTCTTTTCCATGATTTCAAATTGAAATCCAACCCTAGATTCCAAAATACCATGTAAGATATGGAGAAACTCTGTCTGGCATTATTGCTGCAGAATTTGAGTCCAATTAAAAAAAAATAGTGGTGGATAAATTTATGAATGTGATTTCATGAAAACTAGTATGTGTCCTTCACAAGGTGATGAATTTGACAAAGGATGACAGTTTTTCACTGTTTTTTTTTTTTTTAATATTTATTTATTTATTTATTTATTTTTTAGTTCTCGGCAGACACAACGTCTTTGTTTGTATGTGGTCCTGAGGATCGAACCCGGGCCGCACGCATGCCAGGCGAGCGCGCTACCGCTTGAGCCACATCCCCAGCCCAGTTTTTCACTGTTGTCTGGACTTCGCAGGTTCATGTTAACTTGTGGTTTTTTGGTATCAGGAATAGAGTCCAGAGGTGCTGAACCACCAGCCCCTTTTAGATTCTTTGTTTTGAGACAGAGTCTTGCTACATTGCCTCGGCACTCAGACTCGTGAACCACTGGGTTACAGGTGTGCACCATCACTCCTGTCTTCATTGTAAATTTTAAGGACAATTTTAGCAATACCTGAAATACCCAATTATGATCATTTAATCCCTGAATATCAGTGAAATAGTAAATGACACTTGTTTTCTGGAAAGGAGCCATATGTCTCTCTAAATAAGGGTGCTGATCCCTTCAAGAGCACTCCCACTATGTCACCTGATTCCTGTTCCCTCCTAAGTGCCTCCTCCTAGGGGTACCCCTTTGGGAGCTGGCCTTTTAGCTTATGAAATTTGGGTGGAACATAAATGCTCTGTACAATATTTTGTGTGATCTTAGATATAGTGTACTATTTCCAATTTTTTGAAAAGTAATTTTTGTTGTTGCTGTAGTTGGACAAAATACCTATTTATTTATTTTTATGTGGTGCTGAATATCAAACCTAGAGCCTCTCATGTGCTAGGCAAGCACTCTACTGCTGAGCCAGAATCCCAACAATACTATTTCCTTTTTTAGATGTAGTTTTGTTTTTTTTTAAGTTTACCCCCAAAATACAGTAAACCATGCCCTAAATTTCACAGAATTTCCTGAAATTCTCAGTGCTTTCTCAGAGAGTGTTGATCATGGGAACATTCAATCTCCTTTGTGAGAAAGTGTGTTGTCTTTCCATTGATTTTGTTGTATTTTATGCCTCTAATTGTGTACCTTTTATATTATAATAATTTTTATTTCTCATTACATGTATTTTTTTTCGTGTGTGTGTGTGTGTGTGTGTGTGTGGAGGACTGCTGGAGATTGATCTGAGGGAAAGCAGAATACATGCTTGGCAAGTTCTCTAGTACTGAGGTACTCTCCAGTCCAAGAGAATTAGTATTGTAGACTGTGGTTTATTTATTTGCTTACTTTTGAGTGGTGGGGATTGATGCCATGGACTTGTTCATGCTTAGTTATCCTCCAGAAATGAATTTCAATTTGTGAGCAGCATTCTAAAGGTGGGCAGGTTTTTTACTGGGGAATAAACCTACAGGCACTTGACCACTGAGCACATTCTCAGCCCTTCTTCTTATGTATTTATTATTTCTTTTTATTTTCTTTTTTTTATATTTGTATAGTTGTAGATGGACAGAATATATTTATTTCATTTGTTTATTTTTCTGTGTTGCTGAAATCATATCCGTACCTCAAACATGCTAGCAAGTGCTCTGCCACTCAAGTACAATCCCAAACCCCCTTTTAATTTTTGATGAAGACCAGTCTCTAAATTTCTGAGTATCTGGCTAAGTTGCTGAGACTGGCCTCCAACTTGCCATTTGCCTGCCTCGACCTCTCTTGACCTCCCTAGTGGCTAAATTACAGGTGCACACCACCACCCCAGCAGTCGGAATGACTTTTAAAAAAAATACTTATTTTTAATTTGTAGTTGGACACAATACCTTTATTTTAGTTATTCATTTGTATGTGTTGCTGAGGATTGAACCCAGGGTATTGCATGTGCGATTCGAGTGCTCTACCGCTGAGCCCCAACCCCAGCCCCTGGGGTATGTTTTCAGTTTTTGAGTGTAGTTATGTGTCAGTGGCAGGGACATTTTCTTTTTGCCTGTTCCATCACTGTGAAGACATCATAGCATGCTTACAGATGTGAATGGTGGCCTGTTTCACACCCAGACTGTGTGGGATAGTTCAGGAATCTGGGCTACAAACTTGTTGCTTTACCACACTCTGGAAGAGCTTCTGCCTTAGGTTTGTTTGCAACACCATTGCTACAGGCACGATGAATCTCTTTCACAACAGACAACCATTGTATATGTGGCCCAACGTTGATTAAAATGTCCTTGAGCAGAACATTGGTATGTGTCTCATGACTATACATTATGGTAGTGAACTGGCTGCTGTTAAGAAGAGTTTGACAGTCATTGGACATTCATTGTTCCCATGAGACTTAGAAAAGTCGTGCCTGCTGGTTATTAAGAAGATTGTTTTGAGAGTTATAAAACTTTGTAAGGCTGTTGTTTGGACAAGGTAATATTTTTGGGTCATTGAGTTATTTCTAAGACATGTGCCATCTTTCACTTCCCCCATTCTGATTTGACAATAACCAGAGGAAATTATAAAATTGTTGTGTTTATTAATAAATAAATTAAATTAATCAGATAGAGACTCATGTTTGTTTTGGTCATTTAATAGTAAGCTAGTTGACTACATTTGTTCTGGAGTAAAGCACCTGCGAACTTCTAGTTGTTCTCAGTGTAATCACACAGGATGAGCTCAATCTCCAGCTAATGCATTGTGACAACCTGTGTGAAAGGTTGTCTAAATGTTGTCTGTGAAGGAATCTCCTTAGTGACCCCATGCCCAGAGGTTGTGGGTGGGGGCTGGTTCTAGACATTTCTTTAAGTATGGAACAATAGACATTCAGAGGAAACAAGACATTAGTAAATACCCTGTTGCGTATATTAACCTTGTTGGTACAGTGAGCCATTGTAGTTGTCAGAATCTCTCTCAAATGCTTAGTTTCATGATTCCTGCAATTTCCTACTCATCACCTTTCTTTTCTAAAGATAAGCACTATCAGAATTGCTTATATTAGCTCTGTTCCACACAGGATGTTTCTAGGACATGTAATAGAGGTGGAACCAATAAATAAGTAAGGAGTAATCTGGGAGCCTGTCTTACTTCCTGTGAACTCACAAAGAAAGGGTATAAATCACTATGATGTTTTCCTTCTTTTTTAAAAATTATTTTTTGAGAGAGAGAGTGAGAGAGAGAGAATATTTTTAATATTTATTTTTTAATTCTCGGCGGACACAACATCTTTGTTTGTATGTGGTGCTAAGGATCGAACCCGGGCCACACGCATGCCAAGCGAGCACACTACCGCTTGAGCCACATACTCAGCCCAAGATGTTTGCCTTCTGAGTAGCCAATTTCTAGTGTTGGAATGGCTGTAAGAAGTTGAGTGCAGTAAATATTTGATGGACCAAATCGTGGAATTAATCAAGAGGCCAGGGAATCATGTGAACATCATGCATGTTGAGGATAGATTTCTCATGCTGTCAATCTCTCCTGGCCTCCACTATACATTTGGTGGGATATTTTAGATCTCAGTGACCTTTGAGGATGTGGCTGTGAACTTCACCCAGGAGGAGTGGGCTTTGCTGGATCCTTCCCAGAAGAATATTTACAGAGATGTGATGCTGGAAGTCCTCAGAAACCTGGCTTCTATAGGTAATAATGATGTTTCTAAAATTAATCAAATTGAGAACTCATGTTTATTTTGGTCATTTATATAGAAGGTGAAAAGGGAATCAATTGGTGAATAATTGCAGCATAAATGTCACCTAGGATTTGGCAAAGCATTTCTAGCTCCTAAATACTCATAAAGATTGTTCTGTTCTCATTTTAGGAAACAAATGGGAAGACAAGATCACTGAAGTTCAGATTGAAAACTCTGGGAGCAATGTAAGGTAACTGTACTCACAAGAGGAGTCCATGAGGGGGTCTGAGAACTGTCATTTAATTTTTAAAGTAAACCAACCAACGAAGTATGCATAATTTGAGAAGTATTTATTCTTATAGTGTTTTTTACTAGAAATATATTCTTAGCTGTAACAGATATTCAGGCTTTTCAAAGATTTGACATGCAAAAAGTACTATGAAATTGCATATGTGAATATCACTATTTGGATAATAGCCATAGAGAATATGTGATGTAAAGGATTTTTTCCTTTCAATCTCTTTATTTTTAGGCAAGTTGAACAAGTCAGAAAACCTAGCCTTTACCTGATGTTGGTAGTAATGTAAAGATCTATAAATAAATAGAAAATTGTGAATGAATCAAGCATTGATTATGTGCTGGTCACTTCTTCTTCAAAGAAGTCATATGGTAAACTTCACAGGCACAAAATAGTGTGGAGAAACCTTCAAATCGATTCCAATTCTTAACTGAAGAAAGAAAATTTTTAATAGAGTAAATCCATGTGAGTTCATTTTGTGTGCAAAAGACTTCATATGTCCTTCATTCCTTCATAGGCAGATCACATCTCACTCTGGACACAGATACTACAAGCATGAGAAATATGATGAGAAGCCATTTGAATTGAAACAATATAGGAAATCTCTGGTTTCTCTCAAAAGTGTTCACACACAAATGTTAATACAAACTGGAGATGGACCTTATGAAAGTACAGTATGTGGGAAAGTCATCAGTTGTTCCAATGACATTGAAAGACATGAAGAAACTCATACTGGGGGGCGACCCGGTGAATGTCAACAATGTGGTGAAGCCTCTTCTTATCCCTCCAGTGTTCAAACACACATGATAACACACAGTGGAGATAAACATTTTCAATGGGACATATGTGGGAAAGCCATTCATTTCTCCTCTTTATTTAGAAGACATGAAGGAACTCATTCTGGAGAGAAACTCCATGAATGTAAACAAGGTGATCAGACCTGTATTTCACACACAAGTCTTCAAAGGCACAGGATCACACACACAGGGAATGCACATTTCAAATGTAAGATATGTGGAAAAGACTTTGATTATTCCAGTTTACTTAGAATACATCAGAGAATGCATACTGGGGAGAAGCCCTATGTATGTAAACAGTGTGGCAAAGCCTTTTCTAGATCCAGTTACCTTCACTCACGTGAAAAAACTCATACTGGAGTGAAGTCCTATGAATGTAAGCAGTGTGGGAAAGCCTTTTCTAGATGCAGTTACCTTCAGATTCATGGAAGAATGCATACTGGTGAGAAGCCCTATGAATGTAAGCAGTGTGGGAAAGCCTTCACTCAGTCCTCTAACCTTTACTCACATGAAAAAACTCATACGGGTGAGAAGCCCTATGATTGTAAGCAGTGTGGCAAAGCCTTTGCTACATTCCATTACCTTCGCAGACATGGAAGAACACATACTGGAGAGAAGCCGTATGAATGTAAGCAGTGTGGCAAAGCCTTTGCTAGATCCAGTTCCCTTCAGTCACATAAAAAAACTCATACTGAGGAGAAGCCCTATAAATGTAAGCACTGTGGCAAAGCCTTTGCTAGGTCTGGTGACCTTTACAAACATGGAATAATACATACTGGAGAGAAGCCCTATGCATGTAAGCAGTGTGGCAAAGCCTTTTCTAGATCCAGTTACCTTCACTCACATGAAAAAACTCATACTGGAGAGAAGTCTTATGAATGGAAGCAGTGTGGCAAAGCCTTTGCTACATCCCATCAGCTTCATAAACATGAAATAATACATACCAGAGAAAAGCCCTATGAATGTCAACAATGTGGAAAAGCCTTTGCTACTGCCTCCTACCTTCAGATACATGAACGAACTCATACTGGAGAGAAGCCATATGAATGTCAGCAGTGTGGGAAAGCCTTCACTCAGTCCTCTCACCTTCACTCACATGAAAAAACTCATACTGGGGAGAAGCCCTATGAATGTAAGCAGTGTGGCAAAGCCTTTCCTAGGTCCAATAGCCTTCACAGGCATGAAAGAACACATACTGGGGAGAAGACCTATGAATGTAAGCAGTGTGGCAAAGCCTTTACTAGATCCAGTGAGCTTCACTCACATGAAAAAACTCATGCTGGAGAAAAGCCCTATGAATGTAAGCAGTGTGGCAAAGCCTTTGCTACATCCCATTACCTTCGCAGACATGGAAGAACACATACTGGAGAGAAGCCCTATGAGTGTAAGCAGTGTGGAAAAGCCTTCACTCATTTCTCTGGCCTTCACTCACATAAAAGAATTCATACTGGGGTGAAGCCTTATGCATGTAAGCAGTGTGGCAAAGCCTTCACTCGTTCCTTTGACCTTCACTTACATAAAAGAATTCATACTGGAGAGAGGCCTTATGCATGTAAGCAGTGTGGCAAAGCCTTTGCTACATCCAGTAACCTTCACAAACATAAAAGAACACATACGTGGGGAGAAGCCCTGTGAATGTAAGCAGTGTGGCAATTTCTTTGCTAGTTCCAGTTACCTTCCCAAACTTGAAAAAACTCATACTGAAGGAAAGCCCAATGAGTGTGAGCAATGTGGCAAAGCCTTTGCTAGTTCCAGTGTCCTTCAAAGACATGGAAGAACACATATTGGAGAGAAGCTCTATGGTTGTAAACAATGTGGAAAAGCCTTTGTTACATCTGCTCAGCTTCACTTACATGAAGGAACCCCTAGTGCAAAGAAATCATACTCAGGAAAACAATTGGCAAAGTCTTCCATTAATAATGTTTCACTCTTTAACATGTAGTAAGTTTTCTGTAGAAAAATTCTTCGAATGTGATATGTGGTAAATCAATATTTCTTGTCAAATTCAAAGAGAAGAAAGTGCTCACATGTCCAAATGTATCTACCTACCTACCTACCTACCTACCTGCCTACCTACTTACCTACCTACCTACCTACCTATAAATAGTACTGGGGATTTAGTTTGGGGGTCATCTATCACTGAGCCACAAAGTTTTTCCTTTGTATTTTGAGATAGGGACTTGCAGAGTTCCTTAAGGCCTTGCTTAGGTGCTGAGTTTGCCTTCACATTTGTGATCCTTCTGCCTCCAAAACCGAGTCTCTGGGATTAAAGGCAAACGCTACTAGATCCAACTGAATAAAGCATCAAATTTAAGAATTTGGAAAATCATTCCATTTTTCCTGTTGCCTTCAAAGTCATTTCACTCACACTGGAAAACAAACCCTCAGAATGAGGAAGATTGGGTACATTCTGTCAGCTTCCCATCCCAGCCCTGCTATCCTTCTCATATATGACAATACAGAGAGAAGCCCTGAGAATGTGATTAATGTGGGAAGTCTTCTAAATTTCCCAGTTTTTTATAAGGTCTGGGAATACTCTTCTTGAAAGATTCATGCCAAAATGAATAAATCAATGCAAGTAAGTGTTCAAGTGTTTCCGTTTTGTTCACTTGTATGAAAGGACTCATACTGTATTAAATCCTGTGGAAAAGCCATGTGGGGCAGTATGCAGCTTTCATGGTTTCCTTCAAAGACATAAAGGGATTCACATCAGGGAAAACCCTTCTGTTCTTTAAACAATGTGATGACACTTTCACTTTTCCATGTTCTTTTTGAATATCATGGAAGAACTCACTCTGGAGAAAAGCCTTGTATATAAAAATGTGGTGAGACCTTCAGTTGTTTCAGATCCATTTAGACTTACATAGACTGGAGAAATTTTATTTTTAATTTCTTTTACTTTTTTTTTTTTTGGTACCAGGGATTCAACCCAGAGACACTTAACCACTGAGCCATATCCTAGTTCTTTTTATTTTTTTTTTCAAATATTTAGACATGCTGTCACTGAATTGCTTAGGTCCTCACTATGTTGCTGAGGTTGACTTTGAACTTGTGATCCCCTGCCTCAGCCTGCTTTTTCAGTGGAATTGCAGTCATGGAACCCCTTCAGCAAGAATCCTCTTTTTCTGAGAAAACCAGTGTAGGCGTGAAAAAAGGGTGTGTGCCTTCATTTCTTTCTATTCAGAGGTAAGGAGAATGCACCCTGAAGTGGATGTAGGAATTGTGTCAGCATGAAGATGTGAAAGCAACATGTTTCTCCCAGTTAAATATCTCTTCTTGTTAGATTTAATTTTTCTCTCTATTTGTTGATCTGTAGTCAACTCTCCCATATGATGACATAATCTTATATTTACTGTGTGTGTGTGTGTGTGTGCGCACGCACGCGCAAATTCTACTGTGTAGTGTGATTTTGTACATAGAAGTATGTTATAGAATAGTACACAAGATTTGTAGTTAAAATGTATTAACCTGTATTTGCAGTTTTTAAATTTTTTTTTAGAGTTTTCATCTCTCTTCTTCCCTTGAGTCCAATTTCTCTCATATTGCCCATTTTTTTCCACTAAAGACCTTAGCAAACAAATGATATTTTATGACTCTGGTCTCATAATTAAAAATAACTTTTTCCAGGTTTATGAATAATATGATATTTTCTGTCTCCTCATATATCTTATGACTCTTATATATGTTGTGAAAAAATTAAACAATGTGAGAAGTTTTAAATATAATTACCAGGGTCATAGAATTGAGGGCAAAAGAAAATAAACATTACTATTATAATTATCATCATCATTATCACCACCACAACCACCATCATATCTGAAATGCATAAGCCCTGATCCCATCTCTACCCCTTTTTATTTCTTTCTTTCTTTTTAAAAAAAATTTTGATTGAAGTATTTTTAAAATTCTTTCCAAGGGCCTCAGTATGTTAGTGAGGCTGGGTTTGAACTTGTGATTCTCATTCTATAGCCACTGGGATTACAGATGCGCTATCATGCCTGGCTCCTGGATGTTTCTTGAAACTGTGATGTAAATCAGCATATGCCTGGTTTTTGCAGAGTTTCCAAGTCTTAATTGATTCAGAGGCAGGAATTCCTTTTTACTGTGTTTATGTACACTAATGCCCTTAAAGCTCTAAGATTCTAGAATGATTCTGAGCATCAGAAAGACATTAATTCACAGCTTATACCCCAAATTTTTATATTTCCAGATGGACTAAACTGAAGTCCATTTTGAAAAATTTTATTTTAGATAATTTTTGTTGAAAAGAGGGTGGGAGAATTGTTTTAATATTTCAGGGAAAAAACTATTCGTTTGTATTAAGATCTTATGATAAAATGAAATGTAAGTAATCAATATGAGTATTACATAATTTTCTTAACAAACATTTTTTTGTACCCTCTGTGCACCAGACACCAGATAATCAACTTTGCAGAGTCACAGAGACTATGGAACGTGCCCTGGTGCTCATGTGAGTGTTATCTAGAGCACCAAGTGAAACTACAAAAGCAAACACCTGAGAGGGCTGAGTTGTGCCACCCACACATGCACCCTCATACCCACGTGCACACACATGTACAGGATCAAGTCAACCTTTTCTCTACATATTCTCCCTAGTGCAGTTCTTTCATCCTCTCTGTGTAATGCAACTATTGATTTCTTTGACTTTTCTCACAACATTGCTGCCCACTATTTTTTTTTCTCAAAAATCAATTATTCCGTCATGACTTCTCAACTTATTCTTTTGTGTCTTTCTAAAGTTTGCTTACACATTGTGTATGTGAGTTGAGGCCTGTGCACTCCAGCATTCTGTGCAGATTGGCTAAATATCTCTTTTTTTCCTCCTTTGCTCCCTTCTTTCCTTCAGATTTCACCCAGGAGTGCTCCACCACTGAGCTTCCCCCTAGCCCTTTTATTGTTATTTTTTGAGATGGGGTGACGCTGGCCTCAAACTTGTGGTCACCCTGCCTCAGCCTCCTAGCAGCTGGGACCATAGAGATATTCCCTTTTGTGCCCTGCTACTGGCCTCTTCCTTTTCCTTGGTGCCTTATTGTCCTGTTGATGACTCTGGGACCACCACTCTGTCACTCGTATTTCTTCTAAGCCTCATGTGTTGTGTTGTATGTAGGCACATTAAAGGGCATTATAAAAGTTGTAATTTGTATGTATTGTTTGGAGAGGCATCTTCTCAAAATATACTTTGCCCTGTACTTAATTGAGTTGCTTTCTATTTCTTCTCATTCCCTGGTGCCAGGGACCCAATCTTGCCTTGTGCCTGCTAGACAGGTGCTCTATCAGTGAGCACTCCCCTAGCTCAGGTGGAGAGTTTGCTGCTGCTGTGTTTGTGGACCCCACTGATGACCACGTCAGTAGATGCAGTGCTGCAGGTTTTCCTCCATGTTTTCATCTGGTCCCTTTCTTCTTAAACATCTTTAACAGCAGGGAATTTTAACCACTGACATCCAATTTAGCTTTTATCACCATGATTAATACTTAGGTGGAATATGCCAGAAAACCCAGGCTGGACTTCTCTCTGTGTTCAGGGAACCTCAGTAGCCCTGGAACCATCGTGTGATGATTTTCTTCATACACAGCATGTGATCAAAACTAGGTAAAGAGGGCCCCAGTTGAATGTCCTAATGTATTGGTGCCCCCTTCTGCACCTAAGAATCTTAAGTAAGCTTCTCCAGAGACCCTCACCATGAATTTCTTTAAAACAAATATCAGAAAAAAGTTTTGCAAAGAACTCAATATGCGTTAGAATGAAGATGTAATGATGTTACTTCTTCTCTTCTAGTAAAGCTTGGAAGACACGTGAATAATCTCAAAAATGATTAAAAATTCACTTTTTTGAACAACCAACGAAAAATTTTATGTAGACTCCTACAAACAAAATAAAAATAAATAAATAAACCTCCACCCCCCTCCCTGGGTGTAAAGATGATGAAATTCCAACATCAAGGTACAGAAAATTTTAGGTGATACCCTTCTGAGCCCTGCTGTCAATGAGTCTGCTCCCTGAATCTTCCCCAGGCATCCAGGCTCATCTGCCCCTCATCACTAATAGAGCCTCAACTGGCAAAAAATTTCACATGGTAGCCAGGAATTTTTCTTTTAACATTAACAGCAGGGTCTCTGATGAGATTCAGGAGCACTAGTTTCAAGGTTCCCAGACACTTTAGAGCTTTCTTACCATCAGTCATGACCCATTTGAAGTCCACAGTGGGTGTAGCACCCTGGAGGTGGTCAGCCTTCATGAAGGCAATACCCCTCTTGACCCTACAGCCAGTAAATTTCCAGGATCCAGTTTTCCAGTGCTTGCCCTGTGCTGCAAGGGGTTTGCATGTTTATATAAACTTCTGGGTGTTCTTGCTGTGCTCTGCTGGGGTCATTGTGCCCAAGAGGCCTGGACACTGCTGGTCCTGGGGTCTATTAATGACTGTGGAGCAGGAGGCACTTGCATGGATGCCCATTTACTCCTGGGTCTGATGAACATCCTGGGCCATGACCACCCAGTCGTGCCTGGATCTGCTCTTCACTGTCGCCTTCTTCCCTGCACTGCCTGAGCTCAGAGTCCCCTCAGTTCTCCACATTCACATTCCTCTTTCCTGATGGCCTTGGTGGGCACCAGGAAACATACCCCCTCTTAGCCTCATGGGCTCCTTCCAGACCCCTCTCTGCACAGGTCAGCATGGTGTATGCCACCGGTTTGGCATCTCCTCCTGCTGTGCAGTCTTGGTCCAGTGGGCCCCAGGGTCAACCTGGT